TAAGCCCTTCAAGATGGTTCGCTCCTCGGTTTTGTCATTCTTTCGGAACAAGCCTTGTGGTTCCTTCAGCTTCACCGTGTACACAAGGTTCTCAAACTGCTCCAAAACATCAAGAACAAGATTGAATGAGCAGATCTTTTTTATGAAAACACAAAAACACTTGCTATAATCCAAAATTATGTATGCCCTAATAATATGAAAAGTTCTCATACTATTTGTACACAAATCAACACTTTTAACATAATGAACCACTGAGTGTTCTCTGCATATATAAACCTTATAGTATGTATCAAGTAATAAAATTATCTATAAACAAACATACCTTTAAGGTAACAGGAGTATTAGCCTTTTTAAAAATTGAAAAAGGAAGGGATCGATCATCGTTGGTCTTCTCGATCGGGGCTTCAACATCCATAGAAACCTCTTGATTATCCATTCCCAACAATGATCGATCTATAAACCCTTAGTCGCAGATAACTAAGGATTAAAGCTGAATCAATCGAAACGAAATCAAATATTTGTTCTTCCACTAATTAAGGAATTATTTGATGAAGTTGAATCGAGAAGGAGAACAATTGATGATAGTATTTTATTTTGTTGGCTTTGGGAGTTCTAGAGACAGAACAAAACTAAAAACTCTAAAGTCTTTTATTTAGCTAAATAAAAACAAATTAGGGTTCACGTAAGGCAAGTGAGAGAGAGTTTTAAGGATATATAGAAGGAAGATTCTTTAGATAATGCTTCTGTTACTAAGCACGCTTTTAATGTGGGATGTTTGTTTCGATTCGCCGAAAAAAAAAGATTTAAAAGTAATCTGAGAATCTGCTAATTGCTTCTCTTTTCTTTTCTTTTTCTTTTTGAGATATTAAAAATTCATAAAACCTTAAATTACGTCTTTTTTGCGTCCAAACCATTGGTTAATAATTGGGATAATTAATTTATTATTGCTATAATCTAAAATAAAATTTTCTACGTCAAACGAATACCCTTTCACCTTCTATAATTTCTTTATAGTAATCGTGTGAATATTAAAATAATAAAATATTTTTATTTTGGTACTATATAGAAATCTTAAACATCCTTATATAATAATCTCAAAACATGATACCACTAGTAATATATAAATATAGAAAAATCCTAAACAAAATAGAAACCTAGATTTTTAGTCACCTTGAAATAGCAGAAAGAAAACAAAACTGAATGCAAAATACAAGATGGCAAAGCATAAAAGAAATTAAATCACCACTTACGAAATCAATGGTGAGGGATTCGCAACTGAAACGTAAGAATTGAGCACGCGATCATCCACTAAAAACAACTTGGTTATTAAAAGTTAACAATGACATAAGTCTATGTGTATTTAAGAATATTATTAAATATACAAGTGCTCATGAGTCTATACGTTGAGCTTGTTCGGATAGATATGACGACGTGCCCGCAAAACTGCTATTGACGACGAAGAACCACCATAATGTAATACTATCGCTTTTAATGCTATACGTATAGTGGTTGAAATATTCACCTTGGGATTGGAGATTATGTTTCGGATCTTCCCATAACAATTTCAATCATTGTTGGTTAACTAGTAAGAATGTTCTGTTTTTCCACACATTATGGAGATAAGTTAGGATTCTAGAAGTTGATCCGAGTAATCAAAAATAATTATTTTATATAAAAATGGTGGAATCATATATAGTTGCATTTTACATTTAGCATGAGGAAGGCTACTTTGAGGGGAATATGTTTGCATTGAGTAACATTTCTTTGTGAAAGTTTAATTGTTAGTGCTTAGACCTTTTCCATTGAATGAAAAGGCCCTAAGCCGCATTTTCTCCACTCTCATAAGAGATTCAATTTGTATGGAAACTAAAAAATTTAGGTAATCACTCTTACAATAATTTTAAATTTAATTGGATTAAACGCTCTCGTAGGAGCTTGATGTATACTATTTATCCACTTTGTGTTTGTTGTATCACTTTTTATCTTTTCTACCACCCTTTGCACTCCACGATTCACGAATAACCGAATTTTACTATGATTTGGCACCATTATAGTATTATTTTTATCAACAACACGTAGTGTACAAATTTAAATTCAAATGTGAACATAGCAATATCGCTAACTAACATAAATCAATACGTTCTTGATCACTATTTTTTTTTTCAAACCCCTACATGTGATTTTATTTTCTTTGTGTAGTATACTCAAGAAAACAACAAAGTATGGAAATGAAAAGAAAAAAAAAATTGTATCTCCATTTAAGATGCCTAAATAACTTAAAATATATATATATTTTTAAAAAAACCCAAGTGAATCCGCTGGATGATACAGAGAGTTAAGAAATTACATCTTAAAAGACCGTTAGCTGAGTCAACTTCCGGTGGTTGCAACCCCCACACATAAAATAAAGAAAATGGTCCAAATATTTGATTGTCACTCTCGTCAACAGTTTCAAGAATCCCTCACAAAAATCTTTAGCCATAACATAGTCTTAAGTATCGAGTTTATTATCGAAGACATTACGGAGATTGCAAAGGAGAAGAAAGTGGAAGAAATGATAGCTGAAACGGGAATGGTGATGGTAGGTGTTTTGGGATTATGGGCACGCTTTGTCCGAAAGCCGCTGCTAGAATTCACCGGAGAAATGATGCAAGTAATCTCCGAAGTCGTGTCGAGGATGTGTCAACCAGATACAACTTCTTATGCTCCTCTTTCTTCAACTACTAATAACCCTACTCCCATCGTCGGAAGGTGATAACATGTCTAATTGAAGAAATTTAGAGTTACATATAGCTTTTTTTAACCTTATTATTTGTAAGTTCTCACTTCTCAATTTTATATATATGTTTTTCTTTTCCTTTTGAATGTTAAAATTATTAGATCAACAAAAAAAAGAAGTTATATACATGGTCTCATGTTCCTCTCTCGACATATGATTTATATGGTTACATGAAAGCTCAACCGCAATAGAGTTAACATTTGCTTATCAATCAACTTCCGGGATGTGATTAGAATAATCGGAAGAAGATGTGTTCTCGGGTTTATGAAGCTGATCCACATAAATTAAAGCATGCGTATAAATGAGTATTGTTAAAATGACGACATATGATTTACTCGGTTTTGTTTGATTCGGATACACTAAAATCAGTTTTGGTTCGGAGTTGGTTTTAATTTCTTTTTTTTTTGGTGTTACCATTTCTGCTAAGAAATTTGATTGTCTGCTTCAGTTGCTTTGACTTCCACAAAGTTTTAGGAGAACGGTTGGTACGGGACTTAGGGGTCCCAATTGTCGCTTCTCTCCATTATTAGGTTAATGACCTCTGGTTCGTTTGTGGTTCCTAGTTCAAGTCGTTTGATCTTAATTTCGGCTACTTTTTATAATTGATTAATTGGGTTTGGGCTGGGCTATCAGCTATGTATGCCCATTATAAAAACAAATTAAGAAAAACAAATAATTTCACAAACGACGTAGAACCATGGAAAAAGTTTACTCGTGGGCATATTTTTTCAATCATCTTTTTTGTCACTTGTTGATGCCTCGTCTCTTATTGTGATTGATCATCTTTTTTGGACCACAAATTTTCTGTTGCAGCAACAAAGGAAAAAAAGGTTGTAATAAACGTTTAATTTATTGTATGTTTATAATGTAATCCTAAGTTCCTAACAAAACTCAAGAAAAGTAATAATGAAACATTCGTTTCTCGATATCCTTTGACAAGAAGTATAAGAAGATAATTAGCTACAATTGATCAATCACGTGACCCACATTATGTATTAATCATAATACTTAATAATTTCGTATAATTATTACAAACACAACTTCACTGTGACTATTCTTGAGTTGGTTCGTTCCTACAAGTGGTTATATCTTTTGACGATAATCTTGTGATATTAATTAATGAATCATATGTTCTAACTAACATTGGAAAACTTTCTGGTGATTAGCCACTTTACCATCATTAATGATTATAATTTCCAACCTTACACAATGTATCAAACAAATAGACAATTTCTATAAAATTTGAGATGTATACGTTAAAACACCGTAATGTAAAATCCACAGTAAGAAACAAAATATGCATCAGTTTTGAGTTTTTGATCATAGTAAACTCATAATTCCTCTAAATCAGAAACCAAACACGTTATTTAGTAGAATTATCTCTGCTCCGGATAATTTTACAGTTTGCAATTTATAATTAAGAAGTTTAATCAGTTATCTTGTGCAATAAGGTCGCCCCATTCTCAACCTCACATGGTTAGAAATATTTATAAAATCATTTGTGTATTTCGATTGTCTCCCCTCCAAGCTAAGATAAATCATAATTAGTAAACATCACAAAACTTCACACCGCTATTTTTTGCAATATATTTTCTACTACTATTATCTTTTATTTTGGAGTAACTGTTACTATCATTTGTCTCTCTTCGTACCCAAGTTTTGACATGTGACATATCAACTAACACTCTCATTTCCAACAAAACACTTGTTTATTCATTCATACTATATACTTTTCATATAATTTACCATCATTTTCTATTGCCATGTAAATATTTCTATAAAATTTATGCTGGTAATGTAACAGTGAATGTAGGCAAAAAAAAAAAGTAACAGTGAATAGAATATGTGTCTATCGGTGAAGTGGGTGTGTCGGCGTATATAACGAAGAGACCAAATTGATCAATTTATTAAATATTTAATCAAAAGAAGAAGAAGAAAAATAAGTGAGAAAACAAAAAGAATCAAAAACCTCCATGAAATAAAAAAATCCTCTCTCCTCTTCTTCTTCATGTGAATGTCTGAGCTTCAATGCATGTGCTCGCTCTTGGATCTCAATTGTTTCTACAGCTTTTTCTTCACTCTCTTCTCTATCCCTTAGCTGTCACGAAACATTCTCTTTCACTCTTCCCTACTCTCTCCCCCCAAAATAAATCAGAAATCTATCAACATTCTTGAACAGCAACCATAAAATTTTATAGACCAGTGTTTCACTTTAATTACCCATTTTTGTCTGAAACATTGAATCTTTTTGCTTGTTGTGGGTTCTTTAATGGATCCAAGAACAAGACTCGACTATGCTCTGTTTCAGCTCACACCAACTAGAACAAGGTAGTTGGTAGATTCTTTTGTTTATTACTCCCTCCGTATTTTAATAATTGTCGTTTTAGAATTTTTATTTTTTTGAATTAGATGTCGTTTTCAAATTTCAATGCAAAATTTCTTACTTTTTAATGTTTTATGACATCATAAAACATTAAAAAGTAAGAAATTTTGCATAGAAATTTGAAAACGACATCCAATTCAGAAAAATAAAATTTCTAAAACGACAATTATTAAAATACGGAGGGAGTACCATTTTTATCAGAGTCTTATGTTGATGATTGATTCTCTTGTCTCTGTTTTAAAGATGTGATCTTGTGATTTTCTCTGGTGGTGAGAATGAGAAACTTGCTTCTGGGATTTTTCAACCGTTCGTTACCCATCTCAAGAGCGTTAGAGATCAGATTTCTAGAGGTGGATACTCCGTCACTCTCCGTCCTTCTTCCGTCGGTGTTCCTTGGTTTACTAAAGTGACCCTTCAAAGGTAAAGTCTCGTCGTCTCCTTAAAAAGTTGAAAACTTTATGTCAAACCCTAAAATTTGATGATTTTTTTTTGTTTCTGATTTTGGGGAAAAGATTTGTGCGATTTGTGACTACTCCGGAGGTTCTTGAGAGGTCTGTAACGTTAGAGAAGGAGATTGAGCAGATCGAGGATTCGATTCAAGCTAATGCAGCCGCAATTGCAGGTGAAGCTGAAGGTATGTTTGGACATAAAATCAGAGTTCAAAATTGGTAATTTAACTTATAGAAGAAATAACAAAAAGATCAATCCTTTTCAACATTGTGTAATCTTGTTCATATATAGGAAACGAGTTGGGTGGTACATGGACTTCTCAGAAGTCTACGGCTTTATCAAAGGTGAGTCTTTTTTTTTGTCACTCCCTTAGATGGCAAAATTTGAGTTGGTGCTTAATGTTTCAACTGTGGTGGACTCTGTGTATGTGTAGATGAAAGGGGAAACTGATGGAGACACTGTGGAAGAAAATTCTAAGTAAGTTTTTAGTAGTCCTTCTTTTATGGTCTTGTTGGTTTAGCTTATTGTTTATATGAAGTTGATTGATTCTGATAAGTGGTGAATTGAATGGAATAGGGTTGGTCTTCAGCGTGTTTTGGAGAACCGCAAGGCGGCTTTGTGCAAAGAGCAAGCGATGGCTTATGCTCGAGCTTTGGTTGTTGGATTTGAAGTGGACTACATGGATGACCTTTTGTCTTTCGCTGATGCTTTTGGAGCTTCACGGTTAAGGTATGTAGTTAAACCATTTATGTCATTGTGTTGTTTGTAAGCATTTGTAACGAAATTATGAATGAACTTGTGTTCTTTTTGCATCCAGGGAAGCATGTGTTAACTTTGTGGACTTGTGCAAGAGAAAGAACGAAGATAGAATGTGGGTGGACCAAATCACGGCTATGCAAGCATTTCCTAGGCCTGAATTAACGTTCATGGGTGACTCTGGGATCGTACTCGCTGGTGAAGAGAATGATTTGTTGAATGCTACAAACGGAAAGAATGGAAACTCTATGGATGCCTCGAGCCAGGGTAGCTTTGAGACTGGCCAAGGTCCTTTATTAGCATTAATTCTGATTTATTCATTTGATGGTACTTGAATTTGGTTTCTTTTCGGTTAGTAACTAAAGCTGAATTAACTGTATTGCGCAGAAGGGAGAGCTCAAATGGCAATGCCGTGGCCAAACCAGTTTCCTCAGTACATGCAGAACTTCCAAGGACATGGGTATCCTCCGCCTCCTTATATGTTTCCGGGGATGCAAGGCCAGTCACCATATTTCCCAGGGAATATGCAATGGCCCGTAAATATGGGAGATGTGGAGTCAAATGAGAAGTCTTCCAAGAAGAAAAAGAAGAAGAAGAAGAACAAGAAGAAGTCGAAGCAAGATGAATCTGCCGAGCCAAGCGATAATTCCAGTACTGAGTCCGAATCAGAAGACGGAAATGAAGGAAAGAAACAATCCAGGAAGGTGGTTATCCGCAACATAAATTATATAACTTCAAAGAGGAACGGAGCGAAGGAGAGCGATTCGGATGAGTCTGAAGAAGAAGATGGGTTTGTGGATGGAGATTCTATCAAGCAGCAAGTAGAAGAAGCCATTGGCTCAGTGGAGAGACGGCATAAATCAACTTCGCGCCGTCAGAGGAAACACAAAAGTCACAACGTTGACGATGATTTAAGTAACAAGGAAACTAAGGGGAATGATAATTGGGATGCCTTCCAGAATCTTCTTTTGAAAGACAATGACTCAGAGCCAGAAGAATCACTACGAACATCATCATCTGCGTTAAACATGGAGTCTGAAGTTGTGAGAAAGAGAGAACCGCCTTCGGATGATTCATTCTTGGTTGCAAATGGAAATGAGGATTGGGGAAGAGAACCCAGCATAGAGAAATTCAATGCAGGTGAGAATGTTCGGATGATAAGGAAAGGGAACAACTATGACGATGAGATGTTGAATCCGGGTAGAAGCGATGAATCAAGAAGCTATTCGCAGGCAGAGATGTCGGTTTATGATGGGAAGCTCAGAGCCAGAAATGAGGCAGAGGAAGACTGGTTCATACGTAACCAAGCTGGTCTAGAAACAGATCCAGGTCTTGTCAAAACATTTGTTGGAGACCATTTCCACTTAAATAAGAGCAGTGGGGGAGATGTCCTAACCGATGACTCCTTCATGATCCATTCTCGTGGTGAGGGCCAAGTAGAAGAGTCTCGGTTAAGGACAGAAATCATGGACTCAGACGTTTACGGAACCACCCAACAAGAAAACAATGCCCAGGAGAACACTCTGCATGAGCCAGATGACCTTTACATGGTTCTTGGACGGGAACAAGATGTTAAACCTACATTGTTACCATGGACCCCTGAAATTGACTTCGAGACTAACACTTTGGCTCAAAAAACAAGCAAAATCGATTTGGAAACTGCCACAAAGGCCTCTGCCGGTGAACAAACCTCAGATGGTAAAGAAAAGAAGAGTCGTGGTATCTTCAAGGGGAAGGATGCAAAGTCAAGAGCATCTAGTAGACCTGACCCAGCGTCAAAAGCCAAGAGACCTGCTTGGGGAAGTAGAGCTGCTGTCTCCAAGTCCAAATCCGAGATGGTAAGTTCCGCAACTGCTTTTCTCGTCTTTCTTGATTTGTTTCTTTTCTCACCTGGATTTGGTTTTTGATAGGAGGAAGAGAGAAAGAAGAGAATGGAAGAACTTTTAATTCAGAGGCAAAAAAGAATTGCGGAGAAGAGTTCTGGTGGTAGTGTGTCAAGTTCCTCAGCGTCCAAGAAAACTCCTCCTGCAACCAAAACAGTGAAGAGCTCATTAAAGAGCGAGAAGACCCCAGAAGCCGCACAGTCAAAGGCTAAGCCAGTACTGAGAAGTTCCACCATTGAGCGCCTTGCTGTTGCTCGGACCGCTCCAAAGGAGCCACAACAAAAACCAGTAATCAAAAGAACATCAAAACCTGCAGGAAACAAGACAGAGAAAGCTCAGGAAAAGAAATCGAGTAAAATAGGTCAATCCGATGCGAAAAGTCTGGAACTTTCTCGTGACCCGAGTCTCGAAATCAAGGAAACAGTGGTGGAAGATTCACAGTCTTACTTGTCTGAGAAGCAAGTTGATGCACTTCCTGCTGCTGCTTGTGTTGATGATTTCAAAGACATTAAAGAATTGCATAGCTTGCCATTAGAAGAAACGGCCAGAGTAAACAACAGACCGAATGAAATCATAGCCGAGGCAACCAATCATCAGAAAGTACAAGATCAGACGAAGATCGATGATCAGGAAACAGTCAAGATGACATCTGTTTCTGAAGATAAGCAAATCACCACGAACCATTATTCAGAGGATATCGAAGAGATCAAGGCATCACAGGAAAAACCAGCGTCTCCAAAGAAGTCAGTGACTTTTTCAGAGACAAATATGGAGGAGAAGTATTATTTCTCACCAGCGGTCTCAGAGATTGACATCTCGACGCCACCGGCGACTGAAGCAGATCATTCCAGGAAGAAATGGAACAGTGAAGAGACGTCTCCCAAGGCAACAGCTAAAGTCTTCAGAAAGCTTCTTATGTTCGGAAGGAAAAAGTAAAACCGAAGTTAGAATTCTTCTTCTCCGACTCCGGCTTCATCGAACCTTTGCTTTGACGACGTTGCATGTGTTGAGTTCAGTTAAAAAGCCCGGTTTCATATTTTTCCTCTTTTATTCTTTAAATTTTTTCTTGTGTGATATGAAATACTGTTTTTTATTTTTTTGTTATCAGTTTGATTTGTGCCTGTTTATAATTACATTGTTGATGCGTTGTTTATAGCATTGAAAGTGCACATTTGAGTGTATAAAAAATGGTTTGCTGAGTTTGAATAATGTATAAGGTTCTTTTGATATTTGTAACTAAACTATTTGATTTATGATCATTAGGAAAACACTAGTAAAACAAAAAAAACAGAGGAGTGGAGATTAAGTATGGTTCATCAGATGAATGATTTATTGTAACTCTAAAAATAATGATACTTTCTCATGAAATTCGGTGAGATGATTCTTCAAATTTAAGCATTTGGTTCTGTTTGATTGATGAAGAAGTCTCTCCGACAGTACCATCCAACTACAACCTGTATAAGCATTCTTCAGTTTATTTTCTTCTTTATTTTGGTAACATGTTCCCATCAAGTGGGAATCTAATTCCCGCGTTAATTATATCTTTTCACGTTCTAAGCATTTTTTTTCAATCTGCTTTCCATTTTGAAACTTAGTAACGATCAAAAGGAGAAAAAAAAGAATTTTGGATTTCGTCACGTAAATTTCAGAGAAACTATATACAGCTCATTTTTTATTATATTTTAGTAAGATACAGCTCAACGTCAATTTTAGTTTGTCATAAACAGCAGAGAATTCTCCCACAAGGAAGCTCTGTTACTACCTTTCTCATTAAGCATCCGTGACTACCATATTCCCCAATTTATTAGATAAACTTTTCCAAGACATAAAAGTACTTTTTATTGAAATAAATAAAGGTGAAATACCCATTTCAAAGAAATGGTAACGTGTCTATTGCATTAGGCGAGACTAGCCAATCTAAGCAAACAAAGTTGTCTTTATATCTAAAGAACCATTTTGTGAGAAAGAAAGAGAGAGTAAGGTGAATCCATGGCGTCCAAGATTGTCTCAGCCATAGTCTTTGTGTTTAACCTCATTGCCTTTGGTTTAGCCGTTGCTGCTGAACAAAGACGAAGCACTGTGAGTCACATCTCCAAAACGATATCTAATTTGAGCAAGATGATGATTATGTGATCTATCTTAACGTTTTGGAGTTAAATATTTTTGGTGGGGCAGGCAAGGGTTGTGCAGGACACTGAGGTGCAATACAACTACTGTGTGTATGATTCAGACAGAGCCACAGGGTATGGAGTTGGAGCCTTTTTGTTCTCAGTGGTTGGTCAATTCGTTATCATGCTCGTTAGCCGATGCTTCTGCTGTGGAAAGCCTCTTAAGCCTGGCGGTTCACGCGCTCTTGCCCTTGTTCTCTTCATTGTTAGCTGGTAATATATATACTCTTTTGTTCATAATAACTTAATTAGTTCATCACATATATACCCCCTTGCTTAAGCTAGCTTAGACATAACTGGTTCTAGACTTCTAGTATGGCGATTTTTTTTAATTGGGTTCAAAGATGATTAAAATTTCACAATAGTGTGGTCTTAGTATATAGTATAAGAATTATCATCATTCCATCATGTAATAAAAAATCACAATAAAACTTATGATCAGCTTACAAATTTCTCTCCCTTTTTAAACCACATGTGTTTCTATATTTCAAATCTAACATGCGTATTCAATCTAAATTACCAAACCTCTTAATATGTTATAAGCCAAACGTGCTTACTGATCCAATTGTGATTTAATCTATCACTGAATTGATCAAATGCACAAATCTTTCACTCAGCAAGCAAAACAAACGAAATTGTGCTAATATTTTTACAATTTGATTGTTGTTTTTGTTGGCGAAAAAAGGATGTTCTTCTTGATAGCGGAGATATGTCTATTAGCTGGATCGGTAGAGAATGCATACCACACAAAGTACAGGACAATGTTCATGGACAATCCTCCTGATTGTCAAACTCTACGTAAGGGCGTCTTCGCTGCTGGTGCCTCATTCGTCTTCTTCAACGCCATTGTCTCTCAGTTCTACTATTTCTTCTATTCCTCTGCTGCCGAGGCCTCTCTTTCACCTTACTAGAGGTTCTTAACCAACAAATAAGTCCTTTTTTTTTTTCTTTTCTAAATGTCATATGCTAATATCATATTTTGGGGTGGTTTTTCTATGTATGACTGCAAAATTATTTGAAAATGATGGTACAACTATGAGTTTTGTAGATTGATTTGTTTGGTTACTGAGTTGAAATGTTGTTTTTTAAAAAGTGGATGTAATTTGACGATTTTGTGACATATGATATAATGCTCTTATTCATTGAATAAGGTTTGTGCTACTCTCGTGAATGCGTAAATTCAAATTCATATAATGCATACTTTTGACAGTGTAAAAATTGTATATTACTGGAAAAAAGTTATCCAAACATGAGAGCGTCCATAACAACTAGTAGCAACAGTAGCTCTATCTATCTCCCATGCCAAAAGGGTATGGAATCCCATCAACACCAATCAGCAATCACCATCCCTTATTGCAACTGTTCCATTTGTTAACCCAAAAATAATAGTTAAAATGACAATAAAATAAAATATCTATGGAGAAGGAAATCTAATCCACGAATTCTCATTGGGTATTCAATGATGACGTGGCAGATACTTTGTTCAAGATAATGCTATCCACACATCTTCGGTGACCTCTGTAGGGACCAATCTTCCTTTGTCCGAATATCAACTTCTCATCTCCTTCGCTAGTACATATACGCACACACTCTCTTTCGCAAAAATATCCACTACGATAGTTTTCTTCTTCAATCGCTTTTGCTCTCTCTCTCTCTTTGTTCGAGTACCAACAATGGCCCTTCAAGCTGCTTCTTTGGTCTCCTCTGCTTTCTCTGTTCGCAAAGATGCGAAGTTGAATGCTTCTTCATCGTCTTTCAAGGACTCTAGTCTATTTGGTGCCTCCATTGCAGAACAAATCAAATCCGAACATGGATCTTCCTCGTTAAGATTCAAGGTACAGAACAAATCTCCATTCCTACCATTACAATGTTGCAATAGTAATTGCGAATGATTAGTAATGGTTAATTGATTATGTAGAGAGAACATAGCTTAAGGAGTCTAGCAATTCGAGCCCAAACCGCTGCGACTTCAAGCCCTACGGTTACAAAATCCGTGGACGGCAAGAAAACGTTGAGGAAAGGAAATGTGGTGGTGACTGGAGCCTCGTCTGGATTAGGTCTAGCCACGGCTAAAGCTCTGGCCGAGACAGGGAAATGGCACGTGATAATGGCGTGCAGAGACTTCCTTAAAGCCGAGAGAGCCGCTAAATCTGCAGGGATGCCTAAAGACAGCTACACAGTGATGCATTTAGACTTAGCCTCGTTGGACAGCGTGAGACAGTTCGTTGATAACTTCAGGAGAACAGAGATGCCTCTCGATGTTTTGGTCTGCAATGCTGCGGTTTATTTTCCGACAGCTAAAGAGCCTACTTACAGTGCTGAAGGATTTGAGCTTAGCGTTGCGACGAATCATTTGGGACATTTTCTTCTCGCAAGGTTGTTGCTTGATGACTTGAAGAAATCTGATTACCCTTCAAAGCGTCTCATCATCGTCGGGTCCATTACCGGTATTGTCTAGAGTTAATCTGTATAGACCTACATTGCAATCTAGAGAATGATTTTGATCATTGTTATCTTTGTTTTGGTTTAGGGAACACAAATACATTGGCCGGTAATGTACCACCGAAGGCGAATCTCGGTGATTTGAGGGGTTTAGCCGGCGGATTAAACGGTTTAAACAGCTCAGCTATGATTGATGGAGGAGATTTCGACGGTGCAAAGGCTTACAAAGACAGTAAAGTCTGCAATATGTTGACGATGCAAGAGTTTCACAGGCGTTACCATGAAGAAACTGGAGTCACTTTCGCTTCGCTTTACCCCGGTTGCATCGCCTCCACGGGTTTATTCCGAGATCACATTCCGCTCTTCCGTGCCCTCTTCCCGCCCTTTCAGAAGTACATCACTAAAGGATATGTCTCCGAGACAGAGTCAGGCAAAAGACTTGCTCAGGTAATAAAAGATAAAGTTGTTTTGTAGCTTGTTAGCCAAGGAAATACATTTCTTGCGGTGTACTCAAGCCATAGCGTTTTGTTTGATCAGGTGGTGAGTGATCCGAGCTTGACGAAATCAGGGGTTTATTGGAGCTGGAACAATGCTTCAGCTTCTTTTGAGAACCAGTTATCAGAAGAAGCAAGTGACGTTGAGAAGGCGCGTAAAGTGTGGGAGATCAGTGAGAAGCTCGTGGGCTTGGCCTAATAAACTTGAAATCTGTTAATTTTATGAGACCTCTCCGTACCAATCGACGAAACCTAGTGAATTTTCGGGATTTTTAGATGTCTGATTCTGTTGCGAAGTTTTTTTTTCCTTAGCGTCTGTTGAGTGTAGATTGCTTGGCGAGAAGCCGACAATAAAGAAATAAAATTGGTGAATCTTTAGCTATATTTACTCTGTTCTTCATCGAAAGTCGAAACAGATCAGTTATATACTCTGTTTTTTTCGTCTTACACTATAATTTGTTTGCAAAACCGATATTATCAACTTCTCTATAACAAATTTCGTTTTTGAAAGAGTGTAAGAAGAATGCTAAACTTCATGAAGTTATAATTCAAAACCATGTTTCTTCCTATAAGTCATCTCCACCGACAATAAACCCTAATTAAACCACCTTATTTAGATCAACAAATTAGGTTTTGATACCAATGTAAGTTTGATAAGCTTCCAACTTAAAATCAATGCGCAATGAGTGTAAGAACTTTGAAAGCTAATTCACAGTTTTATTCATGGCAAACTTAGGAACAGTCCATAACTAAGATAAAGCGGAGAAGAACAACAAGTGCGAAAAAGAAACCAATTTGAAAGTGTCAAGGATTCAGAGAGACCAATTGGCTTCACTTCCTCGACGAGGGATACTGTTAACACGATTGTATACATCCACCTTGAAGTTGGCACCGCATAAAACTCCCTCACTGTCCACTCTCGGCATCGCCTTGATCTTATTCATCGGATGCTCAAAGCTCATTAACCCTCCTTCGCTATGGAACATACACCCTGCCAAAATTTATCAAACACTTTCACTAATTACATATATCATTACATCAAGTCCCAAGTCTTTGTTAAAGCATATGAAGATTTCAATATCACCTGTAGGAAATGGAGCAAAAGATTTAGCACAACCCTCTTTAATAACATCCAAATCATCTGATATAACAACAGATCCATCAGCAGCTATGCCCCAGTATAGCTTCACCCCTCCATCAGATCCCTACAAAAAATCCATCAAATTGTACTTATCACATCTTTAAACATTGAAATTGAGTTTCATGATCAGGCTTGTCCTGATTAGTGAGTAGTACCAGAGCCGTGAAGACAGAACCGGCTTTGCTATCATAAACCACAAAGGAAAAGCTGCCGTCTAAGTCTTTGACGACCTGATCAGCTGGATAAGGACCTCTGTCTCTAAGAGTCCTATAAGCTTCGATCACAAACATGGCCTCGTTTGTTGTCTTGGTTAGACCATATTGTTTGTTTAGCTGACACAGATTGTTCAAGCTCCCAAAGAACAGACAGTAGATGTCATCAAATCCACAAAACAACCTGACAAGAACTGAAGATCAATGGAGCAGAACCTTAAAACAGAAGAGAAGCAAGATTATGTCTGTTAGTTACCTCTGGTGGATGGAGAAGGAAGCAGAGGGACGAACGTAAGCAAGAACAGCTGCTTGTCCGAAAGACATGGAGAAAGTGTTGAGAGGGTAACGTAGCAAGAAATCGTTTAGGGTTTCTTCTGGAAGTTTAGGTTGTTTAGAGCATTTCTCAGATGCCGGACTGTTGAGTTCCTCCGGCGGATGAGCAAACGCCTCGTGAAATATAGCCAACATTTCTCTCACCAAAAAATTAAAATCCAAAATCTAGAAAGAAGAGTTTTGTTTCTCTGTAATAGAATCTTTGAAAGGACGAATGAAGAAAGTGGTAAGGTTTCTTGAGTAGTATATAGTATATTTGAAGCGGTGCGCTGTTTGTTTTAGTCCGTTGTCTGTTTTATCTTCTTTTCCTGTGGGAAGGAAAAACGTTTTGGATGCGATCATGAGACTATTCCTTCCTTCTATATTAGACTATAGTATTATTAAATTATTCCAAATCGTCTATATTTTAGTCATCAACTCAATTGATGTGTTTTAAAATTGTAAGATAAATAGAAATTCTAGATTTGGATAAAGATGATAGGAGCTAAACCTATAAATGTAAGTTTAAATTTTGTAAAACAAACAGAGTAGTATCATAAAAAGAAAAACAGAGTAGTATCATAAAATGAAAATAATATAGATGGATTTTTTTTTCTTTGTAATATTCTCTGGTGTTTCATATGTTTTTTAAATCCAATGTTTTGTTTTTCAGTTCAATGTTTTTTATTTAAAAATGTGTTGGATATTTTTGATACATAAGGTTTTTGGATGTGGAATCTCTGCATATTATTTAAGGGGGAAGAGTGGGGATTGGTGGGGCCATGAAAGAGAGATGTCAGTGTCACGGGATAAGCATTCTCGTACTTTTATGTGTTCTTATCTTCCCACTCTTTCTTTTCTGCATTTTTTTCCGGATAAATTCATTTTATCCATTTCATCATCATTGATTTGATTGGTAACTTTTTGTGCCATGTTCATATAACATATTTAGGCCATACAATTGTACTTAAAAGTTTGACTTAGCTACCTAATTTAAATTTTTACATTGTCATATAGCTAATTAACTCTACATGAAACACTTTTCATATGAGAACCAGCTAATTAACTCTACATGAAACTTTTCATATGAGAACCTTTAGTACACTGTACATCTAATATTTTATTTTCTATATTTAATTTTTGGAGAGAAAATTTACCTGTGATGTGATTCCCGATACATGGATTGTTTCGTAGGACTGAACAGTATTGCAGTATATTGCTTCATCCTCATCGAGTTTCCCATGACAGCACCATGATCGGCCCAATAACGATATAATAATATCCATAACATGCCATTTCATTTTTGGGCCTAATGGACCTATTAATCTTATTTATTAAATTGATTCCATTTTTTTTTAATTTCAAAAAAATATTTTACTAGTTGAGCTATTCGACTTTGTTCTAGAATAGTACTAAATTACTAATGCAGATCGTGTGTGTGTATAGTCATCAAATTTATGTGACATAAAATATTGGAAAAAGAAAAAAATGTACACCAATATCCAAATTTTCTTGAAATAGTTTACTAATCTCCAGTGGTAAAAAAAGATTTTTTAAGAGCATTTAAAAAGTTTTTTAAAAGCATTTCTATTGGAAATATCTAATTTAGATACTGCCTAAATTAACAATTTTTTTATTAAAAAAAAAAAGGAAAAGTACGAAACACGAGGTGAGAAAGGTCCTTTTTTAAAAAAAATCCATAAGCTCTTTAGAGATTCTCATGATACATACTTAATTACATTGCATAAAAATTGTCTTACGTTGGACATCACCGGACATGGATGAAGGTTTTGAATCCAATTGACCATATAATAATGCAACATAAGTCACACCCAATATCATCTAATGCAAATTTACAACTAGCTAAATAATTACGAAAGATAAGCACGTCCGACACTCTCACCGCTCTTTGTTTTTTTTCATGTCTCATCTCTTTTAAAGTTCCTGAACTACTAACCTTAAAATATACCTTATAGTCTCTGTAAATGAAAATCAAGGTCTGCTTATCTGTTGCACGTTCCATATAAGGACAACCACAGATCACGTTGCTTCGTCAGCGACTGTACAAAAAGCTGGAGGCCTGTCACATTCGTTCGCCTACTTTCGTTGAATCTAATATTGTTCACGTCAACGCTGATTCATATATCATTTCGTTTAGATGCCATGTTCACTTTTATCACTTAGGCTTTGAATGGTTGTCTAGTATGCTGCAGACCGGACTAAAATCGGACTAGTATGCACTATTGCAGACTAAAAATCTCCATACTAGTATGCACTTGAACATACCACTCCATACCATCATAAATTCACTGTTAGTCCGCATTTTTTCTGTCCACTCCTCAAAAGCTCCATACCATCATAAACTCCATACCAACACACAATTGTCTGCTCCATACTACAGTCTGATGTTTTGCATACTAAAATATTGGTATGCAGTGTCTAGTACGCATCATATGGACTAACCATTAAAAAAAAAAAAAAATCAGATTAACAAAGTATATAGTTTTGTAGACTATGCTATAGCCTATATATATGTGAATAATATATGTATATATATATGATTGATGCTTCATTTGATTAATTTTTTGTTTAAATTTCCACCATTTTATAACCAAATTGATGGTAGATTAGTAGTTACATATGCACATACTACAATATGTATATGGCCAACGAAAGACTTGAGAGAGTGTCCATTAGTATATTGTTTAATTGAACATGATTAGTCGGTCCGAATAACTTAATAAAAGCATTATACAAAAAACAAAGGCTTGGAAACATAAAGCTAACATGCAAGGTCTCAAAGCTAAAAAACATTGATGGACAATTTGTTATTTAGTGAAAACGTACAATTATCAGTGAATATTAACTACTATATACGTACGGTTCCGAGTGTCTTAGATTAATATTCTTTACGCAAAAAAGATACTCGCTCTACCAGTGACGTCACTGTATAATAAGTCACACTGGTCAGATTTGTTGCTGTATCATCTTCATCGATGTTCCCTGGACTATATCTACACCTGGACATTCAGGCATCGGAATCGGGTACAGATCATTCGAATAGAGGAGTTTAGGACCAATCGAATTTCCAATTTAAAACCAATTAAAATCTTATATTACTGTAAATCTCATGTCTCGTCCAATGTGGAATTTTAAAGTTTAAAGATAAAACAATCATGTCAGTTCGTGTAACATAGAGAGCTAAGAGAGGGATCACATATTCTGTGTAGCATATAGCAGTAAAAAATGTTGCATGCATAATGTACACAAATCAGGTTCACATGATCACTTACGTTCATGGAATCGAATAATTTACAGAGAAAACACAACACATTGCGAAAACAAGACGAGAAAACATATTTTTGTATTCAAGTGAGTTCTTAGAAAACACTTGGCCAGACAGAGAAAAAAAGAAAGAGAAAACAGTCAAACACTTGGCCAAGTTGTTACATTACGTGCAAGTACGACTTGTTTATATTTGTAAGAACTGGAAAGCGTATCTTTAATGGGGCGTTTTAGTTAGGGTCGAAATATGAAAACACTACCTATGAAAAAAAGAAAGAATCTTTCTTCACATGTTTACCCAAAAAAAAAAAAAAGCATCAGGGTCAAGTTAGTTTTTTAATCTGAAAAATATATTGTTAAGAAATTGTTTGTTAGAAATAAATATTATAAGGAAAATAGACTTGGTATTTAAACAGAAATTAAAAGTTATTTAATCAACACAAGTGAGAAAAAGTGTTTGATGGAAGATATGATGCAGACCAGGTGCCATTGCCAGCTTGTTGCACTGTTGGACTTGAAGTAACTGAATAAGTAGATAACTGAAACGTGTCCTATAATTGTCATTAGGGGTCACACCACAAAAAAGGTATTTGTTACTAGGAAGGTCACAATTTCCCTCGCAAAAGTTGGAAATATAAAAATTGAAAAACTTTGGTCATATCTAATCCTAATCTTTATCTTTGGTTTGGTTTTATACGATCACCCCGAAGAAACATCATATAAACCTTTCCCATATCATACCTATAAAGAACATGATTTTAACTATTTTTCAGTTGTTTCTTCTAGTGGGTTCATCGAACTCATCATCAATTGTCGTCATCTGTTTCCATTGCATTGTGCTCTTGCTTACTTGAATCTATATATAACAATAGAGAACTTTTTAGTTTTACCCTTTCTTTTACCGTTGTTTGAGTTCACCAACAACACTTGAAAGTATAACTTGTTCTACTTGGTTTTATAAGTAGTGTATGTGAGATCTTTTTTTCCCCTTAAAGTTTCTCATTGTATTTGTGTCTAGAGTTGCTTATATAAAGTGTAATTTTTATTTTTATTTTGGCTCGATATACTTGTCTTTTAAAAACCAACTTAATTTTTCTTATTTTTTTAATAAAAAAGGTATGATATGCATTATCGGAGGATCCTAAACTTGTCTATAATAAGATCTCACGAGACGGTCTCTGACTCTGATTACATCGTACAACCCATCTCTTTATCTCTCTCTCTCTGTTCATCATCACACTTTCTAGAGACTGCTTCTTCTTCTCTTTCCTTGAATTTGATGGCACTGTCTCTTCTCTCCTACGATGTCTCCGACCTCTGTCTCGGCAAGCCTCCTCTCCGTTGTCTCTCCGCATCTTCCTCCTCCGTATCCGACGCCATCGCTGCCCTCAAATCCTCTGAAGACAATTTCCTCTCCGTCTGGAACTGCAATCACAACGATGACGTTATCACAGAATGCAAGTGCTTGGGGAAAATATCAATGGCTGACGTCATCTGCCACTTGTCTAAAGACCATGACCACACTCTCTCTGCCTTAAACGCATCCGTCTCTGTTCTTCTACCCAAAACTCGTTCCATTGTCCTCCATGTTCAACCTTCGTGCAGGTTTTATATTCGTTCAATCTCTCTCTCTGTTTTGATTTCTAAAATCCAGTCAGGGTTTACATAAAAATTCCACCTTTATTTTGTTATTCCTCTGTTTACGTGCTCTGTTTTTCCTAATCAGCTTAATCAAAGCCATTGATCTGATAATCCAAGGAGCACAGAATCTGATTGTCCCAATACAGACAAAGCCCTTCACTAAGAAAAGGCAGCACAACGACAACGTGTCGGTCACCACCACCACCCACTCGAACGGACGACGATTCTGCTGGATCACACAAGAAGACATCATTCAGTTTCTCCTCGGATCCATCGCCGCATTCTCTCCTTTGCCGGCGATGTCACTCTCTGATCTCGGTATCATCAACAGCACACACACAATCCTCGCGGTCGATTACCACTCCTCCGCCTCCGCAGTTGTCTCCGCCATATCCAACGCTCTCGCCTGCCAAACTTCTGTCGCAGTGGTCGACGGTGAGGGAGATGATGACCCTTTTACGTCTTTGATCGGAGAAATATCCCCAATGACACTAACTTGCTGCGACGAGACAGCATCTGCGGCGGTGGCGATGCTCTCTGCAGGAGAACTGATGGCGTACATAGACGGAGCAAATCCGCCGGAGAGTCTTGTCCAGATCGTTAGGAACCGTTTGGAGGATAAAGGATTGATGGGTTTGCTCTCGGTTTTCGATTCTCTCTCACCTTATTCGACGTCGTCGGGTTACTCGTCGGAGGAAGAAGCTCCAGTGAGGACGTCGTCGACGTATGGGAGGTCGATGAGTAGCTCAGCAAGAATGGCGAGGAAGTCGGAGGCCATAGTGTGTAACCCGAAGAGCTCGTTAATGGCGGTGATGATCCAAGCGGTTGCTCATCGAGTGAACTACGCGTGGGTGGTTGAAAAGGACGGTTGTTTCGTTGGCATGGTTACTTTTGTTGATATCTTAAAAGTTTTTAGGAATTTTTTGGAGAATAATGACATGTGAAAAGTTTTATGTTTTTCTTCTGTTGTGTTTTGTCGATTACTAAAGCAAATGTGTATTTAGGGGTTTTTTTTTTGTGGATGAGCCGGGTGGAGTTTGTGATTAACTAAAACTGAATCAAACGTTTTTGGTTTGTTTAATTTAATAGCAATCACTTTGATTTACGATTCTTTATGTCAACAAATAATTCATTTTTATGTTTATTTCTTATACCATGATGAGGATATAGTGTAATGTGTATCTCGGTGGTCCTTGCGACCAATGTGTATGATTTTGAAAATACTTCTACAACAGAGAGAACTCAACGAGGTTTAGGAAACATGTATCTTTCTGAACATTGGTATTAATGTCCCTCTGTCTTTGGAGGTTAAAACATAGATGATAGATGGAATAATGTATTTGATTGAATTTCTTACAGCTTATACATGTAACGCATAACAATCAGCTTTTCCCACAAATTCAGATTTAAAGTTTTTACTTTTGCAAACACAAAAGGGCACAAAGAAAGAAAGTAAAGGGTTAAATTAAATCTCATAATGAAATCTAATTTTAACTGTGTATTAGATTTATCCACCGAGTAAATTTTAATCCCGACATTAGTGGATGGTAAGATATTAAGATAGAGCATTATCCAATTAAAAAAAAAAACGTCCCCACCGTCGTTGTCTAAAAATATCTCAAAATGATTATATTTAAGATAATAATTGGTAGAGACGAAGACGAAGCAACATCACCGTCGTTTGTCTTTAAAACCTTTTGCGATTACCATCATCGCACGTTGAATATACGTCGACTTTAACATCTTCCAATCTCTGAAAGCCCTCCTCCTCTCTATTCGCCATTTTGAGCTTCATCATCATTGTCTCGTCGCCGGTAGGTTCTTCTTCATCTGTCTCTTGGATTGGATTCTCATTGAGTAATTGTTCTTGGTTCATGTCAACGAATATTTTAGGGTTCCGCCAATTTTTCGATTCATCTGTTAGTCTTTTGGGTTTGAATTTGGAATTTCTAGTTTCTCCCGTATTGATTTTGCTTTCAATTTTGACAATTATGCTGATCTTGATTGTTTTCTTATAGCTGGGTTTTGCAAATGGGATTCTCGCAGTCTCTTTGAATTGCTTAAGATTTGACCTTTAGAGGCACAAGTCAAATCAAAGGGATTTTTTTTTTTTTTGGGTAGAAAGATCTTGAGAAATGAGAATCTCTCTTTTTTCGTCTATTGAGTATGTTTGTATCGTGAACAGGATCTTACCTCTCATGGAAAGGAACTTCTTTATCAGGTCTGATGCTCAACGAGCACATGACAATGGCTTCATAGTCAAACAAAAACCTAATCTCATCACGGCTCCAACGGGAGGTCAAGCTAATGAAAGTGGCTGTTTTGATTGCAACATTTGTCTAGATACAGCCCATGATCCGGTTGTCACTCTCTGCGGGCACCTTTTCTGCTGGCCTTGCATTTACAAGTGGTTACATGTTCAGTTATCTTCTATCTCCATTGATCAGCACCAGAACAACTGCCCTGTTTGTAAATCCAACATTACTATCACCTCTTTGGTTCCTCTCTATGGAAGAGGCATGTCTTCGCTTTCTTCCACGTTTGGCTCCAAAAGACAAGACGCACAGTCTACGGACATACCTCGCAGACCAGGTCCCTCAACCTTAAACAATCCAATCACCTTGGCATCATCTCTGAACCCAAGCTTGCAACATCAAACTCTGTCTCCATCATTTCCTAATCATCAGTATTCCCCTCGTGGCTTCACCACGACCGAATCAACCGACCTTGCCAATGCTGTAATGATGAGTTTCCTCTACCCGGTGATTGGAATGTTTGGGGACATGGTCTACACAAGGATATTTGGGACCTTCACAAACACTATAGCTCAGCCGTACCAAAGTCAGAGGATGATGCAACGCGAGAAGTCTCTTAATCGGGTATCCATATTCTTCCTTTGTTGCATCATCCTTTGTCTCCTTCTCTTCTAGCTCTCTCTCTCTCCTTGTATAGTTCGTGATGTAAATAGGCTGTAAAACTCGAAGTCACTGTGGTATAACCACTACTGCAGACACCATTGTTCCGAGTTAGGTCTCAAATTGCAGGCCAATATCTTGTTGTGTATTACATAGATATCGATAAATGTGCTTGTATCTATTCTTCATGAACCATGACTATGTTGGAGAAGCGTATGAACACTTTATCATTTATTTTATGTACATGTTGTTGAGTTGTCGGGCTTATATCAGATAATTTTTTTTCTCTTAGTCCTTCTAACAATAGATGTCGCCGAGTTTTGCGACGAAGAGGTAGAAACGCTAGAGCTAAAGATGAAGTGAATTGGATTATTATTCTGGCTAAGAAAATAGTGAAAATTTTCCACAATGTTTGTCAGTTTGCAGAAAGAATTAAACGGACTAATTGGACATGGAACATCTAAAGCGCATATGAAGCCTATCTACATTGCCTTTGAGTCAGTTTAGATGTCAAAACAAGTCTGCTAACAAGCACACGAAGCCTGTTAGCTCCAGGACCGGGCTTGATCTTTGATGGATCACCAACCCTCGAGCATTTTGGTTCCCCTGCACACCAACCACCAGGCGTAAAGTTTCCGTTACCTCTACCGAGCAGCTCTTTATCGATCTTATCCAAGGCAGGATCATTGTGTCTGAACTTGCGCGCGAACGCACTTCCACTTGTAATCATCCTCTCTGTATCGTTGATGTTGAGCGTCCGAGGATGCTGTTTAGGAGGGCGGTCCCAAGATATGAAATGCAGGTCGTGGTTCAGCACCGTGGAAGAGTACTCTGGAGCGTTGCAGATGACAGTATGGAAATATCCTTCCGGTGTAGAGAGGAAATTGGTGTAATACATTAGAAGAGTCCGTGGAAGATTGTCCCATCCCCAAATGCAATACTCTACGAACGACCGAGATAAGACCATCCAAGCGGAACCTGTAGTTTCATAAATTAGTCACCAATTTTTTCATAATCATTACTCACTAATTACTGAATTACCTGTAAATAGTTTGAATGCAGTTGGCATGGTTCTGCGAGGTGTAACCCAGAAGACATCTGACTTTTTTGTAGAGTAAAGCCCCGGGTCTATGATCAGAGGCTTTGCTCGTTTATCTCTGCGAAAAAACCGCATTTGGATTAAAATAGAAGTAAACATATCTCAAATGTACATCTATACAGAGAAGCAATCATTACTCTTTCCAGCCTAGTTTGCTACTGTGGTCGATAAAGTTGAGGTTCCGGTCAAGTCCCGAGAATGTATCAATCAGATCTGCAAGAAAAGAGTATTGATTATCCGGGCAGAGATTATTTGAAACGAAAGAGAGACTAGAAACATAACTATATTACCATCTTGAGTGACTAGAGGATAATCCGAGGCACTGAGATTGATGAACCAATCCCATTCTTTACTCTGCTTCAAGAGAATAGCGCAAGCGTGGAGCGTGTTAGCCACCATTGTGGGTCCTCGATACGTAACGAGGTTAGCCTTTGTGATCATGTGAACATTCCCAACATCGCTAAAAACGGGATCTTCACTCACACGTTTAGCCAGCTCGAGCCTTTCTTCAGCAGGAGACTCAAGATCAAGATGAACAACGTATTGATTCCTCGGATGGTACAATGTTCTCAACACTCTCCATAGACTCTCTAAGTCGCCTCTTGACCCTGAAACTAAATAACCAAAACGAGGAGGACTAGGCTGTACTGGAGGAGTATGAGAAGACTGATTGATCTTTGACTCTGCGAATTCAGCTCGTGTAACGTTTGTGGTCGATAGATTGTAGGAGAAGATGAGTGAGTTAATAGAACGGACAGAAGAGAGGAGACCCATGTTGAAGGATGCAGCTATAAGGAATATGAACATGAGAGAAGCCATTGCTAGAGGGAAAATCCATCTCTTCTCTGAGTTCGAGGACGCCATTAAAGAACCTTCTCATAAGACCAATCTCATAAACGAATGTTATGTTAACAAAAGAAGCCAAAACTTTGATCTTGTACATGCATCAGAGAAGCAAGATCTTCACAAATCGAGGTTGCGCCTAACCTACGCCACAGTTGACACACTATCAGAGATCTATACATGTATTGATGATCATTAAATTCAACGACCAAACAAAGTTTTTTTTCTCACGTTTATGAAAACCAACCTAAATTTGATCATTTATTCCGATCATGCAAAAGTAAAATAAAAATTGATACAAGTCGAATAATTGAAGAGGAAGAAAAACAGAGGATTTGATGATACGTCGTGATCACAAAGTATGAGCCGATCTTACAATAATAAAAGAGATCGAAAAGACAAATCTAGAGCTGTCTAAGGATAATGAAACCTACTTACTTACATAGAAATCAAATAACGTAAAAATATGATTAGCATGCATGTGCATAACAAAAAAAAGAAACCTGGTTCTTAAGTTTCATGGATATGACGCGAGAATGTTTAAAGATCCGGGCAGTTCTTAACACTATCCACGAGGTTGTCTTTGTCTGAAACGAAGATTTGTTAATTAAAATGTCGGATTACCTTCTTTTATTTTTTTTTCTATAGAAAATAGATAATGAAAGAAAGAAAGAAATCTGAGAGTTATGATGGTACTGGGCTTCGGTTTTCCACAGAGAGATGTTTTCGTTTTAACTCACTTCCCAGAAACGTTGCGTTCTCCTTTGACTTTTTATTGTGAGTCTTTGAGTTTTTGATTTGTTGTTAAGTCTCGCTTATTAAATTGCATTAATTTCAATTTACCGGCTAAGCGGCTAAAAAAACATAGGAGTAGTTATTAATTATGGGAGGATGCTATAAGAAAAATTAGCTTCTGGTGGACAAAACGTGATATGGACCGACGACGTCAATGATAACAACATTTCGAATAAAATGAAAATGGAGGAAAGTGGCCAAGTAATGCGAAAAATGTCAAACGTGCAATCCATCGTATGATCAGTGCCGGCTCAACAATTTCATGGGCCCTAGGGCAAAAAAATTTTTTTGGACAAAAGAGTTTTTTTTTAAATGTTTTTTTACTAAAAAAGATTTTTATATACTATTTTTATTTAAAATATTAACTATTAATACTAAAAACAATAAATAAAATATATTATGGGCTCTTCTAAATTTTATTTTTATGTTGTAATCTAATTTTTAATACTTTTGTAAAAAAATATTTTTAAAAATGGGCCCCTTAATTATTAGAACACGGGATTGGACCCCTAGCCGTCGCACTGCCCGCCCTCCTATCTGAGCCGGCACTGCGTATGATCAACTGACTATCAATCGGGGCATTATTTGGAGAATGAAATCAATAATGTTTTTAAGAGGTGGCATTATGATGATTTATCTTAATGGGTTATGTATCCTCATTTTTTATATGAATCTCATTTCAATCCTTGGGTTATACTTAATTTGTATTAGTTAATATATGTATATATTTTTTCTTAATGTTATCAGATTTATTATTATTTTTATTGTTCACAATGAATATTTTTAAAGGAGTAATTTAGTGGAATATATATTTTTCTATATCCCATTCACCTAAATTCCATTATTGTTGCTATTCCATTATTTGTCAAACATTTAGAGCTATAGTATTTATATTTGATATCAATACTCTATTTTTATTTAATTTCTACATTTTTATACTGTTAAGATTTATACCAAATAATTTAAAAATGATTACAACATAATCTAGCCATTAGAATTAGCAAAATAATTGATCCCAAAATAATCAACAAAATTCACAATTTCTCATACTTCAAGATTGGAGCCAAAAGTCGAGTCCATAGGCCATAGAAAACATATATTGAATACATACAACAATTGGTTTGCTTCCTGGTCATCAAAAGAAAACCAACACAAAAGAAGCTGAGTGACCATATAGTAAAAATCTGCTAGTAAATTAAAAATACGTTTATTACACTAAATAAATTACCCTATATTTACTTAACTATACAATTTCCCCTTTTTTTTTTTGCTAAACCCTAAAAATCTTAAACGGCGTTTATCCTTCTTCCACTCTCTCCGCCGCGTTCTTTGTCTCTCAAACCCTCAGGTAACGATTCTTCTTATACACCAATTACTGCTTCTTCCGCATCCTATCCAGAATTTGAACTGAGATTCACCCATTGATTTCTCCACTCCTCTTCAGCACTCAGAATTCGCTTTTGTTCAGTCTCAGCACAAACAATGGCAGCAAAACCTGGAGCCGCAACTCCAACGTATTCACCAAAACTCGTCGGAAGAACACGGCTTCCTATTTTCAAAGATTCCGACCTCGATTGGTCCCGTCCTGATGGCCGTGGCTTCCACCAATGCCGACCTGCCTGTAAAGAACCCCTTGATCCCTTTCTATTCTTAATCATTAGCGTTCTTCATTGTGAAAAAACGATTCGAGTCATATGAATATAGTTCTTTGTGAGATTAGCTAAACTTCAATTTTGTTTCGTTTGTGAAAAAATGGTTTTTTTTTGTCAGTACTTCAAACAGGTGCCGTGAGTTCTGCTTCTGGTTCTGCTTATGCTGAGTTTGGGAACACTAAAGTCATTGTTTCAGTGTGAGTATCATATATTCAGGATTTGCATTAACTTTTCTGTCAGCTAATTTTACTATGTGTGTTGAAAAATGTAGATTTGGGCCAAGGGAGAGTAAGAAAGCAATGGTTTTTAGTGATGTTGGTAGATTGAATTGCAATGTTAGCTATACGACTTTTGCGTCCCCTACTATTGGTCAGGTAACTCCCAAATTCCTCAAATTCTTACTTTTTTTTTTTGGTTTCATCGAATTTAGTTATACATTGTGGCGTTTTAGGGAACTGATCACAAAGAGTATTCATCAATGCTTCACAAAGCATTGGAAGGCGTAATAATGATGGAGACATTTCCAAAAACAACCGTTGATGTTTTTGCATTGGTGCTTGAATCTGGAGGAAGTAAGTCTCATGATTCTCTATATTCTTTTAGTCTTGACAATAACTAAACTGCTATCAAAATTCTATTACCAGAATATGATAGCCTTGTGGGAGCATAGATGCTTATTGGTTCTCTTGGACATTGGGTGTTTGTGGAGTTGATTATGGAAGCAACTTATTACTAATGTTGTTTTGGCATTTTCTGATTTTCTCCAGTGGTATTGTATTGCAGGTGACCTCTCTGTTGTGATATCTTGTGCTAGTCTTGCTTTAGCTGATGCCGGAATTATGATGTATGACCTTATCACAGCTGTTTCAGTGGTATGTGCATGTTACAACAGTATTCCTCTGCGTTATCTTTTAAGTTTATTAGCATTGGAGAAGAAAGTTAACATATACATTGACATAAACAAGAGCGCCATAGTTGAGATGTAAAACCTATAGATGTCTCCTAATTCTATATTTTGAAACACTGACGGAGAAATTATGCCTGCAATTTTCAAAGTCTTGCATAGGCAAAAACCTTATGATTGACCCGGTTACAGAAGAGGAAGGATGTGAAGATGGAAGCTTTATGATGACATGCATGCCATCTCGTTATGAAATCACTCAGCTAACCGTCACTGGTGAATGGACAACACCTAATATCAACGAGGTATGCCTTTCTACTTGTCCTTAATTTGCGGACGACGGTTAGAGACAGAGGTCTTTCCTTTCTCACTGTTGAATATTGATGTTATTCAACTGCTTTGTTTGTCTAAATCACATGGATATTGGTTCATTAGACTGTTCATACCATAGGGTCTATGGGGTTAACATGTTGGCGCTTAATTATGAAACTAATGGTGTCATAGGAGCTGTGTAGACATGTTACCAAACATTTTTTTTTTTCCAAATATTGCAGGCAATGCAGCTTTGCTTGGATGCTTGTTCTAAACTTGGAGAGATCATGCGGGATTGTCTGAAACAGGCTGCCTCAGCTTCCGAAGAATGAACATAAATCAAGAAACTATGATTTTGGATTGTAGCTGAGACTTGGTATGAAACCGATTTAGCTGTTATAGGTAAATGGTTTTTTAGTCTAAAGCTGGGTGGTGTAGTTGAAACCGATGTATTTTTTCACATAAGATTTGATGGAACTAGATCTTTAGTTATGAAATGAATCCCTATTGAGGGTGGTATCAAAGACTTCTGCGTCCCATGATATTCCTCAACATTTACAGAATTTCAAGAACTTCAACAAATCAATCATTGTTCTTTACAATTTTCAAAAGTTGTGGAAATTGAAGTCTCTCTTCCACGGATTAAAATCAGATTTTTCTAATTTTATACGAAAATGCAATGATATTAAGAATAGTACACAGAAAAGAGAAAACTGAAGAAAAGCGTAACTGACATTTGCATCTTAAAAAGAAAAAGTCTTCTCTGGTTCACATCACAAGTGTGGGGGCGGTGATGAAGGAGGGTATTTAGGTAATTTCAGCTGACGTCGGAACTTCAACTGATCATGTACGTACGATGCGAAGAAGAAGAATCTAATCCGCATGACATGTGAGTACTTTGGTAAGAGAGAGAAGAGAAGACGTGTGTCGCTACAAAGTGGACAGTTGTACCCTCGGAGCCAAAGAAGACTTCCCACGTTTTCAACACCACCTAACAACTGTTTCTTTCTATCCCCACCTCTTTCCCATTTTTGTCTCTTTTTTTTTTACTTCTCCCAGTTGTCTCTATGATTTTTTGTTTGTTCTTGTCTTCTTGTTAAGATTAATGATACATTTTAACTAAAAAAATCGCCACAACAATATTACTAGTATAGTAGTAAATATTAATATCAAGACCTTTCAAGTACATTCTTGAATTTCTCGCAATGACATGAAAAAACATGATAATTTGTGGGAACATGAATGATAAAAAGGTTACTTAGTAAATGCTTCTATCTAACATTTTAGCTAGATTGTTGTACTGATTAATTTCTATCTAACATTTTATCCGCTGTAATCATTATATTCCGATTATATTGAACACATTCTTTTCTTTTCTCTCAAAATTTTTATTAACTTTATACAATCTCTAAAACCGCAAGGCCCGTGTCCATTCTCCATGAGTGTAAGTGTGGTCATATGATGAAAATTGAGGCGATTGTTGGAAAAGCTTTTTCTCTCTCTCCTAAAGCGACTATTTAGGCGATTGGCCATTTCTAACCTAATCGCCGCCGTCGGCTGGCCTCACGCCGGCAGGCGAGAATTGTGACCGATGACGAAGAAGAAAAGGAAGCCCCCTCACCTTCTCGGGGGTTCTGCAAAGTTCAATCGCGTTTTAGCTTGCTCCGCTGCTCCGGGTCCTCCTTCTCAGAAGATTTGTGACTCCGCCGCCGAGCCGTCTCGTATTTCATGCCCGGCTCTGGTAAATGCCTCTCCTCCGGTTGAGCTAAAGGGATTGACTCCCTTGCTCTCGGACGGAGCGGTCGTCTCGTCACCGTTGCCGATTGTTGACATTCCTCTCTCTTCCGCCGTTCCAGTTGAGGCTATGGGTTCCCCTAATTTGCTTCCTGCGGCTAAGATCATTTCCTCGCCAGTTGAGATCCCAGTGTTTGAGAGCTCCTCCGCTGTGGAACCAACTGTTACTCTTGATAGGTCACCTCCGACTGGAGCTTTACTAATCAAAAACTCCTCGCAGGACGCGGTCGTTGTCCCCGTTCCTCCGTCAAAAACGGATCTTCCTTGGGCGTCAAAGTTTAAAGCTTCTCTCCGGAATCTGAAACAGATGTCGCCGCCATCCTTTCTCGAAGATGGTACGCCGGTAGTGGTTGCTCCACCATCTGTGCTGTTAAAGACCGCAGAAATGTGGAAAGGACATCTAGTGGCTCAATTCCATGGTCTCAGCCCTCCTCCCTCGAAGATTTTCAACGATTTGAATCCAATTTGGGGAAGATATGGAAACATCACTGTGAGGCCTATCTCTGAAACAGCAGTACTGATTTTCATTCCCTCCCCTGCAACTCGTCAATGGGTGGTTGACATTGGCTTCTGGCAAGCAGGAAACTGTTCTTGCACAGTTTATGCTTGGTCTCCAGAAGGACCTCTTGAGTTAGAAGAACTCCAAACTGCCCCGACGTGGGCTATATTAAGGAATATTCCGCCTCAGCTCTACTCGTTGGAAGGTATAAGTGTTATTGCCAGTGGGATCGGTGAACCCCTCCACACGGAGAAGTCGAGGTTGGATCCTATCAATATTGGTGTCACAAAGGTTAAAGTGGTGATAAAGCTCGACTCTCCTCTTCCCTCCACAGTGGTTGTCAGAGATGTCCAAGGGAACTCGGCTCGTGTTGCAGTTGAGTATCCGCGACCCCCGCCAAAATGTCTCAACTGTGGAAGATATGGGCATCTTCTTGGTCGCTGCCCAAAGCCCTTGATGAGGAAGTTACCCTTCAAGAAAGATATGCCTTCAGGGTCAAAGGAGGTATTACATCCTTCTTTAATATTGCCCGAGGGTTCAGACATTATTGATAGCTCCAAGTCCCTAAGGAGGACTGCAATGGAGGTCCCTTCTACAAAGACTAAAAGAAGGAGATCTAGATCAAAGAAAAGGTCTACAAGCACTCCTCCTAAGATTTATGAGCCTCAGGTTGTTGGAAGTAATTTAAGTAAACCTGAGTCTTCGGGAGTGGCTGGTAAAAGATGGGTGATGAAATCTCCTGTGAATCATGGAGGTCAGACCTTGACCATATCCGCCGGTCTTCATCCTCCCTCTTCTCTTTCCCAGCCTTCTCAGCAGACTCCTTTACCGATTCAGAAGCCAATTATTATTGAGCCTGAGGTCCCTTCCTCATCCAAGGCTGAACCTACTAATCAGAGTTTCCCTATTCCTCCTGGATGGGGAGCAATGTCTAAGAAGGTGAGGAAAAAACTTCAGAAGATATGGTTCAACCAAAATAGATCTTCAGCAAATCTAGCTCAGGCTGCTACTCGGGGTGAATCCTCGGGTGGAGCAGTGATCGTTTGAAAGCAGTGCTTTCACACCATCTTTTGTGTATTATGACGACTTTTTGTTGGAATATAAGAGGCTTAAATAGCCATTCGCGTCAACATGTGGTTAGAGGCTGGGTCGCTTCTAATAAATTTCTAGTAGGTTCTTTTTTGGAAACACATGTCTCGGAGGAGAATGCTTCTTCGATTTTGGCTTCAACCCTCCCGGGCTGGAGAATGGATAGCAACTACTGTTGCTCTGAGCTGGGACGAATCTGGATCGTTTGGGATCCCTCAGTTTCAGTTTTGGTTTTCAAGAAGACGGATCAACTCATGCTATGCAGCATAAAGTTGCCGAATCTCAGTGATTCTTTTGCGGTTGCTTTTGTGTATGCAAGGAACACTGAAGCTGAAAGAAGACTCCTTTGGGATGACATCTCAGCCGTGGCTCATTCAACTCCCCTAGCTTTCACTCCGTGGGCTTTATTGGGAGACTTTAATCAGATAGCAGCTATTAATGAACATTATTCTGTCATCCAGTCTGATTTTTCTTTGAGGGGATTAGATGATTTCCAGTCTTGCTTACAAGACAACGATCTGGTCGACATTCCGAGCCGCGGGGTTTTCTACACATGGTCCAATCACCAGCAGGACAATCCCATCATCAGGAAACTTGACAGAGCTTTGGCTAACTTGGAATGGTTTGACGTTTATCCTTCTGCTATGGCGGTTTTCGACCCTCCAGGAGATTCTGATCATGCCCCAATTATCCTCAACATTGAAAATCTGCCTGCTAGATCAAAGAAAAGTTTCAAGTACTTCTCTTTCTTATCTTCTCATCCGACCTTTATGTCCTGCATTTCTGCTGCTTGGGAAGAGGAGATTCTTGTGGGTTCAGATATGTTTACACTCGGAGAACACTTAAAGGCTGCAAAGAAGGCATGCAAATCTCTGAACAGGCAGCGTTTCAGTAACATCCAGCAGAGAACAAGTGAGGCTCTCTCTCATTTGGAGGATATCCAGGTCCAACTTCTCTCAAATCCATCTACTAATTTATTTAGGGACGAGCATGTCGCCAGGAAAAAGTGGGTCTTCTTTGAATCTGCTCTTCAGTCGTTCTTCAGACAAAAATCCAGAATTAGGTGGCTCCTTGAAGGTGATTCTAATACTCGTTTCTTCCACAAGGCGGTTCTAGCCAACCAAGCCAAGAATTTAATAAAGTATCTCAGAGGGGAGGATGATGTGAGAGTGGAGAACGTTGACCAGATTAAGGACATGATTGTGACTTACTATTCTCATCTTCTGGGATCTGCTTCTGATTCCCTTAATCCCTTCTCTGTGGAAAAAATAAAGTCGCTGCACCCCTTCAGGTGTGATGAGGCTCTTGCAGCTAAGCTTTCTGCCATTCCATCTGTTGAGGAAATCACTCAAACCATTTTCTCAATGCCTAAGAATAAGGCTCCCGGTCCCGACGGATTCCCTGTGGAATTCTTTTGGGAGGCTTGGTCAGTGGTTAAAGATTGCACAATTGCTGCGGTCCAAGAGTTTTTCAGAACTGGCCATCTTCTGAAGAAATTTAACTCCACAGCCATCACTCTCATCCCCAAGGAGACAGGTGCTGATCGTTTATCTCAGTTTAGACCAGTGGCCTGTTGTAACACTCTTTATAAGGTCATCACTCGCCTTATCTCCAAGAGGCTCAAGCTCTTCATATCTCAGGCAGTTCAAGGTAATCAAGTCGGATTCATAAAGGGTCGTCTTCTATGTGAAAATGTTCTTCTAGCTTCGGAATTGGTAGAAAACTTCCATGTGGAAGGGGAGATAACTCGCGGCTGCCTGCAGATTGATTTAACAAAGGCTTACGATAACGTTAACTGGGATTTTCTTATTAACATCCTTACTGCCTTGGATCTTCCTCCTATCTTCATAAATTGGATTAAGGTATGTATATCCTCTCCCTCTTACAGCATTGCTTTCAATGGGGAATTAATCGGTTTTTTCCATGGGAAGAAAGGGATAAGACAAGGAGATCCCATGTCGTCGCATCTCTTTGTGCTGGTTATGGATATATTGGCTAAATCTTTGGACCGTGGAGTATTAAATGGGCTATTTCATCTCCATCCGAAATGTTTGGCCCCGGTTATTACTCATCTTAGCTTCGCGGATGACGTCCTCATTTTCTTCGATGGGTCTGAGTTTTCCATTAGTGGAATTATGAGCATCCTTGATGAGTTCCAACATGGATCTGGTCTGGGCATTAACAGACAGAAATCACAATTGATTCTGGATGGTGGGGATTTCCAGAGCAGCTTGCTGCTGGCCACAAGGTTTGGAGTTGCGCAGGGATCATTACCGGTGAGATACCTTGGTGTACCTCTTATGGCCCAAAAAATGAAAAAACAGGACTATCAGCCTCTCATCGATAGAATCAACTTCAGATTTTCCTCGTGGACCTCTAGGCATCTCTCCTTTGCTGGTAGACTGCAATTGTTGAAATCTGTCATCTACTCCACTATTAACTTCTGGTCATCTGTCTTCATCCTCCCCAACCAATGTATGCTTAAGCTTGAGCAGATGTGCAATGCTTTTCTTTGGAAAGGCGCTCCTAACTCTGCTAGAGGAGCAAAGATTTCTTGGGAGATTGTCTGTTCTTCAAAAGAGTGCGGGGGTCTCGGTTTAAAAAGATTAACTGCTTGGAACAAGGTTCTGGCCTTAAAGCTTATTTGGTTACTCTTCACTGCTGCGGGCTCCTTATGGGTTTCTTGGGTGCGAGTTAACCTCATCAGGCGTAGGAACTTCTGGGATCTAAATCCAGCGGGATCTGGCAGCTGGATTTGGAGGAAGCTCTGCAAACTCAGACCTATTGCTCGACCTTTTCTTGCTTGTGAAGTTGGTTCTGGAGTGACTGCAAGTTTCTGGCATGACAACTGGACAGGGATGGGTCCTCTCATTGATTTGGTTGGTCGGATTGGTCCACAAATGGTTGGTCTGCCTTCTGACGCGGTTGTTAGAGACGGGTTAAGAGGCAGAGAATGGTGGATTATGTCAAGTAGAAGCCGGAATCCTCTTATATCTTTGTTGAAGGAAGCGTTGCCAAATATTGAGAGTATGATTGATTGTCAGGACGATGATGTGTACCAATGGAAACCTGATCATAATGCTGCTTCAAATCTTTTCTCCTCGGCCAAAACGTGGCTAGCTCTAAACCCAAACACCAACCCGGTTAGCTGGCATAAGTCGGTGTGGTTCAAGAATAGAATCCCCAAACATGCTTTCATTTGTTGGGTTGTGGCTTGGAACAGGTTACATACGAGGGACAGGCTGAGATCTTGGGGGCTTTCTATCCCGTCTGCTTGTGTGCTTTGCAATACTCATGAGGAGTCTCGGGATCACCTGTTTTTTGAATGTGGTTTTAGCCATGATGTGTGGAGATCCTTCACGACGGGGGCTGCTCTTCATCCTCCTTCGCAGTTCATGCCTTGTCTTCAGTGGGTAAATTCTGCTTCTTCTAACTCTAATGTGGCTATGATCATAAAGCTCATATTCCAGGCGTCTATCTATTCAATATGGAAGGAACGAAACGCCCGGATTCACTCTGGAAATTCAAAACCTCCATCTCTTATCATCAAGGAGATCCAATTAACTATTCGTGCTCGACTGGATCCTCTATCTCGTGATCAGAGCTCCTCGCAGCCCGGTTCCTCTTTACTATCAACATGGTTTCAATTTTTCCAGTCTTGATAGTTTTCTGGTGTTTCCTTGCGTTCTTAGTTGTCTTGCTCTTCTTTTTCTCTTCTTCTGCCTTCTGTTTCTTCGCAGGGAAGAGTTTTTTGTTGTTAGGCTTTTCGGTTGGGCCTTGTATTTTGTTTCTTTCGGACCTGTGCGTCCTAGTGGGCTTTTTGGGCCTTGTAATCTTTTAGTTTCAGTTTTAATGGAAATTTAAAATTAAAAAAAAAAAAAAAAAAAAAAAAAAAAAAAAAAAAAAAATGTGGTCATATAAAAGTGTATGTCTTCACATTCAATAACGTAGTTCTACTAAAAATTAAATGTTGTTTTTTGTTTGTGTTTATATAACTAAAATTGGATCAAAAGATATCTAAAGTTTTAGTCAAAGTTATGCGTTACTCAAATAGAAAAAAAAAACATTAGAAACCTAAGCTCCTCCTAAATCTTTCAAGAAACATTCAATAAGTCAATAAAAAATCAATTTACGAATAAACCCCTTAATTAGCCAAAAATGAACAAACAAGGTAGGAAAAGTAGGAATGGCCCAATCGGGAGATTGCAGTAGATTTATACAAATGTGTAAAATATAATTTACCGGTTTAGTAAAAAAATACATTAGATTTTAATACGAGAGAGAGAGAAAGAGAAGCAATTTCGTGGGGTTTCCAAGAAATGGAAGTGATATATTTAGAGATTGAGATCTGACCCCATTTTTTGCTTAACACACAAAAAATCCTTCGGCAGAGGAAAAAGTTTATAGCGACTCTTTTTTCTCTAAAAGGGTCTCTTCTTCTTCGTTTGGTTTATCTTCTTCTCTCTTCAGATCTCCATTTCTCTCTCTCTCTCCCTTTCACGGTATCCTTCTCTCTTCCCCTCCCTTGTCTCTATTGACTTTAATTTGCTTTGGTTATTGCTGATTTCTTAATTTCATACATCGATCGTCTCTGATCTTTTGCTAATTTGACTTCTTTCCGTTTGATTTGATTTGACTCTCCGGTAAAGGTTTGATCTTTCGCATGTATTTTGAATCTGCTGTTCTTAGTTTGTTTTCGTGGTATTGATCTTGTTTTGTCTGGATATGCATTTGATGGCGATAATGATCTGTCTTAATATTGAGTAATTGAGCACTTTTATTTACAGATCTTTGCGTTATAGATCCTTCAAGTTGAATCCTTTCTTTTGATTTTAATCCTAGATTAGTTTTGGATCCGTTACATCGCAATATATTGTATTGATTTTTTTGATGATTTTTTTGGTATTAGGATCAATCCTCTGTTTTTTGATAGAAACAATGGGCGTTGAAGTTGTAAAGTCTGGTGGATTTGAGGTTGCTCCGGCTCCTTTCGAGGGGAAACCCGAAAAGAACGGGAAGTTGGACCAAGGAAAAGGAGATAAAGTCTCTATCACGTTTGGTTCACACGGTGAGCCACCAAAGAAAGCCGAAGAGAATATCAACAAAGTGTTGAACTCTGATGCACCAAAAAATGCTGCAGAAGAGTGGCCTGCGGCCAAGCAGATTCACTCTTTCTACTTTGTTAAATACCGTTCTTACGCTGACCCGAAAATGAAAGCTAAGCTTGAGCTAGCTGATAAAGAGCTTGAAAAGTTGAACAAAGCTCGGAGTGGAGTTTTGGACAAGTTGAGAGCTAAGAGGGTAAGTTTTTGAACCCTCTTCCTGTGTCGGATGATTTAGGGATTTCATTATTTCTTTATAGTGGTGCTGAAAATGCGGTTTTTGGTAATGCGTAGGCCGAGAGATCAGAGTTATTTGATCTTCTGGACCCGTTGAAGTCAGAGCGTAAGGGATTCAACACTATGTTTGATGAGAAAAGAAAGGAAATGGAACCATTGCAGCAAGCACTGGGAAAGCTAAGGAGCAATGATGGTGGGAGTGCTCGTGGCCCTGCTATCTGTTCCTCCGAGGAAGAGCTCAATAGTATGGTAATAATAATCTACTTGTTCGCTCCATCCTTTTGAGACCTTTTCTTTTTTCGATAGCTTTGGTTGGCCTTTTCTGTGTTCTCATTTGCTTGAGTTTGTGGAAAATGAAGATATACAGCTATCAATATCGGATTCAACATGAAAGCATTCCCTTAACCGAGGAGAAGCAGATTCTCAAAGAGATCAGGCTGCTTGAAGGGACAAGAGATAAGGTCATTGCTAATGCGGCAATGAGAGCCAAAATCAAAGAATCTATGGGTCAGAAGGATGATATCCAAGGTCAAGTTAAGGTAAGAGAGTTGTGGTCGGATTCTTGCAGATATAGTCTGTAGAAGTTGGTTTCATATTTTCCTTTGTGATGCTTTTTGCAGTTAATGGGTGCTGGTTTGGATGGAGTGAAAAAAGAGAGACAAGCAATTTCAGCAAGGATCAATGAGCTGAGTGAGAAGTTGAAAGCTACGAAAGATGAGATTCAGGTACTGGAGAATGAGCTCAAGACTGTGAGCGAAAAGAGAGACAAAGCCTATTCAAACATTCATGACCTCAGGAAGCAACGGGATGAGACGGTACAAACACATACTTTTGGCCATTTTCTTGTGATGAAGAATGATTTGTGCCAATTAGTAATCTTTGATTTTTGTATACTTTTCTCATACAGAATTCCGAGTATTACCAAAACCGTACTGTGTTGAACAAAGCTAGAGACTTGGCTGCACAAAAGAACATAAGCGAGCTTGAGGCACTCTCAACTGCCGAGGTTGAGAAATTTATTTCCCTTTGGTGCAGTAAGAAGAATTTCAGGGAAGATTATGAGAAGAGAATCTTGCAATCACTTGATAGTAGGCAGCTGAGCCGAGATGGACGGATGAGGAACCCGGAAGAGAAGCCTCTGATTGCTCCAGAGGCACCACCATCAAAGGCAACACCTTCTGAAAGCGAGGCTGTCCCTAAAGCTAAGGCAAAGCCGCAACCAAAGGAGGAACCAGTCTCTGCACCTAAACCAGATGCTACTGTTGCTCAGAATATTGAGAAAGCTAAAGATGCAGTAAAAGTAAAGAATGTTGCGAATGAAGATGATGATGATGAAGTATATGGTCTTGGAAAGCCGCAGAAGGAAGAAAAACCGGTTGATGCAGCTACGGCAAAGGAAATGAGAAAGCAAGAGGAGATTGCTAAAGCCAAGCAAGCCATGGAAAGGAAGAAGAAGCTGGCGGAGAAAGCTGCTGCTAAAGCTGCTATAAGAGCTCAAAAGGAAGCTGAGAAGAAAGAAAAGAAGGAAATTACCTTTTCTTTTTTGTTGTACCTCAATAATTTTTTCATTCTTCTCTCTTTTCCATTCTAACAGTTCTCTTCATCTTTTTTGTGTGTTGCAGGAGCAAGAGAAGAAAGCCAAGAAGAAGACCGGAGGCAACACAGAAACCGAGGCTGAGGAAGTTCCAGAAGCTTCTGAGGAGGAGATTGAAGCTCCGGTGCAGGAGGAGAAACCACAGAAGGAAAAAGTCTTTAAGGAGAAACCAATAAGGAACAGGACCCGTGGTAGAGGACCAGAAACTCTCCCAAGAGCGATCCTTAAGCGTAAGAAGTCGACTAATTACTGGGTTTATGCTGCTCCAGCGGCTCTGGTGGTACTGTTGCTTCTTGTCTTGGGTTACTACTACGTTCTCTAGATCGAACGGAGTGATCAAGCGAAGGTGTCTTGTTGTAGTTTGGAATACTTTAAAACTGGGATTTTTGCCTTCTTGACTCTTAAAAAACTCATAAGCTTATGCATCATTTACATACGAGTAGAGACTCTTTTCTTTTAAGTACTTTTACATCTTCACTTCTTTGTTGTTCTCTCTTCTGTTGTTGAGGCTTTAACTTTGAAGGAAGAAAACAGTTTTTGTTACATTTTATAGTTTTTCATAATTTACTGCTTGAGATTTGATATTTCTTTTTGTCTCTTTACTCTTTGCAAGGGCGTTGGGTCATAAAATTTCCACGAATAATAATAGAAACCATTTTTACATAATTATCAGAGACTAAAGTAGTGACATTTCTACATGATTAACTCTTTTACAACAGAAGATACACATTCATCTTTTAGACACTCTTCCTCTGCTCTCGATCCAAGCTTTTTTCTTCTTATTCCACCTTTGGTTAGCAATCTTGTCCGACCGCTGCTTCCGAAATCGTTCTCTCCCTTTTAGCCAGTCGGAGTAGTCCTTACCGGGCTCACACGCTATGAAATCTGCCAACTCGTCCACATCGGTTTGTCTCAGGTTACCTTTTCCAGCCAGACACCACAGAAATCTCTCCCCATTGCAGCTTTCCTCTTCAACACCAACTCCTGAATCCGGATCATTCTCTGGATCTTTAGCTTCAGACACCTTCCTGCACAACCATGGAGTAAGATTTAGTAGTTGGTTAAAGATCTCATGAATGCATATATTATCATAACTATGAAAGCGAAGAAGAGAAAATCAATAGGATTTTGCTGGTCTATACATACCCCATATACAAAGTTCGGATTTTGTGAAACTTCAAAGCAACCGCCCCGCTCTGTTTCCTATCTACTGCAGTCTGTACCATATAATCATACTGATCCAATTAGAAAAGCGCAGAATTCAGATTTTTTGCAAAGAGTTTTTAGTTGTAACTTACCTCGTCAGCTTTACCAGAAGCTGCCAAGTGTTTGGAACCACTTGATGGTATGGACGATGACGGATTTTCTGAGTGTCCAACTGAATCCCCAAGTGCTTCCAAGTCACCCCCTTCTAGGATGAATAAATACAGAGATATCACCATTCCAAAAATGGAGTCCTTCACTAGAAAGTCAAGCTTGAGTGCAAAGCTTACAGACAGCAAGCCTGCAAAATGCATAAGCATCCACTTAGACTTCACATTTCTGTGAGGATGAGATTCCAGTCTATCGCGCAGGAAACTTTGACAGGGCAAATGAACACTGAACTGTTCAAAACGTTGAACAACATCCATCATGGCTTTGTATTCCTTGCAAGCTCGAACATCACCTACAGCTTCAGCTCGATGCCAGTTCCAATTCCTGAGAACCCGGATGGCTTGCAACATCGAACAAGTCATGAACTTAAGTGTGGATGCAAGCAGATATAGATCTTCCATACTAGATGTGTTGTATTTTTCCAACACAGAGTCCATAACATCATCAGAACTAGCTCTAAGTATCACGCAACCAAGAATTGATAAGGTCTGAGACAACATATTTTCCGAGCAGGAGCTATCAAATATACACAAGCTTTCCTTTGCGTATGCAACAGAATACGCTACCAGCTCATTGTTTTCTCTCTTCGCATTATCACTTTGATATGAATCCCATGAATCCTTTAGCTTCAGTGTAACATCATAAACTTTCGCCAGTGTTGAGGGCAAAACATGATGTTCAAAAGCCACCCGAGAGTTACTCGACAAAACACCAAACTTCCCAGATGAGCCATTCTCACTCTTAGACATGTGTCTCTTATACAATACAACAGACTTTTCAAATGCATCAATATAGTGATCAATAAGCTGAAGGTCTAATCCCTTAATGCATGTATGTGAACAAATACCAATGGCGTCAGACACCAATAAAACCACATAGGCATGGATCATTCTTGGTGCAGAGAACATAACCGGGTTTAGCAGCAAGGACACAGCAGCACTCATGCTTATCTGGGGAGTTCTAAATGCATTACCTTGCTTCCAATATAATCTCTCAATACACATTTGATTCGTTTTCTCATCAGAAGTTGAGATGATAAAATGAGCAGAAACCATTTCTACCACACCGGCCCTATCATGCTTACTGAACAGTCTACATGAGGAGAATGCAGAATCGACTACGAAAAGAAGATCCCTGATTGACTTATTCACCAAAATCTCATCCATGAAAACCTGTTAATATAAAGAGTTAGGGACATAATAAAAAAATCCAGTGAGCATAACATTGTCTTAAAAAAATTTCAACTCAGAAGCCCTTGCCAAAGGTTTAGTCAAAAGCCACAAGTTTCATAAGAAGTCCAAGAAATAAAATGACACAAATTTGTCAGCTTTTTACCTCAATCCCTGTACAAAGAAACATATGGCGAGGATCAAAAGAACCGTCCTGCGTGAATACAAAAGAACAATCTCCATTCCTTGCACAAACCAATCTACTGAGGATCGAGAGAAGAGTTTTGGCCTTCTCCAGAACCAGCTCTTGTTTGGGCACAAGTAAAGTCATGATCTTCATACAACATTTTAAGAACAGAGTGGCTAATTCAATACTATCTTCTGTGCTTGCAAATGTGGGACAAGCTTCAGCCTTTTGTTTGAATAAAGTAGCGAATAGGTTTTCGAAACTCCTATCAAGCTCTGTGAACAAAACATCAGAGAGGTAACAGACATCCTCGAAACTAATCAATTCCACTTGCTTTCCATTGAACTTGATATTCCAATAATGTGAAGCGACGTCACAATTCTCCCAATTTATTGGTTGGGTTAATGATAAAGGACCCAGAAGGCACAATAAACGTTTCAAAATTGGCTTCTGAGAAACCTGAAAATTCAAAAGGACTTGGATGATTATTTCGAAAAACCCTATAAATTGCTTGACGCCCTTAAAAATCATAACTTTTGAGCACGAAACTACTTCTACACAAAATTTGGGAAACTACTCAGAATCTAAGCACTGCCCACTAAATTCCGAGACCGGTTAATTGAACAGAAACCAAGATGCAGAAACATTGTACTCGAAATTGAGCAAATTGTACCTGAGAGGACGTAATTGCTGAAGCAAGGGATCGGAATAAGTTGACGGAATCTGAGACCTTCGAAGCAGGGCGTTTCTTACTGTTTCGCTTGGCCGTCATCGCCGTAAGGAAAGAGGAGAAACTGCTTGAATCGGCGAGGTTTCTCGATTTGAGGGACTTCTTGTGTGGCGGGAAAGTACAAAGTACGCGTCGTTTTTGTGCATTCCAGACGACACGCAGTTTATTAAGGAAGAAGGCCTGTTTGTATGGTCACAAAGACTAAGTGGCTCCTGACCAGGTTACAATTAAGTTGACTCTTGAGTTTCCGACTTTGGATTGTCCGTTTTCTACCTAAAGAATAAAGATTTGTTATTAGATTCGATATGTTTGATGTTGTTTTTTCCAGACAAAATTAGTCAGTCGCAGATGCTGAACTCTTTTTTGACTTTTTAGATTTGAACAACACAACACAAGAGTGTTAAACTGAACTCAATCTTGTGTTGGGCTCTTCAAATTGGGCTTGTTCATCAAAATTTTGACAATCTTATTCACAGAACATATATGGACAATTATGACTTTTGATTTTTGTGTTCCATGATTTCTTATTTTTTGTTTTGCCTGGTTGAAGTTTTTTTGAGAGGAACTTGGTGCTTGGTGGGTCCGAGATAGAGACACTATGTATTGTCAGTTGTCACTGTTTCTGTATCCAAATTTAAACACTTGGACGATTCGTAGCATACGGCCACGTTTCTCCGTCGAGGGGTCTGTACTAGCTAGCGATGATACAATGGCTACTTGTCACGTGTACCTCTCATAGCCTTGCAACATAGCTATCGTCTTTAATATCTTTGGTCTCATTCACAATAACACTACTTTGGTTCTCTTCTTAAAATTTGTTTTTTTTTTCTAATAGAATCTTTCAGCCTCAGTTAAATTTATTTATACGAATAAAAATAGTGCTAACATCCCGAAAATGGGGGATTACCACAAACTTCAAACGTTTTTTTTTCTTGAGTTCGGTTGCACACTATTCTTTATAGTGTGATAAATTGGTAAAGAAAAGTCAATACTTTTCAAAACGCTCTTAATCGGATGCACTGAATGCAAAACTGTTGTTGTAGGTCCATAGTTTTCTACTGCCGACAGAGAGAAGAAATAAGCAAAAATTCAATTTGGTAAAGTAAAGTGAAAATACACCTTCGACGAGAAACAAGGGAAGAAAAGTCAGCAAGACTTGTACGTATCTTGTTAAGATCATAAAACAAAAATAAAGTGGAAATAAAAAGAACTTTCTTGCATGAGTGATATTGACATAAAGAAAAGCATCAAAAAATACAGCAAGACTTATGTCTTTCCCTTACGTGGGAGCTTTAGTAGGTAAATGAATTAAGGGAGTTAAATGAAAAGTAACTTTCTTGCATTAGACTCTATGTGATTGTAAAAGCATTGAACCAGTTTTCATTTGATGAAAAAAAAGAAAAGCATTGAAGTATTGAACTATATGTAAATGCAGCTTCGTACGACCCAACTTCATATAATCATATCCATCCATGCAACTATAAATATATAAACGAAATAAACAGCATTTAACTTTACTTTCACAGAAACTTTACTACTACTTTGTTTAGGTCCTAGTATTACAAACTCTTTTTACTTAAAAACTATTCTTAGACCTAACAAACTAGTATTAAAGTTCTTGTGCTTGAATAATAGTTAATGTTACTTGTGATCGATAGATGTAATCGTTTTTGAAAATGAAAAATTCCAGACATAAACATAAATTTGTTTTTCTTATCATCTTTTTACAATGTGTTCAGTGTTCATAAACTGATTAAACGACCTAACTGCGTCACCACTTTGTTCTGTTTACAAAAAATTTAGTTACCAACCGGAGCTAAAACTGTATCTTCTAAGACTTCCAACATGGAATTTGAGTGTCAACACTAACCTTATACACTCACATGTAAACGTAATTAATATATGTATCACATAATGTTGGTATCTAATGACTGGATTTATAATGTTTAAGGAACACAGTGTCTATTATTTATAACGAAACAACGATCCAACTATACTCAATAATACGGAATCACAATGGGATCAAAAAACAATTTAAAAACAAAGTCGAAACTAAACCGAAACAAGAACAAATAGAATCCGACATGAAACAAGTCTCCAAGTGTTCTTAATTAAGCTGACATAAAGATGGTCAAAACCAAACTTAAAACCGTAGTAATAGACATAACGGCCATACCATTCGCCGACGATTTTTTCTCCCCTGGAGCTCCCGCCGGCGTAGTGATATCACCGGAGGCTGATGGACCATCTCCCGAAGGACCCATCCCCGAGCCTGACGGTGAGTTTGCTGACGGAGAATCTGAAACAGATCCTCCCGGAGCCGAAGATGGAGAAACGGCGGGTGAGTTTGAAACAGGGGATGAAGATTTAGGTGCCATTGGTCCAGGTGGTGAAGTCATCGGAGCAGAAGACGGAGGAACAGTGGAAGATGATTTAGGTGCCATTGGTGCCGGCGGTGAAGTCATCGGAGCAGAGGATGGGGAAACAGGGGAAGTGGATTTAGGTGGTGCCGGGGGAGAAGTCGCCGGAGAAACAGGAGTATCGGATTTAGGAGCCATTGATCCCGGCGGTGAAGTCATCGGAGAACCATGGGAACCGGATTTAGGGGCCATTGATCCCGGAGGAGAAGTAGTCGGAGAAACAGGGGAGGAAGATTTAGGCGAGTGGGCTCCTCCAGGTGGAGTCATTGATCCCGGCGTGGAACTTCCCGGTGCAGCGGCGTGAGGAGGCTGAGCCGTTGATGGAACCCTAGCAGATATGACAACAACTGCAAGCTTTTGACCCTTCTTACAGTTATCTTCATTGCCACTGATGAAGTAAAACGGACCATAACGATCAAGAGAGATCTCAGAATCTCCATCGTCCACTCTTTTGATCGGATTCTTTGAATTACAAGAGTCGTAATCAGCCTTGTTCACCTCTACCACCGAGTCAGCTCCCTTAGCGTAGCTAAAATCTGCAAGAATCAAAATAAAGTTTCAGACAAAAGTTCACTCAAGTTAAAGAAATGACACAAACGGGTAAGAGAGTGAGAAAGAGAGAGAGATAATATACAGAGTGTGTCGTGAACAAGGAAACGGTTTCTTCCAGACCAAGATTCGTAATTTTCAGGTGGGTTTGGAACCCACGCGCCGCTGCCTCCGACATTAAACTTCCGTGCGTCGGAGATGGTGAAGAACGTAGAAAGAGAGAGGAGGATGGTGAAGAAGAAAGAAAGGCTTTTCATTTTTAGAAAGGTCATGGTTTTCAAAAGCTGTGAGAAGATAAGAGAGACAAATGGGTTTGTGTGTATGTAACAATGTTTATATAGAAATGAAGCGTTTCTAATGGTGGAGATCAAATGAGAAATGGGCTAAGGAAAGTGAAGCTTTTTGTCTTTATGATAGAGAGAGGTCGTTTTTATGGTAATACGTGTTAGAAATTGAATCTCTGTATCTACTCGTTTTCCTCATAAAAAGAAGATATTGCTTCTTCGTATCTGCCGACGTGTTTAATTTTATTCTTTTTGGGATTTGAAGTTTTAGTATGAATTTTAACAGCAATTGATTGTGTGGTAAGAATCGGATTCAACGAATCATATGCCATTTTCCATTATATCTGAGAGAATACCAAAAAGTCTTCAATCTTGTATCTGGTCTTGAATTACAAATTCATTTTCCATTTGATATGAGAATACCGAAAAGCTTTAATCACATCTACATTAATACATACTGGTCTCCTACGAATTTCTCACGAAAGAAACTTGCGAACCCGGAAGGGTGGTACTGGTGGTGGTAGTCTAGTCGCACAATGACACAAGTCACATAAATCCCAAAATACAACACTTGCTACATTTTGATTTATGGGCTGGGCTTAGATTTGGGCCCTGTATTTTCCTCGAGTTAGTGATAAGAAGACTACAGACACTTTTTTTTAGCACAAGAATCACTGAAGCAGCCTTTGCTCTTGACGCTTTGGAGACACGTGAGAAGCACAATGATGAAGCACGTGTTCTTCTCCCGACACTAACTCGATCTTCAAAGTACTTCCATCGGTGTGTATATACATGAGAGCGAGAGACTCGTATGTTGATCTTAAAGTGTAGAAAATGGCGGCTATGTTTTTAGCAAAGAGAGGAGGCATAAACATATACAGAGCTTCTTCATTACAGAGGGATTACAACAACGGTACTCGATCTGTTGCTCATGGAGTCATTACCATCACTAACTCTCGTTACTTCACATCCCACGTACGTTTTTGAAATTCGTTGAAGCTAGATTGATGCATACAAAAGTCGTTGAGGTGTTTTCACTTAATTCTTTTCGAAAATTCTGCAGGGGAACAACGGAGGAGAGAAGTCAAAAGAAGAGGCGATGGGGACAACTACAGATGGTAAGGCTCCGAATGTGACGTTGAGTCATGCGGCTGATACAGCCAAAGAAGGATTAAAACGAGCTACCGATGCAGCCATCAAGAAGAGTGGAGGTGCGAGCAAGACGAAGAGTGTAGAGAATGACGAAGGAGATGATCAGGAGAATGTAGCTGTGGGTGATGATGGAACTGTCAAAGGCCAAAATCAGTCAGGAGGATGAGAATATACTTCGTTAAAAGATTTATAGTTATTATACCTAATGAAATGGAATGTTGGTGACTCTAAACCGTGTGATATGTGTTTATTTAGGTAGAAAACCATCTGTTGTCCCCTTTTTTCCTCCAAAGTTTGCAGTAGATTACAATAACAACAATTTCTTATTTACCTAAATAAATTTCTATTCTCACCATTCAGAAACTTTTCCTTTTAGTATTTATTACAATGTGTGATTTCTTTTTTGTTTTTAGATGATGTCTAACATTCACACTTTCTTAATCTACCATCTAGGCTGCTATCGTTGTCTGCCTGCCTCTCTCTGAGTTTGAGTTACCAAACACTACATTTCTTGATTTCCAAAACTGCTGATGAATCTCATTCAAAATCCAAAATTCTTGTGGATGCGGTTTATCTTCCTCGAGATGGTTTCTTGGATGGTGTGAGCTTTCTGAACCCAGCATGCAATATCATAACTACAAAATAGACATAGACAAGTATCAGAGGTCATCATCGGCCACACATAGCTAAAGACTTGACCATTGCTTAGTAAGTTACCTGAATAACTGATCGCAAGAGCAGAGAAAAGAGCCATTTGGACATTCAAAAACGTCAGAAGAACCGCTGTTACTGCAAGTTAAAGAACCAAGGAAATTTTTAAGGTCCATTCTACTATATAATCCATTAACAGTTTCAGTTTGTTATGATCACATTGGAACTTTCAAAACTTATAGATAATGAGCTCATACTATTCGCCCGGAGTAATAAGAGCTCAAGTGATTTAACTAAAACAAGTAAACCGAAGGAACGGGTTTGATCCAAAAGATTCCCAAAACTCAAAAGTCTCTCATTGAATCCATATCAAAACGTTTTCAGTATTCTGTGACCATAAGCATGTTGCAGAACTACAGAAACCACCATGGTCCTATCTTCAATTAGCAACAAACAGGAACAAAATGATCGAAAACTCACCGCACTGTCCAATACCGATAGAGAATTTCCTCATGGAAGGGTGACGATCAAATTTCCATCTATCACTGCAGTATTTGAACAGCTCCCAAAGGGCTAAGCTTGCTAACAATCCTACCAATGCAAGTGGCATCTGATATCTACAAACACCAAAAGTAACCAAAAATCAATACTTCAATTCCAACCCAATATCAAGATTCATACTTTTAACTTAATCAAACAAGTCTAAAGATTTAGCCTTTATCAGAGTAATGGGTCCTCACAATGCACAAGCGAAGAAGACGATGAATAAAGTAGCGTAATTCCTAGCGAATCGTTTGATATTCTCATGAACTCTCATTCTCGCTTGCTGAGAGGACGACGGGAACGAATACGAGTCACAATTGCCAAAGAAACCGGTCGTCCACGGTGGCGTGTCTCCGGAAAAATCATCGGCGGAGAGCTTGGAGAAAGGGTTAATGGTAAGAAGAGATGAGACAGTGACGAGTCGAGACAAGAGAGAAGCGAAGAAACCACCGGTAATGGATGAAACGACATCGTCAGACGCCGCAGAAGTTGCGGCAGCTGAGGATGAAACGGAGGCGGAGGAGGAAGCGGCGGCTGCAGCGGCGGAGGTGCGGTGATCGAGGAGCTCGAGGTAACCGGAATCTCGAAGCCAAGATTCGAAAGCAGGATCGGGGACGCTTAGAGAGAGAGGATTAGGAGAGAAAGCCATTGTTGTTGTTGTCGCCGCGATTATCCGTAGTCTCGTCGTCTCCTCGGTCTTCCCAACCAATTTACAATAAATTGCAATTAGTGATCCAAAATATCTTCATAATTGCTAAAATAGTGCTCTAAGATAAATTCTTGTTAATTTAACTCTTATAGTTTTATGAGATGATTTCTTTGTCCCTTTTTCACAAAAATGTATTATGAAGAATTTTTTTTTAACCATGACTTTATAAGTTTAATGGTTCGTGTTAATATTGTGTTAATCTATTATCTTACTGGATACATATTTATATTAGATGAAACATGCATGTACGAGACTAAATATCATATCAATTATTAAAAAAAGTTATTCTATGAAATTAAGATAGCTAATAGTTTTTTAAAATCTAATAACAGAAAATTATTAATTAAATCCCATTATTCTAAAGCGTAATTATATGATATTCTGGTATGTACTTGTTTTTTAAATGGAAATAAATAAATTGATACAGTATATCTTAATAATAAATAGTTTTCCTAAGAAGAACTATACAGTGAATAGAACCAGGTTATTGGATACAGGTATTAATTAACAAGTGATTTGAAATAAGTGTGTAGAAAAACATATGAAAGACACATGTCTACTAATAGTATAAGATAATAAATTTTCTTATTTTGTGTAAACAAATGTTCACAGAAGAAAGGTTTTTCGAAAGGTAATATTGAATTGAAAACTCTGTATTTAGCCAAGTATTATTTAACGAGTTTGAGATTTTATCCTCAATTATCTAATATATTAATGGGATCTAATCCACGACATAAATAGAGAAAAAAAACAGAAGCATGTACGTATATATTTTCAGGACTTTTTATTAAGAAACAAATCATCAAAAGTGAAAATAATCTAAAAGCTAATTAAAGAAAGTTTTTCACCAAACCAAAAGAAAAGACGAAATTCTTAATTATTATCCCGCACCCTGCCAAAAGTCAAGCCTTACGTTTCTTATAAATCACAAGAAAGACGAGACCATTCTTCATTTCTTCTCATAGCTTTTACTTATTTTTTAGAACGAATACTGATAGAGAGAAAGAAAATGGCAAGGCCAAGACTGCTTGTAGTGTCGATGTCGCTTCCGGTCACTGCAAAGAGGACTGGAGAAGAGTCTTGGTCTTTCACGATGAGTCCTGGTGGTCTAGTTAGTGCTCTTCTAGGTAAGAATATAACAACTTTGGTAATATCGTAATTAATTAATGTTTTAAACACAAAGAAATCAGTTTTATTTTTTTGTGGTGATCTCTTAAAGGTTTGAAAGAATTTGAGACCAAATGGATTGGATGGCCTGGAGTAGATGTTCATGATGCGATTGGCAAAAAGACACTCTCCATTACCCTAGCTGAAAAGGTACGTACCACATTTTGAAATCTTGTATCGTATATAGTTCATGTTTTGTTTTGTAACTCGAAATCAGAGTCTGAAACATGGACTTTATTGGGGATTGTGTAACCGTTATGTAATTTGGTCAAGGAGAAACTGACCTTGACTAATAAAAGATGACCACCTAGACTATGTCATTAATCATCATATTAAAACATTTTTTTTTGTTTAAATGCTAAAGATTATGGTAACTTTTTTTTGTTAATGATATGATGATTTAAGTGTTGGTTTGGTTTGTAGGGATGTATCCCAGTGTTTCTGGAAGAAGTGTGTGATCAATACTATAATGGCTACTGCAATAATATTCTGTGGCCGATTTTTCACTACTTGGGAACGCCACCAGAATATCGTAACGATGCAACCATAACATACCAGTCACAGTATGATGCATACAAGAAAGCAAATCAAATCTTTTTTGATGTTGTAAAAGAGCACTATGAAGAAGGAGATGTGGTTTGGTGCCATGATTATCATGTCATGCTTCTTCCTCAGTATCTTAAGGAATACAACAGTAAGATGAAAGTTGGATGGTTTCTCCATACACCATTTCCTTCTTCCGAGATGTACAAAACATTGCCCTCGCGATCCGATCTGCTTCGTTCTGTTCTTACTGCTGATTTAGTCGGGTAAGTAAATATCGTTTACTTTTAATGTGTAGTAATCATTTTGGATTAAAAAGTTAACATGATCTCATACTCCTTGTTCTATGTTCTCTTTGTTTTTGTGTCTATATAGTTTCCATACCTATGATTTTGCAAGACATTTTTTGAATGCATGCATGTGTATTCTTGGAGTGGAAGCAACATCTGAAGGAGTTGTGGATCACGGCAAAGTCACTCGAGTAGCTGTTGTAATGAACCATCTTAAAATCTCTTAATATTGATTATTTGATTTATTGAAAATTAATGAATTATTGTGTCTGTATTTGGATTTTAGTTTCCCATTGGGATAGAACCTGAGAGGTTTATAAACACAAGTGAACTCTCTGAAGTCGTTCAATACATGAAGAAGTTCAAAAACGATTTTGGTGGGAGAAAGGTAGATATATTTAGTTATTTACTTCTAATGATATTTGAAGCTTAGAGGAAGAAAATGTTGAACATAATTATTTTTGTTGACAGTTGATATTAGGTGTTGATCGTCTCGATACGATCAAAGGGATTCCACAAAAATATCAGGCATTTGAGAAGTTTTTAGAGGAAAATGAAGAGTGGCGTGGTAAAGTCATGTTACTTCAGATTGCAGTACCAACAAGGAATGGTATTGGTGAATGTAAGTTTTTCTATCTCTCCTTTCTTCTTCTTTTATTAGCTAATATGTGCATCATATTCATAGGATTGTGTTTGTGTCCTATTACAGACCAAAAGATCAAAGACCAATGTCATTACCATGTTGGACGAATTAATGGTCGTTTTGGTTCCATCTCTGCTGTTCCAATAATTCATCTGGTTTGTTAATTTCCCTCTTTTATGTAGTCACGAGTTCTACTATTTGTGATGGTCTTCTAGTTTCTCTGATAAAGAATTCATCCTTGTATGTCAGGATTGTTCTATTGACTTTAATCAATTATGCGCACTTTATGCCATCACAGGTAATATTCATACTACATGTGATGATAATCAATTATCTATCGGTTTGATGATGTTAAAATTGTTATTTTGAGGAACAAAATGAAACATCTTCCATATACATATTAGATTAGCTCTTATGAAATTGTCAAGGTTGATTCCTAATAAATGATTTTATTTTCTTCAGATGTATTACTTGTAACATCTTTGAGAGATGGAATGAACCTTGTGAGTTCTGAATTTATTGCCTGCCAAAAAGAAGAAAAAGGAGTTCTCATTCTAAGTGAGGTAGATTAAAGTTTACATAGTTCTAATGATGTTAATATTTTATGAATCAAATATGTCTATAATGCTCAAAAGTAATTTATATTTGTATGAGGTTCACAGTTTGCAGGTGCTGGACAGTCACTTGGTGCTGGAGCTCTTCTAGTGAATCCTTGGAACATTAAAGAAGTTTCTACTGCCATTGGAGAAGCTCTTAATATGTCACATGAAGAAAAGGAGAGAAAACATAAAATCAATTTTCAGTATGTGAAAACTCATTCTACTCAGCAGTGGGCAGATGATTTCATGAAGTATGTGCAAAACCAAAACATTAATCAATTCTCTTAATCTCAACTTTTTGTTCTTCTTATAGATGACTCTTACAACCATTTTTGCAGTAAACTTATTGAAATTACAACTAACGCGGAGCTACGAGCTGGAAAAGCCCCACTTGAACTTCCAGAACATGATGTGATTCAACAATACTCAAAGTCTAACAATAGACTGCTAATTCTTGTAAGTGTTACATAGATCAAGATTCTCTTTGTACCTTTTCTTGTTCACTTAATTATCTCTGTAACTGCTAAAACATCCAGGGATTCTATGGAACGCTCACTCAGCCGATGAAAAATCAAGAGAGAAGAGGCGACGGAATGAATCTTGATCTGCACCCACAGCTTAAAGAAAGACTCAAAGAATTATGCAGTGATCCAAAAACAACAGTAGTTGTCCTGAGTAGAAGTGAAAAAGGCATATTGGATAAAGTAATTGTTGCCTCTCTTTCTTTTAAATTTACTTACTTATTTTTCTCATTGTGTTCTGACATTGTAACTAAAACTAAACCAGAACTTTGGAGAATATAACATGTGGCTAGCTGCTGAAAATGGGATGTTTCTAAGGCATACAAGTGGAGAATGGGTGACAAGAATTCCAGAACACATGAATTTGGAATGGATTGATGGTGTTAAGGTTAGTACATATATCTCAGAACTCAAGATTGACAATTATATACTTTACCCTCCTCAATCTTTTGTGGTTGCTTTGTTTACAGCATGTTTTCAAGTACTTCACTGAAAGAACTCCAGGATCATATCTCGAAACAAGCGAGACTTCGCTTGTATGGAACTACGAATATGCAGGTGAGTATATACATTTCCTCGGCTCCCATGTAACCCGGGTGTTCCAAATCTAAACTCAGACTAATCTAATAATTTGTTTGTAGATGCTGAATTCGGGAGAGCTCAAGCAAGAGACATGTTACAACACTTGTGGGCAGGACCTATCTCTAATGCATCAGTGGATGTTGTTCGAGGGGAGCAGTCTGTTGAAGTCCATGCTGTTGGTGTGACAAAGGTAAATAAATACTCTGTTTCTATATCATCCATACTCAAAAGATTCTCATTTTTCTCGGTTCTCTGTTACCTTAGGGAAGTGCAATGGAGCGTATTCTCGGAGAAATCGTGCACAACAAGTCAATGACTGCACCAATTGATTATGTCTTGTGCATTGGTTGTTTCTTGGGGAAAGTAAGCTTCTTATATAACCAAATATTTATAAACTAAAACTATCCATAGATTTTGATACAAGGGTTGATATATATGTTACAGGACGAAGATGTTTACACCTTCTTCGAGCCCGAGTTGACCAAGAAAACCAAGTCGCCTCCTTCTTCAGGTAGTGACTCCCCCAAGAAGGTCTCATCGACCATTGTTGACCTCAAGGGAGAGAATTACTTCTCCATAGCTATTGGACAAACGCACACAAAGGCTCGCTATCTCCTTGACTCATCTGATGACGTTGTGCAACTTATCCACAAGCTTTGCACACACAAAAATGCTTGATTCTCTCTGTAACGAGAGATGTTTGGCTAAATGGTACTATTGAAGATTTTGTGCAATTTTGGATTCTGCAAAACTCATTTGCATCGTTCTGTTTTGTTTTTGTTTTCAGTTTGTTCCTTTGTTTCTTTCTTCCATTTGTTCTTTAATGGATTATAAATTATTTTCTCAAGAGTTTTTCTTGTCTTGCCCTTATACAACTATGAAACACATTATTATAAAGCCAACTAGAAAACAGAGGTTTGGTTTATACAAACCTTAATGATCACCTACTGCCACTTAGAAACATGATACAATAAATGAACCATACAAACAAACAAAAACACACTTGGAAAAAGAAGCACTTCAAGATAGTATGGTTTATATCAACCTTATTGATCACCCCCTTCTACTTAGAAACATCATAGTGTTTCTATCTTTCAGTCATGGTTGGTAACAGAGACAAGATCCTGCAATGACTCTATGAAATTATCGACATAACCGGTCATAAGTCCAGGACTAGCTAGTGTCTCCCTCCACTTGGTGTGATTCTTCTTCACCAGATTCCCGATCTCACTGTCCCTTTTCATCACACTATTGATAGCATCACGCAAGCTCTCTTTCGAGAACCATCCTGTTTCCTCTCTTACCACTTCAACCGAAACCTTGAGTTCGTCACTCATCAATCTTGTGTTGAGGACCTGATCACCCAACTGTGGCACCAAGACTATCTGACAATCACTCAGCAAAGACTCCCACATTGATCCAAACCCACAATGGCTCACAAAGCACCCGACCGATGGATGAGACAATATCAATGGTTGTTGAACCCATCCTCCCCAAACAACTCCTCTTCCTTTAACCCGCTCCTCGAATCCTTCTGGAAGTGCTTCTTGAATCGTTGATGAGCCTCTAGGTGGCTTAACCGCTACAAGAAACGGTGAACCTGTTAGCTCCATCCCTAAGCAGAGTTCTTGGAACTGATCTTTCTCTAAAATGACTTGTGTGCCCAGTGCACAAAACACCACTGAGTTTGGTTCATACCCACTTAGCCACTTAACCCATCGTTCCTCTAGCTCTCTAGTCTTGTCTGGCTCAGGGAACATCGGACCTGTCAAGAGAACCTTTTTCCTGCAATGCTTTTCGATATAGTCGCAAAAGTTTCCTTCGATTTCTCTGGCTGCCCTTATCGCAATGACATCAGAGTTCATAAGACTTGTAGTGACTCGTTCCAACAAGTTTGGTCCGACATCGATTGTAGGCTCCAGGTTCTTCATGGTGTAAGCATCTTGTTTACGAAGCAGCACCTTCGATGAAGGATATCCCGGCGGAGGAACACCTAACTCACCACCTGGGACAAGCATACTAGCTATAGTCGATGCAGACACGACAACGTACTTTACAGTCTTAAGGCCAAAGTCTCTAGCTATTTCTGGAATCCAATGAGCAAAGTCAAAGAAGATCAGGTCCGGTTCCACGGCTCGGACCACAACTTCAACTTGGTCACGTGTGAGATCCATAGCGGACATCAAGAGATCAGCTGATGTCACCGGGATCTCAGAGGCGGTCTCTGTGCCAACGGGGAGACCATCCACATGAGGGATGGTGACAGAGCGAAAGACGATGTTGTGTGGAAACAGATTGAGATGCTCTAACTGTTTCAGAGCTTTCTTAGGAAGCAAGAAAGTAACCATATGACCTTTTTCAGCCAATTTGTTGGCAAGATGAAGGAACGGAGTCATATGACCAGTTGCGAACCATGGATACATAAGTGCATGAAACTTGGAACCACCCATTTCTATATATTTTTCTTCTTTTTCTTGTTTCTTTGTATCTCTCTATGCTGCTTTGGATACTAAAGGGGTTCTTTAAATATAGTGCCAATGTCAAGGTTGGTATGAAAATCTAACGAGGCCTACCTAACTCTGTTGGTGCTCTCTCAATAGTTATTACTGTATACACCGTTGGTTGTTACTGACATGATTTTCATACCAAAGCATAATGCCGGTGTTATTCTCATTTGCTGCCTCGATTGCCTTTTTTTTTTTTTTTTTCCCTAAACCTTATTGGCTAATCCGGGTTAGCCCAGGTAGAAACACACTGAAGTGCTACAAAGTGGTTTTCTTCCCGAATGACCACCACACTGTCTATCCCGAATTTGAAATGCTTTCCGACTAACGACCATGTAAACTGTTTTGGCTAAGCCCAGACTTTCCTCATGGATGTGATATTTTGTTTCTACGGGGCTCGGGAGAGTATCTAGCACATTCCCAAGTCTCACCTACCACTGGACCACAACCATGCGGGCCTGCCTCGATTGCTTCGTCGGTTGGTCCACTAGATCTCTTATTGAGCTTTGCGTAGACACGTCTAATTGGGGTCCGTTACCATCTCTTGATTGAGCCTCTATCTAGAGGAGTTGCATCCGATGGTGGCCTGTAGTATCTGTTTACGACCAATCAAACTTGGGGTGTTCGGTAGAAGTGTACATTGTCTTCTACAAAATTCAACTACAACCGTACTGTGTACATTGCACTGTACCGGAAATTTAATATTCCTGCTATAAATGGGTTTAGTAGTTGGTACCACATGCAAAAGAACAAAGATTTAGTAGCCCATGTACTCATTCTTCATTTTATCCTCTGCAAGAGTGCATGGGACACAGTTAGCGAGGGAAAGCTTTTTGGTTCACAGAGTAACGGAACCTCTAGATCTACTTGGAAGAGTGCCAGCTGATAGTCCAGTTTTAGTGTTGATCTTTTACACATCATAAGCTATATAAAAAAAGAATTGTAATTTTTCATAAGCAGATTTTACTAGAGGAAGACACAACAAAAAAGTAGACAATAGAACAGAGATGAACATATGAACTACAAGGTGAGAAACACTTGCACTTGCACATAGATACACATGATTTTGAGATTTGGAAATGAAAATATCAAAGGATCACGAGAGGGGCCTCATCGGTTTTGGCAGCAGGTGTGGTCGTCTCTTGTGCTGGTGGCTCAGTCTCTGAAGATGCTTTCTCTTCTGCCTTCACAGCTTCTGGAGTTGGCTCAGCCTTGGTTGCCTCAGAGGAGTCCTCTTTTGTCTCACCGTCCTTCTTTGTCTCTTCACTGGACTCTTCCTTCTTCTCCTGTGATACAACAAATCAGCAACAATAGTGTCAACTTATTAATAGGATGTTGAATCAAGAATTTGTAGTGAATTCTGACTAATTCGTAAATTTCATGTCATTTAATTCAAGAATCTGTAAGTTATCTTGTAAAAAACTTTTAATATAATTTATTGAAAATATTTTAGGCAATTGTATAATTTTCTACATAATGTACGTCAATAATATTCAACGAATCAAATTTCATAGTTTTTTAGATGATGTTTCAAACAGTTTCAATTAAAAGTCATAACAGGTTTTCTCAATTCATTTATAATCATTTAAGCAAACACTTAACAAAATCTCAAATGTATAACATGGAACACAAACGCAAACGTAAGCAGAAAACAAACAATGCATGAGGGTCTTATATTCTTTCACTTATTTTTTTGCATCATTCTTTGAACACATTCAATATCATTTCGAACATATTGGAGAACCCAATGACAAAGCCAAAATAAATGACAAAATGGGGTACACAAAACCTGAGTTAGTGTGGAGTCTGTATCGATCGTGGCATTCTTGGACTCAACAACAGCATTTTCGGTCGGGACAGAGCCTTCGATGATGTCAGATTCCTTAGGTTTGCTCGCACAGCCTCCCATAATTTTTGATTGAAAGGATTAGTTTGGAAAGAAAAAAATTACAATGGGGAGAGCTGTGGAGCCAAAAAGAAAGAAAGAAAGAAAAAGGGAACTCCTCTACACAAAGCTGGTTTGAAGAGGCCAAAAGTCTTATTTTATAATCGGAGGCTGAGCAAATGGAGGAGAGGGCTGTGCACAGATACATATAGGAGATCGTATGGACTAAAGCTATTTCAGGTAAAGTTTTGATCAATTTGAGATTCACAAGTCATTACACCTTTGATTCTCTGTAACGACCTATTTATCCGGAGACTAACTTTTATCTCCACCATTCTTCTATATCCTGTATAGGGGCTGGCAAATCCTGACATCTCATGGATTCACAAGCTCCTCAATTATTATATTGCCATACTGCAACCGAACCGAATAATAACAGATACATGTATAAGCAATGCATTGGGAATAAAGGTGAATAAAGAACACAAGGACCATGTTCATAACAAATCCAGTACTAGGAAAACTCTTCTCGGAGAACCGATGTTCAGATTTGTTTTCTATATGCAAAGTGATGATATTCTAGCCATTCAAACGGGAACGATGGTTACTGTCTCATATTGAAAGATGAAAAATGGTTTCCAGTTTCCTCAAGCCCAAAGAATTTATCTCATCCCAGGTTCGGCAGCCTACCGCGGATCCTTGTTGCGGTCCTGAAGAGAAAATCGTGGTTCACCGGTGTGACCTGGTTTCTCTGTGTCAAAGGATGTTGAGCCTGATCGGTTATTAGAGCTTTCTGATATATGTTTCTCACCCATGTCTTCCAACTCTTCCAAGTCTGTTTCATCAAGTGCTTGTGTTTCTTGGTGATCTTTGCTTGGACCATTGATGACAAGGCTTTTGTACATTGTTAAAGCTTGAGCAATCATGCTAGCAGGATTTGAAGCAGTACTTGGAAGCAACATTGTCGTACCCTAAACCCCCAAAAAACGAAATACATGAACATTAAATAAGCCCGAGCTATGCCAAGAGATTGCTGTAATCAATTTGTTTACCTCTTTGGCAATGTTACCGAAGGCTGTAATGTATTGCTCTGCAACTCTCAAACTCGCCGCCTGCAAATTTTACAGTGACATAGTATGAGATAATATTTTGGACACAAAAATTTAAGAAACCTAAGCCCACTAATATTAGTGCTATGACTTAAATCCCACAAGCTGGCAATTTCAGGAAGACACAGAACCCTTTATCTAAAGAGAATAAAGACATACACATTTGGCAATTTTGTGTACATACTACGAAGAATTCAATAATCAAGCTAGTTCTTTATATCAAAACTATGAATACCATTCCCCTGCTTGATCTCAATTACTCACCTCTACTCCCCCAGTTTCCTTGAGGGACTGAGATAACAAGACCAGGCCTCTCGCAGTTGCTTGTGCTCTAGCTAGTATTGCTTCTGCCTCACCTGTAGAACATCATCAGAGGATAATATAAGAAAAATAGCCAGTGGGAGACAGCAACCACATCGTGCATTAGCAGTGAAGAGAATAGTTCCTCATGCACCAAGCATTCATCAGTGTATAGTCAAAGAATGAGTAAATGAAATTAAAATTTTCTTCTAACAATGGACATTGCTACTCTGATGTGTTCTCTTTCTCAATCTTAATGGCTTACTAACCTTGTGCTCGATTCACCTGGTCCATCTTTGCTGCTTCAGATGCCAAGATTACAGAACTTTTCTTACCATCAGCAATATTGATATGGGATTGCCTTTCTCCTGTTAAATATAGTAAAGCAATGGTTAGAAACATGCTAAGCAGGCCTCTTCTTTCCAAATGCAAAAAACGAAACTCAAAAGGGATAACAGGTAGATTTTAGCCAAGAATAGTAACATTATGAGCGTAGCAAGCATTGTTCAGTCTCGAAGATGAGTTTTCAAAGAAAAGTCAGTCAAGTTTACCTTCAGACTCAAGAATCTGGGCTCTCTTTTTACGCTCAGCTTCAGCTTGCATTTCCATAGCAGCTCTCACTCCATGAGGGGGCATAATATCCCCTGGAAATACATGAATTAGAAATAGGCAAAAAAGATATGTAGCTATCACTGGTAAAGAAAAAACACAAACAAACAACTTACTTATCTCATAACGAAGGCACTGAAGACCCCAATCTCTTGCAGCAACATTGATGGCTTCCTGCAAGAATATATATCCATCTCAAAAACCGATCATATACTTTCTTCTTCAATGGATAAACTTCCTCTAACCATCAGGTCTCCTTGTAATTTAAAAAAGAGACGCAAATAACTACGGATATACAACAAATACAACATGACCAAACCCCCTAGCTGGATCTAAATTCCATATATCCAACTTGTGGAATACAAACATATTGCCAGAAGTAATTAATTTTTCCAACTAAACTCAAGCTGCAATGTTCAAGCTAACGTGACTTGACTTTTTGAAACTGAACAAAGAAGCGGATTCGAAATTCTTTGAAATGCAAAGGAGCTTAAGTACGGTGAGTCCTAAAACTTGAAACAGATAAAAAAAAAGGATAGAGAACAAACCACTATCTTCTCGTTGAGAGTGTCTCGTTCTTCAAAGGTCTTATCAAGCGTGATCTTACCAAGCTCACTACGCATGGTGGTCTGAGCCAGCTGTACAACAGCATAGATAGGACTCTCAACGCCATAAGAAGCTAACATAGGATCCACAATCTGCAAAAAAAATCCCAGATCAACAAGAAGAAATCAGTAAAGAATAAAAAAAGAAAGAACTCAAAACAAAAAAAATCACAGAGGAAAATGGATTGGTAAAAGAAAAGAAGATGACCTTAACGTAGAGAACACCATCGATGTGGATACTAACGTTGTCTTTAGTAATCGCAGTCTGATTCGGAATCGGGATTGCTTCTTCCTTGAGAGAATGAACATAAGCGATACGATCCACGAACGGAATGAGGAAATGAATCCCCGACGGCAACGTCTTAGCGTATTTACCAAATCGCTCAATCACAAACGCCTTCCTCTCCGGAACTATCCGGATTCCCCAATTCACCGGCGGCGTTAATTGAAAACTACACAAGAACATCCATAAATCAACCGAAGAATCAATCAAATCAATCCCAAGGTTCTCTACTCAAATCTGAAACCAAATGCCTCAAAAACGAAATCGTAAGCTGAAAAAACCTGTTGGAAGGATAGCCGGCGGAGGTGAAGTGGCGAACAGTTGATGCGGCGGCGGAGAAAATCGGAGGAGGAAAGGTATCGGACGATTGACGGAGGTACGTGACGGACCTCAAGGCGGAGTAACCGACGGAGCTTTTACGAACGAGATGGTTCATCTTTGTGGGAGAATCAGAAAATGAGAATGAGAAAAAGGAAAAACCCCAAACAAAACCTCTTATAAGGCGTCGTCACTATTCAGGTGCTGTTTCTTCGCCGGCTCACGCATTAAGCGTGGAGAGGAGGTAAATATTGTTTGTTGGGCTTTCATTGGTTTAGACGTTTAGTACCTTTATTGGGCTTATCTCTATAGCCCATTCTGACGCCTGTAAGATCCATCTGTTATTCCTTGTTTTGGTTTTTTTTTTTTTTTTTGGGTACTAGTGTGGAGTTTTTATACTATTTTCAATGTAAAGAGTTTAGTTGAATTCAAAATTCATTGTGAATCGAAAAGTTACAAGAAAATAATATTAAAAATTTATACCCAAATTCTTATGGTTTCTTTTAGTTTCTGAAAACAATAGTTATAATGGATATTTTATACTGTAAGGAATAAATACATATTTTATTTCAAGAAGATAAACTTATAGCATGAAATTTGAGGGCTTTACATAGTCGTTATTTACTTGCAAAGCGGACTATAAATTAGAAAAGCCATTAACGGGTATTAAACTTTACTATAATGGAAAAAAGCGGTTTAATATTCAGAATGCATGGGAAAAGCTAAGTCTAATGGGTTTCACATGGTGAGGAATTGTGTCTGAGTCATCAAAGATCCGGCGCCGTTCGCTTTTAGATACCGAACATAAAATGGCAACAATTAAAAGTTTGGTAATTAATGACGAAGCCCCATTTCACCTTTCAAAAGTGTCTTCTCTTCCTTTTGTCTAATATTTTCTAAGAAAATAATTTATATCTTTTGCTTAGATTTCAAAAGATTCAATCCAAGTTTTCTTTTGGTGGGATAAAGAAAAAGATGAACATATAACATGGGATCCAAAGTCTAAAGAAAAGTATATTTTGTGAAAGCTATATAACAAAGAGAAAAGTGGTGACACACTTTACACTAAATCCAAGTCATTAGATCCTAAAAAGCTTATAACATGACGACCTCAACAACATGGACCTCATCTCTTCTGCATGCAACCCAATCACTGTCGTCAATATATATATATATATATATGCACACACCTAAGTTCGTGTGTATCTCTACTATATATATAGATAAGTGTGCATAGTTAATTTGAGTTATAATTTGGAAATCGATCAAAATACGTAGTTATAAACTATAATGGGTGATTTTCAAATCGTTCCGGTGTACAACAAGGTGGAAGCACAGTACGTAGAAATGATGGTGCCTTTGTATTCTTACGGTTGCGAGAAGAAAGTCAAGAGGACTCTTTCTCATCTCAAAGGTATGTTGGGATTAATCAATATATAGTTTTAACTAATCCCAACTATATAGTTAATGGATATAATTGATTTCATGCAATATTGTCTTTAATTAACAAGAAAAAATGAATTCACATAATTAATAAGCTTATCAGAACTTTTCTCTATAACGAATAAATCAGGAATATATTCAGTGAAAGTAGACTTCTACAATCAGAAGGTAACAGTGTGGGGGATTTGTAACAAACTCGATGTGTTAGCAATGGTGAAAAAGAAGCGAAAAGAAGCTCGGTTTTGGAATGTAGAGGAGAATAATAATCCAGAGAGCGTTGATGATTGCATCGTCATGAAAGAAGATACTACGGAAACTTCATTTGTTACCGATAAATCATCGGCGTTTTATACATATTCTACGTCGCCTCCGAGATTCAGTATAAGACCTCCTTTGTCACTAATTAGAACCTCTTCATTCACATGGAAAGCCGTGAAGAAGGTCTTCTCTAGATCCATTTCCTTTTGAATCACGTTTATATATGACTCTTCTAAGTTTCTAATAGTGCTCCAAGAAATCACGTGACTTTCATTAGATCTCTTAATATATACATAAATAACAAAGTTTCTATATAGTTGATAAGAGTTGGCATTCGCAACGGATTGATGGTAGTTACGTTCAATGGTCACCGTTTTGTTCGTCTATATATGTCTTTTTTTTTTTATCAGATTTCGTCTATATATATATGTCTAAGATTTATATACTCCCCGGTAAAATCTTTCTTGGGACACATGTAATTCAGTTGCGTTGTTTGATCTCTTAGTTAAGATTTTGGATCGGAGAAATAAAAATGTTGCCGTCTAGTAAAAATAGTCCAAAATGGTTCATGGCTATTTTCATCGTACATTATATTTAAGATGATTTGAGGCAATTGAATCGTTCTCATTTGAATATCAATTTGCGACGGATTTTATTTTGGTCGCAATTTCTACCAAGAAGAGTCTTTCATATATAAAGAACTCCACGCTTAATCCAAAATTATGTCACAAAATGTGATATATTGAGAATGATTTCCAATTTCATGTCAATAGAACAAACTTTAGAAGAAAAAAAGAAAAAGAAAAAATTATTTGGACATCGCTAATGCACCAAATTTCGACTTTCATTTAATTTGAATATATTGGTTACTATTAAGATCCTTTTTTTCCCCTTTGGTAAAAGGTTATGATTTGATTCGCATTATATTTAGAGAGAGTGAAAAAAAAGGTAAGAGTCTTTCGAGGAAAAATAAAGTGATGCACTTTATCTTCCAGTCCACTGTTCTGAACTGAGATCATACACTATTTTCTCGGACAAAGCCCTAGTTCCTCTTTCAGAGGCAGAGGAAGATACAAAACTATGATGAGAACTCGCAGCGGAAGATCAACCAAGACCAGATCTGTTCCCTCGAATCCAATTCCCATCGCCGTTGCAGAACCAGCGATCGCAGAAGAAGCGAATTCAGAATCGGACAATGACTCGGTAGCTACATCAATGATGACCGCAACACAAGTGAGAACTCAACGTCGTCCTCGTCAGAGTGTGGGAGAGTCTTCTCGTCGCATGCAGAACAAGAAGAAGAAGGAGGAAGAGAATGATTCAGATGAGGCGACACAAGTGATCGACGAGGAAGAAGAAAACGGAAGAAGAAAGCGCGCATCGTACTAAATCTCCGCAAGGCTATTCAAAATCTGAAAGAATGTCTCCACACTCTTGATAGTGGGAGTGTGTGACTACTGACTCTCTTTCTCTGCATGTTGCTCTCTATCTAATCATGTCATGACTCTTAGTGTTACTTCTTTTAGGTTGTTTCTGTGTATGTTTTGTAAGCTTTGAGTTTAACTATGAATGTTTGTCTACTATGGATGTATTTCAAGGAACGATGAGATCTTTAAAAAGGGAAAGCAAAGATCACTTGCAATAGAGTTGTTAGTAAATACATTAGATCTTCCTCTATTTCTTGCTACTGCTGCTTGTACTCTTCTTTTTCAGTAAATTTCCAAACTTTCGAAGCAAAGGCTTCTTCTTTTTCTGATGTTGTTCCTTTGAGACCAGATCTTCTGTATGTTCTGCTGAAGACAAGCCATTGCTTAGCTGATCAAAGTTCTCACTACCTTCTGCTTTCGAGTCGACTTCCTCTTCAGCAAAGTCATGCTCCGAAGAAGCTTCTCTCTTTTCTAAATGGTAGCCTTCGCCTTCCATGGAGTCTTTATCTTTGTCTCCTTTTCCTATCACTTGAACGTTGTGAGCTAACCAATGAATTGTTGTGTCATCTTTCAAATGTCTATCAATGGCTTCCAATGGACTTTCTTGTACTTTTTGTTCTCCGGTTCCGTGATCAGAAAGATTGGTATTAGTAATCTCTTCTCTGCACCTGGGATCATTTTCCTGTGAAAATCCTACACCTTTTTGGATGTCACTGAGCTTGCCGTTTTCCTCTGCTTTCTCATCTGTGGAAGAAGCTTCTTCTAGTAACTTTGATAACTCTTCGATCTTCTTAAGCGCAAAAGCTTCTCTCGCCTTCAGCTCATCGTTATCATGAATTACGGTCTGCAACTCAGTTTCTTTGTCAAGTAGACACTCTTTCATCTTCGACAACTCCTCTATCTTCTTTGCCTCTTTGGATTTGAGCTCCTCATTTTCGCATACAACATCTTGTAACTCACTTTCTTTCACGAGCAAGCTTTTATTTATATTTGATAGCTCTTCAATCTTCTTTTCAGCTAGAGAGTCCTTGGCTTTAAGGTCCTCTATCTCAAGGACCATATCATGCAGCTCATTTTCTTTACCAAGAAGATTTTCTTGCAGCTTTGCTAACTCTTCAATTTTCTTAAGAGAAGCAACCTCCCTTTCTCTAAGCTCTTCATTTTCTTGAGTGGAACTCTGAAGTTCGGTTTCTCTATCAGCAAATATTTCATTTACCCTTGATAACTCCTCAATCTTCTTATGATAAGCAGACTCCTTTTCTCTTAACTCTTCATTTTCCTGAACAATGGTCTGCAGTTTGGCTTCTTTCTCTACTAAACTTTCATTCAACAATGACAACTCCTCGATCTGCTTGATATATTCAGCCTCTCTTTCTTTGAGAACCTCAATTTCTTGAATACTGCTCTGCAATTTGGCTTCTTTATCAACCAATCTCTCGTTCACTGCTGAAAACTCTTCAATCGTCTTCAGACAAGCAAGCTCCCTTCTTCTAAGCTCCTCAGCTTCTTGAACAATGCTCAACAGTTTGGTTTCTTTTTCAACCAAGCTCTCTTTCGTCGCTGACAACTCTTCAATCTTCTTGAGATAATCAATCTCCTTAACTCTGAGTTCTTCTGCTTCTTGAATAATGTTCTGCAGTTTTGTTTCTTTATCTAACAAGCTTTCATTCACCTTTGACAACTCATCGATCTTTTCGACAGAAGAAACCTCCATTTCTCTGAGTTTTTGATTTTCTGCAGCAGCGTTCTTTAGTTCGTCTTCTTTCTCCAACAAGCTTTCTTTAAGTTTCATGCTTTCAGCTTCAGCTTCTTCAACTCTTTCCTGCAGATCCTTAATCTCCTCCTCAAGTTCCTTACGATTAGATTTCATTTTGGCTTCTTCTTCTTTTACAGCACACGCCTCAACTTCCTTAAGATTAAGCAAATCCTTCACTTTGCTAAGTTCTTCCTGCACAGAGAAAATTTCATTTTCTAATTTCTTCACACATATCGTCAAACGAAGTTCTCGCTGTTCCCACTCAGTCTTAGAATTGACAAACTCATTCTCGGTGTTTTCCAAACTACTTTTCAGGCCATCAATCTCGTTTCTTGCATCTTCAAGCATTTTTCCATGCTTTTCATTTGTATCTTTCTCAGCCAACTTCAAACTTTCAATCTGGGTTCCAGAAAGTTCGAGCTCCGCTTGACATGTTAAGAGCTTCTCCTTTGCTTCCCTTGCTTCAGCAGATACTTCTTGCAAATCCAAAGTTAAGCCTTCCATAGCTTTCTTGCTTTTCTCTTCTTCCTTCTTACAGTTTTCCAACTCTGTCGCAAGTTCTGTCTTTTCATTCAATAGGTTCTGAATATGTGATGTTGCACTCTTTTCATTCTCCAAAGCTCTAACCTTTTCCTCTTGAGTGGTTTCAAGGTCGGATTTTATTGACTCAACAAGCTTCTCAAGCTTAGAAGTTTCTTCTTTTGAAATGCAAACCTGTCGTTTAGATTCTTCAAGATCTTTTTCCTGCCTTCCAATCGTCGTCATCAGCGACTCAACCTTTTCTTTTAACGCAGCATTACCCAACTCTGCCTTATGAAGTGCATGACTGTTTTCCTCCAGCTGCTTCATAGCTAAATCTAAAGATTCTGAAGCAGATATCTTAAACTCCTTTGATTCTTCAACTTGTTTTTCAAGTTTATCAACCTCGCTCTTCCACTCTGCTGCTAAGTTATTAGCATAGGATTCAACCATTTTAGCAGCTTCAAGATCAACGTGGAGCAGTTCAATGGACTCTTCTTGACCCTTCAGCGTATTCTCGAGGATGCTAACTTTCTCAAGTTTCCCTCTCAACATCTCAAGTTCAGACTTCAGTTTAGACACAACCTCATCACCTTCAATAGTATTCTTTCGTTCATCTAAACTAACCAATGCTTTTAAGCGGCTTAATTCAGAAGAAAGAATCTCCGCCTTCTCAGCCTGATTTTCAGCAATCTTAGTCGCTTCCTCAGCATGACTGAGAGCCTTGTTTTTAGCATCAGCAGTCATAGCCAATTCTTGTTTAATCCTGTGGAGCTCTTCAGTGGTAGAGAGAAGAGCTGAGATGTCCAAAGCATGCTGGCTTCTAATAGACTCAACTTCTTTCTTCCAAGAGATTTCCTTTTTGTGAACCGCTTCAATTCCCGCCTGTTCTAGTTCAACCGCTCGGAATATCTCAATCTCAGAACTCTTCTCCGCACGCTGTTGAGCTGCCAATGCCTCTCTAAGTTTCTCATTGGCTTCTTTAGTCAGTTTCTCAGATTCTTTAAGATCATCAAGAGCTTTAGATTTATCTTTCTTGAGCCTTTCTATTTCCTCATTAGCTTTCCTGAAATCCTCCTGGATTTGATTCAATTGAGCCAGTAGCTCAGTCCCCTTCCCTAACCGTGATTGAGATTTCTGAAATGCCAAAAAAATGATGATCAATAAATAGTCTTTCAAAGTTAAAAATCAAAACAAGAAAAGCTTCAAGACATTCAAATAAATGGAGTTGGTTTTACTTGCCTCAGGTGGAGTAGGAACCCTTGCAGTCCGACGATCAGTAGCAAGCTTGGAGGTTACAGTTTGCGGCGAAAGACGAGTGCTGTGCACCGGAGAAGGCGAATTGCCATCGGATTTAGTCCCTGTTGGTTTACTCACTCTTGGTGTTGGTGGTGATGGTTTGCTACGAGGAGTCTCCATTAAACCAGTTCTACATCATCAGAAAGATAAACCACAATGTCACAATCATACCACTTAACACTAAAGAAAACAAACAGACCATCATCTCCATTTTTCTGAGAATCTTTGGATTCAATTCCACATACAAGCATAAAAAGCTCACTTAAGTTTAAAACACTTTCCACTCCCATGATTAGATTGCTAGAAATAGGATCCCATCTCAGTTTAGAGATCTAATTATCAATAAGTCTAATAGGTACTTCCATTGTATCCAAAAACATATTGTTTCACAGTAGATGGACTAATCATACAAGTAACAAAATATGTATCTATAGCAGAATTCCCTAAAAAGTGTTGCTGTCTCACAAAACGGAAACTACAAGTGACTACAGAAGCTTCTGCAAGATCCAAACCAAATTGTGGAACCGAAAGCAGTGAAAATCAGATTAAAGGAACAAAATTAATGCAACCAAAACAAACAAAAAAACAGATCATTGATAATTCCAGAAGAAAAAACAAAGCAGCCGCTGAGAAAGTGACCCACATGGAATCCAACAAAACAGAACTACATTTCCGACAAAGAAAACAGAAGACAGCATCTCAGATTTCAAATTGTCTTTAAAAAATAGTTTGGTTTTCTAGAATGAAGAAAAATCCTCACTTGGTTCTGGACGCCATTGTTGCCACAGAAGAGCGTCTTCAGAAGAAACCCAGAAAAAATAAAAGGAAAAGAGCTGAGAATTGTTGGCTGCTAAAATACAGGCATTGCTATGGGGAGACCAAACAGAGAGACCACAGATCGATTCTGGTTCTCTTCTTCTTCTTCTTCACTGGGTAGGATTGCTTCTCCACAAAGTCTTCAACTTTTTTTTAACACAACAAATTCTTTTGTTTTTATATTTAAACGCAAAAAACAAAAGAAAGTAGAAAATAATTGGTAATGGGGTTATGGTGTTTCCCAGAGTGGTCACCCTCGTTCTCTCTCTCCCTTCTTTCTCGTCTTTTTCTTTCTCTTTCCCGGTTTAATTTTTTTCAATTTTTTATAAGAAATACGTGTGATGTGAAATTACGTAAATAACCATGGTTTAAAGTTTTTGCATTGCCTGCATCAAAGGGAATGAATATGAATGGACGTTGCTCGTAATGTGGGTAGTGAAATAACTCTCATAATCTGATTTGTTAACATTTTTTTTCAGGAAAAAATAAAAAAAATCTTTGGATTCATTTGATTTGGGTCATGTGGACTGCATGTGCCTTTTCAATAATTTGTTTATTTTTACGATAATTTAACCATACAACTCTTATTATTCTCAAATCATAATTTGTTTTTTCCCTATTGAAATCTTTAAAATTATATTAAATTAAAGATTTAAAGTATGTTACATGTTGCTATTTTATGCATATGATTTGGAGGCAATTTAGGCTGTACATGTAGACTGTTTTTTTTTTTTTGGGGGTTAGGATTTGGTGTATTACTTTGTATACCATAATGTTTAGTGATAAAAAAAACACTATAGTTTATTCATTATAGTAAAAAAAAATGACATGATTTTCAACTTCTTGTTAAAAGTGTTCAAAATATAATCATATATGAAGGGATTGTATCCTTTCATCATGGGTTTGTTGATTCTCTTTGCACCACCTATCGGTACTTTTTTTGTAAAGCTAATTTATGTGATTGAAAGACAAGTAGACAACAATTAAATAATAACACAATTATGGTAAGCAGCACACACAATGAAGTGAGTAACAATCAAACTAAATCAAAGTCCGCCACCTACATTTATCCTTAATCATCATTCTAAATTTAGAACTTAGATGGCATGTCAAATTGTTGTCCGTTAATATTTTACTTTTTCCTCTCGTAGGTGCGATTTCTCTTTCCCATGTAATTATCAAATTGTTGATGCCTCGTTTGCTCGTAATATAAAACTATTGCTGGAACTGATGATATAATTTCTTGGTAAAGGTTCACTCGTTAATGAACCATTTAACATCGTTTTTGGAATTGGATCCTAATAAATTAATAGCTTGAGAAACCTGAGCATTTAATGTTAAAGCTAATTTACACAGATTTTGATTCTTAATAAATAATAATTTATTGGGCCGATATAGTTGAATGATATAATGGGCTCATAACGAATCAGAAAGAGAGGCCCATTACAGCTGAAGCGATAACATAAGTCCCACATCGGGTACACAGTAGAAAGAAGCTGCGTTTATATAGCGTTAGAGTGACAAAGATGATTGTCCCTTCGGGGACATCCGATAAAATTGGAACGATACAGAGAAGATTAGCATGGCCCCTGCGCAAGGATGACACGCATAAATCGAGAAATGGTCCAAATTTTTTTTGGCCAAAATTTCTGATCGATTTACATGGAAGAGATCTTTTTCTTGTTTCAGAGCTTTTTTGCACTTGTTTAAATTAGTCGATGATGTTTTTCTAAGCATATGATATGTTTGTTGTTACAGTTCCGATCGTCGGAAAGTTACTCTAAGCCTCTGTTACTTCGAGATTCCGCTGCTTTTACCCGCTGCTAATAAACTTCCCCAGTGCGAATTATATTGAAATTGGACAAGATTCTATCTTACATGAAGTCTCTGAGCTTTGTTATAACACTGTTAAGGCTTATGGGATTACATTTTGCATTTCACAAAAACTCATTAACAATTTTTGCAAGAATAAACTATCAGACTCAGAACCATCAAATAAAAAATGAAAAATGTTTCAAATTTTGTTGGAAACATATACTATATACTAAAATGTTACATACAAGATGACAAGTCAACTGCAAAAGGCAATACTACATGAAAACAAAGAATGAATCAAAAAGCTAAAATCACAAGCTAGAGATTTCATCAAGACCCAACATCCGTTCGAACACCAGAACCGTTAAGACGGAATGCATGTGATCGAGCAAGCTCAACTGAGTGAAATCTCCATCATTAAGTGAGTAACAATCAAACTAAATCAAAGTCCTACCACCTACATTTATCCTTAATCATTCTAACTTAGAACTTAAATCGCACGTCAAATTGTTGTTCATCAATGTATTATTCGTAGGTGAGATTTCTCTTTCCCATGTAATCAAATTGTTGATGCCTTGTTTGATCGTAATATGAAAATATTGCTGGAACTGATGATATAATTTTCTTGGTAAAGGTTCTCTCGTTCATGAACCATTTAACATCGTTTTTGGAATTGGATCCTATTACATTAATCGCTTGAGAAATCTGAGCATTAAAAGTTTAAGCTAATTTACATACACAGTCATGGAATGGGTTTAAGTGTAAATTTACGAATCTGGCCATTTCCAAGAGACATATCTTAGATATTCTTGATTGCATTCCGCAGCATCATCCCTTTTGCCTCCAAGAACTGTAAATCGGCATCCTATGATCTCCACTTTCATGTTGGCTTTGAACTCGAAGAGAAGCTCGCTGAATGTTGCTTCTACTTCAGGGAGAAGCTCGCTGAATGTTGCTTCTACTTCAGGATCATTGCCTTCGTTTAGGATCGGCCAACCGCCCAATGTAAAGAGATGATCTTTTACAAGTACAGGTATGTGTAACTCTCTTGATTCATCCCACACAACTTTTCCATCGTGTTTGCGCCTGATGCAACAAGCTACACGGACAATACCACCATAGTCATCGTCATAGACAGCTGAACGAGCGACAAGCGTAATGTAAGCCTTATTTCGAATCATATGGACCTTCACACAATTTCCAGACGCTTGGTCAGTAAATATTGCAGGCCGATCTTCGCCAGGTAAGATTGCGTATTTGCTGGCTGATGTATAGACGACCTCTCGTGCTTCTTTGTTCAGTTTCATGCAGTTTGCAAAGTTGAGACATATCTCTGGATTGTGGAAGGAGCCAGATATTCTCTCAAGCGACTTACACTCTTGTGCATTTAGCTCTGAAAGCGAATCCGGAAGCTGTGGAAGTGAAATGAGCTTTCTGCATTCTCCAATGTCAAGCTTATAAAGTTGAGAGAGATGTTTGATGCAATCTGGAATGGTTTCGATATCTTCATTACAGCTCAAATCCAATGTAACCGGAGAAGTATAGGCCTTCTTCGGTAGACATTTTGGTAACATTTCTTCAATATTGTTAGCCGTTAAAGTCAGACATTTCTTGACACCGGAGACCCATTGAATTTTTGCAGAGAATGGGATACCATACACACTGTCTGAAAAATCTACTACTTCAAGATTCTCGAGCTTTGAAATGTTCATAGAGATCTTGGTTAGTTTTGTGCATCGCTTCATATGGAGGCTATGCAGCCGAGAGAGATTCTCGATCCACGGAGGAACCTCTTCTATTCCTGTGGAGCTTAATTCCAGATCTTCAATGCCGTCAGGGACATGTGGGAATGCAATGAGGCTTTTACAGCCAGCTACAGAAAATTTCCTAAGGTTTTTGGCATTTGAGAGATGAGGAATCTCTTTGAGGTTTTCGGAGTAACTCAAATCCATCAGTTTAAGATTCCTAACCGACTGATCTCAAACAAAAACAACAAATAAGGTCACATGTCAGTTCAATAATATTAGTGTTGTAGAAGAAAAAATAATTCAGGAGTAAGAAGTTACAAACTGAAACTCCAATCTAACATAATATCAACTGTGAGTTATATATATTCTCTCATTTAGAATTTTATGACTAAAAGCTCCGAGAAAGTCCCAAAAATTTCAGAAATAAGAAAACTTACTAGCATTCCTTCCCAGAGTTTCTCAAGCTTGCTAGATGTCATTCTGAGTTCCACGAGGAACTCTGGATAGAACTTGGAAGGCAGAGATTTCATCGGAAATGAATCCCAACGTAGGAGCCTAAGTTTGTGGGATAAATAGTTCAGACCATGGGGCAGATTTAGTCTGACTCTAGCATCTCTCCAATCCTTGTATATCTCCAAGAACTGGAGATTAGGCATTCCTTGGAAGGCTTTCTTACTTATGGATAATTCCTCGTTGATGTTGGATACATTGAATGATATGCCTAAAACAGTTCTGGTACCCTGCAAAAGCTCCAGAGAGTAAGACTATTTAGTTAATCCCTTCAACTTCAAACTTATAAGCAGCAATGTAAGATAGAAGTATAGAAGAGCTTACTGAATTGTAGGCAAGTACATCCCGTATCTCCTCAGCATCAACCAAGAACTGACGTTTTCCAGGCTCGTGAACGGACTGTTGATAGATGATATCTCTACCCATTCTCTGTAGCAAAGAGTGCATATGAATGCGTCCCCAATGAGTATCTATGAGAGATTTATCAGCTAAGGTTTTAAGCCCGTGGTCGATGTCCAAGTTACTATTTGCAAGCAACGTTTTAATCTCCTCAACGTTCTTACCATTGAATAAACAAGCAATGTGAAGAAATATGGCTTGATCTTTACTATGTAAGACATCATAGCTGAATCTCAAAGTTTTCTCAACCTTACCGTCAAGACTTGTGCTAAGTCTTGGCATTGCATATTCCCACTCTTCCTTAGAAAATCCTCGCAAGTACGAGCCCAAAACAGTTAAACCCAAAGGAAGATAGCCAGCAAGATCTGTAACTTGTAACGCGAGCTCCTTAATACCGACACAAGGATACTTTTGCCCAAAAGCAGATTGACAGAAGATCTGAAGAGCTTCAATTCTAGATGGAAATTCCACCTTGTATACACAATCTATCCCATGAGCTCTCAGAAGCTGTTTATTTTGTGTGGTTACTATGATCCTACTTCCAGATCCAAACCATTGAGGTTCTTTCGCTAAGGCATGAAGTTCCTCTAGTTCATCTACATCATCAAGAACAACAAGGACTTTCTTGTCCTTTAATCTTTCCCGTACCACACCTAAATGAGGTATCTTGATATCTTTTTGATTAATAAGCTTAGAAAAACACTGTTCTTGCAGAAGCAACTTCAAACCATACTCGTCAAGATTGATGCTCCTATATATTTCCCTAATGTTCTCCATAAAAGCACAATGCTGGAATGTAGGCGACAATCGATCATACAGAGCTCTCGCAATGGTTGTCTTACCGATTCCCGCAGGTCCCCAAATACCTACCATCCTCACTTCACTAGACTCTAGTGATAACAATGGATTCAGCTTTGTGATATGAGCTTCTATGCCAACTAGATCATCAAAGTCCCTTGAAGGTGTAACATTTAACGCATTCGAAATATCCACCGCAAGTTTCTCAACCATTTCCGCTTCATTGTTCCTAAGATAAGAAAGAAAAACATAGACTTTACAATTCACGCTTTGATTCAAATCTCAACCCCAAATCGAAATGACTAACCAGAGGCGAGAATCAACTCCGGCTAGATTCGAGACATCAATCAAAGCTCGTGTCCATCTCTGTATCACATCTTCCGATTTCCCAACACAAGTTTCTTCAAAGACCTTGCCGAAATCTCCGGTTTGCTTTCTCACATGAGATGGATCAACTTCATAGAAAACCGTCATCACTGTTTGGCCAATTTCTTCTTTAGAGCTGATGATTTCGAGCAATTCGTTCAAACACCAGGTAGAAGATGCGTAATTCTTCGAGAGAAGTATGACTGAGATCCTTGAATCTCTGATAGCTCGTACGAGCTCAGGGGCGATAGAGTGGCTCCTCTTGATCTCATTATCAATAAATGTGCTGATTCCTTTCCTTTGCAACTCTTTGAGGAAATGGCTTAGAAAGGTTTTACGAAGATCTTCTCCACAAAAACTCGGGAAGACGTTGAATCTCCAGCTTCGAGATAACGAAGACGAAGAAGAAGAATCCATGAACAGACTTTTTTTTTTGTGGTCAGTCAATTTTCCATTTAAATGGGTTTAGTGGGAAACGCTAGTGTTACTGTGTTAGTCAAATAAAACACGGTTTTTATGGTGGGTTATTATAATGGGCCATAACGAAGTAGGGAGAAAGGCCCATTACAGCTGAAACGATAACATTAGTCCCACATCGGTTACACAGCAGAAAGAAGCAGTGTTTATATATCGTTAGAGTGACAGAGATGATTGTCCCTTCGGGGACATCCGATAAAATTGGAACGATACAGAGAAGATTAGCATGGCCCCTGCGCAAGGATGACACGCATAAATCGAGAAATGGTCCAAATTTTTTTTGCCAAAAATTTCCAGATCGATTTACATGGAAGCGAACTTTTTCTTGTTTCAGAGCTTTTTTTGCACTGTTTTAGTTAGTCGATGATGTTTTTCTAAGCATATGATATGTTTGTTGTTACAGTTCCGATCGTCGGAAAGTTACTCTAAGCCTGTTACTTCAAGATTCCGCTGCTAATAAACTTCACCAGTGCGAATTATATTGAAATTGGACAAGATTCTATCTTACATGAAGTCTCCGAGGCTTGTTATAACACTGTTAAGGCTTATGGGATTACATTTTGGCAATTCACAAAAACTCATCTACAACTTTTGCAAGAATAAACTATCAGACTTAAGACCCATCAAATTAAAAACAAAAAATGTCTCAAACTTTGTCGGAAACATATACTATATACTAAAACGTTACATACAAGATTACAAGTCAATTGCAAAAGGCACTACTACATGAAAACAAAGAATGAATCAAAAAGCTAAAATCACAAGCTAGAGATTTCATCAAGACCCAACATCTGTTCGAACACCAGATCCGTTGAGACGGAAAGCATGTGATCGAGCAAGCTCAACAGCGTCCTGAACCCTAAGCCTGGTTCCTTGTTGACCCACCACTGTTGCTGCAATCGTTGCAGCCATATCTCCCATTCCTTTCAAGTCAGACACACCTCTCAAGATACCGTATAAGATCCCTGAAGCATATGCATCTCCAGCACCACATGTATCAACTGGCACGCATGGGGACGGAGGAATGTATATGGCCTCTCCTTTTACTCCAATATATGACCCGTTGATTCCATCAGTCACCGATACAAATGGAACAAAGTGGCTCATGTACCTTGTCGCTGAAATTGGGCTTTCCTCCGCGGAAAAGTGACAAAACGCTCTAGCTTCATCGCTGTTTGCAAATACAATATCTGCATAGTTCCCCACAATGTCCCTGAATCAAAAGAAAACCATCAACATTTCCATTTTTTTCTCTCGAAAAATAAACAGATGGAGACAACGAAACTGACACGAGAAAACTACAGACATTAAACAACAAATTCACCATCTAGGTTCAAGTTTTTTTTTTTCCAGGTTAAGACATTCACAGCTTGAAGCATCAAAGCTTCTATGACTTATCAAGCTACAGAAGATAATCACTCTCTTCATATTATTGCCAATTGTTCCTATCCGATCAAAACTGACCCAGAATCAAATAGAAGCAAGAATTGATTCAAGCAAAGGGAGCAGAAACTCACCAGAAATCATCATAATGCCTCTCTATGCAGGACACATCTGATGCTGTCACAGCAACAAGTGCCCCGTTTCTGTGGGCTTCTTCACAGGCTTTCGTTATGGTCCTTATAGTATCAGGAAGCTCAAACAAATAGCCTTCCACAACAAAGACATTTGTCTTGGCTATCAAGCTAGCCAAACAAGAATCATAATTAACGACAGAAGATGTTCCCTGAAATTATACACAAGATTAGGTTTGTTATTTAGTGGTTTTAAATCAAACTGAAAAACTTATCAGAATTAACATTGCTACTACTATCACAATTTGGTTGCTTTATGCAGGCAATTGATCCTACCACTAAAATGATCTTGCACATCACCTACTGGAAGCAAAAAAGGATATCCTTTCATTTTGAATATTAATACGTTGCAACAGCCATTTGTTGTGATCAGAAATCCTACCTGATATGCAAGCATAGTACGTTGTGCATCAGGAGTTGTGAGAACTATCACTGTTCCCGTTGTTCCATCCTTGATTGGAGCAGAAAGAAAATTTACATTTGCTCGACGTAGTTTAGTCCTATAGAAATAAGAATGACCCCCCTTGTGAGTATACCAAACCAAATGTAATGATAGGCTAGTTTGACGCCTTACAAACTACTCTTGCATAGTAACAATTCTCTAACATAATTCAATAGTCCAACTCTTTAGAGGAGAACGAAAAGAAAGAGAAGGGTCATATAAGTAAGACAGTTTTGTACCCGTAAAAGCTGCCGAGAGGGTCACCTCCGATACTGCCAGCCATTGCCACATTCAAAGGCCGGTCACCGATGGATTGAGAACCTAATCTTGCGAGAGCAACTAAAGTGTTTGACAATGACCCTCCAGCTGCCGCCTTATAGCTACAACCATCCATTGCTTGTAATAATTTACCCCTCTCCTCGTGATTAATCAGTTTCCTTGTTCCCTTTTCTAAACCCAGTTTCTCTAGAAACTCATCATCCACAACTCCAGAGAAATCTACCTATAACATAAAAACACATCATCAGGCAATAGTTAAAAGCTTAGTCATTCAACAATTAAGCTTTGATGGCGTTCGATTTAAAGACATTTAGAAAGAATAATTTTTGGCTTGAAGGAAACAAAAACTCACCATGGCTTGGCCAAGACCCAAAACATCCCATCTATCAGGCGAAGCAGCAGAGGAAATATTAGCTTGTATGAATTCTTCGTCGTCTTCGTCTTCATTTCCAATTCTCTGGATTTCACCTTCATCCATATCATCCAATTCACCACCGCCGCCGCAACCACCAACCCTACAAACCAATTGGCTATTATAATTATCCGCCATGGAATCAATCCTCAAGTTCCCAGAGGCTCCGAAAATCGAGGTCGCGGTTCTGGTTCGTAAGGTTCCTTTGGGATGATATAAAGAGTAGAGAGAGGAGGAGGAAGAGGCATTATTAGAAGCGGTAATGGCGGAGAGAGTGAAAGAAAGAGAGGTAGAGGAAGGAATCGGAGAGAGGAGCGAGAAGGCCATGGAATTAGAGATTTTGCTCTTTGAATGAAGAAAGCTCACATCTCCATTCAAAAGCGAGAGGAGGAACGAAGACCAGCAAAACCACCTCTGAGAGACGCCTCTGAGAGGATAAAATGACTTTTGACTATTATTTTTTTTTATATAAATCTTATTAGGATAAAACTCTATTTTTTTATTATGTGTAATTCAAACCCAAATTTCAGATTAAGCATGCCGACAATTTTTATTTTTTTTTGACTATCTTAAAAATAATATGTCTAATTAATAAATCTTTGTTTACGTCTATTTATAAATCTTCACATTTGTATGGCTCTGTGTTAAAATTGGCTAATTCTTCTTCAAGTGGGAACAAATCTTTATACGTGGCGTTTGATTTAATCAAAAGTTGATTTGTAATGATCGGGTTAGTTACTTATTTACAGAGATTAATAAAACAAGGAAAAGTAGAAAACTATTCCCGCGGTAAATTCTTCAACTAATTTTCCTTTACACCAAATGTTCGAAAGAGAGACAAGACCAAAAAAAAAAAAAAAAACCAAAATCAAGACATTCAAAAAACGAAAGCTGAAGCCAGAAAGAACCTGAAAATCTTCATCTCCAAAATTCTTAGAACATAAGATACATTTTCTCGAAAAAGGAAAAGAACCGAAAACAAAAAAGGAACAGACGCAAGTATGCACAATGCCTAACCTTTCCACCTACAATATGTTTGGGAGCTGTGAGTCCAGTCTCTGCTGCAACTCTTTCACCTTCTGTGAAAGCTCTATCTTCTGCTCCTTATAGCTTCTAAGTAGATACTCCTTCCCGTCTATCACCTCTTTGAGCTCACTCACTTCTTTTCTCAACATCTCTACTCTTTCTCCATCCCTTAGGCTCTTTTCCTGTGACTCATAATTGCTTTCACTGTCCATAAACCCGTCCACATGGCTGCTGGTCCAAGGTGCAACAGGAGATGTCTTGCCATTGCTACCAGTGCATCCCACGCTGTGATCAGCGATCGCCTTTCTCAGTCTCTGAACTTCTCTTTCTGATTCAAACAGATCTCTGTTCAGTGTGTCTAGCTGTGCCTGGAGATGGCTAGAGTGTGACATCTGCGCGTTATACGAGTTTTGCAGCTCCAGAATCTGTTCCTGCATTTCCAGTATCATGTCATCGCGTCTCTTCAGCTGCTGCCTTAGTTTCTGTATTACTTCTCGTTTGCTGAAAATGTCTGAGCTGGTTTCAGATACGCAAGGAGAATCTGAGCAGTTTGAATGGTGATTGTATGGTTTTGGGGGAAGTTCCAAGCGATCAGGAGAAGTTGCCCACATGATTCCATTCTCTTTGCTCAATGATGGGGCAGGAACCGTCGCAAGAGGCAGCGAAGTGTCAGATGCGGATATCATTTGCTCGTTTGTCACCTCTTTTCCATCCACATTCTCAGTTCCTATAAAAATAAAAAAGCAAAGCCTGATAAGAACCACACACGACTGGTTGCTCTGGACTACATGGATAGTGGAACTCAGAGATTTTCCAAGGAGAAAACATAACTCAGATCTGGATGGAATAGTACAAAACTTGTAACTATGCTTAACCAGGTCTTGGTCGATGACAAAACTAGTAACTATTGTTAGCATTCAGCCACTAGACACAGCCATCATTGGAGAAAATCTGCTTCCCTAGTTGCCAGCCCAATTGATGCCACAACGAAACAAGAGATATTCGATTCAACCAGCTATTGCAAGGTGGCAAATCTTGTAACTATGTTACTCATTCGACAACTTCGAATTGGATTTCCCTAGTTGCCAAATACATCATTAGGTAAGATCATAGAGGCTAGAACTCTGTAGCAACATCTATACATTCTCCCAACTAGATTTTACTATATATGACGCATCGATTTCACTTCACATGTTGATGAAAGGAAACCCAGTAAGAGATGATGCGAGGCCAAGACACAAGCATAGAGCGTTTTTTATGGCTTGAACAAATATGTATGAGAAATGAAAAAAAAAAACAGAAAGTGACAAAGTCACACCTGGAATGGAGCGGAAGCAACAATAATCATTATTGTGTGTACAGGAAGATGTGTTAGAGTGCAAGCAACAGCTTGTAGATTTTTGCCTCTCAGATGTTCCATTAGCTGAACAAGAGACTTTCATTAAGAGATTAAAAAACAATACTAGAACCAAGTTATAAACATGTTAAGCAACACAGGGATAAAGTACGTACGTTTTAATCCAGCAGAGCCATTCGATTGAGGTTTCCAATTAAGCGACTGCTTTAGTTTGTAGCCAAAGCGAATGGACAATGTGCTCAACAAGGCACCCCCTGCAATTAGCATCCAATTTGGCCCTTCACCACAAAATTTATCAGCTCGCTGATGCTTGGAAATGCCATTTCTTCGTGTACTCATTGTTAGAGAAAGTCAAAATGTCTCTATCATCCAAACATAACCTACATTAATGGATACAAGAATAAACCATCATCAACGAATCAGAATGAATTGGGCATATTTCATGAAGAAAAAAAAAGAAAACAAGAAACCTGGTGACAACTCAATAAAAACCACAGGTATACAGTTTTTAAATCACCAAATGCATAATACCCAACAAAGATGCCAGAAACTAGAATAAAAAATACCAGATATTGGGTACATCCAAAGAATCACGTTTTGAGCATTACCTCAAACACAATCAACTTGAGAAGGAAAAACAAAAAAATCTGAAATCATAGTAACACTGAAAGGAGAAAAACAAAAAAAAATGGTAGGAGATTCCAGTTGGTGGCAATACATGATATTACAGCTAAGAATCTCTAAGTCAAACATTCTCAGTTGAGAAGTATACGAACGAATCCATGGAATCAACTAGGAGCGCAGACTCTACCTCAAAAAAATCAAATGCAACAAAAATGGAGCTCCCTGAAAGATTAATCAAAATGTTGATTCCATGAGATTTGATTAGACATAAAACCAACATAACTAAGTCTCCACTATATCCCGAAACAGCAAATAGAGAAGAAGAGATACTTGACTTGAACATGAAGCAAATTAAAAATAAAAACCACTCTTAATTTTTCGATTAATCGCTATCCCAACAAGCCTAAAGCAACACAACAATCGTAGTCAGAAAGAGAATAAGGAATTTCACAAATCCGAGGGCACAGCTCAAAATAGATTCTCCGACGAATAAAAAATCAGTGAGCGAGCAAAGCACCCCAAAAGGGAAGAGTATAGAGGAGTAAAACCGCTTAAAAAACCTCATAGACAGCAGAAAATGGGCATTAGGGCTCCATAGTTTCCCTCTCCAAACAGAAAATTTCTCCCGCTTGAGTTTTTCAATGTTTGATGTGTGGTCCTTTCAAGCTTCGAGAATCAAAAAAAATCGCTGAGAGAGAAATAAAATTCCGTGGAGAATCGCAGAGTCTCCGACGATGATGTTACAGTAAAACCCCCGGAGAGGAAAGAGAGAAGCGAAGTGGAGGGGAAGAGGTTGAAGAGACGGCGCCTCACAGTCACAGCTCCTTTTTTTTTTTTCCTTCCACTGTTAATTCATTTATTAAAAATTAAAAAACAAAAATTCACGCACGCGTCAACCACGTCCCATGGATGACGCTCACGGTGGTTAACAAACTCAGCTCTTATGTTTTTTTTTTACGATTCCATTTTTTTTAGAAATGAATTTTTTTATATATTTGAGTATGAACATTTGACAACTTTATCCATGTGTAAATTTTTGCACTTTCTGTTGATTATTAGTTTATTCTATTTTAAGTCCTAATGGAACACAACTAATAACTACTACCAGCTAATGAGTGATATTTTTTTTTTGTCTTCTACACTATGTGACAACTAACAAATTAATTGGTCCTTCCTTCCCTAACGATTTCTTCCTTACAAATATCAAAACCTGACTTACATAAGTGCCAAATTAAATTTTAGCAACCCTTCTTTCTTTTTCCTTAAGAACAAGTAACCAACTTTCTCGTAAAAACTTCAACTGAAATTCTACATTTAACCAATTTAGCCTTGAGACACGAACGATATTGTATGACTTGGCAACTTTCGAACATCCACTTCACCAAGAGAAAAACAGTGGAATAAATCATAATTGACACACAAAAAAGAGCCCAAAACAATGTAGTCAGGAGAGAAGTTTCCCCGGAGAAGTTCAAATATTTTTGAACAAAGATTCATATTTTTTTCTCGGGGAACCAAAAGAGGGTAGTAAGAATGCACAATGCCTAACCTTCTTCACCTACAAAATGTTTGGGAGCTGCGAGTCCAGTCTCTGCTGCAACTCTTTCACCTTCTGCAATAGCTCCGTTTTCTGCTCCTTATAGCTCCTAAGTAGATACTCTTTCCCGTCTATGACCTCTTTAAGCTCACCCACTTCTTTTCTCAACATCTCTATTCTTTCTCCATCCCTTGTTCCATTTTCGGGTGACTCATAGTTGTTTTCGCTGTTCACATCGCCACTCCAACCATTGCTACCTGTGTGTCCCACGCAGTGATCAGCGATTGCCTTTCTCAGCCTCTGGACTTCTCTTTCTGATTCAAACAGATCCCTGTTTGTTGCGTCTAGCTGTGTTTGGACATGGCTAGAGTGTCCCATCTGGGAGTTTAGCGAGTTTTGCAGCTCTAGAATCTGTTCCTGCATTTCAACTACCATGTCATCACGTCTCTTTAGCTGTTGCCTCAGTTTCTGTATTACTTCTCGCTTGCTGAAGATGTCTGAACCGGATTCAGATACGCAAGGAGAATCTGAGCAGGTCGAATGATGATGGTATGCTTTCATGGGCACTTCCAGGTGATCAGGAGAAGATCCCCAGATGCCTGCATTATCTTTGCTATATGATGAAGCAGGAACTGTCACAAGAGGCAGAGAAGTACTGGACACTGCCATTTGCTCATTTGTAGCATGATTTTCTTCCCCATTCTCAGTTCCTGCATTAAAAAAAGAAGAAGCCAACTCTCAGAACATCCACACAAAACTTTTCTGCCATAACACAAGCAATCATTGGGGGGATACTGCCTTCATAGTTTCCAGCTCATTAATGTAAGTAGCTACTTAAATATGATTCCTGATTGGGCTACAAAGACATCTTTAGGCAAATATTGTTCCTGATTGGGCTACAAAGACATCATTATGCAAGATACTAGAGGCTACAAATTTGTAAGAACCATCTCCATATTCCTTCAACTAGTTTACAACATTTCATAAAATCTCCTTTCACTTCAAAGATACCATGAAACAAACCCACTAAGAGACTCTGTGAAGTGAAAATATGTATAAGCAAATTCAGCTGTAAGAATAACCAACTCCCAAACTCTCACCGGGAGTGCAGTGAAAGCAGCAATCATTATTCCGTTCACAGGGAGATGTGTTAGAATGCAAGCAGCATCCCAGAGATCTTCCTCTGTCAGATGTTCCATTGGCTGCACAACAACAACCTTCTGATAAGATAGAAAATACAACCGAATTCTAGGACATGTAAGCACTAAAAAACCAGATAAGTACGTTTAAATCCAGCAGTGGCATTGGAATGAGGTGGTTTGGAGTCAATAGACTGCTTTAATTTGTAGCCAAAGCGAATGGACAATGTGCTCAACAAGGCACCCCCTGCAATTAGAATCCAGTTTGGTCCTTCACCGCGAAAACTCTCAAACCGCTGATGCCTGGAAACGCCATTTCTTCGTGTAGTCATTGAAATAGAAAGTCAAAATGTCTCTATCATCCAAGCTTAACCTACATACTGAATATACAGGTATACTACCATTAAAGAAACTTTCAATTTAAAAATCAGCGAATGATAAAAATCACCAAATTTCTACAATCTCAAGAGGAAGCCACAGTCTCAAGTTTAGGCACAGAACAGAGGAATTTAATCGTAATCAAACCCTAAGCGAAGGAAAATGGCAATCAACAAAAAAAATCGAAGAACGATTCAAAACACCAAAAGTGAAGCTAATCGGAAAACAACCCTCATCGAAATGGGTAATACTGCAGGGCCGGTCCGGTTCAAAAACGAAATTTAGGGTTGCTAAGTCACAAGGATCAAGTAGATCGAGACAAATGAAAAAGCTAAAGTTTCTAGAACAATTATGATAATCAATGACCAAGAAGAAGAAGCTTACCAGGCTGTTTTAGAGAGACAGCGCGGCGCAGAGCCAGAAACAACTAATCAAAGGCCGTTGAAGCCTCTTTTTTTTTTTTTCTTTCACCCGCCGTGAAGCGCCCCAAATTATTATTATTTTGTCGTGGACACTGTAGTGTATGTTACTAGATATTTTATTTCTTAAGAATGTGGAATCATTTACGAATAGGCCTTTAACTTGGAAAAAAAATCACCATGTTGCTCAATAGCATAACAATTGTTTAATTTTCAGCTCTTGTTGTCGCAAAACTTTGATTATAATGCACAACCGATTAAACGATTGTTATTAAGCTGAATAATTCCTTGGTGATTTTGAATTATGTAAGTAGCAGTTGATGCGATTAACGGATTAAGAAATGAGATTAATATAGGATCAAGATTACGACAAAACGACGGATATATTTCCGTTTATTGGCGGCAGTGACTCTGGTGTACAGAGAAGACAGAGGTTATCTCTTTCCTAGAGAAATGTAAATTTGTTCTCAACCTATGCACTACTACTGCACTGTGAAGGTTTTAATATATTTCTATAAGTTTATTTGTTTATCGAACGAAATCCGGGCTGATGTATATCTATCTCTTCTTTGTTTTCTATGAATTTATTTTTGAATTGAAAATCCTTGGACTGGGAATAATGTGATTTGATCACTCTCCGAAAGAGGAGTGAGCATTCCATACTCTGGTTTGTACATTTATGCCCCTTAAATGGGATGAACTCAAAACCTTGAACACCAGATCAAAAGATTCAGAGGATCATATTCAAATGGTAAAGTCAGGTCCAGCTCAACCATATTAGTAAACCACATCAAAAATTCTGGTCAATATGAATCAATGGAAAGTCTTACCATTGAAAAATCTCCAATTAAAGTCATGTGGTGTTGTTTTAATTTAAAGTTTATGTTTAATATTTTTGGTGGTTAAATTATAAAGGGATTTAGTTTCACATTGGATAACAACACAAAATATGGACATAAAGATATAATTTGTTGATTAGTGCATACAATTTATTTTATTTTCTCATATGAAATTCAATATCAAATGTCTTTTGAACCTAATTATGTTTAATAAAAAGACCAATATCAAAATAATGCGAATAAAATATACAAGATAAAAAAATTAATGTTGAAAACGTATTTAAACCAAATCACGTTAGAACGATTTATATCTTGTTTTATCGTTCAGATACTTTTTCATAATAAGAATCAGTTTGTATGGTTTGTTTAGTGGCAACAAGATAGATCCAGCTATTTGATTGACAACTTGAGTTATGAAACTTATACCTTTATGTACATCTTCTTCTTCTTCATCTTCCTTCTTAAAAGAGTTTTATTTTTTGCTAGGTTATCCACTTAAACAAATACAATAAAGTTTTACATTTAAATATGCATTAGACAAGCATTTTGGTTAACTGTTATTTTTTTGTATTTGTTTAGGTGGATACTCTAACAAGAGATAAATCTATTCAAAATGTTTATTTAATTCATATCTAGTGTTATTAGTAGAAATTAAAGTAATTTATAACCAAAATCAGTTTAGTTAAATGAATAAAATTAAAGTAGTAAAACAACTGAATTAATGAAAATAAATATCTATTTAAGTTAATGTCTTAAATTTCAACATATAATTTATATATTTGTCATTTCTTTGTTATTTTGACTATACTATTATGTTTGCTTATATTTTACTTATATTTTGCTTATTTTTTGCTCATTTTTGTCAATATTTTTATAAACCATCATTAATTATTCTATTGCCATTTTCTGTATAAATTTTACATTTGTAATAATCTAGTGAATTAGGATTGTATAAGTAATTTGCAAGAGAAAAGTAAAAGATTTTGTTTAACTAGAGATGCAAATCAAGAAGAATATAAATCAAGAAACACATAGTCAAAGCACAAACCTTCAAATTCTTATCATGTTGCTGCAACGTTTCTTGATTGGAGATCCGTTAGACGACATTTGCAAGTTGCATCTCCCATGCAAAACGAAGGCGTAGTGCAACGAAGCCCACCGAGCCTTGAGCTTGAAGTTGGTTTCAATCTTGAGCTTGAAGGTGTTGTTCTGCATCTCCTTCTGAATCTGGTGTTGGAGAGAGAGCTTGTTTTCAGGAATGGTCGTGAAGAAACTCATTGTATCGATATTTTTCTCTTGAGCTGCAAGGTTGAATGGCTCTAACAACTGCCGAGAAAAGAGAAAGTGGTTGTAGTAGACATTAGCAGATCCACCATTTTCAGACCTCAAGAAGATATGTTTGTTGCGGTTCTCTAAAGTTGAGGAGATCATTAGGTTGAGGTTGAGGCCGTCGACGTTGAGCTTCGCATCTTGGATGGTGTACTCGGGGATCCTTGGTCTAACTACCATGATGGCAATCGGAGGTGGAACGAAGTCTAGTTTCAGAAGAGGTATGGTGAACTCCATACGTGATTGTACCTTAGAGTTTCATACTCTTTAACATTCTGTATTGGGGTATTGGATTAGGATTCTTATCAAATCTTTGTATTAAGCAGATCTTAAGGTACGGAAGCCAGCCATTGAAACACATACATAGTCAAAGCTTACAAAACATAAACAACCTAGAAGAAGAACTGATACACAAGATACATTACCTTCAAATCTTTATCTTTGTGGTGCAGTGATTCGTAATTGGGAATCCATTTGGTGGAGAAGACATTTGAAGATGGCATCTCCCAAGCAAACTGAATGTGTAATGCAGTGAAGCCCAAGTAGCCTTGAGTTTGAAGGTGGTTACGATCTGCAGATCAACCCTCAAATGAAGTTGGATTCAGATCATTTTTTTTTTTTTTTGTTGAAACAACAATTTTTCTATTATGTTCTTGTAAGGATTTTACCTATTAAACATAAATTTATTTATTGCAACCCCATTTATTGTGTTTGCTTACCCTCCCATATATATGTATGTATGTGTTAATTTTGTCGTGCTTCGATATTAGCTCGCTGATTCAAAAGATCAAACGGATTACAACGATAGATATGAGTTCAAGGAACTCTAAGTTTAGTAAAACAATGGAGAGAAATGATTCAACAAATAGGATTATTAAGTTGAAATCATCAAACAGCGTTCTTATTCCGTGAAATCAAGAGATTATTAAGCTGCCTTGTCTTACAAGAAAGAAAGAAAGAAAAAAAAAAAAAAAGGGAAGAAGAGGTACATGTTTTGGTTTCTTCTTTGATACGAGATCAAAAACACAATCACAAATCTGCTAATTGTTATAATTTTTTTATCTAGGAGAACAAAAAAATTTGGAGAATAAGAAGTGAAGAAGCATTTTGTAATGGCGTGAAGAACGCTGAATACAGTCCAAGATTAAGAAATGAGATTAATATTACACGAAAAATACGACGGATATATTTCCGTCTATTGGCGGCAGTCTCTAGGGCACTATGAAGGTGTAAATTATGTATACATCTCTTTAGATTTATTTGTTTATCGAACAAAATCGGGGACGATTTTTATATCTATCTATATCTTCGTTGTTTTCTATGAATTTATTTTCGAATTGAAAATCCTTGGGACTGGATACAATGTGACATTGAGTCCATTACATGGATATAATAAACCGAAGCAGATATTGAACCTAATAATACACGTACCAACTTCCTCTCTACCACAATAATCTCTCACACCGAACCAACCAAACAAAAAAGAGTCATTTCCGTCAATGCCTCGTGAAAATCATTGTGACCACTACTCTTTTTCCTTCTTCTTTTTTTTTTTTTTTTTTCCTTTTTGGGACATCAGATATTTATTATTGAATGGTAAAAACCCCAAAGTCTCATCCCCTTTACAACTAATCACCTAATCACACACACCTGATGAAGGAACAAACAACTCAAGACTGATCCTTTCAAAGCAAGAAGATGTACATAAGCCAATGCTAAGTCGTAGACATTGATTCAAGTTTTTCATGTAGATCAAAATTTAATCAAACACTCAGATGCAACAAAACTTACAAATGCTTGCTTAGTCTATTGGGTGCTTATCAATTTGACGAGATGTGTAGTGCGCAGAAAGCAAAAGCAGAGAAAGAAAAGCGCTGGCCACGAATATTGCATCAAACCATCGATGATAGAAATCAAACTGAATATCTCCGCCTAACACATCTGTTATTATCCCTCTGTGCCAACATAAACAGCTTTCAGTTATAAACTTATAATCCACTTTCCATCGTTTCAACAGAAGAAAGATTGTCGATAACGGCGCAGGCAGCAATTATTATTCTAGTATTATCTTACTTTAATTAAGATTAGAGAACTTTGCGTACCTGTACTCATTTCTCAAACTTTTTCTTATAAGAAGAATGGAAGACAAAAAGTACATTCCCATGATTTCAGATAGAAAAAGCACAACATTGCTTGAAGATCCACTCCCTACCCTCGACACTGCAAAGAAGAACTGTACAATCGAAAAAAACTCCCCAAGTCAGTCACCAAAACGCATAACAGTATTCAAAACAAAAGCTTTCAGCAAAATGTAAAATCACTATACTATTGCCAATCAAGTAAGTAGCCATCAATTGAATATAATGAAATTTGTTTTATAGTTAGGTTGAAACTAAATTGAGTAGTTCCATCATGCTACTGCAACATATACTCAATTAAATCACTCCACATCTTCTACTCCTAGGATATACATTCATATGCTTTGCTTAAATAATCAATTGACTGTCACAAGGAAAGTTAGCACCAGCCAAAAGAAGTGAAAGACTCCGTCTAATATTAAACATGATAATGCCAGAGCAAGTTTTTCATAGACACCATAGCTCCAAAATAAGTGGATAACATACAAGATCGTATAAAGACGAATGGGAGAAATTTAAAAGCTAAAATCACAACTCACCTTCATCAGATTTGTCAAGAATCCCCTCACTGATATCACGATCAACATCCCAATAAATAACAGGGAAATATACTGAAAATAATAAAGACAGTGAGAGAATCAGACCTACATATGGTAATTTGAGAACCATATAAGCATTTTTCAAGATAAAAAGTCATCTAGTGTAACAAGGTCTAAGAAATTCCCATCCCATCAAAGGCTCTATGAAAGTAGAGTTATTAATAAGAAAAATTAATCCTATAGCTTTTCATCTGGAAGATATGTTGTAAGGAGAAAGATAAAAAGCCTAGTTGCATTTCTTTGGATCTACTACTCCATACATCAAAAATCCAAAGTCACGCAAACCTGTGAGAGCAATGCCGCATCTACTCCTATATCAAAGAACTGCAAGAATATGCTGATCATCATCGTGACAGGATCTTTCGTGCCTGCCTGTAAACAAGCTAATCACTATTCCAGGTCGTAAAAAGTGAACAAATGATGATAACGCTGCAAGTTTTCATCATAAAGTGTATAAGACAACATGGGTATGAGAATACCTCCTTGAAAACGACACTTTGTAGAGACTGCAGATAAAACAAAGAAAAAATAGAGAAGTTAGAGATACTAGTTCAAACTTACAATAGAGAACATTTCACAAGATATATCAGGGACATTTCCATCTAATAAACCATTACTGTTCTGATAACAGCTTTAAACTGCACATCCCACAACCAACAGGGTAAAGATGTCCACAAAGTATAAATCTATCCATCAATTGAGATCTATGAAAATTATGTAGGATGCCCATTATGCATAGAGAACGCTCTCCTTTCCAAGAAGTAAAGAAGTTCAGACAAAGGAACTCCTTAATTTTGACCTCTGTATCAATCTATTACAAAAACTAACACTGCCATTGTCACATCCAGGAAGAGTTTAACATAGTCTTGCAATGCTAGGATAACATAGAGTTAAAATTACTAAAGGCTAGCACCTCACATAAAGACAAACAAAATTTACCTTTAACATCTTATACACACAGTAAATGGAACACGCATAGCCAAGTAAGTTCTGCACATGACCCTTCCAAGTTCGAGAAAAAGCAGCAGCATCCTGCAAATGAAATGAAGTAAGATAAGTGCATCAAATGTTTATATTACTACGTAACAAGACCACCAAGTAATAACCTAACTAATAAGTAAATAGTCGAAGATGTCATTGCCATGCCGATGAGTAAAATTCGGTATTCAAATTAAAAATTAATGGCAAAGTGCTGGAAGGGAACCTTTGCTTGGCGGAGTTCATAAATTTCCAAGAATAGCTGCTTTGACAGCTCTTCTAAACCTTCCACCTCCGCCTCCATTAGTTTAATATCTGCATAAGAAAAACATCAATGAATTTGGGGAGATATCACTAGATAGTAATTAAAATGCTGACCTCCTATCTCATCTTATTATGTAGTATGCACACTAAAAAATGTTAAAAGGAGAATACATAGTCCTATGCCAACCTATAATCTGGCAACAGGGGGCAAACTGTAACAACTCAGCAACTTTATTATCCCAACAATATACGGGCTGAACTGATCTCAAGTTACTCGAATACTTCTTTACTAAATTAAAGGTCTCATTTGTAATTTTGTATGTAAGTATCCCTCTTTGGTAAGAAAGCTATTGTTCTGCAATTCATCTTTTTCTCAATGCTGTTGGTTTAATCACTGAACTACTTAGTATATCGCCACAACTAAATTGTAAAAGTACCCTAACCTCATTCTCATTCTACTCTAGCCAACACCACCTAACATGAGCAAACCATTCTCGTGCTTTACATTCTTAAGAATCTTAATTGTCTGTTTCCTACTACAATATTCTACATTCTCCTACGGTGGATGATGATCTCCTGATGACGCAAAAATAAAATAAAAAAATTGACAATCAGAGTAGTCTGGACTTTATTTTCGTTCTGCTCTTTAATAGCACTGGCAAGCAAGACATGGAGTAAGGTGCTCATGAGAAACCAACCTATTTTCTATTGAAACATCTAGCTTTTTCCAGCTCACAGAAACAAGGTGAAAATTATTCAGATGAGTTACTTCACATAAAGAAACACCTAATGGAGTCAAAGATAATGCACATATAAAATCACTCGTAGAAAGATAATGTTGTGCATGCACAACTGCACTAAATTATATAAACTGACCTTGCTCCTTCTGGTCATCTTGAACCGATCGCACAACAGTCCCGACAAATCTTCTGAAGAAAGATTTACCCTTTTGATGCTGGAAGCCAAAAGCACCAGATGATTACTTCCTAAGCTAATTTCAGAATTAGAAAAAGCATAATTACGAAATATTTATTATCAGTCTATGTCTAATAAAACTAATGTGGAAACATTGATCTATGGCATTTAAACTGATGATGCATAGATAAGGAAGTATTTTCATACAAAAGTCATTTCAGAGTCTGAAGAGCATTTTGATACAGAAGTACAGAAATACACAGATCTGATAAGAATCCTAACCCAATACAGAATGTTAAAGAGTATGAAACTCTAAGGTACAATCACGTATGGAGTTCACTAGTATAGAAGACAGAACCATACCTCTTCTGATACTAGACTTCGTTCCACCTCCACTTGACATAAAATAATTTTCTTCTTCTTAGCTATGCAAGTCTCCATTGATTGCATCAGTTGCCTTTCCAGCGATTTTATTTCTGATTCTTCAATCTCCCTATATGTTTCCAGAGAGAAAGATAGACAGGAAAACGTGCTGTTAGATCACAAATTTTCCAATCCAGCTGGTTCTATCAGTGTAGATCCATTTACATCACAGAAGATGAAAAGCTTCATTCAGAGTTCAGCTACTTCTAATCAAAATCCACAGTATCATTTGCAATAAGAATAACGCACAAGGTAGAAGAAGAAAATATAATAACAATTATATAGGGAAGTACCTAATGAAGAGCGATATATAACTGTAGGGCAGATTAACAGCTCCAAAACCTGATAAGACGGCCATGAGGGTCACACCAATGACCCCGATTCTGCTGACCAGTTGAGGCATTGAAAAGAAACCTTTCAAGATAAAAGGGTGTTTCAGTAAAATAGTCCAACAAGCGGGTGACAAGATCTTAAGCATTGAAAATAAAAAGAACCAAGAGCGTTTGTATATACAAAAGCAACTGTCAAGCAGCACAAGCATAAAGAAGGCAGGATGATTGAACCTGCGAATTTCTTCTGAAGATATTTTCTACAGTCAGGCAATCATAGTCAGTGTCAACATGCTCAGATTCTCATTTCAAGTTAAAACAACATATCCCTACTCCACACATTCAGAAGTACACATTGTTCATAATAATGTTAATAAGATCTAACTGAAACTTCAGATCAACTTGTTTCTTGCTTATACAGTGTTGAAGGGAGAAAGAGTGTGAAACTCAAGAGGTACCTTTGTCTGAAGGCATAGGAAAATGAATTCCCATGCGCCAGAAAGCATAAAGGAACGCTGTCAAGAATAACAAGGCCCCAACAGCAGCACGTTCCCTTCTAACACCTGAAATTGATGGTTTTAAGTATATTTAAAAAAAAAAAAAAAGGTAAAAACATGTGGTGCTACGATATTTAATTAAAAACGAAAGATTTATAAGTAAAAGGCTTACCAGTATTGCGAAGCATCAAATAACAATGATAATAAGGTAACATGAAAACAAGGAGCACTATCAAACAAAAGAGATCCACCTTCCAGTTTACCATCCTTGCCCTGCAAACCAAAAATAAATAATCTCAATAGAAATTACCAAGCCTTGAGCCAATTTTCTAACCTGATAAAAAGTGTTATTGGTCTCATGATATCTAAAATGATGCAATTGTCAAAGCTCAATGACTATATTCACAACACTTTCATATTGTGTCAAATGACAAATTCCATCTATGATATTACACATTCAGCTGCAGGAACCATCTATAAGGAAGGAACTAGGAAGTGAAGCAAAACGAATTCGGAAAACAAACTTGCTAATCGAATTTGAAAGCTTACTCTCTAGATAAAACAGGGATGATTTCGAAGAGAACGAGCTGTAAAAGGTTGCAAGAGAAAGCGAAGACGACGCTGAAAATGATTTGAACCAAAGCTCGCTTCTCTTCGTACTCCTTGTAAAGCCTCCGATTGAGAAACCAGAGACCAGCCGATCCTAAGAGACACAGAGATCCAATCACCAACATTCCCTCGAAGATCCCCCATCCGTAACCCATCTCTCTCTAACAAGGAAACAAACAAACTCAGATCTCTTTCTCTCTCTCACCAACACTCTCTCATCAGAGTCTCAAGCTTCTGCTCGACGAACGGTGGTTCCAAAATTGGTTTTATTTCTTTTTGCCCGTTTCAAAGCTTGATACATTAAACCACACTAAACCGGATCTCCGTACCAAATTTATTATTTTGTTTTTGTGCGACTGATCGATCACCCAAATCAAACAACAGAACTCACATTACTAACACCTCGTTCCCGCCCAAACCTACCTCAGGGCTAAAATTATCAAAGTTTTGAGCTTTGAAGTTTTGAGCTTTGAAGCAACCAGAGTTCTCATTTTTTTTTTTTTTAAATCGAATTTTGCAATGATGCTAAGTCAATCTTCTGAGTTTTCATTTTCTTGAATAAATGATGCAGTATCGATCTATGTATTATTTGTTTCTCCTTCTGCACTCAACTAACTCAGCTTGTTTATAAAGACAACAGTTATTGAACACATACATTTCTGTGCCCTATTTGTTAAAAGCTGAAAGTTTTGTTTCTTGTTTTCAAAGGTCAAGTAGAGAAACATAACAGTGATGTTTATGAGGAGAGATTTCAGAGAAAATTCCGTGTGCATGGACCAAAATTGTTTAATTAGGAAAGGTAAACAAGATAGCTTACTCATTTTCTCCAATGTATTGTATACTCAATATTATCAAAGCCAAAATACAATATTGTCAATGTCAAAATAGTACAAAATACAGATACTCCACTCATAGCTTGCAAACTTTGAAGACTAAAAATAAATGGAGAAATTGAAATAAACAATGAGGACAAAACTCTGAAGAAAGAAACATATAGCCCGCCAAAACAGGAAAACACCCACTACCCTCAAATGCTAATTTGGATATTTAGAAAAGAAAAAGAAAAAAAAAACAAGATTTGAGACTCAAATGAGCAAAGAATAGACTTCAAAAGAAAAACAAAAACTGAAGATAGCTTCTGAGATATAAATATATCACAAGCGACAATCAACTAGTAGATGCAAACGCAGCAAGAACGTTTGCTTGAGAAGGCGGTAGACTACTTATTAATGGCTGCAACTGATTCCCATAAACCGAGATTAAGTGGGAGAAAGTTCTGCCTACAATTGCTTTCACTTCAACTTTTTCGACTGGCGACTCCAGTACTTGCCCAAAGATTTTAACCAGCTCCGGAACATGAGAGAAGATCTGATTTTGCATCCAAGCAAAATAATTTTACCAGATGCACCCTAAGTAATGTTTAGCCAAAGGTGAAAATTTTGCATTGAGAAAAATACCTGTGGATTGGATGACGAAACAAGGGAATATATACAGCTGTAAACAGCCATGGACTCCTCTTGATCTTCCTTTAGAGGTAGACCTCTTAGGAACACTGGAAGTACCTGGATTATAAAAATTAGGGATGAGTACTGTGTTTTATAAGGTTTCAGGAAGTAAGCGAAAATAAATGAAAATGGCCTAGCCCCAAGATCATACTTGATTTAGCGGGACTAGTTGAGGATGAACAACAATCATCCTTGCGGTAGCACCTGCTGCATTATCCCTAACAGCAAGGTCTGGTTCTGAATCCCCGAAAAGCGGGGAAATTCCGCGTAGCACATCACCAAAATATCTGGTATTGAGTCAAAGGGAGACAAGTATAGCATGGCTGACAATTCTCATATTCTTCCAAAACAGAAGGATGATGAATGAGCATAGAAATCAATGGATAAAATTCTTTACGACTAGAGTAGAGTTGAAGCATGTAACACGAAAAGGATACTTAAGAGCAATTTCACCCCCGTTTTTGCATAGCTCTCCAACACAGAAAGCTGCATTCCTTCTATTGGTTGCTTCTGGTGAGCCCAATTCTTTGAGCACCAACGGCATTAATCTCTGCAAAAAAATACTCCCAATAGTTGGTTTAATACAGCTCAAACACCAATCATAGAGAATATAAGATGAGGAAACTTACATCAACATAGGCAGAGATTGGAGGACCCATGTCTTGAGCAACTTCAGCGAGACTAGCAACTACCATTGTCCTATCCTGTGGGGGACGTGAAGCTTTCTACAGACACAAGAAGTGAAACAGTAAGTGCCTAAATTTTCAATGGAAGAAGTTATGTCAATGAATAATGTATTCACTAATACCCACCGCAAATTTCATCAACGGCTCAAAGAATTTGGCAAAGACAGGTTCAAATTGAGAACCCATACACTTTGCAAAGGCGGGAAGGAGGTCAGAAACTGCATCCATGAGGACCTCATCATGTCCAGTATCATCATCATCAATATCACTCTCATCTTCTAACTGCTGGCAAGCTGCTTTCTCCGTCAGCAGTAGCAATGCCGCGTCAACAAGAGGTGATAAATCTAGAAACCATTGACAGCATATGATACATGAGTAAGGATCATTTAAATATCCTGAAAATAATTTTACTTCAAATTGACTCCAACAAGAATAGACACCCACACTTTTGAATGGCTACGTAACCATAATCCTTCATGATATCGGCTACACTCATGCAAGCCTGAGCAACAACCTCCTTGTCGTCATCTTCAGTCATAGTTTTGATATAATTATTCATAACTGTATCTGCGATGGACAAAAATTGTTTCAATATCTTCCCGTCATTCTTGTGGTTAATCAAATAAGATGTTGTGTAGTATGTGTTACCAAGAATTTCATTTGCCTTCCCAGTTCCATCCTACGAAAGAGCCAAACATTAAGAAAAAAGGAAACTACCATGGCTGGAATTTAGATAGGATTGAGTTTAGATATATGCATGATCAAGTTCTTACATTATGAGTCTGGAAGATAGCATGCGCTGCAGCCAATATATCTGCAATTCCAACAGATAAAGAATTATAAGTTTAGAAACTCAAATTAGAATGACAAACTGTAAGGTCCTCTGAGTCAGCATAGTTCCAGCTCAGTAAAAACAATGACAATCAATGGGACAGAATATCAAATAATCAACAGATTGAAAACTCACGTTTCAATCCAGTAACTGCTTGAAGCCGAACATCTTCATGAAAATATGCAGAATGTTTGTCCATAATCTTCAATGATTCCTCGAGGTAGCTTATACGTTAGTTAAGGAGGCATAAAAAAGGTTTCTTGTAAAAAGTCCAAAGCAGAAAACCGTTAAGGGGAAGTTGAAGGATACGGTGCAAAAGAAGATTTAGTGTGGAGTGCAAACAGGCCAAGAGCTTGAGTTGCAGCTGCCTTTTCATCCAAAACTCCTGTTCTAACGCTAATGTTCCGAACTCTGGGCTCATCATGAGCATCATCATCAGAGGATACCCCGCCAAAATCATTGACATTTTCATCGTCTGACTCATCAATGTCCACTGCAGATCCATCATCAAGATTGCACGAAGCAAATACTAATGGCATAACGCGAGGCAAATACTGCGGGAGAAAAACTTTGTTTACTTTAAACCTAATCACTGGAGTCAAAGCTTTTATGAAGTCTATTTGAAAGAAATGTACCTGGGCAAAAGTGTCATCCAATATTTCAGCTACGTTGCTGAAGAATCCATGAGTATATTCTCGCAACTCACTGAAATCCAATTCAAATCCCTGGTATTTTGTGATTGTGAGCTCTTTCTTCCTCAAAACAGCATATATAGTTCAAAGATACAGAATATAGACATATAGTAAGGCAATTACTGATATTGCAGCATCAATGAAAGGTGGCAAAATGGCCTCCATTCCTTTTCTCCCAACAGACATTGCAACAATCCCTACAAGCTCAGTAGACCTGGCACGGGCACGAAGATCCTCGTCTTTGGTGAGCACCATGAAAAACTTCATCAACTCTAGAACCCTCTCAGCATATGGATTGAAAGCTTGCTCTGCAGCAGCAGCAACCGACCCAATTGCAGACTGCAATCAAGTAGCACGAAGATTAAATCAATATTTCAGATAGCAGTTCAAAAGAAAATCAGGCAAAGATTGTCAGTGTACCATGCATGTCTCTTGTAGATTACGCGGACTATTTTCAAGGGCTGCCATAAGCTTCCCCATTAAATGATCAAGCAACGGAACAATTTCCTCTCCCATGTTCTCACAGAATGCTGCTAAAGCATAGTGTGACTTTTCCTGTAGACAATAATGAGAAATGTTACTAATAAACTTAGGTGACAATCATGGCAGAAAGGTGCATTTTAAAAAAAAAACACAAACCACACTCAGTTCATTGCTTTAAATTTTACCTTCACTTCCTCAGATGTATCGTCAATCGCATTCAATAGGCATGGAAGGACACTCTGATAGTGAGACAGGATTTCGGGCTGAAGATGCTCGGCGAATTGGCCAATTGCAAAAGATGCAGCCCCTCGAACCATTAGCTCAGGGTCTCTTAAAGCTCCTAAGACTATATTAAGAACAATGTCCAGCTTCTCTTTCATCAGATCAAAGCAACCCTCTGATATAACACCTAGAGCTGTTACAGATGCTTCCCGAAACTTCAGGTTTGTACTTTGACTATGCATGGAAGCAAATTCAAGAACAGGGAGGAATACATGCTTTGGCAGGTTCATAGCTAGAGTGTCAATAACTTCAGCAGCTGCACGATCAGGAGCAAGATCATCATCGTCCTCTTGATCAGATGACTCAGCAAGTAAAGGGCACATAACTTGCAAAACTGGTATGACTAGCTTATATTTTTTAAGGGAATTGTATTTGTACTTTGCCAACCATGAAACTATTTGGATTGCCTGGCAAATGAATGAAGTAAGGCATAAGTAATCATAACATCACAATTCGAACCTATTTCAAGCAAAAGAGAATAATTCTTCAAACCTGGTGACGGGTGCTACTTTCCAGGTTTTGATTACAGGAAACTTCAAGAGAGAACTGCACAATTGATTTGACAGAATCTCCAAGAAGGGGAGCAGGAGATTCAATCAGCTCATCAAAAATTTCAAAAGCAAGTATAGCAACATCCTCCTCTCCAGATGCAATACATTTCCTTGATACATCCAATATACTGGGAATGAAATCTCGGAACTTGACCTGATAGAAATGACATAAGCACACATTCCAAATCAGTCTTTAAACTATCTTAAAACAAAATACAGCTATGCATTAGATACTATGGACATTTGAACATGTCTATAACATTAACAAGAAAGAGAAAGTTGCTAGATTTACCACTTCATCCCCGTCGTTGGTGAATTCAAGAAAAGAACCAACCGCCCTGATAAATTACAGAAGCTTGTAAAGAGTAGAGATAAAGGTCCAAGAAACGAGCAACATTTATACATTCCAGAGAAAGAAAAAATTACTTGAGAGCAGCAACTCTGACTCGACTACTGCTTTCATCCTGCATACACTTAAGAAGAAGAGCCTGCAACTCGGCAAAGTATGGCCTAAATGTGTTCCCAATCGTTTCTGTCAAAGAGCTGAAAAGAATCAATGCTACCTATAAACAACAAAATAAGATTTTTACATCAACGAACAAAAAAAAAACATCAAATAGACAAAATGAGACAGAGAATTTCAGAGAGAAGTTACTTCACGATGATCTTCTTGAGCACTCTGACTACACTGGAAGAGAAAGGTTAATAAATCAGGCCACTCTCCAGCTGGAACAGCGTACTTGGCTACTACACTCACAACATTGGCACTCGCACGCCTCACCGGTGGACTGTAAAATTTCAATAAGAATTCAAAAAACTCAAATCCCAATTGAAACAATAGAAGAGGAAAAGAGAGAGAGATAAACCTATTCTCAACAGTGATACTCTCGATTAAGGATTGCTTAACATGCTGCTTAAGCTGAGGAGAAAGCTTAGCCCAATGTCCTGTAATCCTTTTGCGGAGGAGGACGGCGGCGAGCTGGCGGACGTTGGGGGTTTTAGCGGTGCGGAGATGCTGAACAAGAGCGGGAACAACTTGAGGATCTTTGGCAAGACGTTTGATCTGATCCTCTGCTTGACGCCGAGCATCATTGTCTGGCATGAGAAATTGGATCAAGAGAAGTTCGAGAGATTGCGCCATAGTTTGTTTGTTGATTGATCTCTCTTCTCTTCCCCAAGCAGACAGAACAGAGGCTGCTCAAGTTGTGGGAGTAGACAGCGAATAGGGTTTTTCTAATTTTTGCCCTTTTTATTTAATTTGCGAGGGTTTTGTAATATTTTTATTCACTTTTCTATTGGTCGGTATCTTATTTTTGGTGGTAAACTTAATTATGGAGTTTGACTAAACTTGTTGGCGCCTACTGGAGTGATTAAATCCTACTTATGGTTAGAGACCACCAGACTAATTAACTCGAAAATTTCTTCCAAAAGTTATACGAAATTCTTACAAAATCATTTGTTTATAAACAATTGTGCTCCACGAATGTGTTTTAAATATCAGGAAAAAAAAAAACAGAGATTCAACAATGTGAAACGTTTCTTATCGACTGCAACCCAAAAACGCTGAAGAACAGCAACGAATGATTTTAACTTATAATTTGTAAAGAGTTACAAAAATCTCTTTATGAAACTGAGTAAAACAAACTATAAATTATGAGACCTATATGATTTTTATTGTTTTCTATAAAGCCGAAGATATATTACATCTCAATGTCTTCGAGTTCTGGTAAAGGGAACCTGAGAATAGCTGCAATTCCAGTCAGCTGTGCCAAGTCTGCAAAGTTCATCAACACTTATTAGCACAAAAACATAATCTAATCACAAACTTAACTAATATAAGAATAAAGGGCTAAAGAAGTAACACTAACGTTCCCCTGAAACATGCATCGCCGAAAATATAAAAGCCTCTCCTCCCGAATCTTTCACCGACTCCACCAAATTAACATACTTCTTCCTTGTTTTTACGTCAGAATTCCTGGACCAATATTACGTATTTGTAATGTCAGTCTCAATCAAGTTTGCCTCTTAAAACTACAAAAACGTTGAAACTGGTATTCCCTTCCATTACTAAACCTGAAAAGCTCGTCCGTAATGAGAAGCGTTTGGATTGCCATTCGTTCATTAGCAACTTCCACGTGTTTTGGTCCATAGCATGCCCGATCTGGATCCTGGATTAAAAAGCAAAAAGATATCAAGACATGATGAGAGATTCTTAAAAATGGATGAGAATATTTCTGTTCATTGCAAAAAAAAAAAAAAAAAAAACTGACATTTGACAGCATGGTGTGGAAATCGTTGAGAGCTTTGACCTGCAATAGGCAAATTCACATCAGGCAAGTGGGTCACAAAGGTACATTTCAAGAGCAAATGCAGATAACAGAGAGCACAAATACGATCTAGAAGAAGCTTCTTCCATCCATTTGTCCAGTTGGAGCAAAAACAAATATTACTAATCTATCCACTATTCATCTTACGAGAACTTTATCCACCAATATCTAGTTTATTACTACTGACCTCAGAGAGTGTTCTTTCTTAGACAAGATAAGAGCACATGATTATTATGGATACCACATCATGGTATGTTGCTTAGAAAATCCTAATGCTTCCCGGTGACCTAACTATAAGCTTTCCTTGTAACTAGACGACTACAGAACAGCATTTATTTGACAGGCCACAAATTCTATAAAACCAAAATGATTGAACTGCGCCTCTGAATAGCTGACTGGTTTGGTTTCACACGAATTCAAATAAGCAACTAGAACATATGATACCCAAAAGACGATAAAAATCCTTTTAAGCTAACCCAGTTTTGAATGAGCAATTCAAAAATATTGAAAAGATAACATATTAAATCACCTCTTTTGCTGCTTTAGTATCTTTGATCATATTCATCACGTTGGGAGCATGGAGAACCTCCCCCAGGCTATGTCTGTGCACCAAAACATAACGTCACAAATCGAAGAAATTTTGCATGAGCTGAATATCAGGCTGTTTAGTTTAGAAGTGAATGAGCTTTCAATGATATTTTTTAGCATGGCAGAACATTATTTTGACGGACTTCATGAACAATTTCACAGAAACACTACCTATATCCAGAATTTGTGTGCACCAATATTATACGTGATTTATTCTCAATAATAGGTCTCAGTTGTCTTCTTTCTGCTTCCAACAATAAGTGGCGATGAAACTGATCCTGAAACATGAAACAATCAAACGGTCATATGTGTCATATATGTATGGGCAATTTGAATGCCTGGTCCAGCTGCAATTTGAAAAATTATTAACCATGTAAATTTAGAAATAGTCTTTTGAGTGACCAAAAAAAACCTTTGTAAAGCCGGGACTTGCAACTACTGCACAGCGAACGACACTGAAGTCAACATGTTTCACAAAGGCCTGTGATATTGCAATAGACTTTTAGAAATGTGAAACTCTGGTGGGCTTTTTTTTGGTATGTTTTAGAAAGCATCAAAATTCTGAGAACTAAAACAAACCTGCAGAACATTCTCAAAGAATTTCTTCAAAGCCTACAGAAAAACAAAACAAGACATAAATTGAAGGAATAATATGAAAACGAATTTTGGGCCAATATATGACGAAACAGTAAAGGAACATACAGACTCATAACCAGCAATTGCCGGTCCATGCTTCCTAGGAATGGATGTTTCTATTCGTGCACGGCTACTTGTCACACTGCCAAACAAGACAACAAAGTAAAAACGAGCAGAATTAGATGATTTTATTTTACCCCTTTCACACTTGTTCAGCCAAAACTACCCAGGTGAAAAAATAGAACTACATGTCGTCAAAACAAAAATTAGGAAATAACAAATTTCACAGACAAAGGACTTTGTCACTGCAATCAGTACCTTCTCCCAACAAGGAAGATTTGTGCCAGTCCTTCTTGCATTAGAACTACAGCTAGATCAGCACTGGCAGCGGGATCTGTTCAAAAGGTAAGTGAGATAAATTTGAACCCAGAAGACGAAATGGGAGATAACATGAGATCAAAGCACATGGCATACTGAAACACTAGCTACTTAATTTGAAAAAGCCTTAACAAGTCACAGATCAAGTTTGTGAATAATTTGGCTGGAGGTTTTTTTAAAAGCGTGTTAAGGCAAGTACTTATGTGAAAGGGTTCAGATCTAGGCTTGTTGATGGATACACGAGGTCTCAGAGATTTCAAAATTGTCTATGAAAAATGCATTTCCGTCTGAACAGCCACATATAGATAGGAAATAAAAGTTCATACAAAAATAATATATATATCTAAAATGACTTGCAGACCTAAGAGCAAAAGATAAACTGGAGAAAGACGCAGATTCTGGAATATCGCATGAAAAAATTTGAAAACAAATGACTTGGATTTGATGTTTACACTAGACCACACGAAGACAGATCGTGGATCATGTGCCAACAATCAACACAGACACCTTCCCAGTTTTGTGACAATAAAAATTAGGAGGGTTGAATAAATGGAGAAGCATACCTGAGGCCTGCTTGAGTGTATCAAGAGCCATTGAGTCCCAAACTTCCTGCAAATGAGCCATGTACACACTAACGATTACAAATGAACCTTTAACATAAAAAGGGAATTCAAAGTTCAAATTAATCAGCAACACGGTAGCAGACTGCTACAGAATCAACATCAAGACCTGTGTACAGTGAGATAGCTTCTACCTAGTTTTTAAAACTATATATATGGAATCGTGCACTTAATAACCACAAGTAAAGGCAATTATATTTCTAGGCATTACAAAACAAATATTAATGGTTATCGAATATTTCATCCAAATTTTAAAGTGGCGCTGCATCTACAGATATTAGCTTGCAAATATTATCCACATTACGTCAGCATGCACTGCGTTACTCATAAAATAGAATCTAGATAGCAAGACACACCCTGTCACACTTACAAAGTAGAAATAGAACAGAACTTCTGGGGGATAAAAATAGTAAAAAAAAAGGACATCTACCTTTCTCAATACAAAAGGCCGTTTCAGCTCAAGCTCCAAAGTATGGAATGCACCAATCTGCGATACAACACAAGCTTCAGCACAGAAATATCTATAGGGTAAAAGCCAGTCTCGCATCTACCTTTACGTGCTCATTCTCCAGGATATTCTTCCCACGTATGCGCAAAACAGATCCGTCTTTGTCATAGTCCACCTCCTAATTGAACAAATAAAGAGAACTGAAGCCAATCAGATTCATTCCATGAAATAGACTAAGATATCTTCCACTGTCACGAGTAACAAGATTAAAGGGCAAACGACAACCATAAAAAGTGACATATGTAAGTAATATCGATTTTATTACGCAAATGTATAAAGCAATATAGTCGATTTATGGTCATTGTGAATTTAAGCATGATATTTGAAAAAAATAGGTTTTCACAATACAAAGGTATAAACAAATTTGCATACCAATCCCTTAGAATCATACCTCAACTTGTACTTCCAGCTTCAGTTTAACACGTTCAGAGTCTCTTCCCCCACCAGGTATCTCTCTCTGAACTTTTCTGATAGCAGGCAAGAAAAAATCGTAACTACGAACTCCTTGCATGATACTAAATTAATTAACCGAAGACCAATTCCCTTTTACTCCTTATGAATTTTCATGAAACTCTTACAACAAGTCAATGAACTTTTGTAATGTGATATATAATTCTAATGAGAAAAAGCAAAGCATGTTTGCCTAAACCTTCAATGGAAGTGGCTCAAGAAGTTAACAAGGACAACAACCATGTAAGAAAGAAAGGCAGTGAAAACCGAAAGGAGACCGTACCTGAAAGTGACAGCCATTACACTATCTCCCACCGCAATCAAGTTATAAGCATACCAGAGATCATCAGAGTCCTCTGCCACCATCTACCCTCAATTTAAGTTGCCAACACCCATAAGGACAAAAACAAAATTTCAGCAAAGAATTTGAATTGCCCTAGTTTATAACACGAGCTCAAAACTAATCCCAGATGAAGAAGGAACCAATCAAACCTTAACGCTTCCGGGTCCATTACGAACAAAATCCCTGCGAACGATCTTCATCTCTCAAGGTATCTCCACTAACAGAGTCTAGAGAGACATAAGGACAGAGATTAACACTAGTCTCGAAAAAGGTTCGATTTTTCAGTTCTCGGGTCACAGCAATTGAATCAAAAGAGAAGCCTATGCACCGGAATTGGTAAAATCGACAAAGCAACACGGTGAAGAAAGAGACATAATTTACAAACCTGGTTGGAAGAGTTACGGATACCGGACTCAGGCTCAGCTAGACTCCGGCTCCGGCTCGGCGATGGTGAGAACTTGTATCAGTGGTCGTAAGCTGCTGCAGAGATTCAATCGGTAGCAACGCAGTTTCGATGTTGAAGATTCGTTTCACGGCTTTTTAATGTCAATTACCTGTCCATAAAAATAAATATAAATATAAAAAAAAAAAACTTAGTAAAAAAAAGTAAATACTATTCAAATAGGGATAGAAAAAATCAGTTTGTACAGTGGAAAAAATAGAAATAGGAAGTTTTAATGAAAAGTAGAAATAAAAAATCGTAAATATTTGGAAAGTATGTCGAAAATTAATGAGAACAAAAAATTAAGCAAAAATTAAATATATTTGATATGTATAAAATGATTAAAACCGTCTATGATAGATATCTATGATTAATATAAAATTGTCTATTAAAATCATCTTTAAAACTAACATATAACAGGATATTGGTACTCCACTAGATATGTGTCATCAAAGATTAGGTCAGAGCCAAGATAACTAATATTTAACAATGATTTGATTCAGATTGTTACAATCGACTACAACTCATATCAAATTAAAAATTGGCTAACTTATATGATTCCATATTATTTTATTAAACCAATGTTATGTGACTGTATAAGATACATACACATAATAAACATCAGCCAAGTTGTGAACACAACAAGGCTTGCTATAATACTTAACAATTTGATAACCGATACTTTTTTGAGAAATTGCACTAGATAACCTAAAAAAAAAACAAAATTAAATATCTAACCTCTAACCCCCCTATTCACTCTCTTTCTCTTCCTATCTCTCTCCACCTTCTTTCTAAAAAACTAATTTTTCTTTTTTTTTGGGTTATTCACCTAAATCACCCTACTTTTTTTCTTTTCTTGACACCAATGACCAAACACAAACAGTAGTCTTTTTTATTAATAAATTATAATATCTCTTCATCGGAGAATAAGACAACAGATGAATAATATCTATTAATAATATTGACGATGCTACCTAGATCATAATTTTTAGTTTATGCAAGCCAAGTAGACAACCCATACAGTAGTTTTGTAAAGTTATCTTTAAAAATTTGCAGTGGCAAACAAATTATAATTCTAAAATTCAGTTCTAAAATATACATTATTTTACACTCATATACACGACTCATATATTATAAGCTAAACCGAATATTAAACGTATAAAATCAGTCAATTATGATTCACCATGACTTTTATTTGCAAGTTTAGCGGGAAAACACAACTAGACTTGACAAGTTTAACAGCATATTATTATTTGTAAGTTTGTATTTTATACTAATATATCAAAAATACTTTTCAATGTTTTTTTTTTAAATTTCTTTTGACAAAGCGTTGTAGTAAAATATAGCCAAGTAGTAGTACATTTGCTGGTCCCTCTAGAAGACAAGACAAGAAGTGTATATATGTAATTTTTTAGACAACGACGATTTGGTTTTGGTGGCTTATTTTAGTAAACAAAAAAAACATTTTTTTATTATAAAAGGTAGAGATTAGAGAGACAGCTAAACGCTAATGTGTAGTTATGCGCGTACGACGCGGTTAATTTTCTCTTCTTCTTTTTTTAATTAAACAAAAATATTAAAAAAAAAGAAACACGAGACCGTGTCACTAACTAACAGTAACAGAGACCTACTCGTATATAAAGAGATTAGAGAGATGTTCATTTCTCACAAGCCACATAAACACCAATCACACATCTCAATAAAAAAAAAATCAGAGACTTCTAGATCCTTCGTCTTCTTCTCTTGCAAATTCCTCTACCTGAATCTTCCAATATTTGTATATCGATCATGATCTCTGTTGTAATCATCGCTGAGTTACTAGTGGAGTACACGGCGGCTCTCGCGAAACTCACCGCCGGGATTCTTCCATCGAGACGGCGAGGCGATAGTAACGTTGTACGGATTGGTGGTTTCTCTCTGCCTTGTCCTTCTCCGTCGAGCAGTAATAGATCGTCGCCGATTCCAGATTTCTCTTCTCATCTCGTTGATTTCTGATCTGTGTAGACCACGAAAACGATTTTGAATTTTGATTTCGGATTTTCTTCTCTTTTTGATCTAATCGAAGATTGGACGGCTGAGATTTTTCCACGTGTGTCTCTTCTGTCTTTTATCTCTTCCTCTGGATTTTGAATCGCTTAGAGCTTTGTAAATCTGTATCGAAATTTAATAATAGAGATTATAATGTTTTGATGGAACTCCTCTCATCTTCTCCTGCGTTTCTCTATTCCTGATTTTACCTAACTATGATGACGAACTTGGGAACGATGGCTCATTTGACGATTTTATGGTCTCAAATTTGGATATAAGTCGCATTTGACTAATTAAGTGCATTAATTTATCTTTTTCACTCTGAATGTTCAACATACAGTATAGAGAAAATTTGTGGTCCTTTTGGACGGTTGAAATTTGAAAACAATACTAATTTAATTTAAACATTGGAAGATAAGAGGTAGGCAAACGGGATTTTGCGAGAATGAAAACAGATACCAGAATTCCAAAGTAAAAGAAATATATAAATTTATATATAACAATCATTAGCAAACTAAATGATAAGACAAGGTAATGATGAAAATTCAATAATTAAGTTTGTTTTTGTTTAGAAGAATTAAGAAACCAATAGCATCATTTACGAAAATGACAAGAAAATAAATCATACGTGGTTTTAGTCTTAGAAATTTATGTATGTTCTTGTCCCGTCTCATTACCAAACGGGAATTAAAATCTTGTTGCAAATGGAAATGCGAATTCGAAATCGATAATGAAAGTAGATGGGACGATCGACAACGAGATAGGATGTAAATTTGGTCCACACTTATCGGAAGGTGAACTTTAGCTTTCAGCAATTAAAGAAGTTGGCTATATTTTTCCATGGGTACACAGAATTCGTAGTATCAGCAAATAGTGAAGTTAGGGGTTTAACTCTAATACCTAGCAAAAAAATGTCTTACACATGTGATGTAATGTTTTGGAACATTCTCTACTATTGGTGACCACGGTTACATCACTTTTCATTATTTGACCTTTATAAAAATTTTACTTGTTTACGTTAGGTAATTTAATTTAGTCAAAGGTATATGTTGTACTGTCTTCCGTCTATATAGACTACCACTCCGGCCATTCTTATCTTGTTGGACGGTCGATTTTTAAGGATCTGGAAGATAATAATAAAATGTTTTCTTTCTTAATGAAACCTAAGAAAACCAACTCAATTTTATACTTTGGTTCTTTGCTAAAGTTCTCAAGAAAATCGAGTTATGAATCTATAATGATGTGATTAGTGTTTGGAACTTTTATTTTTTATCTCTAAAAGTGTAGTTTTCATGACAATGATGTATCTCCTAAATTATGATATTAGTAAACAAAATCTATTTGATGATCAGAAGATTAGAGGAGATTAGAGGGAACAGCTAATGTGAACTGCGCGTAAGACGCGCTTAATCATATTTTATGTCTAAAGCAAAAAATATTAAAATATGAAACACGAGTCCGAGTAAGTGACGATAGTAACGACGTAAGAAGAGAAACTCTGGTCCACTCCTATATAAAGAGATCTCTTCTTCTCACAAGTTATAACAACAAAATTCCATCTTTTGTCTGAAAGAGTAGAGAATTCAAGAGACAGTTATCTTCTAGATCATTATTTTCCGGCGAATCTTCCGAAAAACTTTAACATGATCTCCATCGTAATCATTACTGAGCTACTAGTGGAGTACACGACGGCTATTGCTAAACTCACCGTCGGGATTCTTCCTAGACGGCAAGGCGACGGGAACTTCGTTCGAATTGGCGGTTTCTCTTTATATTGTCCACCTAGATCCTCACCGATTCCGGATTTTTCTTCTCATCTTGTCGATTTCTGATATGTGACGATTGTGGATTGTTTTTTCTTTTTTAGTACTACGTTTTTGATCGAGTTGTTTTTTCTTACACACTTTTAAAAAATTAATTTGAAGAGTGACAGCTGGAGATTTTTTTTTTTTTTTTCCTTTTTGGATATTATATAATTTTTAAAGATTTGTAAACCTGTATCGAATTATATAAATTATGATATTGATCTCTAAATTTCTCTGCTTTTCTTTATTTCTGATGATTGATCATCTATTCCATCTTGTCCAATTAGTAAATCATCGCGGCCATTTCGAAAAGTTCGACTCATTTTACTTGCTATTGAGGAATTGAGGATGATGCTCATCATATTTGGGCTCCTCTTAATTTTGCATAATCGTAGGAAAAAACTGAACGTTAAGCAAAACAGATTAATCAAAAGAAAAAGAAACTTGTATTAACGTTTTGTGCAATTCCAATTTTCATAAAAGAATACCACATAAACTTTCTGAAACCTTAAACTATACGACCGCCAAAGTCCCTGGACGTACGTCCAATCTCAGCATGTGAATTGTGAGCTATACTCTCGTCTGATATAATGCATTATTGCAAAAAGTCGTAAGATTCGCTGGCTGATTTTCTAAGTTACCATAAAGATAATTTTTGTATTTATGTCATATTTCTGTGAACAATGCATTATATAAAACAGCTGAAAAGATCTGTTGACTGATTTCTAAGTTACCATATTAATAATTTTTGTAGTTATGAGATACTGTATCCCTATGGTCAATGCATTATGCCATTACAGTATCTCAAAAACTTCAAAGATTTATTGGCTGTTTTTATATCTCAGTGTCACCATAAAAAAAAAGATTTCGTTTTTATGTCATATACTCATATTTATCGGAAAATTAGTGATTTAGTGCATTATTTCAAAGATTTGGTGACTGATTTTCTAAGATGCCATAAAAATAAGGAATTTTCGTACTTATGGCAAATTTGTATGCTCAATAATTTGTATGATCAATGCGTTATCTAAAAAAACTTGAAAGATTAACTCGTTAACAGTTTTTATAGGTACCACACAAAATTTCTTCGTATTTATGTCATTAAACTGTTTTAGTTCAAAAAATCTTATTTCAATTTTTTGTGGTGGTACACATCGATCACTCGAGGAAAGTAAAGTCTACACTCTGCACTAGAAACCGAAAGAATACGTGACGATAAAAAAACGTACCAAAACCTTAACACAAATGATTTCTGACTATTTCTAGAAAATTTACGAACCATTCCAATGATATACATATATATATTATAAAATCTAATTTTAGAATCAAACCGAAGAAGTGAGTTTTTAAGAGTATTTTTGAATTATGAAATTAGAGAAAATAATACTTTTATAGCTAAAAATATCTCTATATAAAAATGCTCCAAAAAAAGTCAAAACAGATACGGTGTTAGTATTTTATACATGTTTTTAATTGGGGTATGGTACTAAGTACTGACTTCGTAAGTAACAGCTCACTTTTGTCTTCATGCCAACACTGACTAATTATCCACAACGCGTGACACGCGGCTTATTACTCATAAAGCCAAAATTTAAAAAGCTAAATACGTGTACGAGTAACCTCTAGACCACTGGATCATAAAATTATGGCCTATATAAACCCATGAGTGGGTGTGTCTTTAGATTCCAACCACCATTCAATTTCTATTCAGAGATAACAAACTTCAGAAACTTCTAGACCCTTTTTTTTTACCTTCCGGCGAATCCTAATCATGATATCTGTTGTAATCATTACTGAGTTACTGGTGGAGTACACGACGGCTCTTGCTAAACTCACCGCCGGGGTTCTTCCGAGACGACAAGGCGACAGGAATGTTCTACGTATTGGTGGTTTCTCTCTGCCTTGTCCTCCTAGATCCTCACCTGTTCCAGACTTTTCTTCTCATCTCGTCGATTTCTGATCTCTGCGCTACGTTTGATCTCAATTTTGTTTTTTTTTACCGGAGATTCTGACGGCAGAGACTTTTTTTCCGGGCGTCTGATCTCTCCGTCTGTAGAATACTTTTTTGTATTTTCTTTTTTTTTCTGGATTTTGAATGGCTCAGAGTTTGTAAAATATGTATCGAATTATAATAGAAACTATGATTAACTCTTAATCTTCCTGCTCTGTTTTATTAGAAGCTAATTGTATTTCGATTGGTTGTGTTTGAGTTGAGAGTAACAAATGAAGTTACTAAAAAAAAAAAAAAAAAAATGAAGTTACTAATTTTAAAAAATAAAATTATCTTCTGGATTGCTATTGTAAGTAGAATTAGTAAAATGAATAAAGCAGAATCGAATTATATATTAGAATTAATTGAAGACTAAATTCTTTTTAGAAAGATAGAAAATGTGTTTTTCTTTGGGTTTTGTGCAAAAAAACCCTCAATGTTATTTTTTTTTGCAAGATAACCCTCCAAATCAAAAAAATGCAAGTCAATACTACGAAATCATAAGTCACCCGCAATATAACCCTTGCCTGTATTGATGACGTGGCAAGGGTTAACTCTGTTTAAAAACTTAACAGAGATCAAAACGGTGTCGTTTTGCTTCTAATGAAAACGACATCTAGCTGTTTTATAGAGCAAAAAACGACACAAAAACTCTTAAACCATGAAAAACAAACCACTTAGATAAAATCCAACAAAACAGAACACACATTATGTTAATGTTAAGGTTTGTCCCATAAGGTATCTCCCACAACCAAAACAAACAACAAAACATAAAATCCAACAAAAACAAGACACATCTAAACAAATCAGACATAAGGTATCTCCCATAACAACAAAACATAAGTAGTCTCATTTAGTTTTTCCACGCCCACGCCCACGTGCAATAGCCATCTTTTTGTGTTCTCTGGCTCGATAGAGACTGCTTGGTAGAACCGTGTTGTCTCGTGTATCAGTGACAGATCTGCCTACATGAATGTAGTCGTCACCAGTTAATGGACTGGTGAAGACACCGTAACCTTCCTGCAACATATAATTCAACAAACAAATTCAGCAAACAAACCAGTTTCAACAATTAGATAGAGAGATTTAGTCTGAACTCTTACTCTTGGTAGATACATTGGCCCTGTGTCATACACAGGTTCTTGTCTCTGAGGAGCTGGTTGTGAGGATGATGCACCATCAGGCTGTTTACGAGGTCTTCCACGACGTCTTTTTGGAAGTGCAGATGAAAGGCTTGGTAGATCTTCAATAGGTTGGCTTGTTGAACCAAGGACAGAAGTTGGAGCAGATGAAATTCTTGGCAGATCTTCAATTGGTTGGCTAGATGAACCAGGGACAGAAGTTGGAGCAGATGCAAAAGGTGTCTTCGCAGAAGGTATCTTCCTTGGTCTACCAGGTGGTTTCTTTGGCAGCTTAGGCATTGGTGCATTCTTGCAATTCGACTTGTTATGCCCTTCTTTTCCACATGTGCCACAATGCTGCATAACAACAAGATCAGAGAAACAGATACACAGAAATTCAATGAACTAAAAATTCAGAAATGCAAAACTCTTACTATTTTGGTTCCTCTTTTAGAAAGTTTGGTCCCTTCCCTTGGTTCACCTTTCTCCCTCTTTCTCTTCTTCCCTGGTGGTCTTCCTCCTGGCCTCTTGTATTTAGGCGGCATGACTCTAACATTTGTAGTCACCTCCCATAAATTCATTCCATTCACACCACAAAGCCCATCAGCATAACATGTCTTTAATTTCTGTGTCGTGAACCATGGAGATATCATCTTCTTAGGGTCTTGATCAGTATTCTTCTCATGCCTTAGACAAGACACAATGTGGCTACAGGGGATCCCACTGATCATATAAATTCTACAACTGCACTTTATATCACCTCGCATCTGCACCACAAAGCCTTCAATTCGCATATTAGTCTTGTAATTAAAGTAGCCAACCTCATAATTTCCCAATCCACAGCTTAAAGGTCTGCAATTCTTGGCTAAATCAATCTGCTGATCTAGCAAAGCTATCGATTTAGGTGTGTAGTCTCCTTTTGTTTTCTCAGCTTCAGACCTTTTCTTGTCATTGCTGACCATAACCCTTTTCCTTATTTCTTCCAGCATCTCAACAATTGGTTTGGTTCTTACTACCCGGATAGCTGCGTTGAATGACTCTCCGAGATTATTTTCCACTGCAGCACACTTAGAAAACTCTGTGAAAAATGCCCTGCAATAGATAAACAGCAATCTTCATCAGCATCTAAAGATGACATTGTCATCTAAATAAAACAGAGCAAGGAATAAGGCATACCTTGACCATGGACAAAAAACAGAAATCTTCAACGCATTATAAGCAGCCTCATTATACTCTTTGATCTCTTGCATCTTTCTATCAAACTGCTGTGGATAGTAAGAATCTGCTGCAGCCCAGAACATGTCCTCATAATCAGCTCCAGCATAGTTTTTCTTCCAGTTTGAATATACATGCCTAGCACACATCCTGTGCTCAGCAAACGGCAACACTACCTTCACTGCTGCAATCAGCCCTTTCTGTTGGTCACTACCTAGAGTTAATCCATTTCCTGAATCTAAACCCAAGTCGTCAACCAAGTGTTCAAGGAACCATAACCAGTTAGGAGTATTCTCACAATCAACAATTCCCCAAGCTACAGGGAACATTTGATCATTCGGATCCCTTCCACATGCAACTAAAAGCATACCCGTCATCCTCCACTTTAAAAATGTTCCATCTAGATGTAGAATTTTTCTACATGCTCTCTTCCACCCATTTTTTAAAGCAGCAAAGCACACATAAAATCTATGAAACCTGGTTTCCCTTACCTCACATTCAACTGTGGATCCTATATTGCTTCTCTTCAGCTCAGCAACATAATCAAATAGCCTTGCAAAAGACTCCTCTTGCTCTTCGTCAAATGTCTTAAGACATTTCAGTCGAGTCCTCTCACAGATTGTCCATGGCACATTGATGTTGCGTCTAAGAAGCTTCTGTTGCAACTGTTCTGCTGAGAAATCAGGATTCAGTCTGAACTCTTCGATGTATAGGTCAGCAATGCGGGAGTTAGTAAGCAACGACACTTTCCCTTGCCAAGTGCAATTATGCTCCTCTTGTAAAGATCTGATCACTACTCTATTACAGGTACTGTTAATAGTTGCAGAAATTCTCCATGGGCATTTCTTTCCAGAGCATATCGCAACTACACGTTTGCTGTCTGACTTCTCATACTTGATGTCCCTCCTCTTCTTCACAGCATACCTATTAATAGCACTCTTAAAGGAGTCAATGGTATTGTACTTATCACCAATACAAAACTTGCGATACTTGCTTTCATCTACCTCCACATGTGGATTGTCATCATCACTACTGCTATGAACCAGATCTTCAAACTGGTTCTCATCACCACCAGAATCTGACTCAGACCCACTACCACCAACATCTTCACCATCAGCCAATACTCTCTCATTGTCATCTTCTGACAAGTACCTAATCGCATTACTATCAATGTGCCTACCTATGTAGGGATCATCTTCCCGGACAGCATATAAGGTTAATGCACCTGATCCAATTGCGTAATGAACCACTCTCTTTAACACATCATCATTATCAAGATCTTCTTTTTCATCAGGCGTTTCTGGTGGAAACCAAGACACTCTCTTCATGTTGTCTTCATATCCGAGGTGCTCCACTAGAAGCATCTGAACCGAACTGAGCTTGAATGTTTCACCTGATACCAAACCGACTGAGTGTGGCTCTCCTCCAAGATATTGGTCATCAGTAGACCAATATCCTCCAGCATGAATAAACAGATCGAAACTGAAAAAAGGAAAAAAAAATAGGTCTCAGGAAAAAACAAAAAAATTAAAGCTTGAAATTGTGAAACAAAGAAGGTAACACACAAAAAGCTTGAAATTTTGAAACAGGTAACACAAAAAAAAGTTTGGTTTTAAATTGTGAATCTCTTTCTCTGATTTGAACAATTTCAAAATTATATAAAAACTCTCAAAATCATCGATTATTACCTCATTGTTGATTGTTGAACTCTCTTGCTTCTCCAACAATCGAATCCTTCTCCTTCAAACTGTTTCAATTCTTCTCTCTCTGTAACCCGACCCGATTAGTGTCTGTGTTCAAGTCTGTCGCGACCTGAATGTTATCCCCAGCTCAACAATCGATACTTGGTGCGACACTGTTGGTGGCTCACGTCCTCAGCCACCTGATTACTCCACCGTCGAGAGAACTTTACGGCAACAGATGCCTCCACCGGACGTTGAGATTCGTGTCTCCGAGCAAGAACTTCTCACGCTGTAGCTCACCGAGCTCCGATGCTCCTCTATGGACTCGATTGCCGAAAGCTAAACCCTAAATCTGATGAAACCATTTCTCTTTTTTTTTCCCCAAATCGAAACGACGAAACCCTAAAATGATTTTTCCCCAAATCTGATTTTTCCCCAAATGAGTGTCGTTAAAGGGTTTAAAGGTTTCGGTGCCGTTTTTGGCTGTATAAAACAACACGATTTTTGTAACTAGATGTTGTTTTCATTAGAAGCAAAACGACACCGTTTTGATCTCTGTTAGGTTTTTAAACAGAGTTAACCCTTGCCACGTCATCGATACAGGCAAGGGTTATATTGCGGGTGACTTTTGATTTCGTAGTATTGACTTGCATTTTTTTAATTTGGAGGTTTATCTTGCAAAAAAAAATAACATTGAGGGTTTTTTTGCACAAAACCCTTTTTCTTTTGACAGGTCCCACGACCATAATAATATAAGTAACCTCTTACAAGGGGGAGGCATAGACGTCACCTAGAAGAGAGCCACTAGTGTAGAGGCCCTTTTAGAAAATATATCGTGTGGAAATTTTGAACTTTTTTTCTATTTGAAAATATATATCAGTAAAATATATTAAGATTTAGGGAATCTTGCGAGATGTACCACTTTCTGACGATTTCCTTTGAAATCTACCACAATTGGAAAAGTTTTTCTGTTTCTACCACTTTTTTTGCCATGTGATAATTTATGGACGAGTTTGCCCTTGATGGCGACAGACTGATGTGTCAGAAAAAAGAACAGCTGCATTAATTGCACTCGGGGACAATTTTTGTTACATTCAGGGACAAATTTTATTACACTCGGGGACATTTTTTTCGGAACTCCGTCGATGAAGCTTCACTGCTCCAAATCCTGTGAGCTATGGGAATCATCATCATCATCATCATCTAGACCGATCAAAACTCATTCGATTCGAAGAGTTTATAGCGCAAATTTAGATCCATTCTTCGACGAAAATTTTCAAAAAAAATCCAAGAGCTAACTCTCAGATTCAATGTCCCAAACCAAAACGACGACGAGAATTCAGAGCCGATGATAACTCACGATTACAAAGCTAATTCAATCGAGCCACCATGGAATGAGATGGTTCATTTGTCGAGTATTGAAATGAAAGCAAACACTGTTGATCTTCCTCTTTCACTTACTCGGGGACGAAGACGAAGATCTGGATTTACTCGGGGACAACTTTGTTTCGAAAGGTCACATCAACTGTAGTTCCTTATCTCACCAGTTGGAGGGTAAAATGGTCATTTTACAAACACAATGTGGTATGAATGATAATTGGGATTCAAATGTGGTAGAAGTGATAACTTTTGGGAAAAATGTGGTACCCAATCTAATTTTTCCTAAGATTTATTTTGTAAATTTATTTGGTAATTTTTAATAATATATATATAGCTAATATTTTGTTGAAATGACGATGGGAAAAAAAACTACACTGAATTATCAATTTTAACCATTGTTCAGTCCACACAAAAGAGTTAGGGAAGAAAATTCACGCACCTCGTGCCGGTATTAAAGTCAGGCTTTTCGTCTTACTATGGACCATTTTATCTTCTTCAGCCTTTAAGGCGATTCACTAGTATCTTTAAAATTGACATATGTGGTTATGTGATATAAGGTAGGGCATGACCAGTCAATTCCATTTTTCTAATAATTGAAAACAATCAACTACCAGGGGTGACCTAATTTATTACTTAACAAAAATATATTTATGTAATTGATAAAAAGTGTCAACGTTGTAGTTACATTGATATATAAATGTAGAGAGTGAGAGAGATATTGGAGAAAATTGAAGCGGAAAAGGAAGGTTAGGTAGTCCAAAGCAAAGTGTAGGGATTTTGTGAGACAAAAACACAAACATCAAACTACTCGGAGACGTGTCTCTATTTAGGACTTCAAAATCTTGTGGTTGTGGTGTATTCATTCCTCCCTTTTTTTTCTTTCTAATTTTTCCATTGTGGAACCAAGACAAATGCATTGATCATTTACATTTCCAAGCTGTCTTTCTCAGTGTAATTTAGATTCTAATCCGGTCTTCCTTCCTATCTTTATTTTTGAGAATGGGGTATTGTTTCTTGCAATTAACCAAGGTTATATATTTAATCAATGTTCACTAGTTACAATGTTACATCAACATTTGCCACTAATTATTTTGTGATTGATATCCAATTGTTAATTATATATCGGAGTTAATCTGTGTTCCACTTTCAGATCTAGCTATCCAATTTTTTTGTTGGGTTTGTATAATTTTTTCGTGTAAGATATACGACGCAAATCCGAATTTGTAACCTAGTTAGTAGTAAGTATCTTAGTGAAGTTTTTGTTTTTGATATAAACCTAAAGACAATACATATGTTAATTGTGAGGGAAAGAAAAATTAAGGTTTAAAAAAAATGTTTTGTTTTTCGTTATCTCTCAGAGATTATTAATATACTTGAGTGTTCGTGAGTCAATGCTCTTTTATTCTGTTCATCGAGGTCATTAATCAATTTTTCACTTGATACTTTAAGTTGATCATTTTAAGTACATCTAAATCATTTGTTTCCAGTAGTTTTATGTTGCATTTAGTTTATGTTATGTTCTTCAGCCCTGATCATTTTAAACATTTATAAGTGTATGCAAGTTTTATATGAGAACTGCGGTGCCCAGTTTGATCCACGATTGGGTTCACACGATTTCTATCCATATTGCTACTTTTTGATATATAAATGCAGTTTGGCTTCTTCCTTTTTGTATGTTACACTTAAAACGCAATTTAGGTTTTTCATATGAAAAAAGACATATGAAAAAAGACAAATGGAAACAAAATAGCATCCGCTAAATAATCAACACTAATTTTCTGTGAAAACAACTTGCATCCACAAAAACAAAGAATAAAATCTATAAAAATATCAAAACAAAAATACGTGGATAGAAAATTAGTCACTACCATAAAGAGTAGACTGAACAAAAATAAAATGTCATTTTCTCTACCCTATCATTTTCCTATTAAATGAACGTGCTTATGGTGGGTAACTAGTAGAAAAAATTGGAAAATAGTAATTGACTAATGAACAATAATATTCAATAGTATCTACTATCAAGGATAACTGAGACACACATATAATATATAATTATATACTAGCATATAGTATACATATTTTATAATAAAAATATATTTGTTTAGGTTTAAAGATTAGTTAACGATTTAATTTAGATGTTATAGATTAAGGTTTACGATATATTTTAGTTTATTTTAGTTTTGAAGCCTTGGCATTTGTAATAGAGTTGGAATCTTAAAATTCACAATATTGTATTCATTAACCATTATAAAACGACGTGGTGAAGTATGAACAGTATGAGAAAGAGACCATTCACACGCTATTTGGCCGTCATTATGATTAGCTAAAACGCGTCATGATGTCAGCCGTTTATGTGTGGAAATAAGGACCCGCCTTTATCACTCGGCTACCATTTAATTAAATTATAATTAAGTGTTGATTAAGTATTTAATAGTATCATTCACGACAAATTATTTCCAATTTTACAACTAATCTCTTCGAGTTTCGAGAAGGTTCAAAACAGAACCCACACAACTAATATTAGGGTATTTTTGAATTGAATTCTCGTCTCTCATCTCATCAGTTCACTACAACTTGTTACAGCTATTATTGCCACTGTATTAATTCGTTTTGGACCAATTGTGACATGTCTAGTAAAGAAACATGTCAACTTCCATCAATATTTTATTGTTAGGAATTGATTGATACTTGTAGTTTTAATTGACTGATAATAGTTGGTATCGAAATATCGAATAGTAATTCGTTATACTTTTCTTATTTCAACCATTTATGATCAATAATGTTATAAAATATATTTTTCATATATATATTTTTTTAAATGTAAGTTACAGTCAAGGGTTAGAAATCAGCATGTTAGTTTTTTTTTTCTTTAATTCTGTTCTGTCATAGTATATGTATATAATAAATATTTATGGACAGACACTATCTAAAACAAGATCCAATGTTTGGTGTCCTAAAAAGAACCAACATCATTTTCAATTAGTTCATTTTTGACTTGTTGGAGATTCTAGAACCAAGAAACAGTTGAGATTATACCAGTTGAGATTATCGTATAAAGGTCAAATTTATACTCTTTTTGTTTTTTTTTTGGTGAAGAGGTCAAATTTATACTCTTTACATATAGTAGTATTACTTTTAAAATATAAAAATAAACACAAAAACAGTAGATATATTCGTACGGTCGTACCGTCCTAGTCCACGCGGATAAAAATTGTGACACGAGGCCACACACAAGAATTTCTAGTCCAGACCCACATGACCGGCCACATCGCCTATAATCCATCTACTACTTCCATTCTTCATTATCCACTACCAAAAAAAAACTCATCCATCCGAATATCCAGAGATCCATTGAATATTATTCCACAAGAACTTTTCGGTATTATTCCTCGGAATTAGTTTTCTAAACAATGTTTGCAATAGTGATATTTGCTGAGCTACTTGGCCAGTACACGGCTGCTCTCGCCAAAATTGTCTCCGGAATTCTTCCCCGGCGTCCCCATGACCGGAGTGTTATTCACATTGGTGGTTTCTCCTTACCTCCTCCTTCTTCTTCTCCGGTTCCAGACTTCTCTTCTTATCTCGTTGACTTTTAAGTTCTAATTCGTTAGATTCTGTCTAACTTTGTAAATCTTGGTTTGTCCAAGTTCTTTTTTTCTTTTTCCCATACCTTGTAGTCTCTAATCTATTAATGGTCAACAGTCTTTGACTAACTGTCATGCGAAGTAGTGAAATCGAAAACCATTTATAAGAAACTCAATAACCAATTTTACAAAAAGGTTTCTTCAGTAAGCAAAATATTCAGCTGAAGATAGGCATTAGAACACAACATTACTCTCTTATTCATCAATCTCAAAATCACATGAGAGAAGTCTTTCACTTGTTGGTGGTTACACGACGGCGAGCATCAAGGTTTCGGTACACCTCTCGTAAAGGCTTCCATTTACTGTTCTCTAATGCCTCACAATGCGGTGTAGCATAACTAACCGTCCAATTGGCACAAGGCGCAGCCACATCGCAGACATAACAGTAACACTAAACACATTAAAACAAACATTAAACTCTTGTGTCACATCAGAACCCAAACAAGATCTAAAAAAAGGACCAAGAAGTTTCAACATCCAATAGATTATTACCTGATTACAATGTGATGCGTGTTGACTTGATTCAAAGGGGAATTTCAAGCAGAGATGCCTTGGATGTGGAAAATCCCTACAAGCCACCTAAACAATCGAAAAACAGAGACATAAACCCTAAATCACTAATTGTGCTAAAGAGATGTGTAAAGCTTCAAAATTTCAAGAAAAAACAGAGGACCCAAGAATCCTAATAAACAAACCTGGCCTTTCTCATGGATAATCGCCACGTCGTCGTCGTCGTCAGATTCAGGGCTATCGGAGAGCTTTCGTGCATCAAATGAATCGTTGGGATCGAAATCGAGGATAAAGCAATCCTCTTTCTCCTCGAAAATCTTCAAATCTTGTCTTTTTTTAAGACAAAATATACCTCTAAGAGGTGTGCCATCGTCTTCTTCCTCCTCCTTCTTACTAAGTCTCTTTCTTGTCTTGCTTTTCGTTTTCTTCTTTGTCTCACATGGATCTGGTGTAATCTCCACTATCTCTCTTCGCTTAATCACCATTTTTTCCTTTCTTCGACTGTAAATTTTCGATCTTTTTTTCTTTTCTTGAAAGGGTTTCTCGAAATCGCAAATGACCGTTGTTCCTCCTCCTTGTCCTCAGAAAGCAGCGGTGGCAGAGGATTTGACCTTATTTTCAAATTTAATTTTTAATTTATTTTGAATAAATCGTGATTAAAGAGAAGAGTGTTTTACAGTTTTAGGGTTTAAAATATGGTAAGGCCTTTTTATGACCTTTTTACAACATGGGCTAGTAATGCTAAACCCAATTTGTTGGCCCAAATAATGAGACTTGACTCAGCCCAGTAAAATACGGACTGGCAGCAGTCTGTGTAATCTATACTTCCGGTGGTGCCAGATCTCAAGCCTCATGACAAAAGAAGTTTGAGGCAAATTTGGTCTTTCAAGAGCGAACCGAAGAGGAGTTTGAGGCCTTGGCTAACTAAAAAAGGATCTGGCTTCCAGGGATTCCAAAACATGTTTACAAGTCCACTAATTTTCCAAAATCATGTTTGGACATTCATTCACCCGAAAAAGATAATTTAGCAATACTTTTAAATCTAGAATATTACAAAGTTTACTATAGTATATGACAATAAAATATAGTTTATATTTTCAATTCTCTCAAAATAATGTAAAACAAATATGGTCAAGTTTCTTTTTTTTTTTTCTTAGGATTGACTTAGTATGAGCATCATATTACCTTTGTGGATAAAATATGCATGTAAGAACTACCGGTGATTTGTAAATTCTGTCGTCAAGCTTTCATGATGCAGTGTACAGAAAAAATTCATCAATAGGAATACAATTTCATAGAAGCTTCGAACTGATATTTCAAGACTTGACGTGTTACCTGTATTTGGAAAACACGAAACCTTATAATTGCTTTTTTTTTTTTTTTTTTGTCTCGTATGATTTATCTTTTGAAATACATCGATTAATTTTTTTTTTAACCTACATAACCACAATACAGATCATTCGTTTGACGTTTTGTTAAGTATTATACAACCTTTTTATTAGTGAAATACTTATATAATTACATTAGAAATTAAACAACATTGTGCCACTATTGAAGTTACTTATCATAACCATTATAATATAAAATCAGGAAACTGCAGCCGCCATATATGAAAATAGCTCTGTTCAAACGAACCTGTCCAAGACTCTGAAACTTTTACCATTCTCAAATTATTTCAAAAGTTAAGGTCTCGATCGCTTACTTTGTAGGATCTCAGACCATCACCATCGTTCCGTCTCTTAATTTGGGTTTTTTTTATTTCCGTGTGAATACAATTTTATGTGTGAACACAAACTATATTAATAATTTATTGAAAAGTAATTAAATAAAACTAATTGTAAAAAGACGTGTAGTAAACGTTTCAAATGAGTATCTCAAGCAAGAAACACCTCTATCACTCTCTCCTCTTTTTTCTATTTTTTTTCCGTTATTTTAATAGTTAGAGACTCTACTAGATGCGACCTATGTTGTTGCTCTCACGTCTCTTGATCAACTATCCTATACTGATTGATCATCGATAGCTAGACACTATCGTCTAGTTTTCTAACAATAAATTCGTTACATAATAAACAAAAACCGTTATAATTAAGATATCGGCTAAGCGGCTAATCTTGGAATCATCACAATAAAAACATTCTGTATTCCTTTCGTTATTTGCATGGAATTTATATGACGAAAGGATTTCCATATATAAATCCACATGCATTTTGATAATATTCTAGTCAATTATATTTAATTATTTTTATGTATGTTTTTTTTATAATTTTCATGTTGTTCAAATTTACACCATGTTTGTATTAATTTTCAATTCATGTGGAGTTTACACAATAAATTTACACCATCTTTGAGAGTTTTGAACAATAACAAAACAATAGAGAAAGTTTTGAATGGGAACATGTATATTTAGAATTACATTGACTGGCCTATGTTCAAAGACCAAACCTAGCTGAACCAGTTCATCAGACAGTCACAAAATTATCCCTAACTGGTTCACCTAAAACGTCAAGTGTTGCATATTTTTGTATACGTCTCCAGCATCAATTGGCAAAAGAAAAGTCCTTTTTTTCCCCCGTTAAGAAAATCTCGTTTATATGTAAAGTTCAACAGAAGAAAAAGAAGAAGAAGAATAAAACATACAAGAAAAACTGATGGTGCTAACTGCTAACGTTTTCATTATTACGATGTGTACAAAAGAAGTAACTGCTGTTGAATTCAAAGTCCAAACAATACACATGCATTCGTTAATGTCTCCCATGTGTTCTATGGATCGGATCAGCTCATTCATCATTTAGATGGACGAAAGCTAAGGATGAACTCTCTAATGTACATATATATATATTAGGAATTTTTACATGATTTTAGTGTTGGTTACTTTAGAACAATTTTAAGATAACTTTTTACAATTCAAAGTCTGATTAAATGATAAAATTTAAATCAGCTACGTGTCATCGTCTAAAGGTTAGTCTGTTTCAAAATCGGTTATGACAATGACCGTATACATATATAGAGTATTGTTTCATGACATCACCAAAATCGATTACGTTCAACACTAGAATTCTCTTCTTACGGTAAGGAAAAGAATTGTAAACTTGACCAAAACATTGTGGAATCTAATTAAGCTGGAAGAAGACTCGTTGAAGTTTCCTCCAATATATCGCTTTTGAGAGTACTAGTTATTAGGTAGTAATGTAGTACAACAAATTTTCTTGCGTGAATTAGTCGTAACAATGATTCACTGGGTTCCTTCCTTTTATCTTCCTCAAAGGAAGATCCACCTTTTTCTAGTATATAAGAACTAAGGAGCTTAGCTTCAGTTCTCATCTAATAAAACTTCTTATTATCAAAAAAAAAAAAAACCCTTCTTAATCTTAGACATTAACCCAACAACATAAAAAACTTAAAACATATCATGGGATCATTGGGAAAATCTCAAAAGTCTCCCTTTACGCAAATTTCCAACGACGAAGAGGCTAGCCTCTATGCCATGCAGCTTGGCAGCGCGTCGGTACTTCCCATGGTTTTGAAATCAGCCATAGAGCTAGACTTGCTCGAGATCATGGCCAAGAATGATGGATTCTCCGGCGTTCAAATGTCTCCTTCGGAATTAGCTTCCCATCTCCCAACCAAGAACCCTGATGCACACGTCATGCTTGACCGGATCCTCCGGTTGCTTGCGTCACATTCAATACTGACTTGCTCTGTACGTAAACTACCTGACGGTGGTTCAGAACGGCTCTACGGACTTGGCCCAGTATGCAAATACTTGACTAAGAACGAGGACGGTGTCTCTCTTGCCACTCACTGTCTTTTGAACCAAGACAGAGTCCTCATGGAGAGCTGGTAAGTATAAAGCCCTAATAATACATTAACTTCATAAAAAAAAACATTTCAACTTAATGTGTGGGTTTTACAGGTACCATTTGAAGGATGCAGTGCTTGAAGGCGGGATCCCATTCGAAAAGGGATACGGTATGCCCACCTTCGTGTACCATGGGACAGACCAGCGATTTGCAAATGTTTTTAACAATGGAATGTCGAACCACTCGACCATCGTCATGAAGAAGCTTCTAGAGGTTTACAAGGGATTCAAAGGGTTGTCCTCTGTAGTCGATGTTGGTGGTGGAATTGGAGCCTCTCTTCACATGATTGTTTCCAAGTACCCAAACATCAAAGGGACCAACTTTGATCTCCCCCATGTCATTGAGAATGCTCCATCTTTTTCTGGTATATCTTTGTTAAACACTTCAAAACATTCTTCGAATTAACTTAATTATGAATGACTATATTGGACGGTCCATGCAGGTATTGAACATGTTAAAGGAGATATGTTTGTTAGTGTTCCCAAAGGAGATGCCATCTTCCTTAAGGTTTGCAATGAATACGTGACATGGTTCTTAGCGATTATCATACGTTTAATTTTTTTTTTTTGAACAACTCATACGTTTAATTATACTTCAACATATCTTGATGATATCTTGGTTCTAATATTGAATTATATTTTGATATCAGTGGGTCTGCCATGACTGGAGCGACGAACATTGCTTAAAATTATTGAATAACTGTTACAAAGCGCTTCCGGACAACGGGAAAGTGATAGTGGTAGAGTGCTTAGTTCCGGTTGCACCAGACTCGAGCCTCTTGACTAAACAAGTAGTCCATTTGGACTGTATCATGATGGCTCACACCGCCGGTGGCAGAGAGCGAACGGAAGAGGAGTTTGAGTTGTTGGCAAGACGAGTGGGTTTCAAAGGGTTCCAAGTCATTTGCAACGTTTTTGGAACTTACATCATGGAATTCTACAAGATGATTTGATCTCTTCAACTTTCTTGTGTCTATATTGTCGCTGTTGGATGTTGCTTTTTTGTTGTGTGACAAAGATATCTATCTATGTTATTCGTTGTTGACTTTATTTGGTGTGAAAGTTGAAGTTTCGTCCTACTATATAGTAATAAAACATGTTGGGATCGAGTTTCACGTTGTTTTTCACAAAGAGTTGCATCATTTGGAGGTTCTCAGTAACTTCAAATTAATTTAGTGTCGAAGAATTCCAGCTTATTACTGATCTAAGTCAACACATTCAGCTTATTACCCAAGTCGTTCGTTGTACTGATTGTGCCGTTATTATAATAAAGGAATTGATACACATGTCACCAAAGAAAAATACTCACAGTAATACCCACACAAAGTATCCAGATTGCAGTTTGACCTTTTAGTGTCGTCTCCTCTACAACAGATCCAAATAGTAGTGCCATTATTTCATCTCTTTTGTGAAATAGACTTCTGTTGGCCTACGACCTAATATAAGTCATAAAGATTATATTGGGGCGATAATCAGTTGAATTGGTTTCTCAAAACTACTGAAATATCAAAGAGAACCAAGAAGTCATTAGCTACTAGAGTTAAAACGAAGGCATGAATCTATTCGCCAAAACATACAGAATTAGAAAACTTTTATTCAGTTTAAACGTTTTTCTAATATCTCTCTTTGTTCTTTTACTTGCATCACACTTCAAGCTATACAGAGAAACATAGGCTTATGTACAACAAACACCTCCAATACACATTAAACCTGAGGATAACTTTAATGGAGTCCTACTGAATCTGGACATCGATGACTTTGCGTTCGACTTTGGTTTTAGGGATAGTGATAAACAGGACTCCGTTCTTGAGCTCAGCTTTGATCTTGTCTTTCTCGCAGTTGTCTGGGAGCTGAAGTCGTGTTCCATATGAGCTAACGCTTCTTCCAGACCAAGAATCATCACTGTCTTCCTTCTTCTGCTCTCCTTTGATCACAAGGACGTTATCTTCTACAGAGATTTTGACATCCTCTTTCGAGAGACCAGGCATGTCGAAACGCATCTTGATCTCGTGTTCTTCCTCTTTGATGTCCCACGGCGCACGAATCTCTGAAACTCCACTTCCTCCTCTGTTTCTTCCTGAGACAGGCATAGTGTCTTCGAACATCCGGTCCATAGTATCTAACATTTGTCTCATTGTCCTCATTGGTGACAAAGGATCCAACAATCCTGTCATTCAGATTAAAACAGAGCATTTGTTTAAGTATAGGGCAGAGGAAAAAAGTTTCGATTTATACAAGCTAAATTCATAAAAACAGAGCATTTGTTCAAGTAGAAAGCAGAGGAAAGTGTTTTGAGTTTGATACAAGCTAAGTGTTGATTAGTTAAACGTACCGAAAGGAGAAACGTCCATGGCTAAGCGTTGTTGAGGTCTTTTTTCGACACTAGATCCTTGATTTCCTTTTTGTTGTCCTTGGTGAACAACATCAATGGAGTTTTCTCTCTGGTCTTGAGCCCTGATCCGGCTAGGGATCTTCCGTGGAAGCGCGACGGAGAACGGAGTAGTGGATTTGGATGAGACAGGGGGAGATGGAGCAAGAGGTGAACGTAGAGCCGATGCAAATGAGAGTGTTGAAGCCATTTGTTTCGAGTATGAGCCAAAAAAATCTCTGAGAAAAGATTAGGAAATTCTAGTTCTGAGTTTGTTGAGTTTACTACTACAAAGTGTAGAAGAGAGTGTATAAATATATAGATGAGGATGAGAAGGCTATAGGAGAGAGGTCTTGAAGGTTGAAGATTTTATACGAAGTTTCTCGACTCGTTTTGTTTCCTATCTTTTTATATTATTATTTTATTATTTGATTTCGTGTGTTCTCGCGTTGTTCTCATCTTTTCCCGAACCATCTTTGTTCCCTGTTCTAGGCCAATCAGTGTTTATTTCTAATGAACTAATAAAAGGGGGAATATGAAGACTCAAGATTTCTACAATTAGAACAAATGATGGTCATATGATTCAAATCAAATTACAAAAAAAATCCTATAATTCTCAAAAGCATGTGCTAATTTGCAGAAAAATATGAGCAATGGATTGGCTAGAAAATCTGATACTATAAAATTTAGAAAATGTTGTATAGTTTGAAACTTGGTCCGCGTCTGTTTGTTGTCCGTTTAAAAAATAGAATGGTCTAATCTGCTAACGGTTTAGTCCGCATCTGCAATCCGATCAAAATTTTAATGATCCAAAAGACTTTATGTTTTGTGTATAGATTTAGTTTTATAAACATGAAATGATTTTTCCAATGTTTTCAAATGCTGCAGAAAATTAGATTTTGTTAGAAAATATAGACATTTGGAATTAAGATCAGATGATGTAATAGACTAAAAAGAAAAAACAAGACACATATTGGATGATAAGATGATGTAATAGACTAAAAAGAAAAAACAAGACACATATTGGATGATAAGATGATGTAATAGTACCTCCAAAATGTACTTAATTGGGCTTTAGAACATTCTGATTTAAAGGCCCTTCTTGACACAATCTAAGTTACACGACTTACGACGGTGTAGCCAAGGCTATTTCGGTAATTTCAGCTTCTCCTTTCCTCGATCCCCAAGTATTCGAGAATCCACCAAGGCAAAGCTCTGTCGTCGTCCACAAGAACATCAAACCTTTTCCGTCTTCTGCAAACATATCCTCCGTTTTCATCTGGGAACCCTAGTTTCTTGACTATTTTAGGGTTTTATTTATCCATTTGAGATCCTCTTTAATTGAAAGGTTGAATTTTTGGAAGAGACATGGGACGTTCGTCGGAGACCAAGATCTTACAAGAACTTATACTTTACGCGGCGAGCGCTGCTTTCAGCTGCTTGGTTCTGTTTGCGGGTCTTCGTCATCTCGATCCTAATCGTGAGGCTTCTAAAAAAGCTCTCGAGCATAAGAAGGAAATCTCTAAACGTTTGGGTCGTCCTCTTGTTCAGACCAATCCATACGAGGTAATCTTCTTTGAATTAAGCAACTTAGAATCCCCAGTGGTTGGGAGCTATCCGAGAATGCGATATATGGTTCGTGGATAACCAATTTGGAACATTTTAAGCATTGGTCTCTTTGTTTGACATTAAAATTTGGATATTTTGAGTTCCAGTTGTTTTTGTGCAAACTCATGAAATGAGCTCACTTGTTTCTAATTTTGTGAATAGGATGTAATAGCATGTGATGTGATAAATCCAGACCACATTAATGTGGAGTTTGATTCTATTGGAGGACTGGAGACCATCAAGCAGGCTTTGTATGAGCTTGTGATTTTACCATTAAAGAGACCTGAGCTTTTTGCTTATGGGAAGCTTCTTGGACCTCAAAAGGGTGTCTTGCTCTATGGACCTCCTGGTACTGGAAAGACTATGCTTGCTAAGGCTATTGCCAAAGAATCAGGAGCGGTTTTCATTAATGTTAGGGTTTCAAACCTGATGAGCAAGTGGTTTGGAGATGCTCAGAAGCTTGGTAAGTGCATATTATTAATTTTTTTGTGGCAAAGGAACACACTTTGAGTAGGCCTATCTTTTATGCTCGTCGTGTTTTTATCAGCTTCAAGTTGTGCAACTTTGTTGGCGGCTTTTGTTTTTTCTGTGGTTATTATCCCAACTTTCACTTTCTTTGGTCTGTTGATGGTGTTTCTAATCTATGAGCTGCTCTGTTCTGTTTCGCTCTTTCAGTTTCTGCTGTATTTAGCTTGGCCTACAAACTCCAACCAGCGATCATTTTTATTGATGAGGTTGAGAGCTTTCTTGGTCAGCGCCGTTCAACAGATCATGAAGCAATGGCGAACATGAAGACTGAGTTTATGGCTTTATGGGATGGATTCTCTACTGATCGTAAGTTGAATTCTTCTCTGTTCGGCTTACTTTGCCATGTAGACTAGTGTAACTTGGAGTATGTTCTACATGGATATGGTTTTCTTATGAATATAAATGGTTGCTTTGTAGCGCATGCAAGGGTTATGGTTCTTGCTGCAACTAACAGACCATCAGAGCTTGATGAAGCAATACTAAGGCGTCTTCCTCAGGCCTTTGAGATTGGAATACCTGATCGGCGGGAGAGAGCTGAGATATTGAAAGTGACTCTGAAAGGAGAGAGGGTGGAACCTGATATTGACTTTGATCACATATCTCGCTTATGCGAAGGCTATACCGGATCAGACATTTTTGAGCTCTGCAAGAAAGCGGCTTACTTCCCTATCAGAGAAATCCTAGAGGCAGAGAGAAAGGGGACACCATGTTTGGTAAGTTTAAAAGGAAAACATGGTCCAAGGAATGTTCAATGTTGCATCCACTAGATTTCAAAGTACTGATGTTATGAGTTTCTCACATTTGCAGGCCCCTAGGCCATTATCACAGTTGGATTTTGAGAAGGTTCTTGCTACTTCAAAGAAGACACAAGTTGCAGCAGGCGAATACTCATTGAGCTCGCAGTCCTCGGCTTGGAGAGGCTCAAGCGAACCAGATGAGGTCCAAGCTGCGATAAGTGGAATCTCGAAGCTTCTAGTTTCGCAGATCATTAACCTTCAGTCAGATTCTCAGGATTCATGGCAGCGTGATCCCGAAGAAGAATCCCGATGAAATTCCGGATCACTTTTATAAACGTTCTGGTGTTTTCATTGGAAGTTTAGAATTTGTCACATTTCAGTTTGCTCTGTAAAACTCTCTTTTTTTTTTTTTTGGTAGGATCATTTGATTACTTTTGATTGTACTAAAAGGTATCTTATTTTCTACATTACTGAATCTCTCTTGTTCATAATTTAGCCAGACCCTTACTCTAAAAATCTCAGCTTTGAGATTGTTATTAGTGCACAACTGCACATTGCGCAATGGTCAAATTTGTCATCTGGGCTTTGTTTGGTTTTAGGTTTTTTGTTTGACTGGGCTTGTATAGAGAGATAAAGTGCCTTCCTTTTCTATTTCCCAATTTCGTTTTTTTTTACTTTTCTTGCCTTTTCCGTCGATCTTCTTCTCCAACACAACAAGAATCAGATTTGGTTGATTCAATTGCGCTCTTAATTTCAGCTTGGAAGGTAACTACTAGTCTCGCAATTGTTTTGTAGTTCTGGGTCTCAGTTGTTTTCACCGACTTGCTGCCACTCTTGATTTCTATCGAATCGAGTCCTGTTCTTAATCACTGAAGCATTACATCTGATTCAGAAATTTCGTGGCTTTATTTGATTACTTTCATGAATTGGGAACTAGGGTTTGCTTCGTATTTCTCCTAGCTGAATAGTTCTGAATCAGCTCTAGCTTTTAACCGTACGCATTGAGTGTAATGAAATCGGAAAAAGCTGCTGATTTTGTTCTTTTGTTGGATGGAACAGGTTATTGTGATTGAGATCTAGTCTTCTGATAATGGTAAAGTGATCTTCTTACTATGAATTTTGCCTTCTTTGCTTTGTGCTTGCATTGTAAATGCTTATAGCTTTTTGGGTTTAATCTCACAGAATTATCTTCTTGGAGCCTTCAAGCCCGCGTGCAACATTTCAATCACTTTTTCTGATGGCAAAAATCGTAAACAGGTATCTCTCTTTTGTTGTAATGATAACAATTGCTCATAACAAGTTTATAGGCATAGATCACTCGCACCCATCACTTATGATTGAGTCACGTTTTGGATTTTCATCTCTTCTCTTTAATCTCCATCGTTTCCATAGATTCCCATGAAGAAAGAAAATGGTCAAACGGCTCTGGTGCCACTTTTCCATAGTCAAGATACTATTTCCGGGAAGGTACTTGGTTTCTTGCTTTTGATGGATTTCAGCTGTTCCAGGTATGATCTTGTGATGGTTTAAAGTAATTTTTCCTTAATGTCTTTATTAGGTTTGCATTGAACCATATCAAGGGAAAAAGGTGGAGCATAATGGTGTAAAAGTTGAGCTTCTTGGTCAAATAGGTATGCAATTGCCATTATCTGTAGATCTGCCACCAAAAGAGTCTTAACGGATTAGTTCTTCGGTTTCTAACTTATATCGTTGTATGCTTATTGATTGCATTTGTGTGTTCTCGACAGAAATGTACTTTGACAGAGGAAACTTCTATGACTTCACTTCCTTGGGTATGTAAAAATTCAGGTTTCATTTTCCTTTTAAACAGTTTCGAGGGAAAAGCTTTGGAGTTTTTTCGCTATCAGGGGTGACTCTGATAATTGATTAACAATTCATCGTACATGGATTCACTTTCATGTTCAATCCTGTTATATAATGTTTGATTGAGCCATTTATAGTTATGATTCCTTTTTTGGGCCTTTTTACAGTTCGTGAACTGGATGTCCCTGGAGAAATATACGAAAGGAAGACATACCCTTTTGAATTTCCAACTGTGGAGATGCCATATGAGACATACAATGGTGTGAATGTGCGGCTAAGGTATATCATATGTTTTATTTTCTCGTAATGTTGATACACTTGTCTTCCTCAATACAGTTTCTAATACAATTTACTGTTTCCTTTGCTTCCTCAGATATGTCCTCAAAGTAACCGTCACTCGTGGCTACGCTGGAAGCATCTTGGAATACCAGGAGCTTGTGGTATGTTTCTTACTTTTTACTGCGTGTCATTGTTACAAAATAGTTCATTGTGTTATGACTTTCCATAACATCATCAGAAATATTTTAATCGTGACATTGTTGATATCCTTTGAAATAGGTCCGGAACTACGCTCCACTTCCTGATATTAATAACAGCATCAAGGTGAGTTCTGATAGTGATAGGATCTAAGTTTGAAACTTTATAAGAAAAAGAGATAGGAACCAAAAGACCTAAAAGTCAACCAATCTCATTCTCAATTTATAGGCTCTTACTACATTCACTTATGAGTTATGAAATTGAGTCATCTTTCTATTGAAGCTCACATTCACATGTTGAGATCCTTTTCCCTACTTACTAAGATGTCAATAGGTTTCTCTATTTACCGCTCATAGCGATCTTAGGCTCATACAAGATTAAGGCTTAAATCAGTAGAGGATCATTTTAGGCACAATTTTAAATCTTAATAATTGTACAGATGGAAGTTGGAATTGAGGATTGCCTGCACATCGAGTTTGAGTACAATAAAAGCAAGTAAGACAAAATTCGTTTGATGATTTAAGGATTTGACTGACTGATCGGGAAATAACGATGGATCTTCTATGCCCCTGGATGCAGGTATCACCTAAAAGATGTTATCCTTGGGAAAATCTATTTTCTTCTTGTGAGAATCAAGATGAAGAATATGGATCTTGAGATCAGACGGCGGGAATCAACAGGTGCAGGTGCTAATACTCATGTCGAGACAGAAACACTTGCTAAATTTGAGTTGATGGATGGAACTCCAGTTAGAGGTATATATCCCCAAGATTTGAAATCTGATGTTTTAGTGATTTCTTAAAGAAATCAGATAACTGAGTGAAGATTTGTATTACAGGTGAATCGATACCTGTAAGACTGTTTCTGGCCCCATACGATCTTACACCAACGCATCGCAACATTAACAACAAATTCAGCGTCAAGTATTATCTGAATCTTGTACTGGTAGATGAAGAGGATCGCCGATACTTCAAGCAGCAAGAAATCACGTTGTACAGGTTGAAGGAAGACACATCATCTTGATGATAATAACAACTGTAAGGATTCTCATTATCCTTTTGAGACCTTTTGTAAAGCCTTAGACTGCGTGTACCCAGATTGTTATTTGGGTCGGAACTTAGAGTGAAGTTTTAACGGTACTTGTTTAGTTTGTTCATCAATCAAGTTCTTTTTCTCTAGATTCCGGTCGAGTTTGCTGGATTTCATGGTAAAGTCTGAAGTTTTACAAACCTCAAAACACTCTCTGAAAAGCCAAATCTCTAAATGCCCCATGCGTAGATTCCACCTTCTAGGTGAAATACGTTGATTCCACACTGAAATGGACAGATATACAAAACTGGATAACTCTAGAGTGAAGAAGTTGGTTAGTCTTCTTCAATTGTTTCAACAGGAAGACCTTCCTTGCCCCATGCGTAGATTCCACCTTCTAGGTGAAATACGTTCTTATAGCCGTTAAGGACAAGAAGATAAGCAGCTATGAGAGACCTGCAAGAACCCTAATCATATGAGCATCGAAACAAATGCTTTCTTTCACACAAAGGTGTAGACTTTTGACATTACCTCGATTGTTGTCCTTCAGGAAGATTCTGTGTCGGCTTCATTGTCCCCGCGGATGAACAAGCTACTATGATCTTTGCCTCTTTGTCAAGTTTAGCTTCTACACCTGCAACATTGTCAAAACAAAACATTAAGCTGTTGGATCCAATGCCATTGTGTAAAAACAGTCCATAGCTTTTGATCTCATTTCACTACATACTTTGAATAAACTCAGGGTTCTCTTCTGTGCCAGAGAAGATACCGAAGAAAGCAAATCCAAGACGGCGAGCTATGTCCCATGCCGTCCATTCCCTTATCAGTCTGTACATCTCCACATTGATAGCTCCTGGAGGATGACCCTTTAAAAACCAAACAACAAAACACATGAATTTGCCATTAAAAGTACAAGGGATCATGACATCAGAGAGAGAGAGCATAATAACCACTCACCGCCTTGTACTCTGCCTCTGGTCTTACATCAAGAATCACAAAGTTGTTCTCTTTTTGTAACCGTTGAGCTTCCTTCACGTCCACACTTCTCACCTACAACAACAACTAAAAGCTAAGCTATGTTCACATTTTGATCTAGAATTTAGAGCCAATCATTGATTACCCTTTTCTCCAATAGAAGCTCTCTCTTCTGTCTCCAATCGACTTCAGCTAATCCCTCCAAGAAACACAAGAAGAAGAAAAAGGGGTTAATCTAACCGAACTTTCCCATGCACAAATTCAAAACACTAGAAGCTCTCGCTCTACAAGTTGTATACCTGCAGGTTTCGCAGGTTTCGTTGAAGTGCATTGAATCTTGAGCGTTTTTTGACCGGAAACCATTGCTGCCGATCGAACTCCGGCAGAGAAAAGAGTGTTTCCGGAGGATTTCAGACGCAAAGCTTGCGATGAAGATGGGTAAGGCGTGGCGATTGAAGTAAGTGAAGCCATCTCTGTTGGATCGAAGCTTCTTCTGTTAAGTTTCTGTTTTTTAGATATTTTCTTGAAAATGAGAGAATTTAATTGAAGAGGGATGATGAAACTGCACTGAGCCTTCTTTCTTGTTAGGAAAAAATCTGAACATGTGGTGCTTGTTTTATTTTTCCGATTTTCATCAACGATAAAAAGTTGTCACAACACAATCTTCTCTTATCTTCTTTTCGACCAAAATAAAAAATAAAATATTTCTCTTATCTTCTTTTGATTGGATCACTTAGATTTGGTTAACCTGGTTTTTATTTTTTTGATTCGATAGGTTAGAAATGGTTAACATGTTTTTGTTTTATTTTCTTTCATAATTAAAAATTAATGGTCGGATTTGCGAGTTTACCGATTTATTAATAGTTACCAATTATGAAAACGGTAAGATTTAGTAGTACAAAAAATGTTATTTTCAGTTTTTTTTTTTTACCGCGTTATCTTATTGTGTCATTTGATTGGACTCTATAAATTAGCTCTACCGGCATTTTGTCGGCAAATGTAATAAATTTACTCGTTTCCTTAGTGAATTCTTAGGTATACCGATCACATCACTGTTCAATATTCAATAATACGTTGGTCCCTTCGACCAGAACTTCGTCTGGTACATTGCTAAATTATTGAGCTACATTTGTTTCTAACTATAAACAGATGTGCTTATCCATATCGGAGAACATAAGTAAACCACTTGTGTTCTTGCTGCCCAAAAAAAAAGGCTACTTGTGCTCTTTTAATGGAACTTATAAGCACGATCAATCTCTTAGCACTTATTCTTCTGCTCTTTGTTGTTTCCAAGATATGGAAAACTTGTTGGATCCTCCTTTTGCGGCCATTGATGCTATCAAAAAGATTCAAGAAACAAGGAATCTCAGGCCCAAAGTACAAAATCTTGTACGGAAACCTCAGCGAGATAAAGAAGATGAAGAAAGAAGCTGACCTTTTGGTTCTGGATCCGAAGTCCAACGATATCTTCCCTCGTGTGTTTCCTCATTATCACCAATGGATGTCTCAATACGGTAGCGTTTTCTGTCCATCTAGAAACTGTCTTGTTTTTTCTTTTTTCTTTTCTTGTTTTTCATAGATGAGCATTACTTAACACACACACAAGTTGTCTATGATATATTAGGAGAAACATTTCTATACTGGACTGGAACAAAACCAACGATATACATCTCAAATCATGAACTAGCGAAACAGATCTTGTCGAGCAAGTTCGGTTTCTCTATTATACCGGTGAAAAGACCCGAGGTCTTCATACTTTTTGGTAAAGGACTTTCCTTTATCCAAGGTGATGATTGGGTTCGCCATAGACGAATCTTGAACCCTGCTTTCTCCATGGACCGCCTCAAGGTCTTTTATTCTTAATTAGATACTTATCAGCTTGATTTGAACAAATCTAGTTAATTGTTTGCTTAAAATATTAGGCCATGACAAAACCGATGGGGGATTGTACCTTGAGGATGTTTGAGGAGTGGAGAAAACAGAAAAATGGTGAATTGGTGATCAAGATTGAGATAAGCAAAGAGTTCCATAAACTGACCGCAGACATTATAGCGACTACTGCGTTTGGAAGTAGTTATGCGGAAGGAATCGAATTGTGTAGATCACAGACTGAGCTTGAGAAATATTATAATGCCTCTCTCAATAAAGTCTTCATCCCCGGAACTCAGTAAGTATAATAGTCAGTATTCTGCTACTTTAAATATTCTTGAGATTTGAAGATTGTTGTGTCTTGTGTTTCAAGATACCTCCCTACGCCTACAAACCTTAAACTATGGGAGCTCGATAAGAAAGTGAAGAACTCGATCAAAAGAATCATAGATTCAAGGCTAAAATCAAAATGTAAGACTTATGGCTATGGGGACGATCTTCTAGGGGCCATGTTGAATGCTGCGAAATCTAATGAGCATGAGAGAATGATGAGAATGGATGAGATCATAGAGGAATGCAAGAATTTCTACTATGCAGGGCAAGGAACTATTTCGCTTGCATTGACATGGACTACGATGTTACTGAGCTTGCACCAAGATTGGCAAGAGAAACTTAGAGAAGAGGTTTTCAATGAATGTGGTAAAGATAAGATCCCAGATTCAGACACCTTATCCAAACTCAAACTGGTAATGTTCATTTTCAATGAGTTACTTGCGGTTGAAGAAAAGGGTTTTCTTATGAATGGAGAAACCTCTTAATCTTGCAGCTGAACATGGTGTTGATGGAGTCCCTTCGTCTATATGGACCTGTGATTAAAATGTCCCGAGAGGCAACACAAGATATGAAGGTAGGACACTTGGAGATCCCCAAGGGCACGGGCATTATTATCCCGTTTCTGAAGATGCACACTGACAAGGCGATGTGGGGAGAAGACACGGAACAGTTCAACCCATTGCGATTCGAAAATGGCATTTCTCAAGCCGCCATTCACCCAAACGCTCTCAACGCGTTCTCAATCGGACCAAGAGCTTGCATTGCCAAAAACTTTGCAATGATCGAAGCCAAGACCGTGCTCACTATGATCCTTCAACAGTTCCGGCTTAGCCTCTCCCCCGAGTATAAGCACACGCCAGTTGATCACTTCAATCTGTTTCCCCAATACGGCCTACCCGTAATGCTTCAGCCTCTTGATAGTAGTTCTTAGTGGTGAGGAAGAGAACAAAGCAAGAGAATCTCAATGGTCAAGTTATGTTCTATAAATCACAAATAAAAGTGAAGATCATATGCTTAGATAAAGTGGATAATTCAAATTCAAAGTGAAGTAAGGAATAAAATCTGAACATGTGGTGGTTGTATTTTCTTTTCTCGATTTTCATCTGAAATCAAGTGATATAAAGTTCCCACACCATAATCTTCTCTTATCTCCTTCATTTTTTTTTTTGAATAGCTTTTTTTGAGCCATTCTTGAGTTTTGATTGTTTTTTGGCAATATTTTCAATAAATGATTTTTTTTGGTATATATTTCCTCTATATGTTTGATGCTTGCTTGATACTTGCTGATATACCATAACTAAAAGGAATAGAAAGATAAAAGTAAAATAATCATTGAAAAATGCGAATTAAAATTACATGGTCCATACTACATAGGGTGATATAATTGTGATTCTTTTCTTTATTTTCATGTTCTGAAATTGGAAGATTTGATGCACAATTTTTTTTCTTGTAAAACTTTATTACATCACTATAATGGGTTAAAACCAAATGAAGGTCGACCAGATTCGGAAGTAGAGAACCTAGTGGATTAAAACCAAAGTCACTCGTTGAAATTTTAGACTCCTAGTGTTGTCCCACTTCCACTAATTAATCAAAAAATCAAATACTAGGCTTCTACAACTAAATCTACGGCATCAGCGCCATTCCTTCAACGTATGGGGTCCTCTGTGTGTCTGTCTCTCCACCGACACTCTCTTTACCGTCGATCACTCTACCAGACCGTTAGGATCGCGCCACGTACATAGCTTCTCTTATCCTCTGCATTTAACACACGGTGGACTACGTTCTCTCACGCTGCTTCAGATTGTACATTGCGATTTGGAATGTTTATTTTAACCCAAAGGCAAAAACTTTAGGTGGGCCTAAAACTAAATTAATGGCATTTACGCGTCAGTGAGAGTGGAGTATATAACAATCTGAAGCTGAAGAAGCATTGGGAGATTCATACACAGAGAGAGATAGTTTCTTCATCGAAAAATTCAATCTTTTTCCTCTTAGTTTGGATCGAACAACAATGGAGGTGTTCTACTACTTGGTGTTTGGGGTTTTGGGTCTCGTCGTCGCGGCTTTGGAGCTTAGCAAGAACAACAAGGATCGAATCAACACTTCTTCAGCTTTCAATTCTTTCAAGAACAATTATCTCCTTGTCTATTCGCTCATGATGGGTACAAATGCTCTTCCCCTTCTCTCTTCATCTTTCCCTCTCTTTGTCTGGTTATGTCTATCAAAACTTATTTATTTCCTGTTTCGATCCGATCTGGTTGTTGGGAAAATGTTGTTAATTAGTGGGTTTTGGTGGGAGATTTAGATCCTCTCTTGTTTTCTTGCCAAGTTTTGTCTTTTATATAGAGTTCGATATCACATTGGAACTTTAGGATTTTCAATTAGGAAGAAAATGTTACTCCATTAATTTGAGTACGAGATTACTAACTAAAGTTTCAAACTTTATAACATTCAAAGATCCGACCGGATTTGCTGACTGTTTTGTTTTGTGATTGCAGCGGGTGATTGGTTGCAGGGTCCATATGTGTACTATCTTTATAGTACTTATGGATTTGGTAAAGGGGACATTGGACAGCTTTTCATTGCTGGTTTTGGTTCCTCTATGTTGTTTGGCACAATCGTTGGATCTCTAGCCGACAAACAGTAAACATTCTCTCTGATGCTTTTATGTTTCAAGTAAAATGGAAATATCAACTCTTTAAGTAATTTGCATAATGTTGTGTTCTGTATCAGGGGTCGTAAGAGGGCATGTGTTACCTATTGTATTACCTACATATTGAGCTGCATCACCAAGCATTCTCCTCAATATAAGGTTTTGATGGTAGGCCGTGTCTTGGGAGGCATTGCTACTTCCCTTCTGTTTTCGTCATTTGAGTCATGGCTAGTTGCCGAGCACAATAAGGTAAAGCAAGGTTTATGCTGTATTAAGCTGTTTAGCCGCCATTGTTATGTATAAACTTAGTGTTTTTATGTGTGATGTATGCAGAGGGGCTTTGAGCAGCAATGGCTATCTGTAACATTTTCAAAGGCAGTGTTTTTTGGCAATGGTCTTGTTGCAATTATCGCTGGATTGTTTGGGAACCTGCTTGTGGATACCTTCTCTCTTGGGCCTGTTGCGCCATTTGATGCTGCTGCGTGCTTTCTTGCTATTGGAATGGCTGTCATTCTATCATCATGGACAGAAAACTATGGAGATCCTTCAGAAAACAAGGACTTGCTTACCCAGTTCAGAGGTGCTGCAGTGGCCATTGCCTCTGGTGAGTAGAAAATCCTGTTGCCCCTTTTAGATTTTGTTTCCTGTTTTGCTTCTCTGTCTAAAATTGTGATGGTTCTATGTCTTGTTTCTCATTGTCCTCATTGAGTCTTGAACAATGTATGATGGTAACATAATTTTTGTATCTTTCATCAGATGAGAAGATAGCACTGTTGGGTGCCATCCAGTCGCTCTTTGAAGGATCTATGTATACTTTTGTATTCCTCTGGACTCCTGCTCTAAGCCCGAACGAGGAGGAGATTCCCCATGGTTTCATTTTTGCAACATTTATGCTGGCTTCGATGCTAGGCAGTTCCCTTGCATCTCGTCTGTTGTCTCGCTCAACTCCCAAAGTAGAGAGCTACATGCAGATTGTTTTCCTAGTTTCCGGTGCTGCACTATTGCTTCCAATATTAATGACTGTAAGTTAAAAAAAAAGCTTCTTGTGAATCCTACTTTGCATGCTTTGGTGCTGACTTTACTTTAATTCTGTGAGTGATTAATTGTTTGCGACCTGATGTGTGACTCAGTTGTTCATAGCACCTTCCAAGGTGAAAGGTGGAGGAATCTCTTTCTCGGGTTGCTTTCAGCTCCTTGGGTTTTGTATATTCGAGGCGTGTGTAGGACTGTTTTGGCCATCCATTATGAAGATGAGATCCCAATACATCCCTGAAGAAGCCAGAAGCACAATAATGAACTTTTTCCGCATTCCTCTGAATATCTTTGTCTGCGTTGTATTGTACAATGTAAGTCCCGTCCCCCAACATTCTTTTTCTTCACTTTAGTAGCTGGGATTTCTTGTCCCATTTCTCTGTGTTGTGGTACTGACTAGTCTTATGTGTTCTGAAGGTAAATGCATTCCCTATCACGGTCATGTTTGGAATGTGCTCGATCTTCCTCTTTGTTGCAAGTCTCCTGCAAAGGCGGCTCATGATGATTGTTGACAAGCCAAGTATGTTGTCTCTGTGTCCATTTGACTCGGGGATATCTATTTCCTCTAACACGCTTTCCGCTTACAATCAGTTTACATCTCTATGTTTTCTGCAGAAACAAATGACTGGACACCCCTTGAAGAAAGAAACACAGAAGAAGATCCCCTCAACATATGATGAATAAACTATGCACATGAACATTCTGGATTCAGTAATGGAGACAGATAGAAGAAGAGGACTTTAAGGTATATGGTATATAGAACGCAACAATGCGTACAAAGAGATCATAGCGTTATAAGACTCGATGCAGTAGTTCGATTGTTTAATTTTCTTGGCTATATTTTTGTTGATGTTAAATTCAAAGACAAGTTTTAAGTTTTATGCAATCAATGTGTTATTCTTTCTTTCTATGCAACCTCTACCATCCTCACCATAATTAGCCAGCTTTTAAAGAGGCAAAACAACTTTCTAAAGCAGAAAAATCATTATAAGGAAACACAAATAGAATCACTAGCATTTGTGTTCTGTCATAGAACAGGATAGTACCTAGTTGTAAAGCTATCACAAAGATATAGTTCTTGGAGAGTAAAGACATTTCCGAGAATTACAATTATCATTTTGCTGTGTGTTCTGTACAAAGCACTTGGTATATGCTTTTGTCTCATGACTCATTAGCTAGAAGACGGGACATCCTTTGACGACAACACCTTTAGCAGTTGGACAAGAAGCTAATGGACATGTATCTCGGTCGCCGGAATTTCCCCACCACTGCACTTCAATTCCTTTTCGTCCGAGTGCTAGAAACAGAAGTATGGTCATAAAAGCTGAGCCAGCATCTAAACCACCAGACAAAACATAGTTATACTTCGTCCACCACTCTCTCCTGTACTTGAAAATGAAGTGGCCAAAGATGAATGCGACGATGAGCCAGCTGGTGAAGTTAACTGCTGTTGCTGGTGGCATCATTGCGGTGGCTCCCACAAGGACAGGGATATGAATCTTGGAGATCCATGTCTGAGCCGGGAACATCTTTGTGGCTAGCCAAACTAAGAGTGGAGCTATGGCTCCGACGAGGAAGAACCAGTTGACATTTGAGTATTCTCCAAGGTCACCAAACACCCTACGTGGTCCCACTAGTCCCCAAATCACAGAGGCGTCAAAGAAAACGCGGTCCATGGGACAAGTCCATTGGCTGTCTGAAGGAAGCAAGGCCGTGTCACAGAGATGAGGAATCTCTTCCATCAACCACCAAGCTGTTCCTGTGTACACAACAACCGCCACAAGAGTCCCAAACACCTGCACTTGTTACAGTTTGATTAGTTATGTTTTTGTTTTATTGGTAATCTATCTCAAAACCAATTTATAACATACCTGAGCCATGAACATGGATCTAGGCGGGATCTTCATGTAATGACCAAGCTTGAAGTCAGAAATGAAAGTTAGCGCTTGAGTCATACTAATGTATCCATAGACCTTGAAACACATGTTGGCAACAGGACGTTCCGGGTATATATACCCGATAACATACTCGGTTATGATGTTCAAACCCGGTGCCTGATTAGTGGTGGCAGCTATGACACCGATCAAAGGAGTGAAAGAGATGGCAATGGCACAAGCAAGTAACACTCCCCACCAAGGAAGCTGCACGGTCGCGTTGTAGTGCACGGAGATGAACATGATGAGCGCAATATTCAGTAAAAGGATGACCAAAAACCACCACAATGGAACTTCCCTGTAGTTTTTCTTCATGATTCTTGTGTGTATATCCATTTTCTTATCCTTTTGAAAGGCCCCTCTTGTCTGTTTCCACAAGTCACTGTAAAGACATAAAGATTATTAGTCTGAGTTTCGGATAATGATTTTTCCACGGTTATCAGGACATAAATGAACATAGATACCTTCCGTTGAAGACTAAGACATGGACAATGGTGGCAGACAATGTAGCAAACCCGAGACCATAAGTAACAGCAAAGAAGGTGCTCATGTTGATGGAGCCGGTCCTAGAGTAAACCACCCGGTCGAGATGGAACTTGCTATCAATAATGCTCAAAACATCATAACGTGAGCCATTACCCATGAAGAGCTGGCTAGAGAAGATAGGGAAGGTTTTGGCGTCATAGATGTTAAGCCAGTAACAAACAGGCGTGACGATATACATGACCAGTATAAAACCGATGGCTACATTGACCGAAGCAAACAATGGACTAGCTAAAGGGCTTCCAAGATAAGCACTAATGGTGACCCAATCAAAACCAATGGATCCAATACCAAGACCATGTTCACCTGAACCGAGTTGGTTAACTAGAATTGATTTGGGATTGAGCCAACAAACCCATGAGATTGATGTTAACATGGTGAAAAGATAACCAGGAAAGATGTAGTAAGCAAAGCTAGCTACTAGGACGATTAAGAAGAATTGAGTTCGACTCATGCCTCCTCTAGATTTCTTTTCTTTCTCGTGCAAGGCACCAAAGAGAGAGACTTGAACAAGATTGCTTGGCCACCACATTTCACCAGGCTCAACAAGGTGTTTCCTAAAGAGACCAGCCCAACCAAATCCAAGAATCTAAACACAAAAACGGTTTCAAGATTCAAGAAAAAGCAAGAGAATTAAAAACAAGAAACAGAGGATAAAGTGAAGTGAGACCTGAGTGGTGATCATGACGAGAAACGCTGGGAGGAAAGGAAGAGGACGTTTGTAGTAAAGCTTAATAGCACTGAGTATGTGAGTAGCGTAAACGGAGCCGGCGCCGGAATTTGCAAAGATGGTTATCAGAACATGTTCCTTGACGTTGAAGGCACCTGGGTTTAAGGTGAACTGAAACCTCGTACCTTCCAAGAATCTCCTTGTCGGAAGCACCCTCGCCATGAGATGTCCAATCGGCACGACGGCGATCTGAGCGCAGATTCCGGTGACACTCAACGGCATCGTTCTGTACCAGAAAAACTGGTTGATGAAAGAGAGTACAATGCACGCGCCTATACCAAGAACCCACATCCGGAATGTGAGAACCGGTAAAGATGAATCGTCGGTTTTGGGTACAGTGAGCTCTACCTCCGGTACAACGCACCGGTCATCGTCATCCATAACGGCCGTGAACTCTGTTGCTATCTCTCCCATCGGTTTAGAAAAGTGTTTCCGATCTTTGGGGGATGAGTCTTTTTTTTATATGTAAGATCTTGATTGATATATCGCAATTATTGAATTGATGTATATATCCATTAAGGAAGTCTGTCTTTTCCCACTAATATTTATATTTTCTCACTCGCATGTTATTACTGAAATAATAAAAATATATATGGTTTTATAATGCTATGCATTTTGTAGAAGAAAGAGAATAAATCAGAGGGGAAAACGACAAGTGATGGGTCAAGTGTGGGAGTGAAAAAACAGCTAAGACGATATAAGTTTTGTAATTTTAAAATTAGACAAAGGAAACCAACAAAAAAAGAGTCAGGCACTACTAATACGGAAGCATAAGATATACATGAACGTCAAAAAAGAAAACAATATATAGGACAAATTTTGCCCAAGCCTGTGGTCTAATGGCAGAGAAAGCTTTGGTGAAGGGTGAAACTCCCAGACCCGAGTTCGATTCTCCCTGGAAACAAAAAACATATTTGTTGGGGAAGTTTGTCAGTTGAGCCTTGGCCCAATTGGTTTACCTGGTAGTCAGAAATGCAGGCGGCCTGACTACCCCTATCATTAATCGGAAGGTATTCCAAACTCGGATCAGGCAGTGTGGTGGCCCAATTCTACCTGGATCGGGAGAAGTCCACTCTGTAGCACCTCGGTGCGTTCCTACCGAGGCCGACCGGATCAGCCGATAGGGTTTATCAAAAAAAAAAAAAAAAGGACAAACGAATTTCATGGGGACAATGAAACAAAAAAATATTTATTTGGTTTAAACGTAAAATAATGCATCTGGTTTAATGGGTAACGGAGTTCACGGCACAAATGTGGTGAATATTAAACAGACCACTATTATTATCTTTGTTGGATTTAAATTCGGTTCAATCACATAAATGACTGAATAAATATTTTGGTGATCAGTGCCACTCCAGCTGTACACAAAATAATTGTCACCAAAAACCTTGTAATTTTTTTCAAAAGAAGCATGTAGTATGTAACTAGACCGTTAATGAAATGTAATAAGCAATACATTGGATAATTGGTTTTGAGCAAGTGTTAATGAAACTCTTGTTCTAACGGTAATAACAAGCAATAACCTTATGGTCAACTTTGGTTAGCGATCACATCGAAACCGTAGATATACATAAGTCGTTCGTGATAAGTAATTCGAAACAAAGACTTTTGGGTCAGCATGAGAAATTCGTCGTCTTCTAATTTATAAATGGAACACCCAAATTAATGTTATTATCGGGAATACAAAGGAAAAATGGCAACTTGTAATGTACTGTGGGACGTGTTTATCGAATTCAAGTTGCAACTAAATCATGCGCCACTTCAAGTGGCCCACTTGATATAATTTGCAGCCTCGCAGGTCCACTCTTCCTAGCTTTAGGTCCCCATCTAGGCACATATATCGAAATTGTTAGTAGATTGTATCAAATACGTATACTGATTGATATACTTTTATGTTTCTCTGAAATACTTACACTTGGTGTCACGGAGTTGATAAATTTATAGAAGAAATTGAAATTTGAAAGATTAGTCTTGCACAAAAATAAAGAAAAAAGATTACTCTAACAAAGAAAAATCTATATACCCTGAACGTCTACAGTTGTTATGTCTTAGGATTTCTAAGATGGATCCAAAAAAAATGCAGGAACTATATACGGCTTTTGAGAACTTAGGTTATCCTTATTAGAGATGACTTCAAATAAGTATGTCGATGATTTGATAAGAACTGTCGTTTTATACTATGTAGGGACAAGGAAACAAGCACAATGTGAATCTTAAGACTTTAGATTCAAAAAGATGCTTCATGCTTGTGGAAATGATGACGATTGCGACTTGGGACAATGGACAAGTGCAATGTCATACTGATACACCTAACATAATGACCAAATAATGACTCTTTACACGGGTTAACTAAGCAAATATATCCCAACTAACATTTCCAACAAAACAAGCCGACAAATCAAACAATGGTACTGATTAAAACATCATTAATCATTATAACTTAAAACCGTAAAACCAACCTACGTACCATAATTCACACAATCAAGTTTAAGTCAGATAAAAAAGAGGAAAATGTATGGTTAGCAACTTTTACAGAATATGGTAAATGTGATGTGGTGTGGATCACAAGAAGTGAATGTGCTTTTTTCTGCTTTTTAAAAGATGAGTATGAAAAGTGAAAACGGGGCTACCCTCGTTATTTTATTAATGTGACCACTGTTTAGCTGGAAATCACTTGGAGACGACTTTAAAGTAGGCTCCAAAATCTAAAGCTAGACACCAGACAAAAGACTTTTCTATATTGTTTGTCTTAAGATAATTCTAAAAATATCAGCACCGTTACGTTATTGAATTGAATACTTCTAAGAATGGACTGTGAAAATGTTATTGAATTGAATACTTCTAAGAATGGACTGTGAAAATGAAACTAGTGTTGAAAATATATGTTTGGTCATTAATGAAACACCGACCTAAAACTAAAGAAAAAAATATCACTTCCTCGGCTGAGAAATATTTAATACACACACACACAAACTGAGAAATCTGAGGTGAGCTAATGTACATGTGAATGGGCTGGTAGCAGTAAACGCATCATTATTATGTGTATAAAACAGAACCAATAACATCAAAACTACCTAAGAATGCTACACCGATGCGTGTGCAAGTCTCAGTCAGTACGTGATTGGACCAAGTCTCGGTGTATAAAGACAGACACACAGTCCATCACCGCTAAACAATGACCAGACGGATGGGGCCATCAATATATCAAATTTGTGGAGCTCCATTTCATACCATCAGACGATGAAAGAAGCAACGGGTCTTTAATATATATTTTTTTTTCACAAGTGAAAACTAAATATTCAAATGGGCCATTTGTTTATACGCCCATAAATGGCCCATTAGTCCAAAAGCACAAACATTGGCAATGGCATACAATAATGCAAGTGTTGGGTCAACGCACTAAAAATTCCACAAGAACTAACGATAAGAACAAATAATCTTCATAGTCTCTCGTCCAATCTTACAAACTTTCCGGTTCCCTTTCTATATCCATCGTCCAATGGCAGAAAACAAAACTCTTCCTACGTATTTCTGCAGAAACTGCGAGAATCCACTAGCTCTCGGTGAAGATCTCATCTCCAAAAAATTTGTGGTAACAAAAAAAACACTAAAGATTGTTTAGTTGTACCAAAAAGTTAATTTTCATTTCTTGTCCGATGGTTTTATAGAGATGATCAAGTCTCTTCATAATCTCCATTGGTTACAAATACAGAATGTTTTTGAATATGGATTTGTATTTAGGGAGCTTCGGGGCCAGCGTTTATGTTTTCACACGCGATGAACGTGGTGGTTGGACCGAAGATTGGGAGGAAACTAATAACCGGCTCGTACGTGGTGGCAGATGTGATGTGCAGTAAGTGTGGTGAGACGTTGGGTTGGAAATATGTTGAGACCTTCGATCTTAAACAGAGGTATAAAGAAGGCATGTTTGTCATCGAGAAGCTCAAGTTGACCAAGAGATATTGAAACCTAGTCAAGAATTACTCTTGGAGGGTTAAGTTAAAAAAATAAATGAAGAAAACTTGAGGATTGTATGTATATATTATTACCTTTGTTGTATATTTGTCATCAGTATATTGGTTGTTTTCAATTAAGATAAAATAGAACAAACCAAATTATTGTAAGAAGAGTAATTAAAATTTTTTTAAAAAAAGTAATGTCTTTGACATATATTAGTGGAGAAATTTACAGTATATGAAAAAGTATTAAAAAATATGAAGAGACAAGTTTGTTCCACAATTCCATTTTTCATCACTGATGCTACTATTTATTTCCTCAATTTCCAGTCATAAAGCAAAAACCCAGAAAGAAACAAGTCACAAGATAGTCGCTACACGGCATATGATCAGAGAGACTAATAAAGATCAAAACTTTGATCCAACTCCAACCTTATTCTCCACTCAATTTCTCTTGCTTCCTTGTTCGATCCGTTAAACCCTTGTAAGATCCCTCTAAATTTTCCTCAGAAAGTTTCATTTCAGAGATCAAAATCGAATCTTTCGTTTAATTTTTCTCCATTTCGTTGTATCATATCTACTGCGTAATTTCCTCTCCGGTAATATCTCATTTCGTTTCCCTTGCCCTACCAATATATATAATTGTGTATTTTATATTCATCTGTGGTCTCTTGACTTGACCCACTCTTATTTGTTTATTGAAATTGAGGTAATATCGTGGAATCTCTAATCTTGCACGCTAACACCTGCCCACTGTTCTTATCTTCTATTTCCAGAAACATTGAAGTTTGAAGCTTGGTGAATTTTCAGAATCTGGAAAGGTTTTTCTTTATCTCCTCTTGTCTTTAGAAACCCTGATTTCTGGTTTCCATGTGGGTTCTGGATGTATTTATAGATTTTTTGTGTGTTTTGGTGACAAAAGGTGAGAACTTGGTTGGAGCAATTGATCACGCCCTGAAAGTGTTTGATAAAATGGCTCACTCAATTGGTCCAAGACTGTATAGTTGCTGCAACTGCAGAAACCATGTTGGACTTCACGATGATATCATCTCTAAGGCTTTTCAGGTGAATCAATCAGCTTCATCATCTCTTTTGTTTTGTTTCTGTCCCATATGATTGATGTAGAGAATTAAGTGGAGAACCGATCTACGACTAGCTTGAGTTGAGAATCTGACTGTCTTTCAGATTTTAGGAGAACCTTGGACTTATTGTCCTTCCTACTTGAATCCATTTTTCCTACCAAGTTATCTGTTTATTGGAGTTAGAGACTATCAATTTTTGGAAACTGATCTTGGAAACAAAACATAAGACTCAAAGTAGCTTTGACTCAAATTGCTATAAACCACTAAGAGTAGTCATTCTTTGCATATGCTTGTGGTTGGTTATTGAATAAATTCCGGCATTTGTGTTTCTTGATTGTGAAAATACCAATTACAATCGAATTCTTAATCACGGTTCTCCATTACCAGGGAAGAACTGGGCGAGCCTTCCTGTTCTCCCACGCAATGAACATTGTGGTAGGGCCTAAAGAAGACCGTCATCTTCTAACTGGTCTACACACTGTGGCTGATATATCTTGTGCTGACTGTAATGAACCGTTGGGTTGGAAATACGAGCGAGCTTATGAGACCTCACAGAAGTACAAGGAGGGCAAGTTCATATTCGAAAAGGCTAAGATTGTCAAGGAGGATTGGTAGAGCTGAGGAACATGTTTGAATTCATTATTGGATTGGCTCAAAAACTGTACATAGATAAAATTTGGCTTTGTCATTTCCGATCTTGAGGGATTTCACAAGTCATCATCAGCCATTTTTCCAGTTCTTAATTGTCTCTCTCTGTGTGTTAATTATATGTCGTCTCGTGTTCAAACTATGGATTTGTTCGTACAAAGTTTCTCTGTTAATAAAGATGTTAATAGTTTCTCTCCTTTGCAAGTGTAATATGATTCTCCATACTTTGTCTTTGAGTTGCTTGGAAGATAAACAGGGGAAAAGAAATGCGTGCCGTTTAAACAGTTAGACTACGTGCTGCTTTATGTTTGCCAAAGCTAAGTGGTTGTCGTTTTGGCACATTGCCAACAAATGTGATTACCCAGAGGAGAGAAAGAGAGAAAAGGGAGAGAGAGATGTATCTGAAGAGACCGATATGGAGCGATGGCGCGTCAGCAGCAACGCCGGAGAATCCGTCGGAATCGGAGAACGGAGAGGATTCAGACGCGGCGGCGATGGTAGTTGAAGAGCTGGTGACTTCTCTCAATACACAGAGACTTTACAGGGAGCTGACACTATCTCTCCGGACCGGTTTACGCGACGCTTGCGCTGAATTCTCTTTCCTTCGCATCCGTGGCCTTAGATCTCTTCTCAAAACTCTCCGAACTGTCGCCGATTCAGATTCCATCATCCGCCTCTTCTCTCATACCCAAACCATTTCCGATCTCCAATGTCTGATTATCTTTATTTCCTCATTGTTATACCCAAATCGATGCTGTGTAATGTGTTCTCTGATGATGGAAAGCTTCGTGATTTCGCAGTGGTTCCGGTGCTTTTTCGGCATTCATTGAAAGAAGCGGAGGATGATAGAGTGACGAGTTTGGATCATATATTCAGTGTGGAGCCGATGAAGATAACGAGTCCTTCTACAGATGCTGAGGTTGCGGTTGCACTTAGGGTTCTCGAAGGATGCTGTCTTCTCCATCCTCAGAGCACTGTTCTGGCTCATAAGCACGGTGCAGTCCGCGTAAGAAAGACTCTCCTTTGTTACTTATTGCTAGTCTATTGATGCATAGAGAATTCTAGAAACTAGAACTCTGCATTTTTGTTGTGAAATTGTCACTTCTCACTCTGATTTGGCGGAAACGGAGACTCTTGTGTACGAGAGACATCTTTAATCGATTTTCATTTCTTTGTCGATCTTATGTTTGGACTCTTCATGTTTTAGGATCAGATTGATGCAGTGGGATGTTTCTTGGTTGTGTGGGCTGTTAATGTGATTCAGATTCTCATAAAATGTTTCAGGTAATGATGAATGTATTATCAACACGAGGAGTACTTGAGCAAGGAGCCTGCTTGGATGCCTTAATCTCAGTATTGTTGGATTCATCAGCAAATCAGGTGGTAAGTATTCAGCTTCTGTCTTTTAGTAACAACTTTTGTGATTAGAAACGAAATAGAAAGCAGGTTGTGAATATCAATGGAACAAACTGGCCTTCACTTGCTTTATATTTTAACTTTTCTAATTTCTCTTGGTAACAGGATTTTGGAGCTTGCAATGGCATTGAAGAGGTTGCAATGCTCATGCGAGACAAACAAGCTGATGAAAACCTCAGGTGAATTAACAAGTTTTTGTTCTCAGTTTTTTCATGGCATTTCTTATATGGATATGGTTATATTACAGTATATTTAGAAGATAAAAACTGCTGCCAACGAAGATTCATTTCCTTTTTGTCTGTTCTGGTTTTTATGTTTTCAGTAAAGTTTAGATTGATTTTCTTGTCAAATTCTCGTCTAGTTAAACCATTCTCATCTCAAGTTTGGTCTCATATACATCTTTCAGAGTTCCAACTCTAGAAGTCACTGGTCATGATTTAGTGAATGATATTATTCAGTGTGTCCAAAAAAACTGATGGTCATGGTTTAGGCTTGTGGTCATGTTTATTTCCTTACTGATTCACAGGTTAAGATGCGGAGAGTTCTTACTACTGTTAGTTGGACATGTGAATGGGAAGGATCGTTCTCCCATAGCAAGTGTAAATGAAGACATCAGGCGCCTCTTGGGTGAAAAATCTGCTTCTTTAATATGGGCGGCGAGTCAATTCGGTTCAACAGGTGATCCTGAACAAAGAATCACTGCTCTTCACATCCAGGCTGGTAGAGTGCTCGAGTCACTTGACTTGTACTGATTGTCAAACTACTTTCTTACATAATACCAAAGTTATTATTATTTGTAACAATGTAACAACACTCATGGAAATAGAGTTGTTCAATGATTTTCCACTTTCGAATAAGAAATCAAACACAATCATTCGACACCAAAACAAGAAGGGTTCATCATACAATATGATTTAGAGTTGTCATATGAACACAAATCTAAGAAAAGGACAATTCTCTCCATTTGAGGATTGATTTTCTCACTTTTTCTTGAATGTGTTCAAATATCACTCATCTCGTAGACAAAATACAAATCTTCCTCAAATGGAGAGGATTGACCGATTGATAATAAGTATGTCATTCATACTTACAAAATACAAATCATCGTAAACATTTTTATGAAACACTAACAATGAGTAAGACCACACGCAGTGGGGGATCCTTCTGTCGGGTGTATGTATTTTAAAATAGAGAAATATTGCAAAATGTTGTCTCTCTCTTTACATGTGAGTGTAAGTATTAAAATAAACAGAAATATTGCAAAAGTCTCTATCTCTCTCTCTATCTCTCTCTCTCTTTTCTCTCTCTTTTCTTTCTCTCTTTAATTATAATAATAAAAAATTATTCACACTCACACTCCCACTTATCCCATTGTGTATGCTCTAATCGTTGACCCATGAGTCCATGACCGGTGGTCAATTGAAAATGTTTATCTTCTATAAAAAAAAATCTTTGTGGGTCACAAAACTCTCGCCGGCCCATATATTCGGATCTTCCAGGAGTTAGTGAAGCCATAGTTTTTGACGAAATACACTTTTTGTCTTTTGTTGCTGTGCAACGTCATAGATCTAACTCCGGAAGAAGAAGATGAGTGACGAAACGGCGTCGTCTTTGTCTCCGGCGAAGAAGAAGCAGAATCTGGGATGGATGGAGTGGATGAGAGGCTGGAGCAGTGTTTTCGGGGAGATTCTCTTCCAGAGGATCACAGCTTCTCATTTGGAGAACCCTCTTCCTCTTCCTCCCGTCAACGACCTCACTTGCGTTGTCACTGGTTCCACCAGCGGCATTGGCCGCGAGACCGCTAGGTTTGTTCTCTTCCCCGTTTCTTCCGATTCACAACCCAATTGAGTTTGATTTCGTCTAGTTTGGGACTCGAATTACTGAAAACTTCCCTAAGCTTTTTTAGCTCTTTTGCTTTTTTCTGTTCGCAGGCAGCTTGCAGAAGCTGGTGCTCATGTTGTGATGGCCGTAAGGAACACAAAGGCGGCTCAGGAGCTGATACTGCAATGGCAGAACGAATGGTCTGGTAAAGGTCTCCCACTCAATATTGAGGTAACCTTAATGGTGATGTACTTATTACAATTTAATAATGTGTATTACTGGGACTGGAATTAGTCAAGAATGTGTATTGACATATATAAAGTGTTTTGTACTATAGAAATTTCAAACAATATGTGAACTAGTTAGACTGTAGCTAAGCCAATTTCTTGTATATTAGTTTGAGACTTAAAGTATGGGCTTGTAACGTCTAGATAGTTGATGATGATACTCTGTTTTATTTTGTAAAGGCAATGGAGATTGATCTTCTCTCACTGGATTCTGTAGCAAGATTTGCCGAGGCTTTGAACGCTCGGTTAGGACCTTTGCATGTTCTGATTAACAATGCTGGGATGTTTGCTATGGGAGGTTGGTTTTATTGCCCTTTTTAGCTATAGAGCATTGAGTTTTCCCCTTCTGTTGTTTCCTGTATCTATTTTCATCATCTCTTTGTTATGATCTCAAATTCCATATGTGAACCAATAATCATCATCAGTATTTCAACTTGATGGACCCAATTGGTGAGAACTAGCATGTTATTCCATTGCAAGTCTTCTATTATTGCCGGTATATGGAACTCTGCCCGATGGGTCTTCTTTTTAAATGATTGGTTGTCAGATGCTACATTTTCTGCAGTATATGTTGAAGAAAGGAACCATCTGAAATGCTCCGTTCTCTAATTTGTGCAGAGGCGCAAAAATTCTCAGAAGAAGGATATGAGCAGCACATGCAAGTGAATCATTTAGCTCCAGCGCTGCTTTCTGTACTTCTTTTGCCGTCTCTGATCCGAGGCTCTCCTAGCCGAATCATTAATGTGAATTCCGTTGTAAGTTCTATATCACTGACACTGCAGGCTCCAGTCTGTATTCTCTAGTTTAAATTCTCTTTGGTATGAGTAATCATGTTGAAAGGTTTGATTTGTTTGTGTATTCTGTAACTTTAAAACCTCTGGTCTTGTCAATTGGTTGCAGAATATGTAGATAAATGATATAGGTCCCTCTAAATCACTGAACTACATATGCATATTATATCAACAGAGTATTGGTATAGAGAAACGATACAAACAGCTTGTTGAAAGTTTCGACCCAAATTACACTACCATGACTGGATTATAGGATCTGCATTATGTCATTACTCATTTCAGAAGAATTCTGTGGCTTGCTGTTTATGAAAACTGAGGCAGTTTATATTTATTGTCTTTGATTATTACTTTTTCATGCAAGATAATGGGTTGTGGGATTCACTTTTGTAGATGCATAGTGTCGGTTTTGTTGACCCGGATGACATGAATGTTGTTTCTGGTAGACGTAAGTACTCAAGCCTTATAGGATACTCAAGCAGCAAGCTTGCCCAGGTGAGCTTACAGTAATGGCATTTAATTTTTTCATCTGCCGCAGTTTCCATTTTTTGAAAGGGGCTTGTTTTCAGAAACCGGTGAGTTAAGTCTCACTTTCTGATCTTCCATTTTCCAGATTATGTTTAGTAGCATTCTTTTCAAAAAGCTGCCTCTGGAAACAGGAGTTAGCGTCGTATGTCTATCCCCTGGTGTTGTCCTAACAAATGTTGTGAGTATTAGCTTCACTTCATTTCGTTACAAATGCAAGATTCTTCTGTTTCTCATAACTTTATCGCATTGAACTGCCTATCTGTTTCCAAATTTTTTAGGCCAGGGATCTATCCAGGTTTCTTCAAGCTCTGTACGCTGTGATACCATATTTCATATTTTCACCCCAAGAAGGTTGTAGAAGTTCTCTATTCTCGGCCACAGACCCTCAGATTCCAGAGTATTGGGAAACACTAAAAAACGACGATTGGCCTGTTTGCCCATTTATTTCTCAAGATTGCCGCCCTGCAAATCCTTCCGAAGAAGCACACAACACAGAAACTGCACAGAGAGTGTGGGAAAAGACGTTAGAGCTGGTGGGTCTTCCTCTCGATGCAGTTGAAAAGCTCATAGAAGGGGAAAATATCCAATGCCGGTATGGAGCACAACACGAATAGTCTTTCAAAAAATTACCACAGGTTAAGCGACCCCTTACAGATCAAAGGGTAAGTAATTGAGAAAATTCCTTTTTTTTTGTTTCCTTGTTTTAATATACACTATACAGTGGGGAATGAATCCCCCAGGCATGTGGTTTGCTTGAGAATGTTTGATTGTTGGATAAAAGTCAAGGTTGAGCTACCATTCCATGGCTTTACTTACAAGTCTTGTTCAAGTGTTTGGTTAGTGTGTCTTGAGTTATATTATTAAGGTGTTCAGTAGTATGGTGGCCTGGGTTGGTGGGTAGTTTCCTGTTCGAGTAGAGGGTACTTCCGTAAATTCCCCCTAGGTTGTGCAGTCACGTTGCTCATATATATCAATAGAGTCATCATCTCTCTTACTCTCATGGACAAAGTCACAAAAGTGATAAAATCTCCTTCCACTTTCTAATGTTTCTTGCTTAAATGAGTATTCCATGTAAAAAATGATTCACTCACTCATATGGGTGGGTTGGTTTGGTTTTCTCTTCATGAGATGCTCATTTGAGCAAGCAATGTTTGTGAGTGGAACTATTTAATATCATGTTACGAGTTTTGTCTTTTGTAAAGAAGAAGAAAAGTTGGGTCATGCCCACTTCACGTGAATCTAATGCGTTCAAGTTTGTGGTCTACCTTTATTTGCTTATGGATACATATCAATTTACGTGTCGTATGATTCAAGCCTTTAATCATCCCCTCACCATGCACGTCTTCTAGATTTATTTTCTACCACGATTCCACCACATAATTTAACGTTGTTATAAATTCAAATACCTTTTTACGTGTTATTGTTGAATATTTATTTATTTATTTTGTTAGTTAAAGCCTTAAAGGATAAAAAATTTAGGGTACAACACGTCCACTTCTTCCCCAATTAGACCCATATGTGATCTGTCGTCACTCGTCGCAAAGTTTATTTTGTGTCGTCTTTAAACTTGATTCAATATGATTTCAATTCAATAAAAAGTCTTAACGCCCACAACGAAAAGGTACTTCTCTTTTTTTGTTTGGTGACTGAATCGGTGAAAAAAAAAACCAACACAAGTTTGTTCCTTTTTGTCTCTCCAGATCCGTTGGGTTTCTTCTTCCTCCTCCTCGTGACTCTGTTTTGAACTTTTCTAGGGTTTTAATTGTCGGCGTTGGTTTATCGTTTTTGAGAATTTGATTTCGGTTTTAGGAAGAATGGGTGATTGGGCTCAACTTGCTCAGTCTGTGATCCTGGGTTTGATTTTCTCTTACCTTCTCGCTAAGCTGATCTCGATCGTCGTCACGTTTAAAGAAGACAATCTCTCTCTTACTCGTCACACCGAGGACTCTCAATTCGAGGTAAAACCAGAAGGGGTTGACTCGCGACGTCTCGATTCTTCTAGCGGCGGCGGTGGTGGTGAGGCGGATTCGCTTGTGGCGGAGCAGGGTAGCTCCAGAAGTGATAGCGTCGTCGGTGACGACAGCGAGGAGGACGATGATTGGGAAGGCGTCGAGAGCACGGAACTCGATGAGGCTTTTAGCGCCGCCACTCTTTTCGTAACTACCGCCGCCGCAGATCGGCTTTCGCAGAAGGTACCTAGCGATGTCCACCAGCAGCTTTACGGATTGTATAAGATTGCTACGGAAGGACCGTGTACTGCTCCTCAGCCATCAGCTCTCAAAATGACTGCTCGTGCCAAGTGGTATTTCTCTGTGCCATTAGCTTCTGCATATAATTTTCTAGGTTTTTTGTTCAACTGTTTGATATTTGATTTTAGGTGGAATTTGAGTTTTTAGGTTCTTCATAGACGAGGAAGACTTGTATTGGGTGTATCTTGATATCACCTAGTTAGCTTCTTGGCTTATGCAAGTGCTGGAAGATGATGTGGTTTTTACTGTTGTAACAGTTGATTGTCTATGTGATTGTGGTTTGTTATAAGAGTGCCATTTCATTGATTGGGATGTGCCATGATTTTGTTCTATTTCAGGCAAGCATGGCAGAAACTGGGAGCTATGCCCCCTGAAGAGGCGATGGAGAAGTATATTGAGATTGTCACTCAGCTATACCCAACTTGGTTAGACGGTGGCGTGGTATAAAGCTTTAATTTTTTCCCTCCTTTATTTTCGTTTTATTCCTCTGGACTGTTCATGTGAGCTTCCCTAACAGAAAGCCGGAAGTCGGGGTAGGGATGATGCAGCCTCCAACTCAAGAGGAACCATGGGACCAGTTTTTAGCTCGTTGGTTTATGATGAGGAATCCGAAAATGAGTTGTAAGGTTCTCTTCTTGTATTCTCTTGTGTTTTACTTCCTGATCCTTGCGTTCATGTCTAGATTAGATATAAGTCTGTTGTGAGATTAGAGGCTCATAAACTCGGTGAATATGTAACATTACTGTTTCGTTCTAGCTGCTACAATTGTCTCATGGAACTTTGAGCTGTTCGTTATTTCCTGTCTGTCTGAATGAAACACTAATCCTCTGCTCATTGAAATTTTGTTTTATCTCTCAGGAAGATTGATGCCATACACGGATTTGCTAGAGAAGGAGAAGTCGACAATTTGCTGAAAAGCATTGAAAGCGGCATTCCTGTAAATGCAAGGGGTTAGTCTCTGCTTGTATATTCCGTTTCTTGGAAGTTCATTCTCGTGATGTTGGATTTGCTTTCTAATTTTCCGTAAACTCCAGACAGTGAAGGTCGCACACCGTTGCACTGGGCTATTGACCGTGGCCACCTCAACATCGCCAAAGTTCTGGTCGATAAGAACGCTGATGTGAATGCTAAGGTGAAGAAAGAGAAATTCCTACCTAGTCATAATCTGCAAATGTAGCAACTTCTTTATTTATGTGTTTCTGGTTATTGTGTTGAACAGGACAACGAAGGCCAAACCCCTTTGCATTACGCTGTTGTATGCGACAGAGAAGCCATCGCCGAGTTTCTGGTGAAACAGAAAGCAAACACAGCCGCTAAAGATGAGGATGGAAACTCCCCCCTCGATCTCTGTGAATCAGACTGGCCCTGGCTCCGAGATTCTGCAAAGCAGACAGACTAAACAAATACTAACCACGTCTTCTCTAATCCCGCAATGTATATGATCAAATGACTTAGTAAGAAGCTTTTCTTTACTTTAAACTTTCCATATCGTTCCAACACTATATCACTTGGATGTTTCCAAGTCTTGTTCTTTAATTTCTTTCTTCTTACATTGCAACAATCTTTTGTTCCTTCAGGCTTTATGACATATATCGTAACCGGTTTTTATTGGTTTGCTATATACATACACATATATACATATAGAGAGAGGGAGTCATTGGATTCTCAACAAATAAATAACCGACTTTGGCGGCAAAAAACGGTTGATAGAACATAAATTAATGATTTACGGATAACCCCAATAAAGCAAATACAAAAACAGAATTAGCATCTTCGTGGCCCTTTCGTCTTCTCTCCATAGAACCCCACCTTTGGCTCCCGGAAAATGGCCAAGGTGGTGGTTTATGCGATACTAGCTGCCACCTTCATCGTCCTTGTCCTCTTCGCTCATAAGAAACAAAACCGGACTCAATCCATTGAGGGTCTCATAAGCCGCCGCATTGGACGCAGGCTTGAAATGCCCGTATTTGACCCTCTGGTGACCCGGATTGAGCGGTTGTCTCATGAGAAAGAAGCTGGTACGAAGACCGTGGAGGCTGCAAAGGAGGAGGAAGATGATATGTTTGAGGAGTATTTTGCACAAGAGAGAAGGCTTAACACGACAATGAGGATCAAGTTCTTGTTCCCTCTGCTTGACGCGGCACCAAGAGATGGCTTCGTGAGCTTGAAAGAGCTTCAGACATGGATGATGCAGCAGACAGAGGACAACATGGGTTACAGAACCGCCAAAGAGCTTGAGCTACAAGATAAGGACAAGGACGGTGTCATAACCTTTGAAGAGTACTTGCCTCAATTCTCTAAGCAAGACATTGGTAATATATTAACTTGTCTTTGATCCTTCGAGAATTTTCTTCTTCATTATGCAAAAAACAATGATAACTAATATGGAAACAGAGAAAAACGAGAAGGGTCACGGTGAAGCCGGTTGGTGGATGGAGCAATTCAAGAATTCCGATTTTGATCATAATGGCTCCCTCGACATTGAAGAGTTCAACAAGTAATTATTATACTCCGAAAAATCTCATTTCCTTATATAATTTTCAGAAATAAAAAAAGAATGAAAATATTGGGATTTGCAGTTTCTTGCACCCTGAAGACAGCAGAAACGGAGATACTCAAAGATGGGTTCTAACGGAGCGAATGACGTAAGCATTTTGTGATAAATCTTGTTTCAATATGATCATAAATGAAGCTTGACTAGGAAACAACGTCGTCGTTCGTGTTGTTTGATAAATGTAATATATAGGGGCATGGACACGAACGGTGATGGGAAGCTAGAGTACAGAGAGTTTGTACAGAACACATACGAAATGTATAAAGAATTCGCAAAGTTCGAGACAGAGGAGGATGAGAATGTGCCAACAGCTCAGCTTCTGTTCGCAGAGCTGGACAGGAACAAAGACAGATTCCTCGTGGCCAATGAGCTTCGACCCATTTTGCATTATCTTCAACCTGGTGAGATGAGTTATGCCAAATACTATTCTACTTTCCTTTGCCACGAGGTTAGTCTCTTCCAACCTAAATCTTAATCTTAACTCTTTTTTTCCTCATAACTTTGACATTCATTAATAGTGTGTATATGTTATTGTCTTAAACCGATTTTAAGAACATTAGCAATGTGATTACAACTATGCTAAGTAGATGTGTATATTGCTTAAATTTCTAACGTTTAATTTTATTTTATTTGTGTAGGCGGATGAGGATAAAGATGGTAAACTATCACTTGAAGAGATGTTGCGCCACGAAGATGTGTTTTACAAGGCAGTTCATCACGAAGAACTGGACGACGAAGACTATTTTGATCATGATGAACTCTAATTTTTGTGTGTTTTCCTTCAACTTTTAATCAATTTCTTTTTTTTTGTTTAATTGACTTCTTAATTCATCTCGTCTAGATTGGTTTATGTTAGGCTACGAGATTACATGCACAAATTCCACCGTGGTTCCGTTGATAGTTGGCTTTTGAAGAGTGCACAATGTCAAGAAAGTTTTTTTCTTGTGATATGATAACCTTAAAGAATGTCAAAAAGACAAAGAAAAACAAACAAAACCAAATATAATTATAGATGCCTAAAGAAAATGTCAAGTAGCTAAAATTTGGAACCACCAACTGTGGCATGAGCCAAGCTTTTCTTTCCGATTAGTTTTAATTTTTTATCATCGATGACATTTACGTCCCAACCATCTTCTTGACTTATATATAATTTTGAAATATCAGGGTTGGTAAGAGTACGAATAGTTAGTTCAGTATATGCAAATTTTTTTTAAGAAAAAAGTAGCTACATTTTTTAAGTATAAATATAGCCCAATCGCAGTTCTCATTTCTCACTCTCAAAAACAGACACCAAAACAGTTTTAAAAGGCGGGAAAGAAACAAAACAGAGCAAAAATCCAAAAAACAGATTCAGAATGGGATCTTTGGCTGAAACACAGATCACTCCGGCTAAAATCTCCGACGAAGAAGCCAACCTCTTTGCTATGCAGCTCGCCGGTGCCACCGTGCTTCCGATGGTTCTAACATCGGCGTTAGAGCTCGACCTACTCGAGATCATATCCAAGAATGCTGGTCTTGCTGGTGGTCAACTGTCGCCGTCAGAGATAGCTTCTCATCTTCCGACCAATAACCCTGATGCTCCTATCATGGTCGACCGGATCCTCAGATTGCTTGCGGCTTACTCCATCTTGACATGCTCTGTCCGTAAGCTTGTTGACGGCGGTGTGGAGCGTCTGTATGGACTGGGACCAGTCTGCAAGTACCTGACTAAGAACGAACATGGAGTCTCACTCGCGGCACTTTGTCATTTGAACAGAGACAGAGTGTTCATGGAGAGCTGGTAAAATCTTGTTGTAACCTTATAAAACTCTAACTCTACACTAAGAAACATGTACATGTAAATATGTGATGAGTGAAATATGTTTGTTTGTGTGCAGGTTTCATTTGAAAGATGCAGTTCTTGAAGGCGGAGTCCCATTCGACAAGGCATTTGGTATGGACGCTTTTGCGTACCAGGGGGCCGACCCAAGATTCAACAAAGTGTTCAACAATGGAATGTCGAATCACACAACCATCGTCATGACCAAGATTCTTGAGACGTACAAGGGCTTCGAGGGATTGTCTTCATTGGTAGATGTTGGTGGTGGCATTGGAGTCACTCTCCGTATGATTGTCTCCAAGCACCCACACATCAAAGGCATCCTTTATGATCTCTCTCATGTCATTGAGGAAGCTATATCCTACCCCGGTATATATAATTCTCTTTTAGGTACTTTGATTCTAAATCATTGAAGGTTTAGTGTCCTATAATATTGACTTAGAGGTGGGATTTGTTAAATGATTCAGGTATTGAACATATTGGGGGAGATATGTTTGTGAATGTTCCTAAAGCAGATGCCATCTTCATGAAGGTTGGTAACTAGTCCTATTGATTCTTGTTAACAAGTTTATAATTACTATTCTTAGACATTTAGCATAATAGTCATAAGAATGTATCCCAAACGTTTGGTTTTTAATATTTATCACATGTGACAGTGGATATGTCATGATTGGAGCGACCAACACTGTTTGAAATTTCTGAAGAACTGCTACGAAGCACTCCCAGACAACGGGAAAGTGATAGTGGCGGAATCTATACTTCCGGTGGTGCCAGACTCAAGCCTCATAACAAAAGAAGTTGTCCATATGGACTGCCTCATGTTGGCACACAACCCCGGAGGCAAAGAGCGAACCGAGGAGGAGTTTGAGACCTTGGCCAAAGCTTCTGGCTTCCAGGGCTTCCAAGTTGTCTGCAGAGCCTATGGTACTCACATCATGGAGTTCCTCAAGAAGATATAAATCTGTGAAAGATGCATGAATGCATCCTTTGGCTCCTTTTGCTTCCAAGTTTTGTTTACACCACTATCGATATCTTATTTCTCTCTTTGATTTTCTTATCACTATGTATGTCGTTGTTGTAGTTGTTGAAAGATGCATTTCTTTGTAAATGTAGTTTCAACGCTTGTGAAAGTGGATATATAATAATATAAAGCTGGTTTTGTTTGTGAGGTATCTTCATATCTCCATTTCTATGGGAATACTAGAGTGTTAGACATAGTTACATGTTTTATATACACTAAAGAAAGAGATGGAATGTTCAATTCACTTAAGATAGATGTGAAGACATCCATATGCCAACAGTAACTAAACCGATAGTAGCTGCAGCCTGAACCAGTTCAACCACCACGTTTTGTCGCTGCGCGGGGAGATTCTTCCACTCTGTTCTTCTGTTTATGCAAAAATCGAAACCAAAACAAGTTCAGAGTATATAATAATGTATATAGAGGTTTCATATAGCAGTGGAAACTTTGTCTAGATGAATCCCTACCCTAGATCAGCAATAATGATGCTGATGTTGTCCTGAGACCGCCGGTCCTGAAACGTGGGAACAAAATCGTAAATTTGTCAGTTTTGATTCCTAATCAAAAGTAAGCATGAGGAGGGTTTTTAGCTATTTACCAAAGCTACTTGCGCAAGAGATTCACAAGCAAGCTGTTACAGATGGACAGTTAGGAAACTAGTTCAGCCTTAAAAGTCATACATGTATTGTAGAAACTAATTGATAAGAAGATGGAAGAAAAAAAAACACTCGCCTGCACATTTCCATGTTTCCGAAGCTGATCCCTTACGTAACTAACCACATCCGAACTGTACCAGCAAAACATTGATCATTGTAAGCTATTTACTTCTCCCTGATAAAAGCATATGATTGAATTGGGAAAAAGAGAAAAGACAAAGGGAACCTTTTCATGTAGTCCCATAATCCATCAGAAGCTAAAATAATGAATTCCACATCAGAAGTAAGAGGTACTTGGAAGATATCTGGAGTTGCGACTACCATGTCCCCTTTAAACTCGATTCTGATTATTTCATCGGAATAATTAGGACAGAAATCTTTGAAAGTGTAACACAAGAGGCAAGCAAAAGTAGAAACAGCTTATACCTCGAAACAAACTTCTCGGTCCATCTTCCTTCATCAACACCCTTCTTTAACATTCTGTGTGAATGAACGTTTATGAGCTATGAGGCAGCATAAAAAAAAGGAAGAGCAGTAGTAAGAAGAGAAAGAACCCAACTCATCCTTCTTTGTCTTGAACCGGATGTCACCAAAAGCACGGGATACAGCTATGTCTCCACAAATCCTTCCATTGACAATCTGATCAAACGAAGTGCAAGACATTCCTTTTTAGCTAAATATTAACAACCTGACACAAGAAAATTCAGAGTGATAATTTGAGAAGTTTTAAACATGAAAATAAGAAGACACACCCATCCACCTGCTTCTTTGATCCTTTTCACTTCCTGAATAGCTGCTTTACTGCTTCCATATGGACGGTGAGAATCAGTCAATTCCTCGATTTGTCCAGACCGAGATAAGACCTATTTTAATGCATTAACAAGAAAACTTCATACATGACCAAGTTACAATGATTCATGGATAAAATTCCCACAAACTAGTTAATTAAAAAGACTTACTGCACATGAATCACCAATATGTGCAATGAAAGAAACATCATTTCTGATGAACATTACAGTGGCTGTTGAACCTGATTCATCTTCTTCTTCACCGTTTGCTTCTAGCCTGAATCCAAACCATATATATAAACGAAACGTATGTGAATCACTTCACTCAAAATCATCAAAATTCATTCAAAATCCAAGAAATTTAAGCTAATTTTCACCATTTGAGCAAATTACGATCCACGCTTTCAAAGGCCTTAATCAAAGCTTCCTTGATTGCTGTGAAATCACCTCCATTTAACAACGATCCAGCTTGCAATGCCCCAATACACTCCTTATACAGCTCATCCCTATCCATCATCATCATCATCATCGTCACCACTGTAACCCAACAAAACAGAGCTTGCATGAGAAGTTACCTGAGGAATTTGACAGAGGACGATCCAGCGTGGCCGTCGAAAACCGCGGCGTAGGAGAAGCTATCAAGAGCATCGGAACGGATAACGATGTCGTCCTCCATCTCATCTCGGAATCCTTGAACGCTCGTGTAACCCCATCGAATCGGCGTCACGCCAGTCAGAGACGACGGCGCGTCGATCGCAATCGCGGAGCAACGGTGATGACCATACGTGGGATAGACGACAAGGCCACCGCCAGAGTCGGCGGAAGGATATGCGGAGTGGCGGAGAGTGTTGGAGAGAAAGCGATGAAGATGCGGCCTCAGAAGCGCCATGACTCAGTGAGTCAGGCAAAGCGAGTTAAGTAGAAGAAGAGAAAAAATCGAAGAGTGTCTTTACGGTTAGTGGCCGTGGATTTTCGTAAAAAAATATCTGAGGATAAGAGAATCAACGCGGGCCTTTTAACTAACTTAACGGTCCACTTTTCAAGTTTGGGCTTAGGCCCAAAAAGTGGGATCAATCAACTTTTATAGCTTTCCTTTTTAGGAAAGTAATATATTTGTCGCTACCAACTGCAAATAGAAAGGTCATGTAGTTATGTTGTATAATACATTTTTTTGGTTTTGCATAATGCTATTGTCTCCTTCATTTATGATTTCTTATTACTTTACCTTTTAAGTAATTTACACTAATTCTATTCATCTAAAGGAGCAGTGTAGTTTCAGGGTTTGATTTAGTACAAACTTAACAATCAACTTTTTCTCATGTATGGAAATTATGTGGGTTATATACAGAGGGATATTAAGATTAGTCTATAAGCTAGAGAATTAATAAGAAATCGAAGAGATTCGATTTAACTATTGGAAGAACTCATCCGTGGAAGATTATCTTGTCTCCGCCTCCATGGAATAGCTTGCTTAAATCCTTGGTAAACCCTTGCCTGCATTTTATTATTATGTAATCAAAATGAGCCTAAAAATGAATTCATTCACAATCCAAAAGAAGAAATATATAGGGATAAGAGTAAGCAAAGACTTTTGAAGGAAAACCAAAAGTTTGCACTTAAAAAGGACATTTATTTCAAATCCCAAAAACGTTGAAAGTCTGTTTTAAAATGAGTAACTCATTAAATTAAGTTTTGATCAAACGGTTGGGATTTTGAATAACGTAAGAATGTAATTAGACAACTAAATCAAATTTTAGAGCAGAAAAGGTTATGAGTTTCCAAAACTTACCAAGAATTGCGATTTGGAATGAGAAAGATTCAAGAGGCTTCCTTTTCTTCGAACTCTACTAATCTTCACCGTTGTACCCCCGCCGCCGTCGCCGTGGAAGCAGCGGCCGTTAGTGGAACGTGAAAAGTCGAATCTACCCTCAGAGGCTCCTTCGTTTCTCCTTATCACCGATAAAGACCGGCGAGGTATAACGTAAGGACCATCAAGAACTGTAGTCGGAGATGGCTCATTCTCAGCTGGAAAAAACAGCCTCGGCGGAAGGTCAAGGCACCGCACGACTCCTCCTCCTTCGGCGTTTTGCTTGGAAACCAGAGGTTTGTTCTCATCAGAAACGCGAGGCTTTCCCGGAGCTTCCTCCCATAGAAACGGGACCGATCCAGCGATGTTCATAGGCGGTGTCGCTAGGCCAGGAGTCTCACAAGCTCTGCCCAATGGAATTGAGAACAGAGGAAGCTTAGGAGTCGCACAAAACCGTTCTTGATCATCAAATTCAAAATCCATCGCTTTTTTTTTTTCTGATTAAGAAACTTTCTTTGAGGTTATATGAAATTGTTTGGGGTTTAAATAGATAGAAAAGGTAATTTTCTTATTTTTTTTGGTTCGAATTATATGAACACAAGAATAAAAAAGGAAACGAGAGGATGAATAATGTGAAGAAGTGTATAGTATTTTATGAAGCTGGGATAGAAAAATAAACAAAAACGTTAACGCTCCTTGTGGCGCTTCTTATTCACGAGAGAGATCCCAAAGAAGAGAAGAAAATATAAACAAAGTAAAAAAAAAAAAAATATTATTAGCAAAGTGGGTGGGCGTGGTCCTACATTACGATTTTCCTAACGTTGGGTCCTTTCAAATTTCATGTCGAGCCTTTATTGCCTATAAATAATACCATTATTAATTGTAATTATATATGAAAAAAAGAAAAAAAAAATGAAAACCAGAGCTGCTATAGTGGTAATAATGTAGCTATAAATACTGAAGAAGTCCTGTTCGTAGACAAAAAGAAAATATCTTAGTTCTCTCAAATCTCAATTATACAAGTTTGTTTAATCTTTAAACTAAACAGAGGTGGGTCTGGTCACCGTAGATGTTTTCTCAAATATGTGTGTTGTTGTGGACCGTAGTTGATCATCAAGTATAATGGTTTTTTCATCTAGTTCTGTCAACCATCATTTTCTATCTCTAAATCTGAATTGTCCACTTGTATCTCAAAACAAGGCAAACGAAATTACCTTTGGTGAAATTAGCAAAAAAAAGAAATTACCTTTGGTGAAGCGAGGAATGTGCTGCGTTAAAGGTCAAAGGCTGCTCTTGTCGTTGCATGAGATATGTATGAGAATAATGAAATGATTTATGCATGGAAAAAGGACGGTAAGATTAAACAGATTTAGAAGATATTAGGCGGATCATGTTATCCTTGTGAGCCCCCATTCAAATTAAGTTAATGTATCTATAGTCCATGCATATGGCCTAATTAGCAGACTTTGAGTTGAATATATGTATTTGAATAGGTTATCGTATTGATGATGTGTAAGTGTAAGTGTAACGTGCTCCGTATAATCGTGATCAAAGGCTTGATTTATTTGAAGAGACCAAGAAATATCTTTTTTAAAATAAATTTATTCGATATAAATTTCTTCTCTCCAAGATGAATTGCAAAAAAAAAAATAGATAATCAATTGAAAGGATTGACTTTTTCGATTAAACCAAACTAATTATTACGACCCATAATCTTCTTTAGAATTGTATGAACTTTGGTAAGTGAAATTGAGCGGGGACTAGTATGTAGTGTAGTTTTTCAACTTTTGGATGCATTGTTTAGTTTGGACACGGAATTATCCTTTTAGGAGTTGGTGGATCTGCATATTAAAACAACTACGAAAAAGAGTAAAATTTTGTTATTTGTGAACCAATATGCTTATATGCATGATATATAAAGTTTTAAAAGGTCGTAACTCGTAAGTGACTTTGGTAATATGTTCACTGATCATCGAAGAATATACAAAGATGTTTCACTGTTGCTTACTTTACGGGGAAGCCAAGTTAATAAACAAAGGTGTTTTTACCGGTCTTACCGCAATGGACGACGCTCTAATAAAAGATTTGGTAATGTTAAACACGCCACTCAACCATGGAATGATCGGCACCCAAACCTTTGTTGAAATATATATCATTTATCTATATATATGTAAAAATGTTTGGCTGTAACTAACAATTCTTTTAGTGTTTTTAACTACCTATGCTATGACACTTAAATTATCTAAACTACAATTACAAATGTACAGTACCAATTATAAATTTGTTCTCACCATGATGATGTGAGCGACCAAACACTATAAAAATCTTTACAAAATGATCTGCTCAAAAAGGCCCAAATCTTTCTTAACGTAAGGCCCGATTCCCACTATATCACTTTAGCTTGTTGTCAAAACGATGACCAGAAAATTGGAAAACAGAGACAAAGGTTTCGTTTTCATTTTCCTCCTTTAGTCTCATGAGTTCAAGAGAATAAATAATTGAAGGGTTTAGTGGTTTTCTTGGACCATTAAAAAGAAAAGGATCTTTTCTATTCCTTCTTCTTCCACTCGCAAAACGCGACAAATATATATGTAAAGAAGACTAAAGAAATATCTTCTTCTTTTTTTGGTGAAATGTAATCCTTGTGATGTGACCGACATACATTTCCAAATGTAACTCTTATGTACTAGAAATTTAAGTTCTTAATGTCTTTGTGACTTTTTTGGTTGTGTTCGTTATCTAGTTGACTATCTTCAAGAATCTATGCAATCTATTCAAGAATCTAGTTGACATTTTTATATGCAAATCTTATCAAGCCATTTGCCAAGTTACTGAGATTTTTCTTAGTATAGATTAAATAAACCAAACAAGGATCCTTTGGTTAAATACATTACAATGAAGAAGAGCCAGAGAAGTTGCTCTGCAACTGAATAGTATCTTGAGAAGAAACATCAATTGTACCATTGAGAAAACCAGTGTACCAAGAAGCAGAGAGCTTTGGAGTCCTCTTGCGACCAGGATCGCTGAAATTCACATAGTACATTCCGAAGCTGGTCGTATATCCAGTCAATAACTCATACAAATCAATCATCGACCATACAAAGTAACCTCTCGTGTCCGATCCATTCCTGATCAGTAAGCAAAAATGGAATGATACCAATGAATCCTAATGTATTAGTAATATGAGGACTAAAAGATGCAGAAGGAGAATCATACTTGATGGCGTTGAGCACAGCACCAATGTAAGCTTGAATGAATTCAATTCTTTGTGTGTCTTGTAATGTCGAAACGCGTTCCATCGGCATACCTGTATTTTAAAATAAAAATTGCAATTTGAAGAACCTTAAGAACAAGAAAGTGTGCTTTCAAGCAGAAAAAAGACAGTGAAGTGTACCATTTTCAAGAATGTAGATTGGAGGATTGTTATAGCTCTGCTTTATATACTCAAGAATATCTTCAAGACCCCATGGAGTAGCCTCCCACTTCAAGAAAAGCAATTGAATTAGGAAAATCTCCATATTCAAGAAGATCAAACAAGAGCTTTTGGCATAAAATAAAAATGTATTATTCACATTTGCAGGACCTTACCGCAAGAAATGAAGAATTTCCAGCGGCTGTCCAAAGAAGAAGAAATATTGGTTAAAAGAGATGAGAAGCATTTTTATATTGATTGATGATGAAAAGAAACTAATCTTACAGATCATATATACTCCCATGTCTTTATAGAAGCCTTCACTCATGCTGGGAAAGATAGAAGGTGAGGGTTGGTTTGTGACATATAATGTTAAGTAGTGAATAATTCCTATAAAGTCAGATGATCCTTTAACTTGCTCTGACTCCTCCTTTGAGAACACCGGTAATCTCGATCCCACAGTTTTCTTCATTTCATCCGGATAGTCTCCAAATACCAAAGGCTTCAACAACCTGAATTATCAGTTTACTCTTCAGATGTTGTCCTCAAGTTCTTGAAACAAAGAAAGAAAGTTTTTTTTTTTTTTCTCACCAGCCATAGAAGAAACCTTTAGCTCTTTGAGTTGCGATTTCATCTTCCTTGGAGTTTGTATAGGGAAATAACCCGAATGCAAATATACTAAGCCCTATGGATCCTCTCTGCTTACTCTGCACCATCATATGAATTATGATCGATCATACAGAGTTGAGGTTCGGGTTTTTTAAGAGCAAAAAATGTTGGTATTGTGTGTGTCATACCTTGTACTTTAGTTTATACAACTTTGAAGCAGAGGCATGAGCTAGCAATATGTTATGGCCTGCAAGATATGGTTCTGTAGAAGAATTTCCAGTAGTACAATTGATGAATTTGTTAGGAGAACAATGTCCAGGCGGCGAGATTCCTTGGTCATAAGAACCAATGGCGAAAATTGTAGCTTCATTTATGGTAGTCCATAACTTCACATCCTCCCCAAACTCTCTGAAGCATACATCTGCAAAAGCAGTGAAGTCTTCTCTGCAATATAAAAAACAAACAACATTTTTTTAAGTTACATTTCATATTCAAAAAATGACTTTGTTAGATCAACATCTTTTCTTTATCCTTTACATGATTTTGCTGTTGATCCATCCTCCGTACTCATCTTCAAGACACTGAGGAAGATCATAGTGGTAAAGTGTAACGTGTGGTTTGATTCCTGTTAATAGTTTTGTCAAGATTTTAATTAGAAGCTATGAATTGGCTTTAGTTGCGATTTAAGTATAAAGACAAAACCTCACCATGGATTTTTAGTTCTTTGATGAGGTTCTTGTAAAACAATAGACCTTTGGGGTTAATGAGTCCTCTTCCATCTGTCACAAAGACAAAGGGTTTAAAAGGTCAGAAACAACATCGTTACTTGCAAATAAAGAAACCAGGAAGAGGCGTTACTAGGTATTAGTCTTGACCAGGAGATAGAGAATCTGAATGATTCTAAGCCCATTTCTGCCATCAGCTTAACATCTTCCTGCCAAAGTAACAAACAACAACATTGAATTTGAGAAAACAGAGCGAGAGACTTGCGATAACTTCTTCGGAAAAAGTAAACTGCAAAGAAGAGAGAGAAACCTTGTATTTGTGATACCCATCTGATGTTATATCTCCATTACCTCTATTGTCTGCAAGTTTTGAACAAGAATCTATGAGAAATTCTCCTATAAAACCCCTAATAATAACTCAAAAAATTCGAAATATAAAACGCCAATTGAATTGAACCACAGAGTAACCTTATGATATGAACATACTTTTTTGATCAACAACCTATGATTATTAACTACACAAAATTACATGGATCTTTATTAATTCATAGAATTTATGTTCAATTTATCTATTGGTATTTTTGTTCGCCAAAAAAAACACATAAAAATTTACTTACAAGAGTGTGAGAAAGTATCCCAGACGCTAGGAGTTCTTCCGTCTTCATCAACAGCTCCTTCCCACTATTTCCACAAATTCCCAACATAGAAAAATAAAAAAAATTATTTTATAGACAAAACAACTAAAGAAAAAAAAAACATGAAGAACAGAGAAGCAGAGTCGAACCTGATAAGCAGAAGTGCCGGCTCCGAAGAGGAAATCCTTTGGAAAATTGTTTCTGGTAAAGGCATCACTGTAGCTTGTTGCCAAGAGGATGACCAGAAAAATGAAAAGTAGAGAGAAATGTTTCATTTTGATTTTTGCTCCTTTCGTTTGAGTGTAGGAGAATAAATAATTGAAAGCAAATATAAAAAAAAGGAAGGGTTTGATCGTTGTCTTGACCGTTAAGTAGCGTAAGTGATCGATCTTTTCTATATGTGACAAATATATGTGAAGAAGATTCAAGAAATATCTTTTTTCGTAGTTCCTTGTGATGTGACCGACATACATTTCCAAATATCTGTAATTTATAAATGTTGAATACTATTTCATTTTGAATTGCCAAACAACTCTACATATTCGCATATAAATTTCGGAAAATTATTTAAATGGTGGTGGTTGAGATTTATTTCCCTTTTGGTTCATGTGATGTGACCGACATCAATTGTATGTTGCGGACAAAAATGCTAATTTAGTTAAAAACTAGATTCGGACCCGCACGTTCTTGCGGGGTTCTGTTGGTAGATGTATTTATTTGATATAACATTCATTATCCTATCTCATATCAGTTTGGTATTCGGTTTAGTTTCAATTTGGTTTAGACAAAATAATTAATTGGATTTGTTTTTGGTTACAGTAAAGACAATTATATAATTAAAAAGAGAGAGAGAAAATAGACATATCAATTTTGAGACAGAAAATCCGTATGGTTACATATCTACCACACACATTTAATCACATAAGCGTTAATTTACTCGTTTGTGATTGTATATCGTGTAGGTCTAGGATTCGGATGGAATACCCGTATATTATGTATTTTTGTTTAGGTATTTATTTTTTACATAATTAGTTGAAGTTATCCATATTTTCTTTATTTTCTCAATATTTCACTATTATGTTTTAGAAAATACCCAAATTTCCCAAACTTTCCATCACGAAATAAACTTTACCCGTCCCAAAATATTTTATTTGGCACATGCTATGCTAGATAAATTGAAAGAAACATTTTAAATATACGATTGCAAGCAATGTTTTATTTTAATTGTAATATGTTATACGACCTTTTTTTAGGAATTCTCATCCCATCCCGTTCAAAAAATCAGTTTCAATATTTAGGGTTAACACATTATTATAATCTTAACAATATGTTTACGAATCAAAGTATTAAATATAGATTCGAGTTATATGCTTGATTTTTTTTTTTTAAAGAATCTATAATTAGAGTTATATTTGGCAAGTATAATAACTGTTGTGATATGATTTCGTAAACTAATTTAAGAATTGATTTAATCGTAAACAGTTGTATTTTTTATTTTATTATTTTGAATTTATTATTGTCAATTGTTATGGAAACCTTATTAAATCATAACAGTAAATTTAGCATGTTTGAGTTTTAGATAGAAAGGACAGAAAAATCTTTTTGAATATATATTGTTAATGCTCCAATGAAATAAATATATATACTTTTTGAATATATATTTTTGACCAAAAGAAAAATGCTCAACAAAATATATATACATATATATATATATATATTTTTTGAATATATTTTTTCGATTTTTTTCTTTTGTTTTTTAAATTCAATAATTCTAATGGCATTCATTGTAATTAATCTACCAAAATAAGGTTTGTTAGTTTTGAGTGATTCCCAATTAATAATATAGATTACATTTGACAAACATTTTTGCTTCTATTCTAACATATTCTTTTATGTACCAATTTGAAAAAAATAGTGAGTGGAGTTTTTGGAAAAGATTGGTTATGCAGTAAAATATTACATCTAAATATGAGTGTTTTGGTCATGCTGGGATTAAAATGTGTAAATATTGAACTGCATAAGCCATCTTTCCCCTAATCACATAACAAAAACTCAAGTAATCAAAACATCCAAAGAACACGAAAAGAGATATTATTACAAAAGAGATTTACAAACACTTTCTTTCTTTTACCTCATGAAGAACAACTTCAAAAAACACAATAACAACATCATCACAAACGTGTAAACCAGGCTTTCTTTTAAACCCTGGAAACAACACCTCGGATTTTAAAAAACATTCAACCACATAACTTTAATGATCAAAGATTTGATAAAGATTGATGATAATTACCCTTCGATGCATTGAAACCCTTGACAAACCCAAAGCCAGATTCCAAAGAGAACAACACAGATACAGAGATCAAACATCAAAACAATCCACACATGTTTCCTCCATATCTGCTTTGCCTTTTGTCTATGATGATCATGAATCATCAAACCATTTCTCACTCCCTTACCTCCTCCTCCTAAATCCATCTTCTTCTCATTCCAATTCCCTTCACTTTTTGCTTCCGTCTGCAATCTCTTCTTGTTCTTCAACACCCTCAATGGCTTTCCTAAAAGCGGCATCAACGCACCGCCTTTTCGTCCTCTCGACGAATCCAAACTCTGATTATTCTTAATCTCCCTCGTTATACTCCTCGGTGATCCAGCCATACCTAACTCCAATTCCAAATCCTTATTATGATTACCACCAACAGCAGCGATCTCAGCGAAAACTGGATCGAGCTTTGATTGGAGACAGTGTTGAGTCGGATTATCCAACGAATCCGCCGTAGATCCGTCTTCCATTAGAGACTCTGTAGCTGATTTCAATCGATTGAAGAGCCATATAGACTCCGATTTCGCAACGACCTCGTCTAAAATCGCGAAATACGAAAATAATCCGTCGATGATCAAAGCGTAGGTTCTTTTGTGAACTGTGTGAGAGATCATCGAATGATGTGGAGGTATGTTCTCAATGCATCTCAAAGCTAGATCTTCGATTCCTGGCTCTTCCTTTGAAGCAAACTCAGCGAGAATCACTGTTCCTTTCGCAATGCAGGAGTAGAACAACAGACGTGGATTCGAAATCATTCTATCGATCGATCGCCAAATTCGAAATCGACCAAAAACAAAATCCGATCCGAATCAATCGGAAAAAAAAGAAGAGAACAGTGTAGCTAGATACAAATTTGATCCGATCTGAATCGGAAGAAGAGCAGAGATTTGAGTGATTCTAGATTTATCTGTCTAGAGATCCATCTTCTCGATTGCGAGATTTTCCGGGAAAATGGTGGAAAAAGAGTTCCATTATTGGCGAAAAACCAAAACGATGAAAAAAAAAAAAAAGTTAGAGCAGAAATTTACCAGAAAAAGATAAAAATGGAAGCAGAATAACGATTACCTTGGTGAAAATACCCTCAGGATAATTTATATTTACAAGATTACCCCAGCTTTCGTAGATCGCGTAATGAAAATATGACACGTGGAAAAGTTTGTTCATCCTTCGTCCATCCCAGTGCTGGACTACCGCCACGTATACACTAGCGAATTATTGGTATCTCCGTGACGATTTGAACTATGCTAATAATCATATTAGTCAACTGTAATTAACATTTACTAAGTCATAAACAATGAAGATAAAAAGTCATAAGATCATAATGTTTATTCGAAGAATAAAACTCGGTCATTATTTAGCCTTTCCATGGTTCTTTATTTAATCTTATGGTGGGTTCAATAGTACGATTTTAATATAAAAAAACGCATGTTTGATATATAGTATATGATCTCATCAAATTTGACAAGAATTAAAAAATATATAATTGTTCTCTGGTTCTCTCATTGTGATCACCATTGACACCAGGTTCAACTTCAATGGAATCCACCATGCCCAAACGCCAAGAGCTTGACGATGACGATGGTCTATATGGTACGTTTCTAATCATTCTTTTTATTGTTATTTAGGTTATTGATTTATGAGTAGGTTGTAAATTGTTCTTACATAGAATTATAGTGTCAATTATTTAGTGTTAGAGAATTCCATTGAAATGGCACTCCCATATATGGTAGATAAATGTACTCGTTATCAAAAAACAAATAAAAGTATCACGTTTGTTTTAGTTATGGGAATCAAGATTTTGGCGAAAAATAAAAATTTGCATTAATTGTTCTTGATCGATAGAGACTTGAATCCATTTAGTTATTCTTGTAATACAAACATTAATGGATCTCAAAATGATCATGAAGAGAGCTCGAAAAGTCGATCTCCCGAGAAGGCCATGGAAGAGATACGTAAGCAAGACACTCATGATCTATATTGCCCTAAGTGTACTTGTAACATCACCAAAACTGCTCAACTCGTTGAAAAAGGAGATGATTTTTCTCCCGACAATCAAAAACCTTTCGTGCTTTGGATTCCTATCTTCACCCCCTTCAAGTTCCTTTCAAGTTCTCCCATAGGTATTACATACGTACACATGTATATATTCTTTTATATGATGATGAAGAGACTTTGTTTCTTTGAGTGCTGAGTGACCGGTCTTTTATCTGTAGGATCAGTCGAAAGCAACCCATCGAGTCCTAATCACAGTGGTATGTGTAGACACACTTCTTTATGATGGATGCACTTTTGTCTCTTTTTTTTTTTTTTTTTTTTTTTATGCACTTTTGTCTTTGAACAATTAGTTATATGCTCGATTTTCTATCTGTAGTAATACCAGTCGAAAGCAATCCATCTTATCCCAATCCCAGTCCCAGAGGTATGCATGTGTATACATTTATTGGTTTATGATGAATATATACGTACACTTTTGTCTTTAACTTTTTGAGTGATCGATTTCCTATTTGTAGGACCAGATGAAAGCAACTCATCTCAACCTGATTCCAGTGGTATGTGTACACATTTATTAGTTTATGGTTGGAGACATTTTATTTTTAAAACTTTATGCTTAAGTGATCAATTTTAATTTGTATCTACAGAACCAGTCCACAACATCTCATCTAATTCTAACTCCAATGGTATATATGTGTTATGTGTACATATCTTTCTTATGATGGAAACAAGTTTTTCTTTAAAATCATACTTACGTTATCGATTTTCTACTTTAGGTCGACCAGTCGATGAAAACTCATCTAATCCTTATTCCAGTGGTATGTGTAGTGTACTCATATTTCTTTATGATGAATACATTATTTCTTTGAAGTACTCATGCATTAAATGGTCGATTTTCTATATGAAGGATCAGGCAACATCAACTCATCTAATCCTAGTCTCAGCCATTTAGGTATACATTTTCTTATCATCCACTCTATTAATCCTAATTCCTTTCTTTTTTTTCCTTTGTCCTTCATCTTCAGTGACAATTTCTATATATATAGCTAAAATCTTGGAACGATTGCCTACTCGATTTCGGAATTCAATAATTCTTAGAGAAGAAAATAATAATGCCACTCCTCTACACCAAGATGGTGCATGTCATCAAAGCTCTACGAGCACATCAGGTCATTCCCAATGCTTTGGCTGTTTCATTTCTATCCAATACAATCTAAAACAAAGATATAAGATATTTTCAAAAGATATAATCCCATTTTTCTTGTCTTGACCCCTGGAAAATATGCAGTGTCTGAGCAACATGGACGTGGGAAAACTTGTGATGTTGGATGGCTAGTTCATCGTCCAATTTAAACGCCCAGCAACTAGACAGCGAATTGATTATCCTCTCTTTTCACCCCCTAAAATGAACGATTTTTTTTTTGTTTGATTGAAAAACCATAGTAAAGTGATTGGTGATCGTGTGATGATGACATTTTTGCACTGAGTTTAAATCATAGAAATCATTGCACTGTTACTGGAAAAGTTTTATTTCTTAAATTAAAAATGTTTCATAAAGATATTACAAAAGACGTAATAGAGTGCTAGAGTTTTGGTAAAGAAGAATTTGTTTTTTTATGAATGAATTATTGTTAAACTCATGTATATATCGGTTATTGAATATTAACTGTTGATGATTCGGAGTTTAGTTTTTCCTTTGCTCGAAACAAGGAAATCATATTGATCAAATTTTACATGTATGTTACAATAATAAAAATCGTTTATAATTAACTAAGAATTTTTTAGAAAACTAACAAATAAATGTGTCACAGAAGGAGTGTGTCGATCGACACATGAAAAGTGTGTCGATCGACACAAGTCGGGGACAGGGACAACCGGCGAGGTCGGGGTTTTCTTCTTCTCGGAATTGGTGTTGGTGGATGCTATGAATAGGATGAGAATCAGAAGATCAGATCAACAACACGTATGGGTATACGGTACAATCACAATCACTCATATCTCTTTTTTCAAGAGAGTTCCAAAATCTATAGTCTTGCGATGTAACAGATGGATCGCAGACTTTGTCTTTCGAAAGCGTAAAAGACGGTACATCGATAAAAAACAGATGTTTCCCAAGCTAGAAAGTCACACAAGATTGACGGATATGACGAGAGCAACTAAGCATATCATTCGGATTGCGGCGCCTAAACTTCTTTGCTTTATCGTTACAATAATATTTGATTGTATTAACATTACAATCTTTGGTTCATATTAATAAAAGTATGATTTAGAGTTTTAAAAAAAAAAAATGTTAGATTTTTGAATTATTATATTATCATTTGTGTTTCCAATCTTGTGAATTTGAAACAGAAATTTCTCTCAAAAATCAAAGAAACAAACAAATCTAATTAACTAATATACAAAACTTAATGAAATAAATAATAAATAAAAAGTTGTTCTAACTTCTAACTAAAATAAAATATTAATGATTGTTTTTTAAAACCAAGATTCCATTTAGTTATATGCACGATGATTTTCGGTCATTTGATTAAAGAAAGACCACATCTTTAGAAAAGTCTATATATAATTAAGAAGTAAATGTGATAATGCATGTCATATATCTTATTATATATAATTAAACATGGTTGATAACAAACCGAACACAACAAATTATTAAATAAAACCCATTTTGTAAGACTTCTAGTGAAAATCCAAAATCCAAACCAAGCCATAACGAAAATAGAAGCCACATAATCCTAATCCCAGTCGTATAGGTATAAATTGTTTATGACTTGGTCTGTTAAATATAAACACAACTTCGTTCTAAAAAAAAAACACAACAAATTAAAGTTCAAAATATTATGTTAATTAATAGTCAACTCTAATATTCCCCAAGTCACAAAACAATGACGAAAATAAAAGTCGCATAATAAAAATATTCCCAAGTCATAAACAATGCATGGCGTGAGTCTAGTCATAAATAAATGAAAATAAAAATAAAAAAATAAAGACATTGCGATATAACAACTTCTTAAAATGCCTACTTTTGCATCCTTGACTATACAGGGTCAATAATATTAAGTAAAATTAACAAAAAGACCAACAATTGCAATAATCAAATCTCAAATGAGAGACCTTTTCAATTTTTTTTTATTTTTTTTGGGTTTTACACGTTGATAAATTTGACAAATGCGTATAGTTTTCTTATATTTTTTAAATAAATAAAAAAAAAACTTTTTTGTTTAATACGTGTCAAAATCTGATATCGGTAAATTTGACACGTGGCACGATCCTATGAGTTACTAACTTTAAAAACCATATTTTATATAATAATTTAATATATATATATATATATATATTCATATTATTTAAAAATTTCTTTGAAATAAATCAATTTCTATACGTCCTAATTTAGTTATGAAATAGCTACGAAATATGTATCTTTCTTGCATTAGATCTTAGTTAGCTGATAGCTACTTTTCGTGGTTCTTAATTGGAATTCACGGTGTATTAAAAGAATACGACTATGAAAAATTACGTTAGAGAACATGTGATCAGCAAAATATAAAAAAGAGATAGTAAGCAGGTCGATCGTGGGCATATAAATAAGCGTCCTCTTGTTCTCTCTTTGTCATCATCAATTCATTACCATCTTCAAATGGCTCAAGTCACACCCAATCCCCATGAGGATGACGTTGATTCCACCCACAGTTCGAATTCTGCCGCCAGTGACGACGATGTCGATCCCTCGGTTGAAGGACTAACTGTCTTGGATGATATTTCCACCGAATCTCTGCCGCAAGAGCAAGACACAGGTAATTGCTTAAAAAATGATGCATTTGTTATAACATAAAAAATATATATATATGCATTTTGCAACGTTTCATATCACATTTTGCTGCAGCATGGTAATATATATATATATATATATATATATATATATATATATATATATATAATTTAAGTTGTGAGTCGATGTGGTAAAAGAGTTTCATTTTTAATCCTGATTTAGTAGCACTGTATATTTTAGAGTTACGTTCGTTAGCATTTGATTCCTGATTTATGCATTTATATATGTTCATGAAAACAGCAAATAAAAGCCTAAAGATAATTTACTGCGAGATCTGAGCTAGAATGTTGAGTAGATTATGCTTTTGAATATCAAACAAGATGTTGGATGCATTTTCTAAAAAAGTACGTACTTTTGGTGTCAGAGAGAATAGTTGGATGCATTTATCTATGATGAAGCAAGAAAACTATGAATAGCAAAATTCGTTTGACTTATCAAGATCAAGAAAGTTTTAAAAGACAAAACTTGTAAATTCTTGAGTCCAATAATTGTTGTATTGTACGCAGGATCCGAGAGTGATGAAGACACCAACAATAATGAATCTCAAGTTATACATGAGGTGATGAGAAGTCCCAATGATGCTTTGGATGAGATAAAGAAGCAAGAGACTCATAATCTCTACTGTCCTAAATGTAAAAGTAACATCACCACAGATGCTGTACTCTTTGTAAAGAATCAAGAAACCGATTCGTACAAAACAGAGCCGTACGTACTTTGGGTTCCCCTCGTTATCCCGGCCTTCAAGTTCCCTACCTTTGATCTCTCGTTGTCTTTTCTCGCAGGTAAAACCATTTACATATATATACTGCTTTTGTGTGTATATATATTTCAATGACGAGGAAGACAGTTTTTTTTTTTTTTTTCTTCTTTATAAATACTTATGTAGTTAACATTTCTTGAACTATATATGTTGAAGACACTTTGATTTCTATAATGTTTGATTGATTGATTCTTTCTTACAGGACCATGGAAGAAACTAAAGACACTTGTCGCAAACTGTTTGCCAAGGCTCAGTCTCAATTCTCTATGTCTGCGGTTCCTATTGGTTGCGGTTCTACTATTGCTATCAGTCATTGTTCTGTGGTCCTCTCATCCCCCTTCGCCACCGCCACCGCCTCCTTCTCCTCCGCCAGTGCCAGTGCCGCCTTCTCCTTTGCCACCCCCAGGACCGCCTTCTCCTTTGCCACCGCCAGGACCACCTTCTCCTTCGCCATCGCCAGAGCCTCCTTCTCCTTCCCCACAGCCAGATGAAAACATTCGCTGGCTCATACATTTCCCGAGTATCAAGTACCTTTCCGTATTCTCGTTATTGTTCCTTGCCATTCTGACTCTCCCCTGGCCTTCCATTTCCCCTATCATCAATAACCTTATAGCAACGATTAAAACATGTAGGGAATTGTAATGCCTTTTCTTTCCTTTTCCTTTTGCCATAACTTTACCAAAGAATTATTAACACTATATTTATATATATTGCAGGGAGCAAAAGAGATACTCCACAACCTAATGATATTTCTAGAACCCCTCAACCCCATGTTGAAATTAGAGATCAAGCTCTAGGTATGAAGACATCTGGGGATAAAATAGATCAAGCTCTAATTCTTTGATTCTGTGTTGGAATGATGACTCCAAACTTTGTTTCCCATGTTTTCTCATTTTAGATTCGCCTCTCAACCAAGAGAATAGTCCCGTTGTGGATCCGCCTCGGGCACCTGATGTTATTGAAAAACCAATCGACTCCCCTATTCCAGTGCCACCTCCAAAGGTTCCTGATGAACCAATCGGCATTCGTATTTCAGTGCCAAATCCAAAGGAATTGTGGAAATATATCGTGGTTCTAGTTCAAAACCTCGTACCAAGAGAACTAGACATCTTGAAGAGTATTGTTTACGGAGGTCTTATCGAGTCCATCACAAGCCTCGGTGTCGTTTCCTCTGCCGTCGCTTCCGGAGCTTCAACTCGTAAGTACACAGTCATAAACACGACATTGAGTTTTTCCATACATCTCAATTCCAGCTAATATTATGTGTGCTTGCAGTCAACGTTATCTCTTTGGGGCTAGCCAGTTTATCCAGTGGCCTTTTTATCATCGTTCACAACGTAAGTAGTTCTGTTTCCTCTCTTTTTTTTTTCGCCTGCAAAAGGTTTTAAGACGTTAGTAAGTTAAGTTGGTAAACAGAGCACATACTCTGTTTTCCCTTGAGAAACCGAACACCTACTCTGTTTTCTCATGTCTCTATAAACACTTGTGAGTAAAAAACCTTTTCATTCGATTCACACTTACAAAAGAGGATATATTTTGGCAGCTACATGGACTAATATCGAATAAACCACGGTCTCAAAGTAATAACAGTGATCATATGGCGAGTGTGGAAGTAGAAGATCCATACCAAACACTGCTGGGAAACAGAAGGAAGTTCAAGCTCCACTGCGTCGTTGTTGTACTTTCCTTCTTCTTCTTCGGTGCTATCCCTCCTATCTGCTACGCCTTCTCTTTCAAGATAAGCGACAAGGGACACTACAAAGCTGCGGTTGTTCTCGCTGCATCTCTAGTCTGCGTGATCTTACTCTCCTTTGCCAAAGCTTACGCCTTCCGAATGGAAAGAATCAAGACAGTGGCTGAATACACTGGAATGGCGATTGGAGCGTCTGCGCTTTCATTCATCGCCAGCCAAATCGCCAGTGATATCTTTGAAAAGTTAGGCTTTCATGAGCTTGCCTCTGAATACCGAAAAGGTTGATTTCAAGATTCTACAAGTTCGTTTCAGATAAACACCAAAGCTACCAAAAGAGTTGTTCTTTAGCTGCTTACTTTCTTTAGATTCATTTAACAGGTTCTCCTTTTGTACACGAACTTGTTTTGTTTATACGTAAGCAAAACAGTTCGATTTTTTAATCAAGATTTATCAGTTTGTCTTCACTTCTTTCATTTAAAAAAACAAAGTCAAGTTAGTTGGGATTATATTATAGAACGTGGAACTCGTGAAATTAAAATATTCATATAAAGAGTAACCATAAATTGTGATAACATGGTTCTGCATCTCAACTTTGTTTGTCTCCGATGGAACCCACCATGAATCCAGCTCCAACTCCAACTCCAACTCCAACTCCAAGCTCCGCCTGCAACAGTGTCTGTACCGATGAATTGACCAACCTGCCTCCGGACTCGCCACTCCGCAGCGAGAAGGACGATGGCGTTGACTTCAGCCACGAACAAGGTCTGACGATTATATGTACTTCTGATTAGTTACTTATAGTTCATAAATATATGATCTTATTCAATTTGATATTAACAAAAGAAAAAAAAGTATATGAAGTACTACTATTCCCATTTTTTTTTCGAATGCTCAAAATCGAAATTTTTACCCATAGGATCGGACTCAAATGAAACTATTGACACTGAGAATGGTTCAAGATCCATAGACAAGAACCAATACTCTGAAACTGAAGATGTAGCTAGAGCAAAAGATTTACAAACAGAACCTGATTCACTGGATGATGATGTGGAGACTGTGATCAAGAACCAACATAAGTATTACATATATTGTCCTTGTTGTGGTGAAGATATCACCAAAACAGTCAAGCTCGTGAAGATGTCAGATCCCCAACCCACAAAAGACCATGACACTGAGAATAGAGCTAATGACAGTGACATTGAAAATAGTTCAAGATCCAAAGGCAAGAAGACAAAGGTTCCATCATGGTTCCCTGATTTTTTTCAGCCGCTGGTTTGTTCTGTTTATGGTCCTAACAAAGACCAAGGTACCCTTTCTTTTCCTCTCTTCTTTAGATATAGTTATGTGGCAGTTGTGATTGACTTTGGTTTCTTGGCAATTTCAGGCGAGAAAGTGGTTGATTCAAAGTTACCAGAAACTTACGATGATCTTGATATCAATGGTGAAGAACCAAGCATTGATGTCAGTAATGAGAAAGGCGGACTGAGTTTTCCGAAGTGGTACCTCGATGCTTTTGCTTGGTTGTTCCTCTGTATTATTATTGCTCTTTCTGTCCTTTCGACTTCTCCACCGCCTTTCATTCAACCGCATCTGCAATTGCCTTCTATGCCTTCATTGCGGCTGCCTTCCGCTTCTATACTTTTGTTACTTCCCACGTTTGCGGTGTTGCTTCTCTTCATTATTTCAATGAGGTCCCGTTTCAGTCCAAGATATCATGAGGAGAAAGGTAGTTGCTTTTTCTTCCCCATCTTTTGTCCTTGTCACTTCATTGATTTAAGGAGACATTCTGCTCATTCGACACTTTGATTTGACGATTTTTCGGAACTATGCCAGGCGAGAAAAGGGTCGATTCCAAGTCTACTAATACCACTAGTGAAGAACCAGCAAAAACTCAAAATAACGATGACCAAGATGCAAATCCTGATCAAGATTTTGACAAGAAAACAGGTTTGTTCTGAATTCTGAAACTGAGATGAATCCTAATTAAGTTGGTTCTTAACAAAGATTCTTGATTATGCTAGAAAACAAAAGAAATCACCTAACTCCTATATATCCTTCATCACTAGAGCAACCTTCGAAGAAAATTGTCAATAAGGAAACTCAATATCATGATAAAGAAGCTGAAGATCAAGATCACAAGAAAACAGGTCTGTTCTGAATTCTGATTCTGAGATAAATCCCAATTAAGTTTGGTTCTTAACAAAGATTCTTAATTATGCTAGACAACCAAAAAAATCACCTAACTCCGATATATCCATCAACACTGGAGCAACCTTCCAAGCAAATTATCAATAAGGAAACTAAAGCAGAACCTGTGTTGCCACCTAATGCTCAACCAGAGATCCCAAATAGTGTTGAACCACGTAAAGACGGTAATAAACTGGAAATCTTGAAAAGTATTGTGTATGGAGGTCTTACAGAATCCATCACAAGCCTTTGCACCGTAACATCAGCGGCAGCGACTGGTGCTTCAACTCGTAAGTGGTGATCCAATCCTCTTAAAGGCATTTCATCGAACACTTTGAACGCCTAAAACATTACTAATGTCTTTGCTTGTAATTCAGTGAACGTTTTAGCCTTGGGAGTTGCCAATTTGTCAAGCGGTCTTCTTCTGACCGTTCACAGTGTAAGTAATCTTTCTCATCTGTAATGAAATGTAACCTTCAGAGAATTGAACAAAGAGTCCATCTTTTGCAGCTCCAAGAACTAATAAACGAGAAACCCAGAAGACAAACAAACACTGATGATTCTCCAGAAGAAGAAGATCGGTACGAGGAAGTCCTCGGGAGAAGAGAGTATTCGAGGCTTCACAGAGTGATCGCAATCTCTTCTTTCGTCATCTTCGGCTTGATCCCACCTCTTGTATACGGTTTCTCGTTTCGAAGAAAGATCGAGAAGAGACAAGAGTACAAGGTTTTAGCTGTTTACGCAGTGTCTCTACTCTGCATCGTCTTGCTTTCGATTGCGAAAGCTTACGTGTCGAAGAAACGGGATTATGTCAAGACTCTGTTTCGGTACACGACGATGGCGACGACGGCGTCGGGATTCTCTCAATTTGTGGGATACTTGGTGAGTCAATGGCTTGAGAAGAGCGGGTTTTATGATGATTCTCCAGAAACTCAACGAGTTTGAAACTTGTTCTTGTTCGTCTTCACTTCCGCTCTTCTTTTCTTACTCTTTTCGTGGCCCACAATTTGTTTTCCTTAAAAAGTGAAATAATTGTTTGATTTAGACCCCCAGAAAGAAAAAATTGATGTTTATGGAAAAATAAAATGCAAAGAGATATTCGAAAAGACAAATTCAATTGGTGTTGTAAAATATATCCTAGAGTTAGTTTACAAGAATTCTGCAAAATGTTTTAGTGCGAAAATCAACCAGAGTGAATTACCACAACTAGAAGATCGTTTATAATAAAAACGACGCCTTTTCTCTCTCTGCGATAACACAAGGAACAGTTACCAAAGTTTCTCAATCGGATTTTTGCCTGTCCGGCGGCTTTGGCCGCCGGATTTTCTTGCTTTCTTTGTCAATTTCTTTCCACATAAATTAAATCTCTCATTCAATGTCTCCTTTGCCATCAATTTCGTTTTTTGGTGAAAAATCCAATCGACGTTTCCTTCCGTCAATCAGCCGCTTCTCACACAACTATCAGATCCTGTCACTGGTGATTTCATTAAGTTTATCATATCCCTATTGGGCTATCACCGAGCAATTGGGTAGAAAGATAAAGGAGTTATTTCGGCTTGTTCACGGTGTCTTCTCCCTTACGGAGCAAACTTTTCCGACAAAAGCACGTCGATGTTGGCGTCATCATGTTGTTGGTGTCTGTCCGGTGCAGCCCATGCCCGGTGTTTGTCTTCCATCGGTAAATTCCAGCGGTGGTTGTGTTTTGCTATTTTCTCGTCGAAAAAAATGTCGATTTAAACCGAATTGGCCATGGAATAGGGGTCTGATAGTGATGCCATCTTTTTTCTCCTATGAAAGTGCCATACGGTTGGTAAACATACGGTGGTGGCTCATATTGTCTGATAAAGTAAAAAAATACAAGAACAAGATTGAAGTGGAATTCCTATGGAGAAACAACTGCAATCAAGGGTCCAACTGTAAAAGTATGACACCTCTAACTCGTTTTTTGAGGTATGATCTGTATTTCTCTCTGTGGATGAAAGAAGATGGTCATATCTTTATTGGAATGTTCGGAAGGAGAAATGGAAATGCTGATTTTGTGGAGAAGATAGTGCTAATTGTTTATATTGAAGTAAGGTTAAGATTTATGATAATTTTAAAGACACTGATGCGGACTAATTGGCATCAGATAGTCGTACTTCCAAGACTAGTATCATGCGTAATGGGTTTTACTAATACGATTCAGAATCAGCCTCAAGAAAAAGAAAGGCAAACGAATCGTAGAGGAGCAAAAGGGTCGAAGAAATACTACGAATATGTGTTTTCGTTAGCGAGTAAGGCGTTTTCGACCAGAACGCATCGTGAATCTTATTTCTTTGTAATTTTTTCAGAAGATGGCGCACATAGTTGCTTGTGTAATAACTTACGTTTTGTAGTCTTGTATGACTTTAACATTATAACTTCAATATAATGGAATGAATTTAGAAGGAAAAAAAAAAAAAATCAACCAGAGTGAATGATAATTTATAAATGTTGATATCTTATCTGTCGTTTTAGAGTGGCAATTACAGACGATTAGACATGGAAATACAAATAGCTTTGCATGAGTTGGAGAATTTGGGTTTATCAATAGATTCATTGGTCGGCCTACTAAAGATGTGGAAGGTAAAGATTGGTGGCGAATACATCGATGTTGGTTTCATATATATGGAAAACAATTAATACACGTTCTGAGATAAGCAAATTTTGTGACTAAACAAGTTGTATATATATATATATGGAGATTGAACTTATGTTCTCCAAAATATATAATGTATCATTAGCAACAAAGTTTTTTAATTTTTTTTTTGTGTGGTGATTGATGAAGAATAAAAAAAGAAAGAAGAGTTGATGAAGAATGGTATCACCACATGAAGAACGCTTGGTTATATCATTCTAATTCATGGATCAAATTCTGAGATGAGTGAAAACATAAACAAGCAAAAACAAATTAAGCCCAAAAAGAAAACTACATTAAGCAAATAAAGACAGTTTAATGACACTTTGTACAATTCTAGAAGCCACAGTTTAATATCTAACTTGAACTAAAGTTTAACCAACGTGTACTATTTTATTTTGTTGATTCTACTCGTGTGGGACCATCTAAATATCTAATATGGGTATAACTAACTATTATATATGATATAAAATTAAAAAGGGATCCATGTGAACTCAAGGTTAAGTTCACATTCATGACTCATCATATTGAGTGAGTCGATAATATAATTAAATTCAACCTACATTCTTACACGATACTTAATATACACTGATTTTAATTAAAATTGACGACTTAAGTTAGTTTGAAGTCTTTGAACACAACATACGCATGTTCGTAACGTGTTTTAGGGAGTATTATTGATAGTAGTTAAGACTTTAGGAACCAGGCGATTTGGTCAAATATTTTGTCACCAAATATGCAAGGAATGTAGATCTAACTAATTTAGTTGATACAGATACGCCAGAACTGAATTGAATATGGATGTTAATCATGTTATAATGGTACTAACTAGTACGTCAGCAAACGTGTTGCATGCTAAATTATCCGGAATATTTATATCGAGTATTTATTTGAAGATGCGACTTTCATATTATATCAAAAATAAGTACAGGTTGTAATATGTGTTGTTAATTCTTAATTTTGGTACTATTGTCTTTAATTAATATTTTTGTCAACTATATGTGTTTTGATGTAGATAAGAATCCTTTGGCCGTATTGATTATTTTCCACGTTTGAGGCATCGATGTAGTTGGGGCGTGAGGTCATCGTGAAATGAATGCAGTCACTCTCTCTCGTCTGTCATCCATGTGACAATAAATCCCTAAAAAGAAGGTGACACAATCTTCAACTAATTTCTTTGTTAATTTTTTACTATTACGTACATTATTGTTCGGAAGATTTACTATTTACAATTACGTACAATACCGTTTCCTATAATGTAGCAAGTACTAAACAAGTTATTTAAATAAGCTAATTATTTGGGAGATATTAAGAAATAGCCAAATAAAACACTCAAATTAACAAAATAGCAGAGAGAAAGTTTTTTGTTGGAAAATAGCCATGGACCCACCTTGTCGGATGATGTGAAATACCAAAACTATCCTTCGTTTGTTGCAAGATCAACGATATGTGAGACAGTTTCGTGAGATTTTTCAAAATAGCATGTAACATTTAAATTTCGCATGATATATTTAACTAAAAGACATGATATTTTTAAAAACATAGTGAATTTTTAAGAAAAAACATTGACATGGAAAATTTAATCTGAATAGTAACTTTTTAAAAAAAAATCACATGTAATCTTAAAACAAATCGTGTATTACTAAAAAATAATCATCTTTTTAAAAAAGAAATCACTTGTGATCTTAATAAAACACGTGTTTTATTACAAAATAACATGATAAAGACAGATATTCACATGTGATCTTAATAAAACATGTGTATTATTATAAAATAACATGATAAAGACAGATATTACACTGAATATAATGTTTTTTTCCGAGAAATACTATGTGTTCTTTATAAATAACATGTAGTACGAGAAAAATACATGATAAAAAGAGATATATTATGCTATCACATGTAATTCGAAAAAAAAAGCGTGTTACAAAGGACATATACGTAATTACACAGCTGTTCCGACATGTTAGAGACAGGGTACTGTAGCTCGTGGTTAGTTTGTGAATTCTTTTTGAATCCAAAGTTAGTTTCTATAAATTCTCTAATTATTTTGTTGTGTCTTTTATAAAAGTGTATATCTAGAGGTGTCAAATACAAATCCTATACTGTTGATATTTTATAAATGATGTACAATTTACAGAAGACAACAAAAAGTCCTACACCTTTTGTAACTAACAAAAAAAGATCTAAACACGTGAAAAGTTTTTGCTTAAAAACATGATTCAAAACCAGTACTAGTGCTCAACGTCAACGGCCAAGTCAAAATAAACAAATCACCATCAATAATTTATATAAGCAAAGGAATCAACATTTATATTTGATAATATGTTGAAGTGAGGAAGAAGGAGACAAAGACGACACCAACATCTATCAACTTCTCTATAGATAGATCTCAGAATCTCTCCTTTTTTGTTCGCTTTTCCCTTATTAATTTGGCCATTCCTGTCTTCCACTTTGTCATCTTTTCCTTTCTGATGGGATCCGCCGCCGAACTCACGGATCCCACCACCGGGACCGAGAAGCATCACCAACCAATAGAAGTGGAAGAAGAAGACGAACTAATTGTCGACTTGGAGAGGAAAACATTTCGTCATGGAAAGGGACACGATATTACTAGTGTGGACAGTAGTACAATCACCAGTACCACCAACACCAGCTCGGCCTCTTCTAGCTTTTCCGGTGATGTTACGGTAGAGACTCCCGATTTCCACAGCAACGGCCAAGGAGAACATACCGCACTTGTTAATTTGGAGGTCCCGGAGCTAGAACCTGAAATTGGATTTCACGAAGAGCATAACAACGGGAACAATTGCATCGTCTTCTTCGACGAAGAACAAGGTTAGTTCTTAGTAACTAAACCTTCAAGCTGTTTTCTTATGGATTAGTTGCAGAAATTCGTCTGTTGATCAAGATATTTCCCTTTTCGGAGCGGAATCTATCATCTCTTTTGCATCGATTATGTGCTCTTGTTTCCTTATCATTTTGCAGAAATGATTCAAAACTTCAAATCAAGTAGAGTAATTAGCTGGTCTAGTAATCACCTAAAGATATCTAGCAAATGGGGTTTGAGTTGTAGGATAGATTTTTCTGATAGTTTCTTTTGGTTCTGGTGGTGAAGTCCTTGTCATGTTTTGTTGTTTGTATATGAAGGATTTTGGAAATGTCGCCACTGCGATTGGACCTACAAAGAGGGATCTTTGTTATGCAAAGGTCAGTCCAGTGTTAGGCTTACTTGGACCAACAATTTTTTTAGCTGCAAATTCATTAGATCTCTGTTTTAGTTTAGCTGTATTTTCTTGAAACGTGTTGTCTATTTAACCATTGAGTGTTTTTTTTTTGGTTGGAGATGTCATCATATAGTTGAGTTTCTGGTTAATTCTTGTTTGTTGTTCTTCTGCTAGGTTCTGAGTCAGCTGGTGCAGAACATGATGCTCATGAGTCTCAAACTGCTGACTTGAATGGGGAGGAAAAGCAGTTAGAACCTGAAAACGATTCAACTTCTGAGGATAACAAAAGTTCTCGTGAAATCGAAGAAGTACAGGATGGTGATGTCTCTAAAGACCGTGATGCTGTTGATCAACCTGCTGGTGATGTGATAGAGGAGGAGGTGGACATCGAAGATGTTGAAGATTATGATGTGGAGAATGTGCTGGATAAACAAGAGACACATGATTTGTTCTGTCCAAACTGCGATTCTTGCATCACCAAAAGAGTTGTCCTCAAAAGAAGAAAACGGAAGGTCCGCCATGAGCTGGGAGATTCAAAGCGCGTGAGAGGGCCTCATTGGACTGAGCCTCTTCTTCATTCGGAAGACAATTTGCCATCTCTAGGTGGTGGTGAAAACTCTGCAAATGAATCATTTCTGTTCAAGTGCTTGTCATGCTTTACCATATTTATTCCCAAAGGTAAACTAGACTGTAACAGTTTCTTTGATATTTGAAAACTGAAATTTCAGATTCCATCCCTTCTTGTATTCAAAGCATGCTTTCCTTTTCTGGGAAAAATTTGCAGGGATGGCTTCAAAGCCGATTCCTCCCCATGAAGGTGTCGAGGGGTTAAAGATTCAGCCAAACCCTCAAGAGGAAGCTACAGGCGATTCCAATTGGTTCAATTCAATATTCGGCTTTAACAAAACAGAATCAGCTGTTCAGCAAGGTATTGTTTGTTTCCTTTGCCAGTGTATCAATCGATTCATGTTTTAGACATTCTGTTCTTTTAGTACTTCAAAACGGTGATTCCAGTTTGCTAAACTCCAGTGGCTACTTTGGTGTTTAGTAGAATTAAATTTGCAATGTCTCTCCCTTTATACTCACTATGATGCTGAAGGAGGTTTGTAACATTTTAGCATTAGTAGTTTAGAGCTAAATGTTTTTGTTTTCTGTTGTCAGGTGGGGCATCATCTAGTGTCCCGGAAGCTAATCCGCCTCGTGAGTCTAGTGTCCCGGTAGTTAATCCGCCGCGTGGTAATCTAAGTCCCTTGGAAAATGATACGATAGGCTCTACTTCAAATAACCCATCAAAAGCCCCAGCCGTTGTTCAGCGTGATGCAGCCACGTCGATTCAAGGTAGGGGGACATTCTCTTTTTTAACTACAGTTAATGAAACAAAAATGGTAATTTTCCATTAGTAGATCATGAACTAAATAAATAGAGGTAAAATCTCTAATAAATTACAGGGAATATGGTAATAACTAGGGGGATATGAATGTCTCTAAAAAATGGATATAAGAAAGATTCTTCTACAATTTTTTTACCCTTGGTTCTTAGCTAAACTTTTTGAAAACATCGTTGTGCAGATGGGTCAGAGATCAATGCTTTTCAAGATATAAAGCCTGTTGACACCCCTTCGATTCAAGGTACATATAACTTTATAAGCTATGACACTCTTAGAAAGTGGAACCCATGTTCGTGTATTGTGTAGTTTGAGCTTTTGACGTTGAGAAGCAACTTTAATAAAAATAAAACGTGATAGCCAATCCTTCTTCTCTTATTTAGCTTTTGCGTCTCTCGTTTGACTTTTAAAAACTCCAGCACTATTTTCTAATATGATGGCAGTTGCAAAATCAAACGATACAAGCAAAGTTGTCAACAATGGAGTGATTGTTGAAGACGGGCAAAAGTTTCTGGCTCCTACGACGGAGGAGCAAACACAGCAAAAGATTGACAATGATGATTCTAGTATAGCAGACGGGAAGCACACATCAGAAAAAGGATGTCTCTCCCCAATTCAACCATCTCATGGCATGAGTATATTAAACACAGTGACTAACGGACCCGACGGATTTAGAGTACAAACTACATTTCATGAAGAAGGTGCCCCTCTTCTGTTTGAAGGAAAAGACACTTCTGACACAAGAAAGCCAGATTTTGGTCTGACCAAAGTAACAGGTAATCTTAATTTTGTTTATAATGGTGCGTGGAAATCATATTCATAGCTTCAATGCCAAATACATAGAATAAAACCGGTTTCTGTCTCTCCTTTGTTTGAAGATGAAGTTCTTAACGTTCTGTCTAGTCATTCTTATTCATACCTTGCGAACTTTCCGCTTCTGTTTAGGTGTGATGGACACAGGTGACAGAGGAGTTATCACCAGTCCAGTAAATCCTGAAATTGATATTTCACCGGGGAATTTGCTGGAAGAAGGGTCTCTAAGGGAACCGTTAATGAGACGAGTTGTTGTTCAAGGACGTAAACTGGAAATCTTAAAAAGCATTGTCTACGGAGGTCTACTAGAAGCCATCACAAGCCTTGGTGTTATTTCATCCGCCGCTGGTTCTGGTGCTTCAATGTGTAAGTACCACTTAGCCCTAGCTATCCGTGTCCATTCGTGAAACACAAAACACATTTTTTGTTGCTTGAAAATCTAAATATTGCTTGAAGATCTCAACACATGTTTGTATCATTGTGGTTGCAGTGAATATTCTGGTCTTGGGACTTGCAAATTTGATCGGCGGGCTTATTCTCATTATTCATAATGTGAGTGATCAATACATCTTTCGCAATCTGATGCATAAACTTGGTAATGAACCGCGTAACCCGCAAATTCAAGAAACTTACAGAAAAACTTTTTCTGCAGCTCCAAGAACTTCGAGAGGAGGAACCCATAAGAACAACAATAGAGGATAACCAGACTAACGGTCGAGAAGAAGAAGAAGGTCGGTATAAGCGACTCCTTGGACGAAGAGAAAATTTCACGCTTCACGCAACAGTCGCAATCTTATCCTTCATAATCGTCGGAATACTCCCTCCTGTAGTCTACTATTTCTCATTCAGCGAAAAACACAACAAAGACTACAAAGTCGCATCAGTTTTCGGGGCATCTCTATTCTGCATAGTCTTGCTCGCCATAGCCAAAGCTCACGTGAAGTACCCGAGAGGCAGCTATCTGAAGAGCATTCTGTACTACGCGACAATCGCTGTATCGGTGTCAGGGATTTCTTACGTAGTTGGTAACTTTCTGGAACATTTGCTTGAGAAGTATGGATGGTCTGATGGATCAGAAACTCCGGTGGGACAGATGATGCTTTCATCACTTATGGGAAGAAAAGCCGGCTTAGGATACTCATCATCGTACTGAAACTGAATCTTGTCTGGAGAATGATCCAACCTGTTGCTTTTCTCTTTCACTCTGCTTTTGTGGAGCTCCTCGTTAGACTTTTGTTGACGCTAAATCTTTGTTGTGAGTGTAGAAGTCGTTTCCACTTGTAGAAAATAATAAATGATGGACGACCTGTTGTTTCTTCTAATAAATTTTATTTTTTCTTTTGATTAAATAAAAAATAGGAAAAAGAAGGTTCTACCGAGAATTGAACTCGGGTTACTGGATTCAGAGTCCAATGTCCTAACCGCTAGACCATAGAACCATTTGTGACACTTCTGATAAAACGATTTATATATATGTTAAATATTATCTGGCTTTGCCGTAAAAGTACGGTTCCCTTGCTAGAGGACATCGGTTACGTACGCAGCGGGTTTGAACCAATCAGTAATGGCTATAGCCAATCCCAATTGGTTGGGGGTTAAATGCGAGTTTCCTTTTGAAGAAAAAGAATTTGGCAGATAATGTTATAACCGTCAGATTCAAATTCGAATTAAAGGGAGCCTTAGCATCTGAACGGTTCAGATTTGATCTCTCTTATTTTCTCTCTCTCTCGGTTTCAGAGATCAAAAGATTCAAAAGAAGCCAACGAAGAAAATAAAACACCACTTTTGCAGAATCGAATCGGTGACGATAGAAAGAGAAAGAGAGAAAGACAGGGAAGGGTTAGAGTCACACAGGGGCTATTTGGATTTCCCTGGAAAATTTCAGATTTTTGTTCTTTCATCTTCTCTCCTTTTTTCTCTCTTTCTCGTTTTTTTTCCAGATTTGTCTTACGAATCCATTCTCAAAGATACCCAAAAGTGGTAGGGAAGCAAAGTACTGTTTTTTGCTTTTGATTTTATTAAAATCGGCGGTGAAAGAAACGAATTTTTTATTTTCCGAGAAAGAGAGATTCTTGATAATCGAATAGACCTAGATTTTTTTTGAATTTAGGGCTTTTTGATTTTGAGAAATTGGTTGTGGTAATGGAGACAGATAGTATGGAGTGCGTCTCGTCTACAGGAAATGAGATCCATCAGAACGGTAATGGCCACCAATCTTACCAATTCTCTTCGACGAAGACTCACGGCGGTGCCGCCGCTGCCGCCGTCGTTACCAATATTGTCGGTCCGACGGCAACTGCTCCGGCCACTAGCGTATATGAGCTTCTGGAGTGCCCTGTCTGTACCTATTCTATGTATCCTCCTATCCATCAGGTAATGCTCTTTTTGTTTGTTTGATTCATAATGTTTTTGAATCGGATTGTGATTTTGCTTCAAAATTGATTCCTGTTTGAGTGTTTTGGTCTCATACTTTGCAGCTGATGATACGATTTAGCTTTATGTGTTTGGTAATGGTAATTTAATTTGCTTGTGTTCTTCTCTGGGATATAGATGATATAATCTGGTTGTTCATAGGTATTGATGTTGCTATCTTACAATTGAGCCAGGGGAGGTTATTGATCTGAAAAGTGTGTCTCTTTTATTTTGTTGCAGTGTCATAATGGACACACATTGTGCTCGACCTGTAAAGTGAGGGTGCATAACAGGTGTCCCACATGTAGACAAGAACTTGGAGATATTAGATGTTTAGCTCTTGAGAAAGTAGCCGAGTCGCTTGAGCTGCCTTGCAAGTATTACAATCTCGGATGCCCTGAGATATTTCCTTATTACAGCAAACTGAAGCACGAGTCTCTCTGTAACTTCAGACCTTACAGTTGTCCTTATGCTGGTTCCGAGTGTGGTATCGTAGGGGATATCCCTTTTCTTGTAGCCCATCTCAGGGATGATCATAAAGTTGACATGCACGCTGGTTCCACTTTTAACCACCGCTATGTCAAATCAAACCCGCGTGAAGTAGAGAACGCAACTTGGATGCTAACCGTGAGCATATCCTTCTCTGTCTAGGAAAACATGATTCTCGTAAATGTTTTTGACAACAAAACTGACAGCTTCTTCTTCTTTTTCTTATCTGAGTTCAGGTATTCCATTGCTTTGGGCAATACTTCTGTCTCCATTTCGAGGCATTCCAGCTCGGGATGGGTCCGGTATACATGGCATTCCTGAGATTCATGGGGGACGAGGAAGACGCACGGAGCTACAGCTACAGCTTAGAAGTGGGAGGCAGTGGAAGGAAGCTAACATGGGAAGGAACCCCAAGAAGCATCAGAGATAGCCACAGGAAAGTAAGAGACAGCAACGACGGTCTCATCATCCAAAGAAACATGGCTCTCTTCTTCTCAGGCGGAGACAGGAAAGAGCTTAAACTTAGAGTCACTGGTAAAATCTGGAAAGAGCAACACAGTCCAGATTCTGGACTTTCCATACCAAACCTATCATCTTCCTGATCACTCATTCTTTTCTTTCTTTTTCTCTTTTTTTTTCTCTCTTTGAGAAGGAATGTTGTATGATGATTCGTTTGCACTCTTCTTCTTTGTCTGTATCTAAAACATATCATGAATGAGTGTTTCATCTTATAGTCTCATGTGTTGGGTAAAACTTGGATCGGTGTTCAGGTGCTAAAATCTTTAGATTCATTACATACATGGAGATTGGAGATCTGATGAAGTGGAAAAATGTGATTACATGAAAACTTGTCTTCAAAAGTAAGTTAAATGATTGCAAAAATGGAGGTGCGGGAAATCGAACCTCGTGCCTCTCGCATGCGAAGCGAGCGCTCTACCATATGAGCTACACCCCCTCTTTGATTGCTGTTACCATTAAACATTAGTATTTTTTGTAAACACTGACACAAATGTATAATATGAGACACAAGACCAAATATGTAAAATATATTTAGTCAATGTTATGCAAGTTGTTGTTGTCAATCGACATATTATTAGGAGGATTGTTGATGTATGCATTTATCTTAAAATCTATCAATATTTACAAAGTGTTCAAAAATTAAATTGATATCAAATTAATAAATATTAAAGATAAGGTAAAAAAATATGATGTAATTCAATTCATATAAAGTTTTAAAGATTCCCGATCATGTAAGATTTCTCTTAACAAGATTTTCAACAAACAAATCTTGTAAAAAGATACTAGATCATGACCCGCACGTACGTGCGGGGTTTCATATTTTAAGAAATGTGTTGTAATAAATTTTAGGTAAATATAGATTACTTTGTTGTTTTAATAATATATATTGTAGTATATAAATTATAATGTACCCAAAAATGTAGAATGTTATTTATATTGTTTATGACACAATAGCTAATGTTGTGAACTATGTCAAATTTTGGAGTTAGAAACTGAAAAGTAGATTAGGAAAAATCTTAGATTGAAATATAATATATGTTAGATTGATGTAAACAAATAAATTTTATATAGTATAATTATAACCCGAATTCATATCAGTTGGGTATTTAGTTTAATTTTCAGTTTGGTTTTAATCTACCTTATTAATATTTGAATATTTGAAATCATAATGGTTTCAGCAGTATTTTAAAATTTGTAACAACTTAGCGGTCGGACCGAGATCAAATTGAAACGGATTAATGGTTAGTTAGATTTTTATTAAACTTGTGAACTATCAAACCGTATATAAAACCGTTAAAAATGATTAAATAAATACAAATTTTAGAAATGGGCGTAATTCCGTTTGGTTTCGCCATATTCCATTGTATCCTATACCCGTTCCCCAATTCATATCGCATAAGAGAATACATTTCTAATATGAGAAATATAGATATTTTAAATTTATTTCATAAACTTGCTCCATAATTTTTTAAAACGAATCTTAACGAAAATCTTAAAATGAAGAGAAGGTTTAATGTGAATAAATTTTAGATAATCATTTTGAATTAATTGTAATTAATGTGTAAATCTTTTAATTAAGATTAATTTTACTAAATGTTTTTTTTTATCAATATTTTGACAACATTCAGATTTTAACATTGTTGTTGTGTATATATATATCTGTAGAAAGATTTGTTATTGCGTATTTATTGTATATATATTTGTTAATGAAATCTTTTAAAATCTTAACTACCCGTATTTTAAAAAAAGATATTGAAAAATTTGTATAATTTAAATTGTAATTAAAATATAAAATATTTTAATCTTTTTTCAAATTTAAAAAAGTCAATGGCATCCTATGTAATATTCTACAACTTAAAGGTTTTTTATTATCTAGTGATTCTCAATTAATAGTATAGATTTAATGAAATATGAAAACAAATCCTAAGCTTTTTTTTTCTACAAACAAATTCTTAAACTTTTAAAATCAATTACAAATTTTCCTAAATTTTATAATGTTCTAATCTAATGTTAGTGAATTGCAATTATTCATAATATTAACTTAAATGATAAATAGAAAAAAATCTGAAATAAGTAAAGTTTAAGGAAAAGGAAAAACCTTAGAAATTAGAAATCGGGAGGGAATTAAAGGAAAAAGCCCAATACAAATTGAAAAAGGGTTTTAACTTTTTAAGTTTTGTTTCTTCTAGAACTTTCCTTTTAAGCCTTTGTGGCTTTCCCTATAAATTCCCAATCTTTGGCCATTGACGATCAAAGAAACTCATTCTGATTTCTAATCACTAACGAGCAAAGAACCCTATAGCTAAAAACTACTAAACCAATGGCGATTATCTCTGAGATGGAGGAGGCGAGACCCTCGATGGTGCCGTTTAGTGCAAGTTTCGATCCTTCAAACCCATTAGGGTTTTTGGAGAAAGTCCTTGACGTTATCGGGAAAGAGAGCAACTTCCTGAGGAAAGAAACGGCTGAGAAGGAGATCGTGGCTGCTGTTAGGGCTGCGAAGGAGAGGTTGAGGGAAGCCGAGAAGAAGAAGTTGGAGAAGGAGAGTGTTAAGCCGACAGAGCCCATGGAGGTTGAGAAGGCAAAGAAGGATAGCTTGAAGGCCACGGATCCCATGGAGTTGGAGAAGCCGAAGGAGGAGAGCTTGAAGGCGACAGATCCCATGGAGGTTGAGAAGCCTAAGAAGGAGAATGGTAAGTCCATCGTTTTCCTTTCTTGAGTATGGAAATTGGTATGTCTTGTTTGGTGAAAACTTTTTAGGGTTATGTTTCCTTAGTGTTAACTGGATCTTCATTGATGCATGGAATGAGTTTTGTTTTCTCTGCTGTCTTTGATTATGTTTGGTTCAATATGATATGATCGATGAGTTAATTAGGTTACTGGAATCAGTTTGACTTGCCACTTGCTTCTTAGTTTCATTCATCACTTGTCTTAGGATCAACTTGATGAAAGATTTGAGTTCTTTGGTTTTTGTGTGAAAGATTTAACAATTTTAGTCTCTCTTATTGCAAACTAACTTGATGTCTGTTTGGTGCAGTTCCTAACAAAGGCAATGGGCTTGATTTTGAGAAATACTCATGGGGACAGAACCTCCAAGAGGTCACAATTAACATTCCAGTGCCAGAAGGCACTAAATCACGGTCTGTTACCTGTGAAATCAAGAAGAACCGTCTAAAAGTTGGTCTCAAAGGGCAAGATCTAATCATCGATGGAGAATTTTTCAATTCTGTCAAGCCTGACGACTGCTTCTGGAATATCGAGGATCAAAAGATGATATCGGTGCTATTGACAAAGCAAGACCAGATGGAGTGGTGGAAATATTGCGTGAAGGGAGAACCTGAAATAGACACTCAGAAAGTTGAACCAGAGACCAGCAAATTGGGAGATCTCGACCCTGAAACTCGCGCATCCGTTGAGAAGATGATGGTAAGTTAATCGGTTTCTTTGTCTTCTTGATGATTTCTTTGTGTTAGATTTTCTTTTGCAAGAATTGTGTTGTGACACAGTTTCTTTCTTTTCCCTTTTGTTCTGCAGTTTGATCAAAGGCAAAAGCAGATGGGACTCCCAACAAGTGATGAGATAGAGAAGAAAGATATGCTCAAGAAGTTCATGGCTCAGAATCCTGGGATGGACTTCTCTAACGCAATGTTTAACTCTTAAGCCAATTTTGTGTTCAATATAATCTTGTTATGGCTTCAAGATGATAATCCTGCCCTTTTGGTTTCTTTCAAGACAGTTGTTGATTCGTTAACTTCATCTGTTTTTTTTTTTTTGCTTAATGATGTGTTCATTTTAAGTGAATGACTATGAATCTGATTCTTTTGTCGTTCAAACCCTTCTATTCCTTGCTGATCTCTCTCTCTTTTTTCCCTTACTTATATCTACATTAATATATTGGACCAAATCATAGTATATTTGGTTGGATATTACAAATTTATTTGATCTCTTAAATAAAATCGAACCTTTTGAACTACATATATTAAATTTCTTTTGTCGTCACAACGACACAATTTAGTTTGTATATAAAACGCATGCGCATTACTTATGTGAGAGCAGAAAAATATGGTAGAATCTTCTCCGGTGAGGTTTTGCTGGTGGGTGGAATATTCTTGTTGTGACGGGCTTATCGTTGTTTTTAGTGTAAGTTAGATTTGATGAAAACTGGTCACGTGGTCCTTGTCCATAGTTCTCAATGATTCATAAGAGACAACAACAGTAGACGACACTACGTTTGCTTCTTTGATATATGTGTTATGCTTTAACTAGTTAGATCCATCGACAAGAATACCTTCCAAATTATTGCAGCTATATGCCTATATATAGTAGGAATATCAAAACTTGGATGAGAATATAAGCACTAAGCTTTTCATGACTAAATCATAGATGTTATATTTCACATATAAATTTTACTGCCATTAATTTTCTTACCATTACAAACTCTATTGTTTGAGTGGATTATCAGCTTACTAAAACCATATAAGGTGTTATAGTAGATAAGTTTCTCATATACATGCTACTAAAATCATCTTTAAGTGTTTTCTTGAGTCCATCCACAAGACTATTCGAGCTTGGAACTTGGAAGCAAGTAACCATTGTGGGTGTACAAAGTGGGACACCTTTCCTGATTAGCGCCGCCATGCCCGTTGCCAATGAACAATGATTCCACTGTTCACGCTACAATTCTGAGATTAAGGGTCAGACGAAAAAATACTTATAGCTTAGTTAGTTATACGTTAAATATACAACATATAGAGATAGCCAATTTGAAACATGTCAATGTTGGAGAAAAAAACCAATGCATTCATGACCCAACATATTGGGGCTCAGAGTAAATAAAGCCAGATACAAAATAAAACAAAACAAAAAGAAGTCCACTTGCGTATACAAAATATATTCAATTTTAATAAATATAAATGAAACACACAAACTTAGATAAACTATAACCGAAATGAAATATTCGGCATCTTTATCAAATGAACAATTTCTTACAGATTAGAAATGGTCATCAAATTTGGACCACCCATGGATTTATATATCAATTCTCATTTCCATATTCATGTAACAACACTACCAATTGTTGGTCCCCAACCTTTGTGTTATTTCAAATTATTTTATATACGTACGTGTTACAAGTTAGAAACTATGAGTCAATCCAAAACAAAAATGTTGAGACAAGAACATATATAAGAATATATAATTCGATGAAACTGAAGAGTTAAACATAAGAAAGAAAAGCATAAGATAATATGAATAAATTTTGAGAATCATAATTTGATATGTACTCAAGGACCATCTGTATTTATTCACTTTTGCGTTTTATGTTCAGTTCTTGCCTTGGTAATCAAATACAAAACTCCTCTCACGTACACTTGTAGTTTCAGTTCCCACTGATACAAAAGCTTCCCTCAAAGATGAAGTAAGGAAAGTTTCTAAACGGATTCAAGTTGGAAAAATACTAGAACAAAACGTGTTTTGAACGTTAAATTTAGATAGAGTAATCTAGTAAACAACTTTGGAACTAAAGCATTCTCACTGTTAAAATCTAGTGATTAGCATTCAACAAAAACAAATTATACTTTTCGCACGGAACATATTCTGAAAATTTTCACATGTCAGTTTTGTCATTTCCTCAAAACTCATATATAATTTTCTAAAAAAATTGGACATCACGGGACCTCACTTCCTGGCCATAAAGGCTAAAAAGCAGATCCAAGAATTGATTGATTATATGAATTTGGTTACAAAGTACAACCAGATTGTATTCTATGAACGTTTTAATTGTTTCAATTATTTGTGGATTCAATGATAGAGAACAATATCACTCAGAAGTAGTTAATGTCGCGATTTACAAAAATCCCACAGCACCATAACCTCGCAATCGAATGACGTAAAGGAAAATGTCAGAGAGAGAGTCACAAGAACATAGGACCTACACTAAACATGTGTAGTATCTACACTCTACAGTTACCTACTACGAGTTGCTAAATGCTACTCCTACTTGTTTACTTAGAACTGCAAAAATTAAACTTGTTTGTCTTCTAATCCCAACAGATTTTGTTTTTATATACTGATTAACCACTGCTTTGTTACAACAACTTAAAACTTGAAACGAACGTTACATGAAATAACTCTTCTGATTCATGAATCTTCTCTATACATACAATGTTGTTTAAATACTTCGAAAGAAGATCAAAACAAGTAAATTAGTTTCCGTTTCGCAGTCGATGTTTATACTTAAAAACTCGTCCGATTTTTCTATAATTTTTAGTTTGGAGTTTAATCGACGGAGTTACCGATTTCGGATTTCTTGAACTACTTTAGAGATTTAAAAGAAATAAACTAAAGAAGAATAAAAAAAGTTATGCATAAGAAATATCTACACTGAAATAGTGTCAGTGGGGGTTACATTTTTGATTTTTCTATTCTATATTTATATATTTTTTTTCTGTTTTCATGTAAAACATTTATTTCAATGCAAAAATAATTAAGAAAGTAAAATCTATAAATGGGATTCAGTGCACCAATAATTCTACACATAAAAATATCAATATCAGCCTCTCAACATCACAATAGGCAAGAGGAGGGGCCAAAGTACACAACTTTTCTCTCAGGGTATGCTCCAAATTCCCAACTTGGCCTCTCTTTTTCATCTTTTGGGGTTTTATGTTCACTCTTCTCTGCTTCATTCCTCTTTCTACTTCCAGGAAATAAAGAAATTTCTAATCCAAGAGCAAAAGAATCAGAAATGTATGCACAAACTGGCTTAGCTTTCCGATTCATGCAGAGTTCTTCTCCAGAGGTTCACCAATTTGAAGACCTCTTTAAACCCTACAAGCTCTCTGATGAAATGGTTTGTCTTTTGATTTCAATTTCAATTCCTTTTTTCTTGTCACTGCATTTGATTGGGTTTCTTGTCTCTGCTTGATCTTTGATGAAATTAAGATACTTTTCTCTTCCTTGTTGTGTTAATGAAGAAAATTGGAGTGTGAAGGAGATGGAAAACACTAATTAGTGGATATTAAGGGCAAAGTTTTGTGCTTTAAGTGATTTTCTTGAGAAATTTTTGTGGTAACTGGAAACTTGATGCGATCTTTTTGCTGAGCTCACTCACATCTGTTTTGGCTTTTAGAAATTGGGTCTTTCTGGGCAGATGAAGAGACAGGAATCTTCTTCTACTGATTGATGCTTGATAGAACAAAAAAAAAACTCAACTTTATTTTTGGTTTTGAGAGACAGTGAATTTTTTTTTTTTTTTTCGTCTGAGAGACAGTGAATTTAAAGGAGACATTTTTATGTGTTTGTGATGATGGGAATGACCATTTTCTCTTTATTCAAGCTGGAGTTAGAACTATAAGAGCGTATCATACACGATTGACAACAAATGTTTATGTTTTTAGACTATCAGATTCCGTGTTCTTTAAGACTTGTGTTTTTTTTTTCAGTTATTCTTTTGCTCTGATTGGGGTTTGTCGATTCATAGTGTCATTATCTTACATTCATTCTCTACTATCACTGTAACAAAGAAGAAATTTCCCTTTCCTCTTACCCTTTTTGAACGAATTCATTTTAAAGAGATCTCTGTGTGTGTTTGTGTATAAAACCAAAGAAAATCACTGTTTCTTAGTCAAGTTTTGAGTTGTGATCTTGTAGTTTATGGTTTTGGTTCTCTCTTGTTATGTGTTGCTCATTAAGCAGAACAATCTTGTTGAGGCATGTGAGTATGATTTTGGAGAAGAGAGTGACCTATTCAAAGCCCCTGAGCCGATCATTGAAGAACCAATGCTAGCTGTTGATCCTCTCTCTCAAGAGCTTGTTGAGCTCGGTGACCTCGGGTCGTTGCAGAGTGACCAACAGCTTATAGACAATGCTTTCTACGAGTGTGAGCAGGACCTCCTAGTGAAATCAGCCATGGAGTCTCCGCTCTCCGAGGTACTAGACATCAAGAACATCTCTTTAGTTGCAAAAATGGACACTGATGTGAAGAGTAGTAGTGTGGTCGTCTCTGATGTCCCAATCCCAAAGAGTGTGAGCTCGGGAAACCTGAGCTCAATGGATATGGTACAGCACGAGGATGCGGTGATTCAGAGCTTCCCTGATTTCCCTCCAGTGGATTATGGCATGAGAAGAGCCTTTAGTGAAAGCGATATACAGGTTCGAACTGAAATTATTAATAATACTCATTTGATCATTGAACTCAGTATATACATATACAAGTGTTTGCAAGATTTTGGACTGGGCTCTTTCTTGTTGAATCATCGATATTTCAGAGAAAGTTTTGACCTTTCCCAGACCTAGATGACTATATATAGATATGATGTTGGCAAGAGTTATCATGTGTATACTTGAGGATCTTTTGTATTATGACAGACACTGGGAACTACAAATGCGGGTCATGTCCAGTCTCAGCTGGATCGAATAATCATAAGTTGCACCTCTGAGGACCGCCGTGAGAAGCTTTCTCGATACAGGAACAAGAAGAGCAGGCGAAATTTCGGGCGTAAAATCAAGGTAAAGACCCGAAAAAATGGTTTAGGTTTATATATCAAACCCGCTTTGTTTGAAACTGAACTCTGGATTGTATCTGTATGGTTGCAGTATGCTTGCAGAAAGGCTCTTGCAGATAGTCAACCGAGGATCCGAGGAAGGTTTGCGAAAACAGAGGAGATGCAGAAATGAGTAATAGTCATAGGTCTGATGCGGTGTTAAGAATATATAATCCACCCACCTCTCGTTTTGTATATAAGGGGGTTTGTCTGAATAAGCCTAAGAAGTAAGGATTAGGAAGAAAAAACAAGTTGTAGTAGTTACTCAAGTAATGATGCTTATATGTTAGATCTTGTGAAGTTATCTGTCTCTAAAAGTTTATTATATATAGAAGCTGTTTGATATTTCTCTCTATGGTTTGATCGAATGTATTATATTCTTAGTTTTGTATCAGTTGATAGAAGTAGCTTTTGACTTTTGATGAATGTACATGGGCATCACCTTTCGAAAATATGAAAAATGAAACTTTAGCCAAAATCTGGTTTAGTATGGTCTTAGTTCCACACATACTTTCCCATTTGTATATGGTTGTGGATGCAACAAACCTGTTGACAGTTGACCATGTTGAGATATATTTATAATTTAATTAAAAGTTATAATATATCAGAACACGAAGCTGAACTTTTTCAATATTCTATGTTTTGCAGTCGTCAAATAATAGGTATCTTTATCTAATGCTTTGCGATGAAGAACCGTTCATTCTTGGCGAGTATGTTTTGGGAGCGAGCCAATAATCAGCCCAAACCTTAAATTACCATTTCCAATGAGAAATCATCTTAAACCGTGTTTAAGTAAATCCAACTAATGTTTACTGATAAATAAATCAACCCAGACAACCCCCTAACGAACGTGATTGGTGTCTCCTTGTTAAATTTTTTTTTTTTGTAGTTGAGAAAATCACAGAGCTTCTCGGTTAGTTCTAAACCGGAAAACACCAGAGAGATTGTATTATTACATAAATACCCTTCCAAGAATTGTGAAAAAAATTGGTGGGAAACTTTTCAATATATATATTTTTGTTTCCATTTTGTAGCTGCTTCTTCCATCAACCTCACTCACCGGTAGCAAAACAGAGAAACAAATACTTAAAATTTTACATCTACAAAGATACAACATGTCTCCTGTGTAACAGTGTAAGAAGAGCGTTTCATGGATTGATAATTTTGGTTATTTCTACTAAATTTTGTTGTAATCAAACTCGGTATGAAGTAAGAAGTACACTGTCGTAGCCGTACCATGTAAGTTCCATTACAGCTTCCAAAGATTTTCGAACCTTACTAGAAAAAACATTTATCTGATTTTCATATCAAACTAATAATAAAAAAGAGACACGATCTTTGAATTGGTTCCGAGAAGAGAAAGAAAACGAGGAAGAAGAAGAAAAAGCGTGGGCAATGAAGGCGCAGGTTAGCTTAATCATAGTAATGTGCACATTCACGCGATACAGAAGGTGACGCCTGATCCAACGACCCACTTCTGCTGCGTCTTCTCTCTCTCTTCAACTCTGTCACGCCTTTCTCTCTCTACCAAAAAAAAATTCTTACCCAGAACAAATTTTTGCCGAAATTTTCAATCTTTCGATTAAAAACGATTCTTTGACAACATTTCTTCCGGTTTTATCATCCAAATCATAAGAAAGGACGCATTTTTATTTATTCTGGAATTTTAAGAGAGATATAGAGCGAGAGAAGTTAGGAACAGATCTCTCTCTCACTTTCTCTCTTTCACTTTCTCTTTCTCTTTTCGCTCATTCGTGCCAAACGTCGTTAAACAAAACCTCAATTTTGTAGCTTTCCTTGTTTGATAGAACGGGTACGCGATTTTCAGTTCTGGGTCAGAGGAAAACGGAGGACTTGTCTCGGGTTTCTTTGAGCATCGGAAATTGAGGTCTAGATTAGGGTTTGTGAGAAATTCGAGATTTTGGAGAGGTTTAGTTGCTGATTCTGGTTTGGAACAGTGATGCTCTGATTGCTTTCTGAATTTTTATCAGAAAGAGAATGATAATCAAACGGAAATTTAAAACCCAGATACCGAGTTTGAACCGGTGCAAACTCGGTAACTCGGGCAATGAGTCCAGAAAAAGGAGAAAGTCGAACTTGGGAGGTTGTTACTATCCTCTCAATCTTCTCGGAGAAATCGCCGTCGGGATTGTTCCAGGAAATGGTCGGAATGGATTCTCTTCTTCCTGGTGCAATGAAGTTTCCTGTTCGATGAAACCTGTTGAGGTTGAAGAGTTGATTTCTAAGAGAAGATCCGATTCCGGCACTGTGAGGGATCCTCCTCCGGCTGAAGTCTCACGCCCACCGCTTGTTCGGACATCTAGGGGACGAATTCAGGTGCTTCCTTCTCGATTCAATGATTCTGTGCTCGATAATTGGAGGAAAGATAGCAAAAGTGATTGTGATTTGGAGGAAGAAATAGAATGCAGGGATGATAAAGTTGTTAGTTTTCGGGTTCCTAAAGCTAGTAATTTGAAAAGCAAGGAACTTGATAGGAACAGTAAGTATAGTGCATTGTGTAAAGAAGCAAGGTTTCACGAGCAACGTAATGAGGCTCGTGCTCGTGTTGATGAGAAGCTTCCGAATAAACAAGGTACTTTTGGGCCTGAGAACTTCTATTCAGGTGACTTGGTTTGGGCAAAATCTGGGAGAAATGAGCCGTTTTGGCCTGCCATTGTTATCGATCCAATGACACAAGCACCCGAGCTTGTTTTGCGTTCTTGTATACCCGATGCAGCCTGTGTTGTCTTCTTTGGTCACTCTGGGAACAAGAATGAAAGGGTAAGAAGAGACATATGGCTTTCCAAATATGGAATCTGGCCTTCTTTTAAGTTTTCTAATTCTGACTGTTGTTTAATGTAAGCAGGACTATGCATGGGTGAGGAGAGGGATGATCTTCCCTTTTGTGGATTATGTTGCCAGGTGGGTCTCTTGATTATCAAAAGAGAAGGTCTTAAATTTGGATTAGTGTTTAATTAGCTACTTATTCAGGTTCCAGGAACAGTCTGAACTGCAAGGTTGCAAGCCTGGGAATTTTCAGATGGCATTGGAGGAAGCATTTTTGGCAGATCAGGGATTCACGGAGAAGTTGATGCATGATATTCACTTGGCTGCTGGTAACCCGACTTTTGACGATTCTTTCTACAGATGGATTCAAGAAACTGCGGTCTCAAATCAGGATCTCAATAACAATGCTCCAAGCCAGGCAAGTGTCTCTGTCTGTGAGTTTATTAACGTTCTAGTTCCCAAAACAACACAATATGACTTTCTTTCTTATATCTTTTTGTGTAAATATCCTCCAATTTGGGTAATGTATCTAATTAACTTTATGCTGTGCAGGGGCTGTTAAAAAAACACAGAAATCCACTCGCATGTGCAGGATGTGAAACGGTCATTTCTTATGAGATGGCAAAAAAAATGAAAGCTCTGATTCCTGGAGATCGATTGTTGTGTAAACCATGTTCAAGGGTATGTGGGATCCCTTGTTCTGTGATTATTCTTAGTTTAGTTTCAAGTGATGCAGAAACGGTTGCATACGAGTAAGCCTACTTTGGTTGTTGTTGCAGTTAACAAAATCAAAACACATTTGTGGTATATGCAAGAAGATAAGGAATCATTTGGACAATCAAAGCTGGGTACGAAAGCAAATATATTAGGTTCTACAATGGAATAGCTTCAGGTTTTGGTTGTTTTCTATTTTGACTTTTTGATATCCGTGTGGTAAAATAGGTTCGCTGTGATGGTTGTAAAGTCTGGATACACGCAGAGTGTGACCAAATATCAGATAAGCATTTGAAGGTATGTTAATTTTGGATTTCATCAAGGTTACCCTATTCTCATCTGCCTGCGTGTGTTGAGATCAAGCTCATTTTATGGTCTGAAGGATTTGGGGGAAACAGATTACTACTGTCCTACTTGCAGAGCTAAATTTAACTTTGACCTATCAGATTCAGAAAAACAAAACTCAAAGTCAAAGTAGGCCTCTTCGTCTTAACTTTTATTATTGTTTTCTCAACAACTGCCTTTTGATTGCCAAATGTCTAAATTTGGGAGTTTTCTGGTACAGACTTGGCAAAGGCGATGGTCAGATGGTTCTTCCTGACAAGGTTATTGTTGTATGCGCTGGAGTAGAGGGAGTTTATTTCCCGAGGCTCCATTTGTAAGCAGATACCATTTTACCTTTTCCTTACATTTCCCCAACTTCTCGCGTTGGGTTTTCTTCTTAAACTAATTCAAAGCAAGAAGAGATTGAGATTTACCTTACCTAGATGTTCATGTTTCTTTGTTGAAAAATTTCCAAAGTCTTCTTACTCCATCTTGTTTATTTGCAGAGTGGTATGTAAGTGTGGCTCCTGTGGACCTAAAAAGAAAGCCCTTAGCGAATGGGAAAGGCATACCGGATCAAAGTCAAAAAATTGGAAGACCAGTGTGAAAGTCAAAAGCTCGAAGCTGGCACTAGAAGATTGGGTTTGTACAATTACTCTTCTGGTTTCTTTCAGAGATACTGGCGTCTTTCTTTTGAGTTTGATCTGACTTACTCAAAAGTAAACTGACATATATACCTCCCGTACCATTCACTTACTCTGCAGATGATGAAATTAGCAGAGTTACATGCAAATGCTACTGCAGCTAAAGTTCCTAAACGACCTTCCATAAAGCAGAGAAAGCAGAGATTGCTTGCTTTTCTATCAGGTATAAAAGGAAATGGAATCCTGTAACATGTTGCAAAGTTTCGAGTGCTTTTGTGATGCTTTTGTTGGCTTTTCCTTTCGTTGTTGGCAGAGACATATGAGCCGGTCAATGCGAAGTGGACAACAGAACGATGTGCAGTTTGCAGATGGGTTGAAGATTGGGACTACAACAAGATTATTATCTGCAACAGGTGCTTTTTAATCTTTTTTTGCTCTAGTTTTTTTTTAAAACCATGATTTCATCTACCTGAATAATGGAACTAGCCATTAGACTTATATTTGTGCGCCCAAGTTTTGGCTCACATGGAGTGTGTAAGATAGGGTTTTCTTGCTAGTTTCTGTGGGTAAGATATTTGAGCCAGAGCTTTCCATTTTAACTTTCATGACATGTCTTGGCAAACAGAAGATAGTTGTTTTCTATGGATCACTTTATGGCGACTTGTGAAGTATCATCCATTATCATTGTTGCATAAGCAACTTAAGATATTTGTTTCTTTCATTTTCTTGTCAGATGCCAAATTGCAGTGCATCAGGAATGCTATGGCGCTAGACATGTTCGTGATTTCACCTCATGGGTCTGTAAAGCATGCGAGAGACCAGATATTAAGCGGGAGTGTTGCCTCTGCCCTGTAAAAGGTGGCTTTATAAAGCATATTCAGCTTTTTTCACATAAACATATGGCACCACTGCCTATTAACTAAATTCATTGGCTCGGCTATGTTGTCACTGATTATAGGAGGTGCATTGAAGCCAACTGATGTGGAAACGTTGTGGGTTCATGTGACATGTGCTTGGTTTCAGCCTGAAGTATGTTTTGCAAGTGAGGAAAAAATGGAACCTGCAGTTGGGATTTTGAGTATTCCATCAACTAATTTTGTGAAGGTAAATTTAATATTAATTTATTGTGTTTAATTTTGGATGCACTAGAGTACTCTTTTCACAACTGTCTGCGAGCAAAGCTAAATTGCAAGAAATCTTATTCGTTTTGATGGATTTCAGATATGTGTAATATGCAAACAAATACATGGCTCGTGTACTCAGTGTTGCAAGTGTTCTACATACTATCATGCCATGTGTGCCTCCCGAGCTGGTTATAGAATGGAGGTATGCTTACTGCTTGACTGTTTCTGATCTTTCTTCGTTAGATCAGACAACATTGACTTTTTCTATACATGCTTTTGAACTAACTGGAACAATCTTTTTTATATAGTCGTTTGAAGTGAAACTGGTTTCCGATAGATAATGTGTTTTGAATCTTGAACTTTATAGGAACTTAAGTGTTCTTTTTTCCTTTGCAATTTATTATCTTACTCCTTTTAAATAGGCATATATCCATGCATTTTGTATGTAGTTGCACTGCTTGGAGAAAAATGGTCAGCAGATTACAAAGATGGTGTCCTATTGTGCTTATCACAGGTGAAATTTCTTAGAACACTGCTTAAAGAAGTCTTGGTATTAAGGTGTCGGGTTATGATATACAAATTTTCTCTATTGTTACTGGGTGTGTAGGGCTCCAAACCCAGATAACGTGTTAATTATACAAACTCCTTCAGGGGCATTCTCTGCAAAGAGTCTTGTCCAAAACAAGAAGAAAGGTGGTTCCAGGCTTATTTCATCAATCAGAGAAGACAATGAAGAGTCACCTGCAGAGGATACCATTCCATGTGATCCATTTTCTGCTGCTCGTTGTCGAGTATTTAAAAGAAAGATCAATAGCAAGAAGGTAATCTTGGGTCTTATCCACAAAAAGTCTGTATGTTTCATTGAAAATCTCCTTTGTCCAGTAGGCTGATCTTTGTTTTGTAGAGGATTGAAGAAGAAGCCATTCCTCACCACACAAGGGGACCACGCCATCATCCATCAGCAGCAATCCAAACTCTAAACACATTCAGAGTAAGAAAGTCTCCATGCAGTGCTTCTACTCCGTTTCTAACTATTATTTTGGATCTGACATTTTTGGGTTGTATCACCTGTAGCATGTACCGGAAGAACCAAAATCGTTTTCTTCTTTCAGGGAACGACTTCACCACTTGCAGGCAAGCATTCTCAGATGTTTGAACGAGATTGCAATGTTCAGGTTTTGTTTTTTTGATATTATCAAATGTAACATGTGTTTGTTTCATGTGACAGAGGACAGAAATGGATCGGGTCTGCTTTGGGCGATCTGGAATACATGGATGGGGTCTTTTCGCAAGAAGAAATATCCAAGAAGGAGAAATGGTACGTCAGCAGACCCAATTGTGATATTGTGTTTGGTCTATTTGGGATGAGAGGATTGTTGACTGTTGAGAGATGCTATTGTATTTCAGGTTCTTGAATACAGAGGGGAACAGGTGAGAGGTAGCATTGCAGACTTGAGAGAAGCACGGTATCGCAGAGTAGGGAAGGATTGCTATGTGAGTTGAAATAGTTTCCCTTTTATCTTCACAAATTGTCTCTTCTCTCTCTATCTCTCTTAAACAAAAGAAGGATTTGTGTTGCAGCTTTTCAAGATCAGTGAAGAAGTAGTGGTTGATGCTACAGATAAAGGGAATATAGCTCGGCTCATCAACCATTCGGTAAGCTGCGAGGAATTTTTACGTATAATAAATTTACAGATTGTGAAGCCTTAAAAATATGTGGTGTGCAGTGTACGCCAAATTGCTATGCGAGGATTATGAGTGTGGGAGATGAGGAAAGCAGGATTGTCCTGATAGCCAAGGCCAATGTAGCTGTGGGAGAGGAGTTAACGTACACAACACATTTCTATATACCATTCTTCAATCTAAAGCTGATCGATGGTCATAGTTTAAGAAATGATGTGTGTTGTTTTTGCAGGTATGATTACTTATTTGATCCAGATGAGGCAGAGGAACTCAAGGTGCCATGCCTATGTAAAGCCCCCAACTGCAGGAAATTCATGAATTAGAATAGAAAACCTTATGGTAGGGTCCTTGAAATTTACTTCACACGCTACAACACCTAAAAGAAAAGAAGGCCAAAGCAAGATTGTCTCTTTTTGCTCCAGAAACAATAGATCTATAGGTAGAGAGAAAGCTAAGTGATCCAAGTCTGATATCTTCTGCCTCTCTGTATAGACAAACTCATTTGCTTCACCATTATCCTCAAAGAATTCAATTTCATTCATTTTTTCCATCTTATAAACTCAAGATGACACAGATAAGGATTCTATGACCGTTGTACCCTTTAACCATCGGTTTACTACGGTTATATCGCGAAAGTGATGAGTAAATTTGAGAATTTTCCTTTCGCGCCGGTTTATCCGTTAATGAATCGTGCTTTCGTCATCAAGTGCCATGTCAGACGAATGGTAGTTTGCCTAAAATATCTCGTAATGGGCTTTAAATACTTATAAAGTTTTTTTGACGGCCCAATTGACGCGAATATGAATTGTTTGCCTCTTATCCATTTCAGATATTTTAAAAGCCACACAAGGTAAACTGCATAAAGGGATAACATCTAATTATGTGAAAATGTTTAGGTGTCAAAACTGATAACAATTCCATAAGAAAAAATGTTTAGGTGTCAAACTATATATGAGCAATTCTAAAAACATTCTAAAGATATGGTGATTCTGAGTCATTGACAAGTAAACTTATAGCATTTTGTTAGAGATAATTTTCATGAAATAGGAAATAGTACAATGGTACAATCCTCTACATTAGTGTTAACAATCCGTCAATCTGTATTTGACATGTCGGATCATAATCCAAGAAAATGGGAATCCAGATAAGTTAAAAATCAATTCACTCATAGAATCTTGGAAGAGTATGTATATTGGTCAATATAAAAGAGCATCCTTTAAATAGCAGCACTGGTACTATTGAGTGAAGAAAACAAAGGCACCAAATATTTAAGTATTTTTTTGTCCAGTCAGATTATTTAAATTGCTGCTACTTAAGAGAACGATGAACGGTGACGAGACAAAGAAGGTGGAGAGCGAGAACATTAAGAGGCACCATAGACACGAGCTTGTAGAGAATCAATGTAGCTCTACACTCGTTAAGCACATCAAAGCTCCTCTGCATCTCGTAAGCTTTGCTCTGTTTTTCAAATGTTACACCGTTAAAGATCCGATTTTTGAGATGTTAATGATTTTTTTTTTTTGTGTAAAAGGTGTGGTCACTTGTGAGGAGATTTGATGAACCACAAAAATACAAACCATTTGTCAGTAGATGTGTAGTAGAAGGGAAGAAGCTGGAAATTGGTACTATACGAGAATTGGATCTTAAATCTGGATTACCAGCTACTAAAAGCACTGAGATATTGGAGTTTCTTGACGACAATGAACATATTCTCGGCATTAGGATCGTTGGTGGTGATCATAGACTCAAGGTAAATTGGAGATTCTTTAAATGTACCACTTGTTCCGACAAGATTATTGTTTTTGTCTGAAGCTAATTAATATGTTCTTTATCCAATCAGAATTATTCTTCAACCATTTCGTTGCATTCCGAGACGATAGACGGAAGAATAGGGACATTGGTCATAGAATCGTTCGTGGTGGATGTGCCGGAAGGTAACACAAAGGAGGAGACATGCTTTTTCGTGGAGGCTTTGATTCAATGTAATCTCAAGTCTTTAGCGGCTGTTTCCGAACGTCTAGAAGCAGAATCTATGGAGAGGGTATGAGATAATGACTTAAGATTCTTTTCAATGGGAAAAGAAGGAAAAAGACCACCAAATAAGAGAAATAACTCTTCCCTTTTATAGCAATGTCTTTTGAAGTCTATGTTTTCTCTTCTTTTATTTTCATTTTGTGAATTTTTGTATATTATTGGAAGTTGGAACTACATGATTTCGAATAGCTGTCAGACGAAAAAAAAATGATCTCGAATTTGTAAGTGTTTATATAAAATGCTTTTTTCTATTTTTAATTATTTTCACATGAGAATATAAATAACATATCATGACAATTAAATTAAACAATCCTATATATTTTTCGTTAGTTTTGATACTTTTTATTGTTTTCTAACAAACTTAATAATTATATAATTTACATAATAACAAATAAAATTTAAACTAGTGGAGAAAATGGGCTTTATACAGTAATAAGGTTCATCGATTTATACAATCTTCTCTTGTACATTACAAGTCAACAAAAGAAAGATAAAAGACCGGTAAGAATAGTTTGTTAATTAGATTTTGGCACAAAGCTTACAAAACATAAACAACCTAGAAGAAGAACTGATACACAAGATACATTACCTTCAAATTGTTATCTTTGTGCTGCAGTGATTCGTAATTGGGGATCCATTTGGTGGAGAAATCATCTGAAGATGGCATCTCCCAAGCAAACTGAACGTGTAATGCAGTGAAGCCCAAATAGCCTTGAGTTTGAAGGTGGTTACAATCTGTAGTTCAATCTTGTTGTTCTGAAGCTCTTTTAAGAAGGAAGATGAAGAAGAAGAAGATGTACATAAAGGTATAAGTTTCATAACTCAAGTTGTCAATCAAATAGCTGGATCTATCTTGCCTCCACTAAACAAACCAAAAAAATTGATTTTTATTATGAAAACATATCTGAACGGTAAAACAAGATATAAATCGTTCTAACGTGATTTGGTTTAAATACGTTTTCAACATTAACTTTTTTATCTTGTATATTTAACCGCATTATTTTGATATTGGTCTTTTTATTTAACATAATTAGGTTTAAGAGACATTTAATATGGAATTTCATATGAGAAAATAAAATAAATTTTATGCACTAATCAACAAATTATATCTTTATGTCCATATTTTGTGTTGTTATCCAATGTGAAACTAAATCCCTTTATAACTTAACCACCAAAATTATTAAACATAAACTTTAAATTAAAACAACACCACATGATTTTGTTAAAATATATTCAAATCAATGAAAATCGAATGACCGACTTATTGAAAGAAAAACACAGGATTTGAGTCGGTACACAAACTATTAACGAGGTGTACAAGGTGGAATCATAGACACGTGTCTTGACACTCTTAAGGCTTCTTCACCACCAAATTACTTCCATAACAAAAGAATTATATTATTGTGGAGCCCCAAAAGATCGAAAATTCTAATTCAATGGCCTTCGTGAAGACCGTACTTGCTGACCAAGCAAAAAGGACCGGCTCCGTTTTTACCTAATTCCGCTTCACAACGTGCTATCCATTGGTTGAATATTTAACTGGTTTAACCAAACCGAAGTTACACACACGGTTTGAGTCGGTACCCAAATATTACGAGACGTATTTTGTTGACACTTTGACACGTGGATCGCCACTCTTTAGCCTTCTTCACCACCAACTTAAAAAGAAAAAAGGAGCATATGTTGTGGAGCCCCTTACTTAATCGAAAATTCTTATTCAATGGCATTCGTTAAGACCGTGTGTTGTGTTTAGTTTTTTGTCCACGAAAATTAGACCGTCTCTGTTTTTTTTGGCTCGTTTCGATTGAAAGCGTGGCTATAATTGGTTGACTATACGATTGGTTTAACCAAACCGAAGTCGACGTCCCGGTTTGTTCGGTTAAGATTAGGCCTTGTAGAACATTCCAAAACGCCGCGTCAAAGCTTTTAGGGTTAGTTTCTGCTGTGTGGCTACCCACTCAAGTCTCCAGTGTTCCTTTGTGGCTCTGGTTTGCCCTATTCTTCCCATCCCCTCCTCTCTCTTGTTTTTTCCCTCTTCTCCAAGGAATCTGGAAAAAAATTAAACCTTTTTTTTCCGATTGAGAAACCATAGTTTCGATTCAAGCCTTTGATTGAATCAAAATCTCTGCTTCACCGAGAATTCGGGTAGATACAGAAAAAAAAGTTAAATGGTTGAAGCAGAGCGCGCGGAGAATAGTTGGATTGCTTCGGAAATGTCGTCGTCGTCGTCTTCGGCGGCAATAGAAAGGCGTGATTTTTCGATCATTAATTCGACTGATGGTGGAATACGAGATGTGAGCGGATTTGGTATAGCTTCTCGGCCTCAGTTGGAGAAGGGTTTGTCGGAAAACAATATAGGGTTCACGGAAAGAGTTTTCTCTGCCGCCGGAGCTGCGGTTTTGTCCGCTGTTACTTTAAATCCTCTTGACGTTGTCAAGGTAGGAGATTTTCAGTTGTTGTGTTAATTCGCCTGGGAAATTACAAGTTTTAACCGGCGAGGGACTTAATGTTTTCTGTTGTGATTTGTTTATCAGACTCGATTGCAAGCTCAAGCCGCCGGAATGTCTTACTCTCACCCACTCAGTAACTCCATTGGACGCATGGCATTTTTTGGACCAAACATGGTATGTCTCTGAAATTTTTGTTTTGTATGAGTGTTGTTTTAAAGGTGAATACTTTCTACATTTTCACTGCTCAGTTATGTTAATCATGCATTTTGGGTTCAGATGTTTGCAGACTTGAGATGTTCTCCTTCATGTTCACGCGCTGGTGTTCAAGGTACTGTTTCTATTTGCCCACCGGATTGTTTCCAGTACAAAGGAACTTTTGATGTCTTCACCAAGATCATACGACAGGTGAGCTTGTCTTTTCATCTTGTTGAAAGTCTCACAGTGTTAAGAAGATGATAATTAGCGGGTTTTTTGTGTGTGTATGTGGCATGCTTTTTAGCTAGAAACTTCCTATTTCTCTATATCCTAACGCAAGAACTGATGCAGGAGGGTCTAGCACGCCTGTGGAGAGGGACTAATGCTGGTCTTGCCCTAGCTGTGCCCATGGTATGCTCTTTTGTTTACATTTGCGGGATTCGTTTACTTGGATAGACTATGGGTTAGTAACTCTCAAGTTTTGCACAGGTTGGGATATATCTCCCATTCTATGATATGTTTCGCAACCGGTTGGAAGAATTATCTCGGGAGAAAGCTCCTGCTATGACATTTTGTGTGCCTACTGTGGCAGGGTCCTTAGCGCGGTCCTTAGCTTGTACAGTGTGCTATCCTATTGATCTTGCAAGAACGCGTATGCAGGTATTGGCTTGTACTTCTTCTGCGTGTGTGTATTCTTGTAACTCTAGATGTGTGTTATGCTTTTCAACGAGATCTTTCTTTTTTGTAGTACTCTTTTTGTGACTCGCTATTCATATTCTATTTACTGTTTTTTCTAAGTAGGCATTCAAAGAAGCAAAAGCTGGTGTGAAGCCTCCGGGAGTTCTTAAAACTCTAGTTGGTGTATTCTCTGAAGTCAGGACAGCAAATAACCTTGAAAGTAGTTGTAAGTTGCTTTTTCCTTCTTCTCAAGCCACAGAAATGACGATAATTTGATATCTGAAGTCATAATCTCCAACGCATGTATAATCAAGTAGAGTTTACCCTCTCTTATGCATAGCACTTAATTAGCAATCACAACCCAAGATGCATGCGTGTGGACAATGACACAGAGGCAGGGATTTGTTTTTGTTTAGTCTTTGATATACATCTTTCCTGTGACAGTGCACAACTATCGTGTTCTCTGGAGAGGTTTGGGTGCACAGCTTGCCCGTGATGTTCCATTTTCAGCAATCTGCTGGTCGACCCTCGAGCCAGTAAGATCTTTGACAAGTTTTAGGCGTTTTACAATGCGGAGAGTTTTTTAAGACAGTTTATGCCAAATACATTAACGTAAATTAAAGTGAATTGCTTTGACCATCCCCTTTGATACAGATAAAAAAGAGGCTTCTTGGAGTTGCGGGCAATGATACAAATCTTCTTGGTGTTTTCGGTGCAACCTTTTCTGCTGGTTTTATAGCTGGTAGTATCGCTGCTGCTACTACTTGTCCTCTTGACGTTGCAAGAACAAGAAGACAGATAGAGGTTTGTTTGCTTTCCTCCAGAAACTTGTCTGTTTATTTGTGACACCATACTCAATGTTTCTCCCTTTCATTAATTCAGAAGGACCCTGGTAGGGCATTGATAATGACGACACGACAGACACTAATAGAGGTTTGGAGGTATGTATATGCATATTTGAAAGATTCCATTTTTTCGTTTGTTAAAAGCTCTGTGTTTGTATTGAAATAAGACGTAACAAGAAATACTTGCACAGGGATGGAGGGATGAGAGGACTGTTCATGGGAATGGGTCCACGAGTGGCGCGTGCAGGACCATCGGTAGGGATAGTGGTTTCTTTCTACGAAGTGGTCAAGTATGTTCTGCATCGCCATGCTTCATCATGACCAGCAAAGTCACTAATCTCCTACACATGGATGTGGATACGGCTTTAGGTTGTAGCTTTTTTTTTTTAATTAACAGAATAAGTTAAACAGGCTCAGTCCTCCAAGCCCTTGTTTCATCCTTTTATGAGCCGGAATTTTGTTCAGTTATTAAATACCGGCTGTTTAAATGTTTAATCCGGTTTATGTCGGCTCGATCTTGCATCGACTTAGGTTGGCTTACTGGTTAAGTAATCAATTTGAAGTGAATCACAAAGAAGAAGAGATGGAGAATTAAGGGATGAGATAAGTGAATGTAGAAGCCACCAGCATTAGCACTCACGCTCCTGGTTCCCCTCATCTACATTTGGTTTTGAGAAGAAAAGAAACCTTGCACAACAACTAAAACTAGTTCGTTGACTCAAGACAAAAAAAACTTGCACAACAATACTTAATCCGGGTTTATAATTCAAATTTTGGGTGATTGAGTTATATAAGTTTAAATATAATTAAATTTTAAATTTTGGGTAATTCACCTAATTATAATTAGATGTTTTGGTACGAAATTTCCAAATTGATCCCATGTCATGCCATAATTTTATGTCTTTGACCCCATTCATATTTATTTTTTCATTCAACATTAATTTCATAACTCAAATTGTCAAATAGCTTAGATCTATTTTGCTGCCACTAAACTAAACATACAAATTGATTCTTATTATCCTTTGACAAAAGAAAAAGATTCTTATTATCAAGAAATATCCAAATGGTAAAACAAGATATAGATCGTTTTAATGTGATTTGGGCATGCCCTGAGAGCCTTCTCAAATATGAAAACTAAAACGCACTATTACGATTTCCTTAATTGTAACCCAACGAGGCGACGACGTGTAAAACGCCATTCATATTGTCCAGCTTTAGTGATGAATATAAGTCTTCGTTTGTGGAAAATTAATGTATGTTTTTCCACGTAAAAATTGTTGACGATGTCATCGACTTTTCTCCGACACTGACCTATTTTGTATTTTCTAATAGATTTCTTCTGCTTTTCTTTCTTTTATTAGTCCTTTTGGATATCAACCGACAGACATTTAAGAAAGAAAATAGGCGACTTTTTATTGTCAACATTAAAATAGGAGACTTCTAATACCTTTGATGCATAAATAAACTAGAACATGATTAAAGAGTTAGAACATAGTTGAGACAAAAAAGAAGTAGGAAAAAAATAGTAACACATCTCAAACAGTAACAACATTTTAACTAGATTAATCATGATGTTCTGATTTTAAAATTTTGGTAGCGACATACAATGCTGCAAACCACTGAGGATTCGATAAAGATTTACGCACTACCATAGTGAACACGTTTCCGAATTTGATTTTTTATATTTGACAACATTTTTTTTTCTGAATAAAATACAAAATTTATTCGAAAAAAAACGTTTTTAGATTAAGTGCGGCATTTGGTTAATGGTTTGCATACAAATATTCCAAAATCCTACCTCTTCTTAGTGTTTATCTTGAAGCAAACCAAGCTTTCATGAATTAATTCATCATACCTTCTATTTGACAACAACTACTATGTTGGATAAGAAAAGAGAAAAATGTGTAATCTTGCATTTAAAGTTTGTACAACCAAACAAAACACTACGCTTTAGTATTTCAAACCTTTTTATGTGGCCACTTTGTAAATGAATATTACTTTTTGGAATTGAGAAACACCTGACCAATGTAAATTATCTGTTATAGTTTACAAAGAAAAGATTACTATAGTTAGTCATCTTGCATGTATGTATATATGTCTACGAAAGGTAAAATTCTTTTTCTATATATACTTCACTCAATAATTTTCAAAATGGCTATGGTTTCATTGATCATAACGTTTTTTTTTTAATCCACATTTTATCCAGAAGAAAGGGACTTGTAGATGTCTATTTTAACAATTTCTTATTGTGTGTACACGTAAATCATATATTTAAAACCAAAAACAAAAATATATATATATGGATTTGACTCCAATATGATTTCAATGAAACCAATCGGGCACATAGACGGTAGACGAAATCCAAACGACCAATAAAAACGTTTAGCTTTTTGTTTGTTGGTGTATATATTAACTATTTGGTAAAAAAAAAAACATAAACAAACCACAAATGTGGTCACCAAACAAATATGTGTGTATGAGTTAAAACATCGTAATGATAATGGTACAAGTCAACATGTGGAGAGGCGCTTATTTCTTACACTAGTGCAACATTTCGTACTCATTCAACTCCTTACCTAGTAAGTTGTATTATAATTCTCTCATATGGTTTGGGACATAATTATTTCAACCTTTTGCTTCTCCCTTCTGATGTTCGGCATTTGATATGATTTGGTTGTTAGGAATGTACATTAAAAAGAAATTAGGTATTGGATTTAATATCTTGAGGACATGAATAATTTATTTACCGTAAACCTTTATCCCATTTAAATATTTTGATACTAATAAATTGATCCAGCGCCCTCCACCTATTTATTTATATATATATACTTTCATCGAAAAATTAATCTTCAAGAAAGCGGGAAAATATTTTAGCAGTTACAAAAAATATTGAAGTTCATTGCATTAGAAACTATCCTTTTAAGATACGGGAAAATATTTCGATTTATAAATGGAAGCTATCCTAGTTGGGCGTTCATTGCATTTGAACATTATTCGACTTTCACTTAAGGAAATATTTACCCTTTTTGTCTATAAGAAAATATATATAAGGACAACCAGAAAGTGTCGAATTATTCATAATATAATTGATTGAGAATCAGTCAACATTAATTTAAGAAAAATCAAATCTAGTAACAATATATTTTAGTCAAAGTTTTATTCTTAGAAATTTCATACCAGAAAAGGATAGTTTCTAATTTCCAAATTGATTTATTTTCTTTATCGTCAGAACACAATGTAATCGAGAGAGTGAATTGATTGATTAATGTGAATGATTTACAACATATATAGAGTTTAGTCTAGGGTTTACACAACTACTAATGACACTTATATCCTTAGCATATACAACTCCTATACACCCCCTCAAGATGGAGGGAGTTCTTGGACTCCAATCTTGCAATTGAGTTCATGAAACCGCGGACGTGGTAGTGGTTTGGTTAAAGCATCGGCTAGCTGGTCCTTTGTTGAGACATGTGCGACACGGAGAGCACCGGATTGAATGTATCCTCTGACGAAGTGATAATCAAGAGCCACATGTTTCATACGAGAGTGGAACACTGGGTTTGCGCAGAGATAGGTGGCGCCAATGTTGTCACAATAAATGACTGGAATGGCTGGCTGCGGGATTCCCATTTCTGTTAAGAGTGAGCATATCCAACGTAGTTCCGAGGCTGTGTTGGCGACGGCTCTATACTCCGCTTCGGTAGAGGAGCGAGCTACACTTCTCTGCTTCTTCGAGGACCAAGAAACAGGGCTGCCACCAAAATAAATAATATAGGCATTAGTAGAAAGGTAGGCATCAGCATCACAGCCCCAATCGGCGTCCGAGAAGGCGTGTATAGTGAGAGGAGCATCAGACCGGAGAAAAATGCCATGCGATTTGGTGCCCGCTAGATACCGTAAGATCCGTTTTGCTGCTTGCCAATGTTCATTAGTGGGACGATGCATGAATTGGGATAGTCGATTCACCGCAAAGGCTATATCTGGTCGCGTAAAAGCCAAATATTGAAGACTGCCCAAAACTGTTCGATACTCCGTTGCATCATCAAGCGCTGTGCCGGAGAGAAGAGTAAGCTTCGGTGTAGGTGACATTGGCGTTGAAACGGGCTTGGTGTCATGCATATTGTGTTTCTGCAACAAATCTGTGACGTACTTTCGCTGCATCAAGTGTAAGCCACGTGGTGTTCTCGTTGCCTCAATACCCAGAAAATAGCTCAACGGACCTAGATCCTTTAGAGAAAATCGAGCTGCAAGAGAGACATTAAAAGCTTTGACAAGGCCATGATCTCCAGCAATGATAATGTCGTCAACGTAGACGAGTACATATATAAAGGAATGATTCCGATTATATATGAAGAGTGAGGCATCCGCGAGCGAGTTCACAAAACCGGACTGCAGGAGAAAGTTGCGAAGTTCGTGGTACCAAGCACGTGGTGCTTGTTTGAGACCATATAACGCTTTGTTGAGACGGCAAACATAATTCGGACGATCATGATCAACAAACCCCGGCGGCTGCGACACATACACTACTTCGTTTAATGTGCCTTGTAAGAACGCATTATTGATATCCACTTGATGAATGCTCCAATTCCGTTTCACAGCAACTTCAAGAACAAGACGTATGGTCGTTGACTTTATCACCGGGCTAAATGTCTCCGAATAATCAACACCATATTGTTGATTGAATCCTCGAGCTACAAGCCGCGCCTTATACCTTGCAATAGACCCATCAACATTATATTTTAGTGTAAAAATCCACTTACAAGAAATAACATGTTGAGCAGCCTCTGGCGCGACCAAATCCCAAGTATGATTTTTCAATTGAGCATTAATCTCCTCGGACATAGCATTCCGCCAATTGGGATCTTTGAGAGCCTGTGTCACCGTTGTCGGTATCACCGGTTTTGAGGCCGTGAGTGATGTGGTTAGGCTGAATTTGGTCTTTGGTTTGGAGATTTGATTTTTAGCTCGGGTTTGCATAGGATGGTTGTTTTGCGGTGGTGGAGGCAGCGGATGATTTTGTGGTGGAGGAGGTGGAATTTCTGGTGATGGAGATGGAGATTTTTCATGATCGGGAGATGTTGGTGTTGGAGTCGTGGCTGGGGAAGATGAGTGAGACCTTGGGAGTGGGCTGGTTTGTGTATGGTTTGGGCTTTTGGTTAGTGGGCTGTTTTGTGGGCTTAAGGTTGAGTTTGAAGGTGAGTTATTTGAGCTTTGGTTTGTTGGACCAGAAGAACTAACCTGGCCCGTTAAGAGGTTATCTTCTTCGTGAATGGTGTGGGACGAGGAAGACGGTGACACAGACTCCGGAGAACGCGATGGCAGTGGCAACACATGAGTGTTAATCACCGGAGGGGCAGATGGCAGAGCACCCGTGTTTGACGATGGACCAGCGCCGTGGTTGTTTGTAGCTGCAGATTTGGTCACGCGTCGCGTATAAACACGCAGCGGCGGAGCATTGAGTAGTGGCGGCTGCCTTTGAAGGTCGGAGCTGCGGGGCGATTCAGGCGGCGGTGGAGGAGCTTGTACAAGTGGCCTTGGCTGGACGGGAATTACTGTCGGAGTTGAATCATAAACTGATGCCGTAGTTGTGAGATCACCATTTGTTGTTTGCATCGATTTCTCTGAGACAAAAGGATAGCTTGTTTCCACAAATTGAACATGTCGTGATATGTAGATGCGACCTGAGTGTTTTTCCAAGCATAGATATGCACTCTGTGTTAGTGAATATCCGAGGAAAACACAAGGGGCTGATCGATTCTCCAATTTGTTGGCAGTGTACGGTCTGAGCCATGGAAAGCATAAGCAACCAAAAATACGAAGCTTCATATAGTTTGGCGGCTGATTGAAAAGCTTCAAGTATGGAGATTCACCATTCAGAACCGGAGTGGGCATCCGATTAATCAGGTACACTGCAGTGGCAAAAGCATATGTCCAATATGATTTTGGAATTGATGCATGACTAAGCAGTGATAAACATGTTTCCACAATGTGGCGATGCTTCCTCTCGGATAGGCCATTGTGTTCAGGCGTGTGTGGTGGAGTAGTCATGTGTAGAGGTGTCAAACGGGCCGGCCCGCGTCCATCTGGGCCGGCCCGCGATGGGCATTTAAATTTATGAGACCGCGGCGGGCCGGCCCGCTAGGACCGCGGGCAAAAATAATATGTCCAGGCCCGCCCCGCTAAGCCCAACGGGTTAGCGGGCCGGCCCGCGGGCTTAGTTTTAAATATTTTAAAAATAATTAAAAAATAAAATTAATTTTTAAAATATGAAATAAACAATTTTTCAATAAAAAAAATCCTTTAGAATTAATTTTTTTGTAAATTTTATAATTTTATACATTAAATTTCGTTATATGTTCATATATTTTACATATATATTTTCAGAATTATGTAAAAATATTTATTTATTTATTTATATTAATTATTTATTTTTATTAAATATTTGTAGCCCGCGGGCCGGCCCGCAAATCCGCGGACAAAACCCGCAAAAACCCGCAATCCGCCTGGGCTTGTCCGCGAGGCCCGCTATTTTATGGGCATGAAAAATGATGTCCAAGCCCGCCCCGCTGTGGGCTACTTGGACAAAGCCCGCGGGCTATCGGCCCGCTTGACACCTCTAGTCATGTGAGATATGCCGTGGCTGGACAAGAACTGACGTAGTGCAATAAATTCACCACCATTATCAGAGTATAATGTGCGAATCTTACTCTGAAAGCGATTCTCAACCAACGCCGTGAAAGCTACAAATGTATCTTTGACTTGTGATTTCTGCTTCAAGGGATACAACCAAGTGTATCTTGTATAATGATCAACGATCACAAGATAATACTTGTAGTTGTCCACTGATATTAATGGCGATGTCCAAACGTCGGTAAAGAGGTATTCCAATGGTCCACGAGAGACAATAGAAGTTTCATAGAAGGGAAGCTTGTGGCTTTTGTTGATAGAACAGTCATTGCAGTGTGTTTGGGTGGAATTGGAGACTGGTAGGGAGAACTGGGAGACAATAGTCTTCAAAATAGGAAGAGCTGGGTGACCAAGTCTTGAATGCCATGAGGTGATGCTTGTCTTTGGGTTTGGTGAAGTAGAAAAGGCGGTTATGGGTGGCGATGATATCGGCCACTCATATAACTCATTCTGAGTTCTGCCTTGAAGCAATTTTGTACCCGTAGCTAGATCCTTAATTTGAAAGTGAGCAGGGAAGAACTCCACTGAGACATTGTTAGTGTTACAAAGTCTGTAAACCGAAACAAGATTCTTGTGAATGTTGGGTACACAAAGAACTTGTTTTAAAAGGAGAGGTTTTACGGATGATGACAGCGTTGTAGAGCCAGTGTGAGTGATGGACACCCCTGAACCATCAGCGATGGTAACCGCATCATGGCCAATGTAGGGTTGATGATGACGGAGATGTTGCAGATTGGATGTGATGTGGTGCGTCGCTCCACTATCGAGTAGCCACGGTGACGTCGGTGAGGCAGCGTTTGCTTGTGGCATAGAATGGAGTTGAGGTGACTGATTCGAAGCTTGAAGTTGGATGCATTGTGTTGCACAATGTCCATAGACACCACAAAGTTGACACTTGATTAGAGATTGTCGTAGTGGTGAAAAACCAGGAGGAATGAGTGGCGCTGCCTTGTTAAGAGTTTGCCTATTGTGTGAGAGTCCACGATTGGCAGTGACTGAGAACTCCATGGAATGATAGATAAAGCTAAAGAAGAAGGAGGAAAATGAAAAGGAGAGATGACGGCTGGGAAAAAAAAATTTTAGGTCTAGATCTAAAGCTCTGATACCATGTAATCGAGAGAGTGAATTGATTGATTAATGTGAATGATTTACAACATATATAGAGTTTAGTCTAGGGTTTACACAACTACTAATGACACTTATATCCTTAGCATATACAACTCCTATACACAAAACCCACTTTTTTATAGAGAGAAAGGTAAAAAGAGCACCGACTGACTTAGACCTGACCCAAAAGCCACTTGCTCCACCGGTAACTACCGTGATTTGCGCCTCCTCGTGTGGTCTCTCTCGCCCAAGAGAATTTTAGTTTCGCTTTTTATAATCAAAACTCATTTACAAAAAAATTAAACACGTTCGTGCAACTCAAAGAAATTGACAAGAATAACAACATCAAAACTAATACTAAATTAATGAGTTTATTGTTTTCCCAATGTTTCTCCAAAACTGTTTTACAAGCCGACGATAACATTAAATTACTTCTTAACAAAATCATAAAACACCCAAAAAATAAAAAGAAAAAAACAAAATCTTATCAAAACTCCATACAAAATTTGACTCACACCGGCGATATTTGCAACCAAACCGGTGTTTGGTTATGGCAAAAATATCACACAAGTAAAAGATCGGATATCAAAGAGTCATCAAGATCGTTGAACATTGAACCAAACTCTTTGATATCGGAAGAGTCGTTGTCTTCTGTGTTGTTGTTATCAAACAACATAAGGTCGTTGAAGAACTCATTCTCTGTTTGAATAGGAGACATAGGTTGATCGAATATGGAGATGTCTGGTAGTGATTCATTGAAATAGTTGTCGAGAAATGGAATGTCCAATGGAAATGAATCATCAATATTGTTATTACCTTCTCCAAGATGCCAGCTTATTGGTTCTTGTTCTGGTTCAAGAAACTCTTGTTTAACCGGCTTGATAAGACTATCGATTGGTTCCTCCGAGACATATGTTTGGTAGTTGAGAACCGATGTCGGAGATGATAGATGTTGAGAATCGTCCATTGATTCTGATATCGAAACCGACATGTTGCTCTCCGGTTCTTGTTCTGGTTCCGGTTCTGGTTCTTGTGGTTCTGGTGGTACGGTGAAGTTGGTAAGAGCATCAGGGCCACGAAGTTTGATTGCTGCGTTGTCGTAGACGACGGCAGCTTCCTCCGCCGTGGCAAAAGTACCGAGCCAGATTCTCCGGCGTTGCTCCGGATCACGAATCTCCGCCGCCCATTTTCCCCATGGTCGCTGTCTCACGCCGCGGTACTTCTTCTGGTTTTGGCCAGAAACAGAGGGCTTTTGAACCGTAGAATCAACGGTGAGTCTTTTCCGGTCCTTCGTCGGAGAAGCAGAGACGTCGCCGGAGGAGGAGCTAGGCTCGACTCTGATCTCGTTGATCAATCTCTTGACACGTCTTCGAGGGAACAAAAACTCATCCTCGTCGCTTGATGAATCAGTGGCGTCACGATCCGTCATAGACACCCGAACCAACCTCGCCGAGTCACCACCACTGGTCTTCTTCTCTAGAGACGACTTTTTAGTGTACTTTCTGATAACAGTCTTGTGCTCTGTGTACTTCACTGGTCTAAGATCCATATACTCATCCATCAACATCCCTCCTTTCACCTATTATTTTAAACAGAGAGATTCTGGTGAAAATTATCAGAGATTTGGAGAAAGAGAATGAGAGGAAAGGTATAAAAAAGAAAGAGAAAGAGAGACTGTTAAGTTTAAAGTGAGAAGATTCAGAAGTCACTGTTAAATCCTACTTTATAGGATCTTTCGGGCTTTAGCCATATTTGGTATATATATAATTAATAAATAGAAAAAAATATTTTTATATTATTTTGCTTTTATTTACTTATTTCCATTTTTTTCTTTTTCTTAATGTGAAGATTCAAAATTCATTTTTGAAATATAACTTTTACCGTTTCACATAAATATATTAGTTTAACATTTTTCATACAGCCTAACACATTTTAATAATACAAACAAAATTATCAGTTTCGAAAGTGACGGTAAAAATATAAAACAAACAAAAAAATAAGTGTAAAAGTATATTTTTCTATGAAACATAAAATTTTACATAATATTTTGGTTGCCATTATTGGTAACTATAATAAGTAATAAGTAGAAAATATATATATTTTTATATTATTAGCTGTTTATCTACTTGTTTCTTTTTATGGTTTTTAAACATTCACAATTCGTCTCTTCCCAGTGATATATTAGCCACATATTTGATACAGAGAGAGTGATTTACCAAACGAGACGCCGCATTCATATAAGCAAGTAGAATCATGACACGTGTACAATGAGATATTTTTCCTCTATAAGATGACTATCTTTCTGCTGAGTCAGCAGCGCGTGGCCTATAGTCTCGAAATCTACGATGCATATCACGTGACCCCAAGATACCCGGTCCCGGTTTTTTAATTTCTTTTTTAACTGTTTCCATTTTTTTTGAATCTTTTATTTTAATCTTTTACTTTTTGAATTTCATTTGAAGAATATACAAATATTATTGTAAAAAAAACCATGACTTCACTAGGTTTGACCGACATCTGTAGCGAGTCCCTTTAGCTGTTTCGTCCCATGCATTCATTTCTTATGAACAACCTGTCACGTGATGTGTTTTCCTAAAGTGCTTATTCAACAGTAAACATTACTATTTGAGTAAATGCTGTATTTATCTTCCGAATGAGTAATTCCGACCAGTGTAAAAAGGGAATCAATCTTTATTTTCTGTTATTATATGATTCTACTTCCTCTCTTGTTCAATATTTTAAGGAAAAACTGTTACAAATTATTCAGTAAAATCTTCTCATTTCCAGTGAGAGAAGTAACGTGGCGGGCAACCTAGGATTTGGCGCTAATTTTTTATATTTTCATTTCAAATTTTTGATAAAACTAAAGTCCAATGATTTTTTTTTTACCTAAATTAAAATCCAGCGATGAAGTGAATTTATTCTATGTTTCTGATAGTGATTGAACTAAGAAATGGGATTTTTAAAAGGTTTGATAGAACTGTGTAAAGATGAATATTTTATGTTTTGTGAACATTTTATTTATCTGAGAAACGTATTTTTTTACATTGAGATTGTTAATTTCCTTGTTTAAATTAGGGGTGAGCACTTCGGTTTATTGTCAATCAAACATTAGGTGTTCATTTTAATTATATTTTAATATAAAAGATATATATCATACTGTATTAATCTTCGCAGAGTGTCAAACAGTAACTTGACGTGAAATGAGTCTGAATAATCCAATTTTGGTTAAAATAAAATTCCAAACAGTTCAAGTTTTGTAATTTTGTGTCGATAGATGTCATCTCAAACCGAGTTCTGATTTAGTTTAGGGTTGGCAAAGCCAATATGAAAATTACAAGTCATGATGAAACCAAAAACAAAATAAGAGAATTTTTTTTTGTCAGGACAGTCGGACGAGCAGCACGAGAGGGGTAACTATAGCAGTCCAAAACATGATCGAAGAGACATGGAATCTTGTGATCAGATTTGGCCCAAAGACCTTAAGAAGTAAAATTATTAATTTGAATGTCGCAAAACAAGAACAAGAAATTAGATTTAAGTACTAATCGACACCTCTACGTCATTGTAATCTTTTCAAGTTTCAAACAATGACCCTAATAATTTGGCATTGGTTTGGTAGATCATCTAAAAAAATTCTTCAAAACATCTTGAGAGTATATAATCCACAAATAATGTTGTAGATAAAAGAGAAACCGGAGAGGAAGATAGATTAAGAAAGGTCGTGTGAGAGAAGCCAAGCACGATTTGATTCTGAAAATCCAAAGTGGGAAGAAGAGAGAGACATGGAGAATCCTTTGGATTGACAAAAGACAAACCCCGAGGCAGTGCCGGCTCAGATAGGGAAGCGACCGGTGCGACGGCCAGGGGTCCAATCCCGTGCTCCAATAATTAAAGGGCCCATTTTAATTTTTTTTTTAATAAATATATTAAAATTTTAAATTACAACATAAAAATAAAATTTAGAAGGGCCCATAAATATTTTTATTATTGTTTTTAGTTTTAATAATTAACTTTTTAATAAAAATATCATACAATTTTTTTATATAACACAAAGAACAAAAAAAAAAAAAAAAAAATCTAATGGCCTAAAATTTTTTTCGCCCTAGGGCCTATAAAACTGTTGAGCCGGCACTGCCCCGAGGTTTAGTGCAGTGTTCTTGGCCACTGTCCCACATTGAGCCAAGTGACCAATCCCCGTATATTTTATATGCGTCTATTAGTATACGAACCATATTACATATAATACGTACATGTGTGTTACTAAAAACGACAATTAAGGGACTACATTGAATCTTGTTTTAGGCTCGGCTTGACCACTTACTATTTTGGAGCGATAACAACTTCTAACCAATGACTTTTAGTAACGACTGGTTTGAAGTATTATACCCAACCCAATATTTATAACTTTTTTTGATATTAAAATCTTTTTTTGCCGTTCACCATTAATCGGTGACATGTGACAATAAAAAGAAGATTGCGTTACAGATTTTGTTCAAAGCTAATAAAATGTGTGCATAACGTGTCCATCTACGGTTATGAACGAAGAATCCAAATAGAAGAAAGAAACGAGACTTGGTAAAAAATAAATTTAAGGACAAAGATCCATTCTAAAAAGAAGGGCCACCCCTCAAAATAGCAAAACGTTGAAAGCTTTATCACCATTAATTAGTTATATAGTATTAATTTGATGTACGTTGGTCTTGGTGCATAGCTTTAAATTAAGACTGAGCTCGAACTTTGATGGACAAATAAAGACTAGAGAAGGTCACCGCTTGAGTAATTACTTCCCATAACCAAGTTTACGATAATATAAAAAATTAACGTGTGAGTTTTGAGTTTTCCCAAGGTAATAGTATGTCTTGGAGCAGAAGCTACATGGTCGCGCGACTCGTGAGTACTACTCAAGTCATTCTCGTGGACAGTCTTAGTTTACAAGCAAGAAATGTTGGTCTTATATACTATCTAATAAAAATGTATATAGCTTGCATTAAAAAAAACACACGAACATAAAATTCATCTAACTGTTTGTAATAAATATATTTAGTAGTAGAGTTCATTATAGGAATATATATATGTAAATCAATATAGCTAAAAACTATAGCTTATTAAAGTATAAAGAAATTATGAGAATTTTGTAAAATAGCCTAAATTATTATTGATTTTTGAAAAACACATATACCTGGAAAACTAAATGTTTTTAAAAAATAATTTATCGAAGTACCATTAATAATACCTTGTATACATATATTAAATCACTTTTCTATGTGTAATTTATATTTCATCAATTATCATAAAATATAATTTCAGAGACAATCTTTAAAGATTAATAATTATCTGTAGAAATAAGTGTATTGAATTATTGATCATTTGAGCTAAGCTCCACCTGACTAGCGTTGATAGGAATAACTTGTTGGGGATGCAACAAGAAGGGTCATTATTCATCAAAATATCCCGAGAAAGCAACCGGACGACAAGAGACTAACTTGCATGAGACGCAAGAAGCTGAAGCACTTTATGTTCACGAAGTGGTGTTCTTGAACGAGGATAAAGTGTTCCCTAAGAACTACGATACCAACAGTGGAAGTGTTTGGTATCTCGACAACGGAGCAAGCAACCATATGACGGGAAAGAAAGAGTTTTTCTCGAGTTTAGATGAAAAGGTCAAAGGAAAAGTGAAGTTTGGTGATGGCTCTTTTGTTGACATTGTAGGGAAAGGATCCATTGTGTTTATGGGCAAGACTGGTGAGAGAAGAGCCCTCAAGGAAATCTACTACATACCGGATTTAAAACACAACATAATAAGTCTTGGACAAGCAACCGAATGAGGATGTGAAGTATACATGAAAGGAGACTCATTGATACTTAATGATCCTAATGGAAGGCTGCTGGTAAGAGTCATAAGATCACCAAATCGTCTGTACAAGACGCCAATGGAGATAAGCAAACCAACATGTTTGCAAGCTGAAGGACTTGCTGAAGGACATGCTGAGGGACTTGCTGAAGGATGTGCTGAAGGACTGACTGAAGGACATGCTGATGAAGCTACAAGAACATGGCATGCTCGGTTAGGTCATGTAAGTTTTGGTGTTATGACTAATATGGTGAAGAAGGATATGGTCGTTGGAATGCCGCAAGCTTTACACGAGATGAGTGTATGTGATGCATGCTTGGCCGGGAAACAAACGAGACAATCGTTCCCAACCAAAGCTACTTACCGTGCAGCTCAAGCATTGGAGTTGATTCACGGAGACTTGTGTGGACCAATCTCACCTCCAACACTGGCGAACAACAAGTATGTGTTTGTGTTGATAGATGATTTCTCAAGATACATGTGGACTATGTTATTGAAAGAGAAGAGTGAAGCTTTCGATCGGTTCAAAAGGTTTAAAGAGTTTGTAGAGAAGCAAGCCGGTTTGTCTATCAAAACCTTTCGCACCGATAGAGGAGGAGAGTTTACTTCAAGTGATTTCAATCGTTTTTGTCAAGAGAATGGAGTCTCTAGGCATCTAACCGCACCTTATACGCCTCAACAAAACGGTGTGGTCGAGAGAAGAAATCGAACTCTAATGGAGATGACAAGAAGCTTGTTAAAAGCTATGAAGATTCCGAATGACATGTGGGGAGAAGCTGTACGTCATTCAACCTACCTCATCAATAGAGTACCAACAAAAGCTTTGCAAGGGAAGACACCGTATGAG